CTCCCGCTCCCGCTCCCGCTCCTGCTCCTGCTGAGCAACCTACCGTCAGCGTTGTGGTGCCTCCAGACGGGCCTGAGTATCCTCCCCCTCCTCCTCCTGCTGCCGAACCGCAAACCGGTAGACCTCCCGCGCGCCTGGGATGGACTGTTCAGTGGTCACCAAAATGGAACCGGTTCTATTACGTTCACTACCTCGATGGCAGTGTTGAGTGGTACGAGCAGCAATGGACTTGGTGAAGTCATTTTGGTTGGTGGTGGTTGGTTTTGATGCTTGTTTTGGTGCTGTTATTGATGAGGCAGTGTTCGACTGCTCACATCATGGAAGAAGGTAGTAGCTGACCATGGTACTCTTATTGTTTGTTTCTCATTTCCCTGCTTTCATTTCCTTCTCTTTCTTACTTTTTCCTTTGCCCAAAGTCGCAGGCGCCTCCGCTTGTTTCTTGTTCGTTTCGACATTTACCTTTCTTGTTTTGCGACTTCAAAGACGTCATTCCATGTATGCCAAGGAAAGGCCCCCTTCCCACTTCAGCACCGATGGACAGCATGGACAGCATGGACAGCATAGCCTAGAAACATACGCTTGAGCTGGGACAAACGAGCTCGAGCCGAGAAACATACGCTTGAGCTGGGACAGGATGCCGCTTTAGCTGGAGACAAGATGCACTCGATGACATACTCACGCTCGAGCTGTAATAAGATGCCACTTGGGCTGGTGACAACGTACTGCCATGGAGCTGGAGGTGCTGAAGGTGGATCCTGTTTACGGATAGATCTTTCCTTGGAGTGTTTTCCTTTTTATTACTATGTACATATTTATTTATTGGAGAAGGGGGTCTAGAACGACAGGCTGGCACCTTCACGTGGTGTTCTAGGTCAGTAGCTAGGGATCTTCAATGATCCTTAGTGAAGCTAAGACCAGCCTTATCTGTGTATTCTTAATATTAGGTAGTGTCTTAATTGGATTCGATGACACAAAAACTTAGGAATGCTATTACTCGGCTATATGGCAGATGCGTGGGCCGGATAGTTACAGAAGGGGCTTACTATGCGACGCGCAGTGTCAGATTGGTCTCATGGGCCAATCCGGCGATAAGTCCCAACTTTCGTTTGAAACGCGATCTCAGAGAGTCGACAACGTGGGTGCAGAAAGGACGAGTCGCAATGAAGGCATTGCTAATAAGCTTGATCTGCCGCATGTAGCTGTAACTGATGACGTGTAGGTATACCTCAGTGTGTCAGAAGTACTGATCTTATGATAACTTATACCAGTACTTAGACGACTTCACTTTGCAGGTGGGCAACCCGGCGCTTACCGGACGGTGGCCGGAGGAGGACTAAGAAATCGGTCTCCACATGCCGGCAGCCCGATGGCCGTTCTTGTTTCTTTAACGGCGCCGACGCCGGCATGGTGCAGACGGTTCACAAACAGGTTCACTGTTAAGAAGATTTTACGAGACGGTCTCAAGATATTTTAAACATATGAATTTTGTAGCTAGTAATATTCGTTTACATCAGCAGGCACAGCCTACTGAAGATAATCGTCTAGAAAGGCTTTCATCCAGGTTTGGTATCTAAAGGGGGAATTGTAAACAATAAACATGTCGCGAACCAGTACAAAAGAAATCGACATCGCAACCCCATCCAAAACAATCCTCATTAGACAGCCCTTCAAGTAAAAAGTCCAGGCAGTATCCTTCGTCATTCAACATCCCTGCCCTCCTCATGCGTTCAATTCGTGCAAAGTGTGGTATCGGTATGGTATCTTAAGAAACGCAAAGAGCCCCATTCTTCCCTCGCTAATCTTTCGCTAGCACGGTGATAATGTTGGTATTTTTCTTTTTTTCGTGTTGGTCGTTTAGTCGGTGAAGAACTTGATAACGTTCTGCAAGTCGCGCAGACCGACACCCTTCTTGGGGTAGCAAATGTAAATCTCCTCTCCCAGGGCACCGAACTTGGATCGGAACGAAGCCTTGCGGCGGAGACCGAGACTGTCGATAATAGATCGGTAACTGGCGCTGAGGAACTTGGCGCGAAGTCCGCCGACGTGCTCACCAGGGGTAAGCTTCTCGGAGACACCTGCACCGAAGGTGACCTTTCCGGTGACATTGGACAGGGCGTGGCTGACCAGGACCTCGATGGCACCGTTGACGGCACCGGGGAAGTCAAGCGCCCACTTCACTTGCCAGCCGTGGCGAGGAGCAAGCTTGGCCAAGACGACCATAGACATGACCTTGCCGTCCTTCTCGGCAGCAAAGTAGCGGCGGTGCTCCTGATCGATCCAGGGACGAACCTCAGTAAGATGCACTTGCTTGCCCTTGCGAGCGCCCTTCCATTCCTCAATGGCGGGGTTGGCGCGAGAAATGAAGTCCTCGTCAGGCTTGACCTCATGGATCTTGACTCCTTCACGCTCAACACGGCGAGTCTTAGCAGCAAGTCCCTCAATTTGAGCACTGTTGTGCTTGTCGGCATCAACACGCTGCTCCTCGGTACAAGTCAAACTTCGCCAGCGAAGCTCAGCTGCGAGAATCTTCTGGACTTCGTAGGACACGAGCATCCAGAACGGTGTCAGGCGAAGGTCAACAGTAAGGTGCTGAATAAAGTCACGGATGACCCGAGTGTATTGGCTGCGGTCACACAGGGGATCACCAGTGATCATGGCAAACTTCTCGCGCTGAACCCAACCGACGGCGGCACCAGTTTCGTGTCGCCAGATCTGGAATCGCTCATCGAGCCAAGATGTATTAGTAGCATCACCATAGTTGGCAATAAGCTTCTCCAGAGGGGGAGGAGAGTCGGCGTGGTGAGGCTTAGTGGTATCAGCCTCAGGGTGGGGTAAACCAGGGGCCTTGGTAGGGAGAGACTTGGGGTCCCGGTGGAAGAGAGAGGCATATCGGACATCGCCAAGCTCGAGCATCCAGGCGACAATACGCTCAAGACCAAGACCAGCACCAGCATGAGGAGGAGCACCCAGTTCGAAGGCAGTGAGGTAGTCTTCCATACCATCCTCAACCATACCAGCTGCGGCCATGTTGGCTCGCAGCTCATCAACATTGTGAATACGCTGACCTCCAGAGCAGATTTCTTGACCACGGATGAAAATATCAAATGATCGCGTGAAAGTGGGGTCGTCGATGTCCTTGGCAGTGTAGAAAGGACGAGCGCTGGCGGGGAACTTGTCCAGCACGTAGTAGTCGGTGTTATACTTCTCGCGGACAAGCTGCCCAAGTCGCATCTCGTCAGGAGTTGACAGATCCTCCATTTCGACATCACGACCGTCGTCGCGAAGCATCTGGATACCCTCAGGGAAGGGAAGGATAAGAGTCTCCTCGAGCCACTTGAATTCCTTGCTGGGCCATCGCTTCTGAACAACTTCGAGCTCCCGGGAAGCGTAAACGGTTCTGAAGACTTCCTTGAGGAAGATGTCGATGAAAGAAATAACCTCGTGGTAATCGGTATCAATAGCCATCTCAAGATCGAGACCAGTGTACTCAGTCAAGTGGCGATGTGTGTTCGAGTTCTCAGCACGGAAAACAGGGCCAACCTCGAATACGCGACCAAAGTCAGCAGAGATAGCCTCCTGCTTAGCGAGCTGGGGGCTCTGAGCAAGGAATGCCCGACGACCGAAGTAGTTTACAGGGAAGACAGCAGCACCACTCTCGGTGGCGGCAGGCTGCAGCTTAGGAGTGTTGATCTCAACAAAGCCTTGATCCTCGAGGGTGTTTCGGAAGATTCTCGTGACCATTGAGCGAATACGGAAGAGAGCCTGGTTAGAGGGATGTCGGAGATCGAGAATACGGGCGTTCATACGGTTGCGAAGAGTCTCCGGGGGCTTGTAGTTGCTGAAAGGTAGGTTCTGGGCAGCGTTGACAAGGTGGACAGAGTCGACAGCCACCTCAACGCCAGAGTGTGTGGCCGATCGAATAGGCTCAGGAGGCTGCTTGAGTGTACCGGTGATCTGAACCAGAGACTCGGAGTTGATCTTGCGAACCCAAGCAATGAAGTCGGCATTATCGGCATCACGAGCAAGAACACCTTGAACAGAGTGTGTTTGGTCTCGGAGGAGAAGGAAATCGAGCACCTTTGAGATAGGTCGCTGGGTCTCGATACGGGCTCGGAATGTGACTTCGGTGCCAACAGGCAAGGTGTCGAGCTGAGCAATTGTATTGATCTCACCAGGATGAATTGGCCAGTCAGAGCTCATGCTAGTTCGACCGCTGTCGAGAGAGGTTCGGCTGCTGGGGACAATACCGCCGTTGGTAGTGGCAGTCGTGCCATCCATGCTGGATCGAGCCGAATCTCTGTGGGGGAGTTCGACGGCGCTGTCTTGCATGGTTTCGCGAATGGTTCTTTGTGGTGAGGCGGAACGAGGCGATGAGAAAGCTGAGCTCAAGATGGCTCCCGAGGGTCTTGTACTATCAGCGCCCAAAGAGGCCGCGCTGATTGAGGCCGAGGCAGGCCGGTGGGTGGTATCCGGGCTCGCCATTCGAGCGGTATTGAACGACGTCGACGATGATGTCAGAGTCGCAGTGGGTTCTGAAAGGACCGAGTCGATGGAGACAGATGAAAGTGGGCTTGATGTTAAAGCCGAGGTTTGAATTGGAGTGTAAGAGGTGATCAAAGGTGAAGGATGTTTAGGTAGAGAAGTGGAAGAAAAAGATCTAGGAGTTAAAGGAGAAGACGAAACAGAATTTGTGGTGGCCGCGGGACCTTTTTGACGATATTTAGACGGTAGCGGCATGCCAAAGGCTGATGCGACGGGAGCCAGGATGCCCGTCATAGTTAGTGCCCAGCGACAGCGATGATGATGGAGGGTGTGGCACGGTGGGTCAGCCACACTTGAAATCTTGGATAATCCTGACTTGGCTCAGGTTCTGCGTAGGTACAGAGTACAGGCCACTGTTTCCCGCGATAGACTACCCCTGCTTTGCAGTCGATGACGATCGGGTGGGCTGCTTTCGGTTGTTCAGGTTCTCTTTTGGGTGATTCAGGGACAGGCACTTGTCACGATGATCGTGGCTGTGACGATGAAATGAGGTGTCGGAGTAGCAGTATCAGGGACACCTGTGGCTAATAACCACAAAAAAATGAATCAGGGGACTGATATTTTGATGTGCGTGTGCCAGTGTGAAAATATGAAGATGTGCCTTTTAAAATCGTTGAAAAGCATGTTCGAATAGAGAGGGCTCAGCAGACAGTTATATGACCCTAAAGGTAAACTATAAACCACATTCCCTCGCACTCACGGCATCGTCGGCGTCCCGGAAGGAGACACGACTGATGTCTGCTTACACGACCAAGGAACAAAAAAATTGTGGTCTATCTTTGTCAAATCCCGACAGCTTACTCAATCAGCCACCATGTACCATCTATTTCGGCCTCGGCTCTGTACATAAAATCCGTTAGGTTGGGCTAGACTGACAGATGACTCGGCATGGCGTGGGGAATGGATGTAACTCTCCCGCACCCGTCCTGTCCTGTATGTACCGAGAAATTCCTACACCCCCAGTACATTGCTTAGAATTGATGCCCCGTCCGCTGTAAGAAGTGAAATGTCAGCACCTGCACGCACGGTCTTTAGGCTCGTGCTAGCACTAGCAGCCCTAGAGCATCTCATCATTCATCGCGATAAGTAACGGGGCCGGTAACTGTGGCGGGCGGACATACCGTCAGTTAGAGCCTCCATCGCACTTATCGCATCAGATCGACTGCGAAGTCCGAGTGTAAAATCTGCGTCATAGCTCGATGTGTTTGTCCCTCTGATGCACAGAAAATGTCTCAACAATTGACACAATGATTCGTGTCTGGGAATCAGAGTCACGGTTAGCCACAAGAGCTGAAATGAACTGTGCTGTACAGAGTACTGTACCACGTAACAAACAAGCAGCACAGAGGACAAACCTGCGCCACAGATACCTCCGGCAGCCAAGATGCTATTGCCGTCAGTCGTTCAGGTCCCAGTCTTGGCTTCACCCTGAAAGAGCAAGACATTCAAGGGATGGCTGCCGTTTACCGTCTCGGCGTCTCTCTACGTACCTCGTAAAGTACCAGATACGTCTATGGGTGATACCCTTTTGAGTAATGCGATAAACTCTGTGACATCAGTGACAGAGCGCTAGGGTTGTTGTCGATATTTCCCTCTAAGTGGACGGGACTCCTCTAAAAGGGATTAAGACAGTGAAAATTACCCGCCCCCGGATGTTTCTGGGGCTGCACGGAGCCTGTGATTGGAGTTCCGGTGGAGATGCTCCGGATAATGCAGCCAAGCCCATGACATATCCTTAATCCCATCGGCGATTAGGGATGATCAAACGAGGATTTTCGTAATTTGTAACCTCGTGGCTCATCTATAACCTGTTATTTCCCCCATTAATTATTTCATCCAAGCCTTTTTGTGGTCAGAAACAGTATCTGAATCGCTCAGGGGTCTTTTTCATTTCAAATAACAAGTTTAAATTATTACCAGCGCATTGAATTGACGTCAATCAGCGAATCGAGTACATCGGAACTAACAACGGCGAACTAATTGGCCGTGAATAATTTGAAATGGTCACCCAAGCAAATGGAAAGTTCTCGTATCTGCTAGGCCTGTCTCTTATTGTGCAAGTCAAGTTCTAGGCTCCTTCTTTTTTCCCTTTATTAATAGCGAGGTTGGCTCCACTTGATTGAGTCTTGTCGTGCCGTTCCCGCACTGACCATTTTGACCCAGCAAAGCGGGAGACACAAAACAAGCCTCGCTACGTCATAGTCTTGGGCTTCGCTCATGTCACTCCAGGGCCTCTAACGTCACGAAACAGTTTTGGTTGGATAAACCAGGTTTTACAATATCTCGGCGTCTTCTGTTGACATTCATGCATAGACTACTGCCTACTGTATCAATTCATCGCAGAGAAGGTCACTCACTGATTGCTAAACCTGCTTTTGTTTTTTGTTCTCTCCTCTCTTGTCTACTCAGCTCTCAAGCGGCTCAGTGTCAAATCTCACTTGAGCTCGTCATTTTAGTAGTAATTGGGCCCAGCAACAAACAACTAGACTCTATCAACCGCCCATCAGCAAACTATCTCTTTTTCTATTCATTTTGATCAGCATTCTTCTTACCAACCCAGCCAATCCTTGCTTCCATCATATTATCGCGCTTACAGAACAAGCAAACCAAACAACGTGTTGTACCGCACACGAAGGAACTCCCCACCGCTTCTCTATTCCGTCGCAGCCGGGTCTCGTCTTGGCTTGTAGCTCTTTGGCTTCTGGTTGCTTGTGCCTCCTCACAGTCTTCTCTTTGGAGGTTCTCTCCTTCCCCCTCTCCCCTACAGTACAGTAGTAGCCCGCTGGCTGCAGTCTCACCCCAAGGTCTCAAGCTGGGACCACTCCCTTCCCTCTCCCCCTCCTCTCTATAATCAAATCTGATATGGAGACTGAGGCCACCCCCTCTGAGTCACGACCAACCACCCCGGAACCTCCGGGCTATGTGAATCCTCTCGAGTCCAGCTCTCGATGGTACCTGATCGCTCGTGCCCAAGCCATTCGTTCCGCTGCAAGTTTGGGTTTCAGCATCGCCAATCGTACTGAACCTCCTGCACCATCGCCTACGCGAGACATTTGGCTGGATGCCACGCTATCAAAGGCAGCCCCCAGCCGCAGCGACCGCGCCAAGACTAAGATCAAGGCCGAAGTATGGGTACCGCCCCGTCCCGCTCTCGGCGCCCGAGCTGCCGTTATAAACTTTCACGGCGGCGGTTGGATCCTCGGCCAGGGTACTGACGATGCCCGATGGGCCGGAGCTATCATGGCCAACTTGGATGCAGTTGTCTTTACTGTCAACTACCGTCTAGCGCCTTCGTGTCCCTTTCCAACTCCCATTGAGGATTGTGTGGATGCTGTTCTCCAAATCAAGCATCGCGCTGCCGAGTTTGGTATTGACCCTGAACGCATTATCCTTTCGGGATTTTCCGCTGGGGCCACAAATGCCATAGCAAGCTGGCTCATTCTCAACGACCCTGACCGTTGGGGCTACAAATTCCCCATCGAACCTCCGAAGATTGCCGGTATAACGCTCTACTACCCCGTTCTAGATTGGACCATATCCCGTCCCGAGAAGCGACTCACATGCTCAAAGCCCGAGTTCACCTTACCCAAGGGTCTCACGGATCTGATTGATGCTTCGTTCATCTACCCAATCATTCCCCGAGAGCAACGGTCTGATCCACGGCTGTCACCGGGTCTGATGGAGGATGAGATGCTGAAGAAGCTTCCGCCAATCCATCTGGTCCTGTGCGAGTATGACATGCTTCTCGCTGAAGGTCTTAAGTTCGCCAATCGCCTCAAGGCTCACGAGAAGAAGTTCACGTTGCGCATTGTCGAAGGCGAGAGACACGCCTGGGATTGTCCACCGCCCATGACTCCAAAAGAGAGTGTTATGGTAGAATACCAAGAAGCCGTTGAGAATATGGCCAGTTGGTTTGGAAAGAAGTGCGAGACTGACACAAACTCGCTGCGATCCATGAAACTCAAGCGCGCAGTTTTCAAACGACCCAAATATCTTTCTTACAATACCTGGTCCGGGTGGTAGTGGCTTCTGGCAGGACTTTCGGTCGTTGTTACTGTGATGATATTTCTTTCCCTTCTTTACATTTCTACTAAGCGAGGCGCTTCATCCAATTGATCAGACAAGAGCTGGCAAGACATAAAGAGAGTGCGCGGTCAGGCTTTGGATTGTACATAATCTGTTTTCGGAGCGAATTAAATGCATATAGACATCAATAAAACCAGCCCACAGCATGATTTCAGGAACGCGTGGCAGTGCAAGTTTTAAGGGTCTTAGAAGCAATCGCCAAGTTCATGATCGTCAGCCACTTGTCAACTCAATTGAAGAGAAGCATTCTTGGAACCTTCAACGGCGGGTATCTCGCTAAACAACCTTCGGCATTTAGTTCCTTGGTTTGTTCATCAGTTCCACCCCAAGGTGTAAGCGAAAGTATAGAGAACCAGGTACTTGAAATTTTGCGAAAGATACTTTGCCAAGGTCTCGGGGTCCTCCCGGAAGCGTCGGAAGTACAGTAGGGTCCTAGACCCTGAGATTGGACAATGAAGATACAGACGTCCATGTGGCTTTTGGAGCATGAATCGTATTGGCTGGGAGGGATGATGTCTTTCGCATATGCTTTTGTCTCTCATTTCTCGTCATCGTGAAAGCATTTAGTGTTTTAGGGGACTCTCAGCTTAGACTAGTCTCGCCTTACAAACAACATGCGGAGAGGAGATGACATACGGAGTACCCTTGGTCAGCTGCTTATCTTTTGCATCTATGCATTAGTAGCTTAATGAATGTTTCATAAGGGTGTGACTGAGACTGGATTTTTTTCATCGGGGTTTTGGACATTGCAAGATGCCGTGCTGTTTTACCGTTCGGACAGTCCGACATTCCCGGTGAATGACAAGCCGCGGAATGGTGCCGTTACTAGTGACGATATATCAGGAGATATTGCAAAGTTCAACTGGATTGTATGTCTTCTACTACCAGTGATGGCAATTTTTGTTGTTGGATCGTCAACTTAATTAAGTCTTCAACCACTTGGTCTCACTCAGCGCTATAAATAAGCTCAATTCCTCTATTTCTGAAAAGGCTGATCGTCACGCATCAACCCCAGAGATCGGCTTTTATGACTTTCCCATGCCGTCAACCGTGGAGTAATGATTGTGATCCTTACTCTCATGGCCGTGAGGGTGTGCTCGGCTCCAAATTGTCGAATTTGCTAAAACAGACTGGTATGTAATCCTGGCGATCTTTGGAGGATCATGACATAACCCTCAGCCACTTCATGATAATGTTGTGTGGCGCTTTCTGATCGACGGTCGTGGCTTGACTCGTAAAGCAAGCTTGAAATTATGGTTGTGGTTGGTTGACAAATCGTGATTTGAGTGTCCGATCTACCAAAAGCACAATGTGGTCAGTTCTTATCATGATGACAGAAGTCATGATGATCATTAGTTCATTATCGGTAGAAATCCGAACCGACCTATGTCTATCGCCTAACCTGGAGCATGTTAATGATACATACAGTAACGGCACCTGGTCAATCTTCGTACACGAGAACTGCATATCCAGGGTAGACAAACTTCACTGATATATAGAACAAGGAACAGTGGATGAAATTGATAGTCATGTAAATATGTATTCGTTTTCGTTATCGTAATATGGGAAGATGGTTGATTATAGCCATCTTCCACAGGTCTCTCTCTGTAGGATAGCCTCTCAATACTGATGCATCCGAGCAAAGTCGTGTTTCTCCAACTTGTGACTGTCGTCACTTCAGTCTTGCCATATTGGCAGGCAACAAGTACGCCAACACTTTTTTATATGATATGTTGTTTACCACTTAGCCTCAGGGCCATTAATAAACTTGCGAAGGATGCTGACGACCTTCGTGAAAGAAGCAAGGTAGGCCTTGAGCTCTTCCTGAACCTGGTCAGGGTTCTCGCCGAGCTTGGCGTAGAAGTCCTTTCGGTAGGGAACAGCGGACATAGCGGCGCTGAAGATGGGCTTGACCATGAAGCCGTGGTGGGGCTTCAGGGTGTTGCCGTAGGCAGCGCGGAAAGAGTCAGCAAGCTCCTCCTCCTGCTTGGCGACGTTGTTCTCAAGACCCTGGCAGGTGAAGTCAAGGCCTCTGCAACATTGTTAGCAGTTGCTGTATATCTTCAGAGGGGTAATTCATACCGGACGAGCCAGAGGCAACCCTCGGTGGCAGTGTGCTTGCCGGTCTTGAGCTCATTGCGGACGAGGTCCTGGACAGTGCCGGACTCAGCAGGAGCGGCAGCCTGGCGGGCACGGAGCTTCTGTAGATGAGTTGTCAGATATATGATCGGAGACGAATGTTGTCGATAGCATGGCTTGCTGTCGTGCAACAGATGAGGGAATCGTGACGAACCTCGACGTTGCCAAGGATATCCTTCTTGACGGGACCGAAAGCAACACCACCAATGGCGTCTAAGAGAAAACATAGTTAGCATCATTGGACCCTCTCATGATGTCTGAGACATTGTCATACCGAAGATGGTGGTCAGGGACTCGGAAGCCTCAAGGAACTCGGTGGTAGAGACAGCCTCGCCGTTGGCCTCATCGACAGGGACGTCGGCGAAAGATCGCTTGAGGGACTGGACAATAGTGCCACCGGGGGGGTACGCAGCAGTAGACATGATGAATGATGATGGAGATGAGATGAATGGAAAAAGAAAGTTGAAGATTTGTTGGATGGGAAGAAGTAGATAAAGGAGATCTGGAGAGATGTTGTTGAAGCGGTCAAGCTGAGCTGTCCCTTTGCGGGTAGGTACAGGCAATAGCAGTACAGGAGGGGTCTAGCTCAGGGGACCTAGGGAGGGGCAACGCGGCGAAAGAGGGGCAGTTGTACAGTGCATATAGATAAGATAAGAGCTCGGATGCATGCAGGTCAAAGATGGAAGTTGAAGCAACTATGCTATACGTATCAGAAGAGAACACTTGAAACAAGTGCAGATATGCATGATGCTAATTGCATGCATGATATTGGCAAACCTAGTCGAAACTTTACTCAACTCGATACATCTTTGAATCATTTCGGCTTACCGTCTCGAGATGCAGGGACCGTTATTCACACTCGACACTGTGTTTCGGGGCCTGGATTTAGTTGTTCCGTCGACCGCTAGAAACCCCACGTTCTTCCATTGGATGTCGATCAACTTGTCAAATGGCGGAGTGTAGAGTCGAGACCTCAACAGATGGTACGAGTTGGGCAAAACTTCAGATGAGAGAGAATTGCTGGATTCTCAGGGGCGACTCGTATACAATGCCCACTTGCTGAAATGTTGCCGTGTTGTATTAGCTTACGACGCTTCCAGGCGGGTCGAGCTTGGGCCATTGGTTCTGCCATGAGCTCTCCATTTCAAGCTCGAGACTGCCAGTAGGGTAGATGCACACCCAACTTCGCCATGAATTCCTTGGGCGTCAACACAATTGCAAGACAGCACTCAGAAAGTATAGTAGACAATCTCGTACATTTTTGACATCGGAGAATAATTGGCGTTTAGGACCAATTTAACTTCAAACCCTCACAGAATATGTTCACAGTCCCTGCAAGATGTATTTCAGGTTTCATCTCAGAAATCAACGATTGTCAGTGTCACCAGACAAGACATATGCATTTATTCCTCTCTGCTCTTCGTTCTTCCTTCAACCACTGTCATGAGCAATGATACTTGATGGAGTTTCTCTCGCGTCAGTCTCCAGAACAATGACCTGCACTTCATTCCATCTATTCTAGACCAGAACTGTAACAAACCGTCGAGATCAAGCCCGCTTGAAAGAATTTGGGATAGTAATTTATCCGAGCTACGAAAAGAACAAGAGATGGTTAGAGTAGCGGTTAAAGAAAGCAAGTTGCTCAGATTGACCAATGTCGCTTGAGTTCAATTGAGGCTGGACCAATCAAGGCTCAAGATGGCACAATCAAGATGGTGAACCTGGTATTAGTGGTTGTGAAACTTGGTTGAAGTGAGTCGAACAGACCACAACTTGCCGATTCGGAAACTGCATCGAACCAGGAACATGTTCACTTTGAACGGTTGTGGAAGCTATACCGTCTATTGGTAAGAAGTTGGGTTACATTAGCCGCATCCTAAGCTTCTACTGGCTGACACCATGCAATGCGCTGAGTGCTTCAGAGCCTCAGCAGGGGAAAGCAAGCGATATTCGGCCCAACAACAGCATAAGGTAAGGATTGTCAAGGGCAATCAATTGATGTTTAAGTTTGTAATTTTTAGCTTGAAACATGGAACTAACGGCTGATCACGAACTTTTGTGATACGCGAAAAGACGGGATATAGCTTCTGACGTCATCAACTATAAACTAAAGGTCAAGACCAAGACGGGAGATGAGAGACTGAAATGGCTTGACTGGTTCTTGTCATGTTTAGAGTTAAAACGCAAGCTTTTTCTTGTCGTTGCTTGTTCTTTCCTAGTCCTTGCAGATTAAAGGGAATAAAAAGCTTCGTATTCTGGGCCTTTGAGATAATTGGCTCGTTGATATTCAGCCCTGTGCGTAGCCCATTACGCGTTTCGCTTGATGTGTGCGGGTCATGACGGATGCCGTGATCTTGTTTAGCTTGGCCCGAGGCTTGCATTAAGAGGATCTTTGGCTGTTGAAAGAGGAGAAGTCCTGTTACATCCAATCCAAGACTTCTTTCGCGCCGTCTCGCCGGCTTGGCGCTTGTTTCTTGTCTTTGCTTTGCTTTGAGCTTGGCTTGGCTTGTCGATGACATCGCTACTTTCTTAAGAAGCTTGTTTGTACCTAGGGATACTGCAGTTTGATCTATCATGAGCTTGGCTTTTTCGTTTTGGGTTGTCGCGTGAGAGTAGTCCCTTGTAAAGCCAAGCCCTTTCGAAAACTCACTCATCCATCCACTCTCTGTACAAGACCAAGTCATTGTCACTCATCCTCGTGCATTCCTGTCTCCCCTCCTCTCTCCCTTCTTTCGTCTTACTACCCCTCCAATCGATTTCCCCTCATTGAATCTCACCAGCCCCTCATATTTTCTCTCCGATCGATCTGCCACGAGAGACCCTGCGCAGAGCGATCTGAGCGCTGGCAATCTGCTCTCTCATTAGACGACCTAAGTGAATTGCTGGGCCTCTGCGAAAATGGGGGAACACAAGCGCACCGAGTCGTTGCTTGACAAGCTCAAGATCAGCGACGGTCTTCACGATGCGAAAGTTCATTTGGTTCACCAAAAGTTAGTAATTATAAGCTGTATTGGAATTTCCAGTCTCTAACTGTATTTGTAGACATAAAATTGGCAAATTGGCAAACCTGGTATGCTGCGCGCTCCCCAATTACTTATGTCGCATTGTCGCGATCGCACGACCGAATTGCTTCCTCGAACCATGAAGCTTACACAATGATTTTAGTTCAATCGAAACCATAGACACGATGAAGAGCACGAACAGCGTTGTGACGAGAAGCGCACCGCTATTTGCGAGCAGAATCGCTACAAATCTTACTTCCCTATGCGTGCTGGTAACCGTGTGAAGTGGTATGTCAATTGGTCTTATCCTTGCGCCAAAAACTAACTTTGCAGGTATGTTGATGGTAGAGACTACTTCTGGGCTGTCTCTATCGCGCTCGAAAACGCCAAAGAAACTATATACATTGCCGACTGGTGGCTGTCACCCGAACTCTTCCTCCGCCGTCCTGCCTACAAGGAGCAGGAGTTTCGATTGGACAAGATTATAAAGCGAAAGGCCGAACAGGGAGTTCAAATCTATGTCTCTGTATACAAGGAGGTTGAACAGGCCTTGACGTGCAATTCAGCTCATACCAAGCATGCGCTGAGGAAGCTCTGTCCTAAAGGCAGCCCCGGATATGGAAACATCCATGTTGGCCGACATCCTGATCATAATGTTTTCGAAAACTTTGGGTGAGTTAAGAAACATTGTTTTATTGCGTGGCTTTGGTTGAGGTTGTGATGCCTGCGCGCGACTCGGCATCTCCCCAACTCTCACCACCCTGGTCATGTTACCTTTTACTAACGCAATTGTTAGCGACATGACTTGGTACTGGGCTCATCATGAGAAGTTCATTGTCATTGATTACGAAATCGCTTTCGTTGGTGGTCTCGATCTCTGTTTCGGACGATGGGATAACAACCAACACCCTCTTGCCGACATCCACCCTACTGACGTACGCGACGAGATCTGGCCAGGCCAGGACTTTAACAACAATCGTATTATGGACTTTCAAAACGTTGAAAGCTGGCAGGACAACGAATTGAGCAAGGCTGACTTCGGGCGCATGCCCTGGCACGATGTGGCGATGTGTATCCAAGGTATGTCCACCATTCAACACCAAAACTTCTCCAGAACTCCCAGAACTCCCAGATCTGACTCAAATGAAGGCCCTACGGTATATGATGTAGCGGAACACTTCACCCTTCGCTGGAATTTCGTAAAGCGTGATAAATATAAAAGAGATGAAAGATTCGACTGGTTGACGATGGAGGGTCGCGAGGGCGAGGACGAGGACCTCATTGGAGTCCAGCGCCCTAAACACCCAGTTGGAGAATACGTCAAGCACCCAATCACTCCTTTAAGCACCAAGGGACTGAATGACGTGGGAGGCACTGTTAATTGTCAAATTGTGCGGTCGAGCGCTGACTGGAGTCTCGGCATCTTGACGGACCACAGTATCCAGAACGCCTACATCGAGATTATTTCAAAGGCCCAGCACTACGTTTACATCGAGAACCAGTTCTTCATCACTGCAACTGGTGATCAACAGGCTCCGATCAAAAATCAGATTGGTCGTGCCATTGTCGACGCCATTGTCCGCGCCGCCAAGGAGGAGCGCAAGTTCCGCGTTATGGTTCTCATCCCCGCAATTCCTGGATTTGCTGGTGATTTACGAGAGGAAGCTGCTACGGGCACGCGTGCTATCATGGATTACCAGTACAAGTCTATTTGTCGGGGTGAGGACTCCATTTATGGACAGTGTCGCGCTCAGGGCGTAGACCCCACAAAGTACATCTTCTTCTTCAACCTCCGATCATACGATCGTCTTAACAAGACGCCTGGTATCATCAAGGCGGAGAAGGATACAGGTGTAAGCTACCAGCAAGTCCAACGTGCTGAAGCCGAAGAGATCATGGGTGAAGGAATCCACGGTTCTTACAATGTGGGCGGCTCGGGCTCGGAGTCTGAGGGAGATGAACACATGCACCGCGACAAAGATAAGAAAGAACTTGATGAAGATATCAAGAAGATATTCGAGGCGCGAAAGAAGTTCGAGGCTGCCCTGCCCCAGGAGTCTGTCCACACAACATCCTCAGTCGCCCATCACGCGATGGCTAGTACTGGTGATGGCGTAGGACTCAAGGAGGAGCCCTGGTTCGAGGAAGACCCTGAATCTGAGGTCAAGAACTGGATCCAAGAGGAACTCTACATTCATGGAAAGCTCTTGCTCGTTGACGATAGAATCGCCGTTTGCGGAAGCAGTAACCTCAACGACCGAAGTCAACTTGGTGATCACGACAGTGAACTGAGTGTCGTCATGGAGGATACTCGCATGATTCCCAGTGTTATGAATGGCCAGCCTTACGAGGCCGGCTACCATGCGGCCACACTGCGCCGCTATCTCTGGCGCGAACACTTGGGACTCCTTCCCCCACAAGAGCACGACGCATCCAACGACATTAACGCCATGCCCGTCAATGTTAACCCTGAGAATAACATTCATGATCAGGATGAATCTTACAAGTTTGTTGAGGATCCGCTCAGCGACGAACTTTGGGAGATGTGGACTGGTCGAGCAGACAAGAACACTCTTCTCTACCGACATCTCTTCCACGCCGATCCCGACGATCACAGTAAGTTACTCCATTTATTATCCTTTATTCTTCCACGCACCAGGAAGATACAATGCCCCCTTTCCCCTTTGAATCCGTTCCTTCCTCTTTCGTGAACGACATATGATTACCCGCGTGTCTTCCCGCTGCGGGACCCACAGTTACCCTTTAACCTTCTTCAACCCAATTCTAACCAAGACTTCCACTTCTGGCAACCCATCCACGTTAAATCGTGCCTTCCCAAATATTCTGATACATGACTAACACTCCTCAAGTCAAAACCTTCGAAGATTATGACCAGTACTTGCCACCCAAGGGCGTTAAAGCCGGCCACATCTTTGACCTCTTCCAATTCCCCAACGACGTGAAGGATAAGCTAGCACAGATTCAAGGACACCTGGTCTGGTTCCCTCTGAAGTTCCTCGAGGATGCCGAGATGGCCGAGTGGGGACTTCAAGTCAACGCTGTCACCGAGTCTATTTACACGTAGTTTGAGTCTTTGGATACGGACAAAAGGAATGGATTGAGTCGGAACATATCACGAATAATGGACACCTTGTTATTGGCGTTTAATTTAGTAATAATGAAATATCTCTATGCTTTCTTGTTATGCGGTTTGAAGTACTTGGATCGATATGTAAAGGTGTGAACATCCTGGACGTGAGAAGAGTGCAGTCTTTGTGACGATCACACGAAGATAGGTCGCAAAGCTGTTCTCCGAGGTTGGCATTTAAGGGGGTATTGGATCATGTAAAGGAGTCCGAGAATTAAGATCTTGCAATCCGACTTTGTTTAAGCATTGACTACATTGCAAGGGTGGTTCCGAGGGTGAGTCCGAGCTCATATATTTTATACGAATGTAAAGGTAGGAATAGGGTTAATACCGGGGCATAGCCTCAACCAAAGCCACTATAGATCGAACCGAGACGACCCAATAATAGTGAAACGTGGTAACGGCATTCAAAGTAATTGCGGCTGATATAAGAAGAAGTGCATAATTAGTCTCGATGGCTGAGAAGATAAGCCAAGCGTTTTATCTTAGCAATTGTAGCTAATGTGAGTGATTGATTGAAGCACATGTCAGAGATCGGAGTTCACGGCGGTCTATAAACTCCGGTCGAGGTGGGGTGATGTGATCTACAACGCCGACGGGCCTTAGAGCCTCAGACGTTATCTTAGCGACGACAATCACGGACGAGATGCCTAATAATCGTATTTGAATCAGCTTGCTTGGACTTCTTTACGCATTGATATTTCTCAACGGTCTCAGGGGGTAGGTATCCGTAGTGGAGGAGTCAAGGAGTTGAAGTTGGAGTAGTCTCTCCAACTATGAAGGTCAGGCTCCATGAACTAACAGGCTGGTCTACGTCGACCAAAGTAAATTAAATGATTTTGTTATCAAGATCAAACCAACGCATACGAATAGTCTCCGAGATGGATACGTATTTGATCCGCTTCAACAATGAATTGTCCCTTTATTCCCACCTCCGTTGGGGACGGGATTGAATCATAGCGTTTTCGCCGCTAGACGGGATTCGGTACCGGATCAAAAGGTGGATCTTGGCGGTTTCGGCCGAGGCACAGCAAAAGACTCGAGTTTATCACAGAAACGGCATTACTACCAAGTTCAGCGACTTGATGCAATGCATCTCCTGCCATTGGTCAATCCACACGGCACTTGATACGGACGGGGCCGGACTTTGACCCAGCATTTTTAAAAGTTTTGGTCCATGTAGCTTGCTAGGCTTGTTACTCCGTCGGTATCGGTATAGGCCGCGTTAGTATGACGTTTAGTAGTAGCTACTCATTATTAACAGAATATAAAGGAGATCCATATCTTGTTCCATAAGAATGTCTGATTACTGATAATCTGCAATACGAAACTCTGCCTCTTGATCGCCCTTTCCCCTCATCAGTTCATGCCAACGCATCATACACTAACCGAAGAGGATTAAGAAACTTTTCATCAGACGCCAAGGCTCACTCGGGCTTCAGCTTTGATCTTCATTCATAGGAAACGACCTTTCCACATCTTCAGCTTTCATCAACACACACACAATGGCTGAATCAGAACCTATCCCCGAGCCTCCTGGCTACCCTCTCATTGGAAACTTGGGAGAATTTAAGACGAATCCACTCAATGACTTGAACCGTCTGGCCGACACATACGGTAATTGATCTCCCACTTTACTTTTGACCGCCACTAACTCTTGGAAAGGTCCCATTTTCAGACTGCATCTTGGATCAAAGTCACCCATTTTTGTCGGAAGCAACGCTTTTATCAACGAAGTTTGCGATGAGAAACGCTTCAAAAAGACACTCAAGTCGGTTCTGAGTGTATGTGATTCTTCTTGTGGCTATTGGGCTTCACTAACCTCAGTAGGTCGTTCGAGAAGGTGTTCATGATGGTCTTTTCACAGCATTCGAGGAGGAGCCCAATTGGGGCAAGGCACACAGAATCTTGATTCCTGCCTTTGGACCTCTGAGCATCAGAAACATGTTCCCAGAAATGCACGAGATTGCCAATCAATTGTGCATGAAGATCGCCCGTGTTGGCGCTCATACACCAATTGATGCTAGTGACAACTTCACTCGTCTAGGTAAGTAATTGCAGATTAACATTCTCAATGTTCTCAACTGACATCCTCAGCACTCGATACCCTGGCTCTATGTGCCATGGACTTCCGTTTCAACTCATACTACAAGGAAGAACTGCACCCTTTTATCGAGGCAATGGGTGATTTCCTCCTCGAGTCAGGAAATAGAAATAGGCGACCTGCTTTCGCTCCCAACTTTCTCTACCGTGCAGCCAACGAAAAGTTCTACGCCGACATTGACCTCATGAAATCAGTAGCAGACGAAGTTGTCGCAACACGAAAGCAGAACCCCAGCGACAGAAAGGACTTGCTCGCTGCTATGCTCGAGGGAACTGATCCCCAAACAGGCGAGAAGCTGTCCGACGAGAACATCACCAACCAACTCATCACATTCCTTATTGCTGGTCATGAGACAACCTCCGGCACTCTCTCTTTTGCCATGTACCACCTTCTCAAGAACCCAGACTGCTACAGCAAGCTCCAGAAGGAAATCGACGAGGTCATTGGTCGCAACGCCGTCACCGTGGAACATCTCACCAAGCTCCCCTATCTCAGCGCCGTCTTGAGAGAAACACTCCGAATCAGCTCTCCCATTACCGGCTTCGGCCTCGAGGCCATCGAGGATACCTTCCTTGGAGGAAAGTACCACATTAAGAAGGGCGAAACCGTTCTTTCTATGCTCTCCAGAGGCCATGTCGACCCCGTTGTTTACGGTCCTGATGCCAACGACTTCAAGCCCGAACGTATGCTTGACGAGGAATTCGCCAGACTGAACAAGGAGTTCCCCAACTGCTGGAAGCCTTTTGGCAATGGTAAGAGAGCTTGCATCGGAAGACCTTTCGCCTGGCAAGAATCGCTCCTCGCAATGGCTCTTCTGTTCCAGAACTTCAACTTCACACAAACCGACCCCAACTACGAATTGAAGATTAAGCAGAACCTCACTATCAAGCCTGACGGGTTCTTCTTCAACGCTACTCTGCGACACGGTATGACACCAACAGAGCTTGAGGGCCAATTGGCTGGAAAGGGAGCCGCTACTAGCATCGCCTCTCACCACAAGGCCTCTGCAACTGCTGGAGCTAAGGCCAACAACGGAAAGCCCATGGCCATTTACTACGGCTCCAACAGCGGTACCTGTGAGGCTCTGGCCAACAGACTTGCTTCAGACGCCGCTGGCCATGGCTTCAACGCATCAATCGTCGGTCCCTTGGACCAGGCCAAGCAGAACCTCCCCGAGGATCGACCTGTCGTCATTGTCACAGCTTCCTACGAAGGACAACCGCCTTCCAACGCCGCCCACTTCATTAAGTGGATGGAGGATCTCAGCGGAAATGAGATGGAGAAGGTCAATTACGCAGTCTTTGCCTGTGGTCACCACGACTGGGTTGACACCTTCCACCGAATCCCTAAGCTTGTCGATGCTACGCTTGAGAAGCGAGGTGGTACTCGCCTTGTTCCCATGGGTAGTGCCGACGCTGCTACCAGTGACATGTTCAGTGACTTTGAAGCCTGGGAGGATTCCGTTCTCTGGCCTGGCCTGAAGGAGAAGTACAATGTCACAGATGATGAGGCAAGTGGACAAAGGGGTCTCTTGGTCGAGGTGACAACACCACGAAAGACCACTCTCCGACAAGATGTTGAGGAAGCCCTGGTTGTTTCTGAGAGGACCCTGACAACGTCCGGTCCTGCCAAGAAGCACATTGAGATCCAGCTTCCTTCAGGAATGACCTACAAGGCTGGTGATTACCTCGCCATTCTTCCCCTGAACCCCAAGACGACAGTATCAAGGGTCTTCCGACGATTCTCTCTGGCTTGGGATTCTTTCTTGAAGATTCAATCCGATGGACCTACCACTCTGCCTACCAACGTGGCTATTTCCGCATTCGACGTGCTCAGTGCTTACGTGGAACTGTCGCAGCCAGCAACTAAGAGGGTATGTTTATCTGTCACCGACTTGCGAGCCCTGCTAACATTTCTAGAACATCCTTGCCCTTGCTGAAGCCACCGAAGACAAGAAGACTATCCAGGAACTCGAGAGACTTGCTGGTGATGCTTACCAAGACGAAGTATCCGCTAAGAAGGTATCGGTTCTGGACTTGCTTGAGAAGTACCCAGCTGTTGCTCTTCCCATCAGCTCATATCTCGCCATGCTTCCTCCTATGAGAGTACGACAATAGTATGTCCCCCCTAACCAACGCTTGCAAGAAATCATGCTAACAGCGCCAGCTCTATCTCTTCATCACCCTTCGCCGACCCCAGCAGACTCACCCTCACATACTCTCTCCTCGACGTCCCCTCACTTTCCGGCCAAGGCCGTCACGTTGGCGTTGCCACAAATTTCCTCTCACAGCTTGTTGCTGGCGATAAACTCCACGTCTCAGTTCGCGCTTCCAGTGCCGCCTTCCACCTTCCTGCTGACCCCGAGACCACTCCCATCATCTGTGTCGCCGCAGGAACAGGTCTCGCTCCCTTCCGCGGCTTCATCCAAGAACGCGCTGCCATGCTTGCCGCCGGCCGTAAGCTGGCTCCCGCTCTTCTCTTCTTCGGCTGTCGCGACCCTGAAATCGATGACCTCTACGCCGAAGAGCTAGCACGCTGGCAGGAGATGGGTGCGGTCGATATCCGTCGCGCCTACTCTCGTGCCACCGAGAAGTCTGAAGGTTGCAAGTACGTCCAGGACCGCATTTACCATGATCGTGCAGATGTTTTCAAGGTCTGGGATGAGGGTGCCAAGGTTTTCATCTGTGGAAGCCGCGAGATTGGCAAGGCTGTTGAGGATGTTTGTGTTCGTCTTGCCATGGAGAGGGCGGCAGAAACACCGGAAGGAAAGGGCGCGACAGAAGAAAAGGCAAGGGCTTGGTTTGAGAGGAGCAGAAACGAGCGTTTCGCTACAGATGTGTTTGATTAAGTGTTTTCTTATTCGATAGTTCTTGACGGCAGGATAGCTGTTTAATTTGCACTCTTTCTCTTTCGGTGTTATCTTCAACTATCTAATTCTAAGACGTGTTCAACATCCTCAAAATCTCCCCGTAAAGTGGTTTCTCCAGGTCAGAGTTAATATGTAGAAGTTGCACACTGTACGCAGTTTCTTCTTCTTCGCCCACAAGGACACGACGACTGGATACCTCCTTGTTCCATGTCTCGTGATATCAGACTCACCTTCCAATCTCATATTAGGGAAAGAAGGTATGGCTAGATACCTACTTGAGTCCCGACCCTCTGAGTGAACTCCTTCTTATCAGGAGCAGGTACTCTCCTGAACATCTCTCGTGTATCTAAGGCGCATTTCTTCTTTGTGTTATTCACCTTTACCACAGCAACAAACAACCCCAGGAAGCATCATCACGGCATCGATCAAAATGTCATTATCACTACCAACAAACGAATCGCTTTCTGTTAGTCTCAATTACCTTTTCCCCATGAACCCTCCGCTTTCTTTTCTGGAGTCGATTCTTGTCTCCGTCATCAAACGAATGGGTCCCGGGGATGTTGATTTCCGGATCTCATGCCTGGCGTCGATCGCGACTGAGAACAGAACCCTCGAGTACTTGATATGATGACCCTTGACGAACTGGTAAGTTATCCTCCACCGGACATTCTGGGAGCCGACTGACCACCTTTTATGTTTCACACCATCTGTGCAGAGTACTTGCAACGGGCATTAGAAACTTTGCTAAATCGATTTGAGAGAGATCAGTGCCTGTTTATTCATGTTCAGCACCCCAAGCGCAGAGGGCAATGTTTCTGGCGATCCCGAGCTTCAATTGCAAAACCCCCAACTTATGGCAGCACAATGGGTAGATTATGTATGTTCCCTGGGCTACAATAACGAGCGAGTTGTTACCTAGCTTCTATAAGAGCCCCATTTCCTTGTCACCAGACAGAGAGACCACAATGATCATTCGGTCAAGCGGCAGACTCAGGGTTAACATATGTAGCACAGACAGAATAAGCGATCTCAATCTTCATTTTGGTATGGGTATCGGTGATTTCCATTTATTCAATTAGCAATGCCGCTCGCAGCTCAATTCCAATCAATCCCCTGTACCCCTTCGATGAGTTCTCTATTCTATTCCATACATAAAACGTCAAGTTCATGAGTTTAGGACTTTGTTCCCAAGATCATAGTCCTGCTTCATCGTATCAAAGCGCCATGATACCCGCATGTCTTCTCCTTACCGAGACATGTCTCTCGAGTCTTCTCTCCTCTCCAATCCAGCTAGCTAGCAAACGATGGGAAATTGGGTCGTCTGGTATCGTATCCAGTGCGTTTCCTCTGAAGTGTGGGGAGTGGTGATCCTACTGCCGTCTTCCATCTCGTGGTGATCCGGTACCTGGCCCTCTGCTGAACTGGCCACGGAGCCAGCTTATGGGACCGTGGCCGCCAGTTCGAGCTTGTTGATCCGATTCAGCTGTTGATCGTCGACTGCTCTGGGAGGGACTTCTTTGTCTCATACTAGCCCCGTGCTCACTGGGAGCTCGCGCACGGGGGCTTGTGGGTGAGTGCGAGCTGCGGCGCTGAAGTCGAGAAGTGTCGTAACTGAACCCAGATGTTGTGGCGCGATCTCGCTCACGCTCGTTTTCTCGATCTCTCTCTTCTCGCTGCGTTGAGATATTTCGAAATACCTCGTTAAGACGGCTCTGACCGTGGCTGGGGGGCCGTGAGTAACGCACCGGGCGCGAGTGGCCATGATCATGGGAAGTCCAGTTAAAGGACTCCCAAGCTGGGTTTGATGTGGAATATGTGCGTGCTGTGAATATGCTGGGTCGGTCAGAGCTGGGCCCTGGAGCTGGCCCTTGAGCTGGCCCTTGAGATTGGCTGCCGCCATCACTGTTGTTGTTACCACTGTTACTGGCGCTTCGGTCGTTCTTTTCGATCGGCGTCCGGCAGATGGGGCATGTGTTGTGCTCCTTTAACCAAAGCGTAACACATTCTTCATGGAACCAATGGCTGCAAGGCAAGAATGCAGCCATATCGCCCTCTTTCATCTCATCGATACAGATGGTACATTCCGCCTTGCCCTCCGAGCCCAACATCTGCTTGTCAACAGGTTTGCGCTCCAAATTCCGAAGAGCTTCTTCTGTGGCTGGAGGCGCCGCGTTAGATTGGGGGTTAGCCTCCATCAGGCTAGTTATGATCCGGTCCAAAGCTTCTTGAGAGTACACTGCGTCACCATGCACAGCGCTTCCAGGAATGAAAAGGTTCAGCAGTTCATGCAGTCCTTGGTGGAGGCCTGGTGGATGACCACTAAGACCGTCCCCTCCGGCGTGTTCATGACCGGGTGGTGGTCCAATATCTCGCAATGCATTTGTAAATATACTGGTGCGCTGGTTAGCTCCCACTGTCATGGAAATGGCTGTAACCCGTAGACCCCTCGGTCCCTCTGGGCGCTGTGGAGGGGGTTGTGCGTACTCTTGGAATGCTTCTATTGACGGGGGGCCTGGCGACCCATTCTGTGTTGCGTGCATGGGGCCAGATATCACCGTTACGGTGGCTCTTCCTTGACCAAAAGGTGCGGCAAAGGTCGTCCGATATGGGCGGGGAAAGTTCTGCTCAGCAGCTCCGTGATCTCCGTGATCTCCATGTCTTTGCTCTCCTTGTTCTTCATGTTCACCATGTTCTCCGGGTCCACGAGGGAAGGATCTGTTATTACCGGGGACCTGGGCACCAAGCCCATTGAGCATGTGCACAAAGCTTTGAAGGACGGGACCATACGCAGGTTCATGATGGTGGTGCTGGTGACCGGGACCATCTAGAACGGTTCTTCGAAATACAAAGCCCTGGTTAGTGTGTTCGTCTATGTCGGCTTCTTCGGGGTCCGAATCGTAAGGGCGAAGTTCCGGTGAAGTGGAGGCTGAGGAACGGTGATCAAAGTCGCGAGGGTCATTTTCGGGATCAATCTAGATATCATGGTCAGCAAGCTGGAAACGAAAGTACAGCGGCTGCAAGGCAAGGCTTACAATCTCCGTAATCTCCCCTTGGCATTCGGGACAGGTCAGGCCATTCTCATCTCGATACCACTCGTTGGCGCAGGCATGGCAATACACTACCTCACGCCCCGCGGTCGCGTCGAGGTGGCCATGCCTTTCGACCTCGGAAGACATCTGCTGCGCTTGATTGCGCTGGTAAGCAGTCAAGGCGCTTAAACCAAGGCCAACAGCGAGGCCTGCGAGACGAAAAGCGCGCGACGCCAGACTGAAGGTTGGTCAAGAGGATGTTTGAAGTGATGGTCGATGTTATGTCGTAATAGACCAACCGCCGAAGTGCAGGAAGCTCTTACGAGAGGTCGAGATGTTAAGCTTAGCAGCACAGGTGGAGCAGCGATGTGTTAGTCAGATATCGGAGGGAAAGCAAATAATGTGTAAAAGGTCTACCCCGTCCAGGAACCAAATGAGGTTATCAAGGAAGTTAGGTGCTGCAAGGTGGTAGTCGGTTGACCTCTCTAGCTTTAGGGCGGTGGCGAACGAGATGCCCCAAAAGGTAAAGAACAACGGTGATGCAGTGCCAAGGCGAGTGTGGGACAGGCCAGAGCAGAGCAGAGTGGGATTTGAACGAAAAAGGTAAGAAACCAGAGATGAATAATGTAAAGGCAGAGCAATGTCTTGTAGGAGGAGAGTAGATAAAGTGATTCTAGGTACTGTAGGTAGTTGAGGTGAAGGAGCTGACGGTCGTGGCTTGAGCTGTTAGAAGCTAATCGATACTGGCGGAATATGATCGGAGACACGAGAGCAACCCAGGCCAGAGTCGTACCTGAATGACGACAAAGACTGAGCTTTCACGTGCAAGCAAAATTTAAATGAATTGATCGCTGAAAAGACAAACAATTTGCTCGATGATGAAAAATCGACAACAAATCGATATATCCGTAAAGAGAGGAAAATGCAGCGAAGCAAAGTACTGTAGCACACCTTCAAACCTCGAGAACAGTACAGTGCCAAAAGTGCATTGCCTTAATACTGGGGTGCTCCAGGTCATACATGAATCTAGGGTCGGTAGTGACCTCAATGGCAGCGGCTTAAAGTGGACTCGAACAGTTTAATCCTTGCGTCCACGAAGCACCCCTGGATCTGAGACTTGGACCTGAACCCCGGGACATTAGAACCTAACCTGGCAAAGAACCAGTGAACAACTCAACTCAGGAGCTCGGTGTCTTTAGATATCTTTCTTCTTCTACCTAAACCTTAAAGTCTGGCTTCTTTCTGATACTGTATCATCAAGCCTGGGCTGACATGAGGTGTGCGTTCAGAGTGTTCCATTCATGGCTGGCAAGCTGCAGGCGGGTTGTCTTTACATGTGCGACAGTTCGTCTTGGACAGCCGATGGCCAATGATTCACAGCCGAGTCATTGTGAAATGTAATCGTTATCCGCTGTGATGCATTGGCATCAGGCAGTGAAGATACGAGGCGTACTTATGAGCTACTCCAGTATTGTCCTCAAAAGCTCACCATTAATGCTCAACAGGGTGATGTGTTTCTCTGCTATTGACATCCAAGGGAGAAGACCAAAATGCTTTCCTCGGATGTCAGTCATCTTTCGTATTTAGGTTCTAATGCTTGTATTCCGTCGCCCTCTGTTCAGATGTGTACAATGAGTGAATTGCTAGCTAAGGACTCGCTAAAACTTCTTAGGCAATAGCTAAGACAGAATTTAAATGGATCACCAATATGACCTGAATGAGATATGCTTACAACAGCACAATTTGCAATTTTCTAAGCGTTTTGTCTTCTTCGGGTACGTTTATTCTGCAATCCAACACGAAGAATAACTCTGCAGAGCCTTACCCCGAGCTATCAATCTGCCTTCCACCTAGCTACAGCACAGATCGCATGAACGACACACAGCATTCTTAAGGTATGAGGCCATGGTACTCATATTATGCCTCGTGAGAGACTGTACGCATTTCCATAGAGCCATTGGGCGAGACGGGGCAATCTTTCTACGAGTCAAGTTAGGCCGCTGTAGAAGAGTACTCGAACGAGTAGAGTGCCTAGACGAAACATCAAATATGAGGAAACGGACCAACTGCCATCGTAAGCCTTTTTCAAGCCTACAAACAAAAATAGCAAATATGCTATTCATAAAACTGAATTGTCGTCTCGCAGAGAAACATATCTTGTCACCGTTCAAGTGGGCATGTATCGGATTTAGAGCGGATATAATTCCCATAAGCATCTTTACAATTGCTCTGATTTGCTCACCAAGAAAGGTAAACTACGAACAGACTGATCTTCCAGCGTAGGACTGTGCCTTAAAGAAGTCAAATAGCATATGAAAAGGTTTGGCCATTTCTACTCTTCATGATATCACCGTGTCTTTCGAATTGGGGTCGTGGAGAAAGAATGCGTTCAGCAAGGGCGTCGACCCTTTGATATCACAAAAAGGCATTGCGAAGCCCCAAAATGTTCATCTTTAACTCGAATTGTCTTCATCTGCCGCATAAATATACACTGTATCGTTTTGTCCAGACCCTATTCGCTCTTTGTTGAGTTGTTACGATCCTCGGCATCCCACTGCTTCAACTGCTTTGACCAGCTGTATCTCCACGTCAGCACTTCTACTCTCATTCACATATCGGTATCATATAACGTACTGTCGGCTGGCGTACCATTGCCCAGGCTCAGGTCGGTGCGCCCATTGTTCTCGCTCAGCGCTGAACTTCCAAGTAACGGCCACGATGCCGGCCATGACGACACCGGCAATCAGAGTGTTGGCGCGCCAGTTGGCAGGCTGCGCGTACCAACCACCGGCTGGGGACCAGACGTGCTTGGGGTAACTGTCGTGAAAAGCGTGTTAGGTACGGTCGCTTTGTTTTCGGTGCTCGATTCGTGAGAGGTAAAACTTACGGGACTTTTCCGCCGCCGCCCTGGGTCAATTGTTAGCAGAGGTTCACAGAGAGTAATGACGACCACTTACCATTTTGTATGATTTATCAATGGACGTAAAGGAGAGGATCAGGGTGCGCAATGGCGACGTTGAATTGATGTCGAATAGCCGGTTACCAACAGGTGAGGTCCCATCCCAAGCTTCCAAGGCTGGCCCGGGAGAAACGTTCAGCGGGCCGTGGTTGTTCCGACCAACCACACCCCAGCTCACACGACTCTAGCCTTTAGGCTTGTAGCGCAGAACTTTTTCCCAGTCGACGACCAAAAGAACAGGCGACAATTCCTCCCCCGCCGCCCCCATTACGAACAGTAGGGAATTTGGAGATATTTGGGATAGAGGGAAATAAGCTGGCTCGATGAAGCGGGTACGGCTCGATCGATGGGGCGGCCAATTGCTGCAGGCCCAAGCCCGCAGTGGCATGAATATCACGAGGCAGGCCTTTCTGCAAACGACTCGACGACAGACTACTTCGGCTACCGCTCCCCAAATTGACGAAGACACACCTAAACCTCAACCTCTTCCCTCTCCTCCTCACCACCGCGCTGCTGAATCGGCTAAGCTTGCGGCTCTCCACGCCCGATTATCCCTCTCCAACAAGATCCCTCTGCAGACTCTCGCCCGCTCCCTCATCGTTCCATCAGCCGACAAGAACACCAGCTACAACAATGCAAACCTCGCTTTCCTCGGAAGCACGTTGATCAACTACCATGTCCTCGAATATCTCGTCTGCAAATTTCCTCGCTTGCCAATGGCCATCCTCTACGAGGCCCTCCGCGCCTATGCCGGAAAGGAATCACTGCACCAAATAGCTCGTCGATGGGGTGTTGAGGCCGCAGCTGCCCCTGGAGAGGAGGTCGATCCAGGCCTGCTACAGTGGGCACCCAAAGATTCGGGTATGCAAACTCGCTGGGGATACGTTCGTCATGAGGCAGAATTTACCGACCGATTTAAGCCCCGCCGTGGAATTAGTAGCCGGGTGGTTTTCGATGACGTTTTTGGCGATCTTGTCGAACAGCCCAAGGCTGGCGAGGAGGGATACATGTACTACCAGCATGAGGCTTACTCTTCATTCGTTCAGGCCGTTGTCGGCTCCATCTACACCCACACCGGCCAGGATGCCGCCCGAGACTTCGTTAAGTCCCATGTTCTTTCACGACAGGTTGATCTTTCCAGAATGTTTGAGTTCAAGATGCCCACACGAGAACTCGCTTTGCTGTGTGCTCGTGAAGGCTTCGAGGCTCCTATTGCCCGCCTAGAGAGTGAGACAGGTCGTCATTCACGAACCCCCGTCTTCATCGTTGGTATTTACAGCAACTCCGAGAAGCTCGGCGAGGGAGCCGGCGCTAGCTTGGACATGGCAAGGTGGAAGGCTTCTATGAACGCTCTGAAGGCGTGGTACCTCTACAGCCCTGGCAACAAGGTCCGGGTGCCGAGTGATATGCACGAGTCAGGCGCTAAGCCCTGGAAGGCCCCTCACATTGATATTGGTGAGATTATCTAAAAGAGGCGTCGTTGTGTTGGATATATATGTACTCGGGGGCGGTGTAAAGGCGTCGACCCTGTATGTTGATAATGATCAAATTCGCCCAGGTTGGGCAGTGTATAAAAATTACATGGGAGCATAGGACCCTAGAGGATCGGGTTGGGAAATGTCAATGTACGATACAATGTAGAACAATGACAAAACTCCTCGACGATGGCGAGTCGGATTCAATTTTGCATTACGCTTGCGTCCCTGACGCCCAAATGGGTATACTAGATACATGATTTTATAAGTGAAAACAGCTCTTCTATCAATGGGTTTTGAAACTGTAGGTTTAACTAAAATGATCTCCCTCACCCAGGCGGATACCCTCTCCTCTTCTCACGAGGGATCGGTAGCGATCTTGTCGCTGCGCCTTTTCAGCTTCCTCGCGCATCTTCTTTTTGCGTTGGTACACTGCACGAATGGTATCTCGGATCTGCTGCTTTCCTTCGTTGTAGTTGGCCCGCGCCAGCTCAACAACATTATCGATTTGCTCAGGTGTATAGATAAAGTTCCATGTGCTGAGGTAATCTGTAGTACCGGGAGAGATGCCGGGTACCTTATCATTCGAGATGAAGGGCAGGTAGACGACGGCAATTCCAGCGTCTGGCTCCATTAGCTGCCAGGAGGTGTCGCCAGAGAGCGCTTTAGAGGGAGGTGGCGGCTTGGAACTACGCTCTTGATTTGTTCCGACCCAGACTGTGCAGTATCCCAAATCGCCGGATTCTTGATCACCATGTTCGAATTTGGTTTTGTCGTCTTCGGCCATGACCTTTTTACCCTCCTCGTGAGCTTCTTGACGAAGTTCCTTCTGCTCTTCTTTAGCTTCTCGAAGCTTGGACTCGGCCTCACGAGTGGATCTAGCCTGTGCTTCATCGAGCTCTTCAACGACTTGAGATGTAGCTTCGTCCGATTTAGGCCAGCCAATTCCAACTGGCCAACCCTTGATGTTACGTTGCTTGGCGTATCCATCTGCTACGGACAGCCAGTTATCGGTTTTGATGTCTGCAGAGGCATCAAATGCAACCAGAACATCGACATCTCGGCCAGGTCGAAGAAGGGGGTAAATGGGCAAGTTGTTGGACATCCCAGCATCCATGAGTTGAATGTACTCGTCATCATAGACACTGTTGGGGGTTGTTTCCGGTAGCCTCCCGTGCATGCCATAAGCAAAGTTGGGGATTTTGGCTGGGTCAATTGGATGTACTTTAATCAGATCATCATCTCGGGTTGAGATGAGTTCGTCAATGGTGCCAAATCCAGTCAATCCTTGTACCAGCGGCTTGATCTCTCGATAATAGTGGCTAAGGGTAGCACAGAATGCACTGCCAAAGATGCCCATGAGTAGTGGCAATCGAACCTCGGGAAGATGGAATCCATGCTCCGGAGGAACATCGAGTCCTGCCTTGAACTTTCGGCCGAGAGCCCAGGTTGGAATGCCGGCGCCGAATTCTTCGCAAAAGAATTCGTAGGGGGTGATTTCATACCATTGAAACCAGGCTTCTTTCTTGGCCTCCTCCTTAGCAATTTCCGCTTCAATTGGTCCCTGTTCAGCAGCCTCGGGCAGATTAGGAATCTCGTGCCTGACAGCGGTGTAGATGGGTAGTGGAAGTTGTCCATATTGTATGTACTGCCGTTGGTTCGAAAGCTTGAAATCACGATCGTTGACACCGAGGTCTCCCTTGGGGACCAGGTATCGTGCTGCTAGCAGTACGCCGTAAACATCAACCAGACCAAAATCGGCCTTGGGGTCACCCTTCAGCTTCTCAACCATACCACTGAGAAGGTATTTATTGGTCGGCATAGAAGCAAGTGCTTGAAATGCCACCGGCGGGTATGCAATGTGAGTTGAAGACCTAGCTTTCAAGTGCTCGAGGAGGTTTTTGAGGCTCCCCTGGTTGAATGAAGTCAAGTTCAGGGCCTGAAGCCAGCAGGAGCCGCTGACACCTGATGTATATGTCACACAGTCGAACAACCCATCTTCCTCCGTCGCAAGTATTGATCCTGTTCCTGCAATGAGCGCTCTAAGGCCTCCTCCGGATCCACACATGGCAATCGTAGGAACATCGTCCGGGTGAACCTCATCCTCTTCGAGTCCCAGGTATTTGGCCAGCCCAACCCTAGCAACTCGTTTTCGACGAGACAAAAATTCCTTCTCCTCGTTGCAGAGGTCTGGAGATACTCTTACTGTGGCCGAATATCGAATCTCGGGATTTATTAATGGATCATGGGCGTCTTGCCAAATTTCATCCGCCAGAGAACCTGGGGACATGGACAGCTCGCGCTGAAGCTTGCGAACATATCCGGGTATAAGTCTGGACCATTCCGGTAGGAGAGAGGTGACAATCTTATCGGAGAATGAGGAGAATTCAACGTTGTTCAGGGTACAAAACGCCTCAAAACGGCGGGAAAAGTTAACCCAAGCTGACTGGTCTCCATCGGAATTTTGGCTCCTTTCTCGGTTTTTGTCTTGTTCGGATTCCTGATCGTTTCGTAATCTTTCATGTTTGCCGGAGAGCTGTGCAAAGTCGTCAGAAGGGTAAAGCCACCAGATGAAAAGTCCGCCGGTGATTACTGCTACTGGCAACGTCGATCGTTGTTGTTCTTCTTGCTTGGCATCGCGTTTGGAAATTGAGGTCCAAAGTTGACGGTGTTGACGATGCGCCAACCGCCTCCGAGGAAGTCGTGTGTGATGGTTGAATCGAGAGGGGATTCTATTGAGGCTCTTTAGAGAGCCGCGGTAGTGTCTCATGGTTTTCGTGTTCAATTGGTGTGTTTATCGAGGGCTTCCTGATGGATTGGCTGCACACATGCTTTCTGTGGCTGTTTGCCCAAACTTAGTACATTGTCGCAAAGGGCTTGTAGGGAACTCGACGGTGTTGAAAAGAAATTAAAGAATTAGAATGACATGGTATCTTGAAGAATCAAATCACACACAATAAGATTGTGCGGGTTGCGTCGGACACTGGTGGTTTATATGGCACGAGTTTGCGCAGCTTGTTGAGAATAGCTTAAGATGGCTGATGTCATTCCCAAGTTCCTCCCTGCAAAAGTGGGAGGTGGGGTGGAATAAGGCGGCACTAGAGCGGTACTTTAGAGTTAATAGAAAATCTCGAACAATACCAAGTATCTCTCTATCAATGTCTGAGATCACAAGCACGTCGGACGCTCCCACATGGATAAAGTGGTGCCACAGATCAATCAAGAAAGTCGATAATTCCCGATGCCTGTCTGTTTTTTCCTCTGTTTGGGTAATCTATGCCAATTTTTACATGTGCCACGGATCTTCAGGTCCGCTTGGGACTTGGATGGTTGAAAAGCTTGGTTCCGAGCCAAGCAACCGTCTCAAGACCCAATCAGGTTACGGCTGACGGTCAACTTGGGCTTCTAACTTCGCGAGAACTCAATCTGCTCTACTGCCAAGTTTTGAGGTGGTGGGAAAACTCGACACTCGACGTTTATCTTGGCAAAGGAAATAGATCTTAGATCTCTTTCGGCGATCTATTGTCGATAGTGCGATAAACCTTATTTTATCGAGAAGAAACCTCTTTAATGACGAGTGCATTGTAAGTATAGGGCAATCTGACTCAAGTTTTACTCTTTTGTCGATGTAGCTTCCCTTGGTCTCATTGCAAGCATCACAACTCATAGCTTTCATAGCACGTCTCACCCACCGTAGTCAATCGGTACCGGCATAACCCTCAACTCCAAGCAAAGGGGATGAGTGTCTTGGTCCATTAAACAAAAAGCTTGAGACGTAGTATACCTACGTATACTCACTCATTCGAAACTTCCTAATACATCAACCAGCAATATACCAATTGCTTAGAACAATGTTTAATTTATCTATCTCTGCTACGCAGAGAAGCTCTTACTTGAGCTGTATGCCGACGAAAGCAGATGAACAAACACTGTGTTTATACGGAGTACCTGTGCAATGCCTGACTTGTTTGGCCTTTTAGGTTCTGGCGTTTCTCTGCGATTTTCAACTCCCATGGATGCCTTAGAGACAGAAGGACAGGCAGAAGGGCAACCGCAAAGTTGTCTTCTAAGACTTTCAAGTTAGGATGCCAAAAATAAAGTAGCCTAAATGATCATCGAGGCTAGTATAATCCAACCGAATTATTTCGTCTTTTATGGCACCCTGACGATTGGCAGAGATGATTTGACGCGGTTAAAAATACTGGATCGCTGAGCAGCAGGAAAGTGGGGTCGGCTTGGGTGGGGGAGGTACAGAAAGAGCGTGTCGAGTCGACAAAAACGGCGGGCGGTGAAATCGCAAAGCTAGCGATGGGCCTCTCGATGGGTTTTTTTCAAGTATTTTTTCTCTCGCGCCGGCAGAATTAATCAATCGCATTCTTGCATTTCATCGTGTAGCAAACTCGTTTTCTACACAATCACTGCCTCATTTTGAACAATTCAATAGGTAAGCTCTCTACCGTGCGTCTTCAGACTCAGTTAAAGGTTTACGCCGATGACTCTTTCTTGCCGTACCCCGCCACCACCTTTTCAAGGGTACCTACATATTTTTCGCGACCTCTTCTAACCTAGCTTTTAGTTTCTCTCTTTCACATACCACAACGCTCCATTCTTCACCTTAAGTCGACTACTCCATCGCGGTCGCATACCATCTCCAATCACAATTTCTCGATAAAAATACAAAATGAGCGACGCTGAAGCCCCCAAGCCCGTCGAGGCTCTCCAGCCTGAGGTCGAGGCTACCCCTACCACCCAGCCCATCGAAGAGAAGACAGAGGAGAAGTCAGAAGAGACCACACAAGAGACATCAGAGGCCAAGTCTGAAGAGAAGAAGGAGATCCTCAAGACTACCGCCAAGCACGATGAGAACCCCCGTAACAACCGCAAATTCGACCCTTCAGTCCGTGAGGTCACTGATGATCCCAATGCTATCCGCAAGCAGGTATGTATAGCTCATTTCCGTTCTTTCATGGAGCGTATACTTATTCCTCCAGGTTGAGTTCTACTTTGGCGATTGGAACTTCCCCCAAGACAAGTTCATGTGGGAGTCATGCGGTGGAAGCGAGAACAAGCCCGTCAAGGTCAAGACTCTCCACTCCTTCAAGCGCATGCGAACATTCCAGCCTTACAGCGCCGTTGTTGCCGCTCTCAAGGACAGCAAGTTCCTCGACATTTCTGGCGAGGAGGGCGAGGAGGAGGTCAAGCGCAAGACCCCTTACCAGCCTTTGAACGCCTCCAAGTCCAAGGTTGAGGCTGCCACCGTTTACGTCAAGGGCTTCGGTGACGAGGAACCCAACACTCAGTTCGACCTCGAAAGCTTCTTTGCCCAGTTCGGCGAGGTTAAGGGCATCAAGCTTCGACGCACAAACGAGGGCCTCTTCAAGGGCTCCGTCTTTGTCACATTCTCCGATGAGGAGGAAGCCAGCAAGTTCCTCAAGACAGACCCTGCGCCCAAGTGGAAGGAGCATGACCTCAAGATCATGAGCAAGCGAGCTTACTGCGACGAGAAGAACGAGCTTATCCGACAGGGAAAGATCGAGCCCAACCACACTCAACCTAAGAAGTTCTACGAGGGCAGGGAATCTGGCAAGGCTGGACGAGGCCGTGGCCGTGGCGGTAACGACTCCGGTAGCCGCGATCAGGACAACTGGAAGCAGCGACGCGAGAACGATCAGAAGAACGGCTTCAAGGACCGACGAGGTGGCCGTGGAGGTCGCGGAGGCCGTGGCGGTCGCGGTCGCGGTCGTGGTGGACGCGATGGTGGCCGTGATCGGGATCAGGCCAAGGAGGAGAAGCACAGCAGTAACGATACTATGCCCCGCATCCAGTCCACCGCCGATGACAGCGATAACAAGAAGCGAAGCCGCGATGATGCTCCCGCCGGCGAGCCCGCTGCTAAGAAGGTCGATGTTGGGGCCGAGTAGGTCGAGGTCAAGACTGAACCCGAAGAGCGCGACAATAATAAAGATCAAAAGGACAAACCTGTGGTCAAAACAGAGTTAGAATCAGACCATTAAAACGGTGAAGAAAAAGGAACACGAAATGACAAAGTAGCATTGGCTCATACCACACATTTTGACCAAAAAAAGGGGAGGTTTTGGGAACTAGGAAAGTTCTTTTAACGAATAGAGCACAACGCTCATCTACTATAACACTATCATGGGATTTCTTACGGAGCAATGGAGTGCTTTGCTGTCTTTTCTTGTTGTCCATCTCGGCACTAAATATGGCTATTGGCAATTGACAGAATCATCAAACAAAACAGTTCGCAAGTGACTATAGAATTTACTTCTCATTGCCTCCAGTCTATCTACAATCATTCTCTTTGTAGGCATTCATAATCATTCATTACATGGCTCCTAAGTCACTAAATAGAGTAATCCAGCTTATTATCTCCAAGGACTCCCCAGAACTCCTCAACAAGCTCCTTTTGACCACTTGGGGCGCCTCGGACAGCAAGGTACACGCGCGACTCAAGCTCAGGATCCCAGTTGCCTGGGTTTCCGTGTACCATTCGACCACCGGCCTCGTTGAGGATTGCCCATCCAGCGCAGACATCCCATGCCCAGCATCCACCCTCCCAGTAAAGATCGCACTGGCCGGCCGCGACCGCAGCAATGTTCAGCGCAGCAGATCCCATTGATCGCAGGGAGTGTACCATCGAACCACCTGTCTCGGTGCTGGCCGTGAGCTTCCTGAAAGCCTCAACCTTGACGTCAAAGTTGGGTCCATCGCGCTGCGCACCCCACTCAATTGCGACGAGCGAACTTCCGAGTCCTTCGATAGGTCGAGGAGAGCGTGCGAGAGGAAGGCGGCGAGGCTCCTTTCCACGACCGTGTGTGAGAAAGGCACCGCGACCCTTGATGGCGGTGTAGAGGGTGTCGAGCCAGGGGTTGTAGATAACACCGATGGCAGGCTTGCGATCGATAGCGAGACCGAGAGAAATGCAAGCGCTGGGGAACGAATGGACGAAGTTGGTGGTGCCGTCGATGGGGTCTACAACGAAGGTTGGTTCGGGGCCAAGCTTCATGCCAGGCTGATACGTTTCCTCACCCATGAAGGAAATGTTGGGGAAAGAGGATGATAGGCGGGTCGATACCATCTTCTCGACACCCTTGTCTGCTTCGGTGACGATGTCGACGGCTACATGGAAGTTTTAGTGCTGTCAGCAACTAAGCACAGGATGAATGAAGACATACAGTTGAGCTTGGTATCAGTATCGAGCTCAGCAGGGTTGGCGGCCAGAATCATTGATCCGGCCTCGTAGGCCACTGATACGAGCTCATCATGGACGGCTTGAAGGTCGAGGTCTGCCATTGTCTTAGTTGTGGTTGATCGTTGTACAGATCAAGAGTGGTGTTATGATGAAATCCAGAGGAGCAGATTTATGGAGGGGCTCCCATGTCATTTTGGCGGGGTAGCTCAGCGAGTGGCACACGGTTCCTGGTCCTGCTACTAAGAGCCCGCATGAAGGGATACAAAGCAACGTTGAATATCATGATGCGGTAAATTCATCATTTGCCCGTTTATCTGAAGTTGCCTCAAGTTGCTCATCCTTGACCAATGTTGGAAGGCCTTTAGATATTGGACCCTTGACCTCCCACATATTATGTTATGCGTACGATCAAAAGTAATAGTTTGTATCTGATGCGTACAAGACAATCTAGTCAAGCTTTTACCAAGAGAATCAAAGATACCTTAAGGTTATTCAAGCCCCTGAAGGTAAACGGATGCTTACAAAGACTTCTCTTTTTGTATGATATCTCTGGAGATGGATCAAAGTTACGAGGGTAAAATAGAATTGCTCGATATCTAACACATCAAGCCACTATGAGCAATGACTTCAACAATAATACACTCCCCCGATGATAACACAGAGGCCTGGTCAGATTCTGCGTAGATGCCCGATTCTTACGGTTCTACTCAATTTATATCAACAAATCAAATGCCCGCTACCAGGCTGTTCGTAACTCAAAAGGTCAAGACAAGCTTCGTCTCATAGAGCAACCTAACTCTAACCACGACGAACACGTAGGTTGTGACTCACAGCAGCAATGGTCAGTAGTATAAAACGGACAGAAGAACCCCGGAAGGCAAAACCAAAATCGTCCCTCTTCATCAATAAATCATGAAACAGTGTGAAGCTGGTTGGGTTCTCAGGGGGAAAGATGACTAGAAAGATGATGGATCCGTAACAATCCATCCTAGTCGTGAATAAAACCATGTAACAAGGGAACAATGATGATAACTGATCCCTTTTAATCGGGGTCAGCGAAACTGAGTTCTTCGAGTTCTCTAGAAACTCATATTGCTCCTTGGCGATCGAGCGAGATAGCTGTTCAAGTGAATTATTATCTCGCCCAGCGCTTTTACACGTTCGTTTGTTGTCTAGAATAGCTGACTGGCCTACTACAGGCATTACTTACACGACCTACCAGCTTCCCACGCATCATTAGTCTCGAGCTGACGTCTGTGAGGGGCCGAGAACCGGGGCCGATCTGACAAGACCTCATCCCATCCGGACTTGAAGAGATATTACTACCGAATTACTCTGCATATATAGAACAGAACCGCGCGTTGTTCTCCTGCTCTGCTGTGAATTGGTCACGATGAGATTCTTCAATGGCTGAGCCATCGTGTTAGCATCGTAACGCCATTGATTCAAGGGTTAAACCACCTATCCATCCATAAGATACACAAGCGTTACATGAATGCCAATTTAGAAAGAAAACATACTTCAATCAAAGTCATGATCAATCAAAGTCCCACCCAGCGAATACACAAACCACACCAGATAGAAAAGGACTCCAAAGCCCATAAACGAAAACACAATCCTTAAGCAATCCGTGGCCCTCGTAGCTTTTATCTTGTCTCATCCTGAAAATCGCAATAGCTCATCCGTCTGCCCTCTCACATGTTCTCCCTAAACACGGATCGTCGCTCTGTCGGACTGCTCTCAGCGCTTCCGCTTCTTTCCTTGGGCTTTCCGAATCCTGTATCAATGGGTCGAGGGCTCACGCCGCGCAAACTCGAAGCAGCAGCATCGTCATCGAAAGGGTTTCGTCCACCAGGCCCTGAGGTTGGGCTCCTGCTTGCTCTGCGACCCCGGGCTTCTTCTTCGTCGCCGAATCTTTGTGGACCGCCCGACAGTCCCGGTGTTGCTGCCAGGTTCATGTTGTAGCCTCCGCCGTATCCGGTATCTCGGCCACGGCCACCAACATCCTCCTCGTAGTATCCGTACTGATCGGCTTCATTTCCAACGCGGGAGTCCCATGCCTCATCCGGGTCGAGGGGACCGAAGCCACGGCGGCCGCGGGCTGCACCGGTTTGCTCGTAGGCGCCTGCGGCGGAGCGATTGTTGCGGTCCTTCAGCTTGCGGAACTGGTCGTTGAACCATCCCATGACACCTCCTGGCGCAGGTTGCGGGGGTCCATAGCCGTTATCTTCTTTATGCCATGGTAGATATGACCCGAGACTTGGTGGTGGAAGCTGTAGGCAGAGAGAGTCAGTATTGTTTGTCAGAGATTGGGACAGCCAGGGTAATCCACTTACGCCGAGTCTGCGAGCGCGCAGTTGTGTGAAGATGAACCATCCTGCGGCACCTGCAAAGAGCAGGACGATAATGGCAATTGTGATGCCTCCAGCCGTCGACACCATGATCTATTATCCCGCTTTGGCGTGTCCAGACGGTTTGCGATGCGCTTTCGGTCGCGTGATGACGATGGTTGACGTGCGAATCCCAAAGGCGCAATTCTCGCAATAGGTGCTCCAATGGGGGAGAATTGTTGTTGTTAGGTATCGACTCTCGAGAAAGTAAAAGATAAAGATGGAGGTTTGCGTTGGAATGTAAGATCTGGGTCCCTCTGTCTGACTTCAGCTTGTGTGGATGAGGTGGCGGTGCTCGAGGGGCTTCCAGGTTACCCGAGCTCTTGGGGAGATCGAGGAATGGATGTTGCTCACGAATAGGCTGTCATCAATTACGATGGGAACCTGCAGCACCTACGGGAAAACAGCTCCCATCCATCTCATGGAAACACTGAGGTGGGGAGCAAAACCTTACTATGGATGTAAGCAGCCAGCTTGCTTCAGTGGACGGCTGCACGGGCCAGCACCTAACTTACAGGGCTGCTTATAGTGAGCTTGGCGCTGATGCTGAGCGCTGCATTTAGTATCAATAGCCCCTGCCCCGCCGCTAGTGGAGAGTTCCATGATCCCTGGTGCCGACGGGACGTCTTGAACAAATTATCAACCTGGAAACCCTTCAAATCAGCATCGATTATGTTGACCACTTAATAAAGAGGCCAATGCTTGGTCTCTGCTAAGCTGATTGAGTATGGCTTTGCCATGGCATCTTTTATAACTTCAAGTTTCAACATGTTTCCTAGTTCTTAAATGACTTCATTGACATGCCCTTGCCTTGGATATCTCGTATTCCTCTTCTAGACCCATCCATTTCAGGTGCATTTCAGATGCATTATATCGGCTACCAGCTTAGCTTCGCGAAAATAACAATAACGTGCAATTAACCGCCCTTTGCTTCAATCCATGGACTCAAAGCTCAAATATCACATCGATCCCAGTTCCCGCCTCTCCTGGCGAACGACAAGCTCTCCACAAAGTCCTCCAACGTACATAGTCCATCCTCATCTCCTCCGCACGTATCAAGCTCCATCACCCGGTCATTGATCAATACTCTCACATACTCCTCACCCTTCTGTTCTTTGGTACCGCCGCACTCGAGCTTCTCGACGTACATACGCGCCGCGAAAGGGACCACCCATGCTGACGAGTAGCCATGCGCCCTGACGGCTGGTACAATGTGGTGTTTCGGCAGCTTGCGTGTGTAGTTGTACAGACCCATGGCTGAGAAGATCGAGACCATGCTGTTGTCGTGGCTAAAATCCGCATACAAAGCCCTGTCAAGAGGGAACGTCTCTGGGTTAGAGTCCAACGTGCTGTTCGTGGTTGTCTCATCCTTGACGGGCTTCCGTGTTAGACGGGAAATGAGTTCATTAACATATCCGACACCTTGTGTTGGTCCCATGGAGTTACCATTACCGTACTTGTAGTACTTGCCAAGTGTTTGCCAGTAGTTATAGCTTCGCCAATCTTCTGTTGTAAAGAGGTCGCAGAACCTGGACTGTCCTGCGCCGTCGGGAGTGTTAACCGTGTTGAAAGGGCACAGGTCCATCAAATAGACTGTCTCCTTCAACGACAACTTGGCCTTTACCAGGTCTCTGTTCAGTCTGTCTCGGATAGGAGGCAGAAATTTGTTTCCCCAGGCGGTTTGTGCGTCATTATCGCCGAGGTCGTCTTCCTTTTCGAAAGATGTGCATAACCCATGCGACATGGTATTGTTGATGCCAGACTCTTCAGAAATTACCAGGATGTTGTCAGTGTAGCTGTCCCCAGATTCTCCACGAGAAGCATAAAAGCCCTGCGTGAAGTTGTGAGATGAAACCACGACTCTATCCGACCCCGACGCCCGGATGAAAGGCTCTGAGTTCTCGGCGAGTCCAATATACCGCTCATAGAATGCCCTTCCAGAATCAATCATCTGATCCTGACCAAAATCGGTCAGGTCCTCGGACCCAAGACTGTACTTGTAGTCCCTGAGCCATTCATAGCCACGACTGTACTTGGTGACAGACTTTTGAAGGCGGGCGATGGTGGCTTCGTAAGCTTCAGATTTAGTGATCGTTGGATATCGTGCTCCGTGGCGAGACAAGACAACGGCGACAGTGACGTCGCAACCATCAGGTGTTGATGAGTCAATCTCTGATGGAACAGAAAAGAATGAAGAGTACTGGCCCCAAAGTTTGGAAATGTCGTTACAGCTTCCGTCGTACTCACACCCAGAAGTCAAAGTGCTGGACAGAATATCAGTTTAAGATGAGAGATGAATGTTTCTTGAGGAACTCACTTGTTATGAACCCAAATAGCAAGAACGGTTATCAATGCGATTGTGCTAATTACCATAACGAGACAACTCCATCGTCTGGTCTCTCGCCGCTTATGCTGCAGGTGCCAGCTCTCAAGTCGCTCAGCATCCTCATAGCTCTCTGCGGCATTAGCCTCATCATCATTTCCTGATAGTAATCGTCCGCGCTCGGCATCAACGTCGGAAGAACTGGATCGACCGGCTGTTGAAGGCGCATCGTCGTGCGGGATTCCCACCATGTTGGATGAGATGAGTCGTTGTAGTGACAGGGATGTTCAGCGGTGGATGCCCGTATGAAAGAGAGAACCAGCAACTAGTTTAGTTCCCAACGAAAGTGTTGATGACAAAGCGACAAAGCAAGCTTATCGCGGGTAATCACGCAGTTAGAGAGCGCTTGATGCCTCTTTCCATGAGAGCTTCACAGTTCGATGACATCGGTTAGATTTGGGTAGCAACAGTATTGAGTGAGCATCCCTGACGTTGTTCGAGGTTCGAGACAGCTGAGGTGGGCCACGTGCACGATCATGAGGCTGACCAGTGAGGTACTGATCAGCCACATATCTACCGTCGTACTGTAACAGTGATTGTGATCAACTCGTTCACTTCTGATTTGGATATAATCACTCATTTTACGGATTATAGGCTCCGAGAGACATTTAAGTCCATCAAGCGGTCGATGGAAGTCATAGAGGTGGCCCATCAATAAACTGCATACCCTAAAGCTGCAGCATAAAACTTCATACTCTACAAAGATCCTCAAAGAGACCTCACTTTAGGGAAATAGTTGCGAGCATCATATGGTGTGTGTAAAACAACGCTCTAGGCGTTATGTATTGTAACTATCTACTGTGATTTCCTCCTTCAATAACCCAATACTAAACCTCGCCTATTACGAGGTGTCTATCGCATAACATAACATGAATTTTATAGCAGACTTGCCACCCAGATTCCTATTTTATCCGAACCCAGTTCCCAAATTCATTATCCATTACCGCAACAACATATATCCAAAAGCCTCCCACCTAGTCTAGCTAAGTGGGAGCTGTCGTATATGATAGGATGGTATCATTGAATGTAATGTAAAGAAATCATCAAAAACGTTGCAGTAAAAGTGCGGGGTATAAGTCAAACAGTGCATTCCAATCCCAATCATTCCTTCACATTGCAACACCGACGCTTCTCCTCTGGGGTCGGATATCGTTGCGACCAAACGTAGACGTGGCGAACCGCGATATCAGAGGCCCGTCGTCTGGTGATACAGCTGCCGTGCTACCAACTGAGCATGTTGTTGGAACCGTGCGAACCTCTTCGTCCGACTCCCAGGTGCTAACAGTGTCGACAGAGTCCGTGCTCCGGCGTCGAAGTGATGTCCCGCCCTGCGAGACCTGATAGAACCCTTGATTGCCCCTGATAGGGCGGGGAGCGTTTGTAACAGAGTCGAAGCTCATATTCCGGCCGTGCTGCGATCCGGGGAAGAGCCAACTGGATACTCGAGAGAAGGACTTCTTCTTCCTCAAGGGTGGTCGAAGAACCAAAGGTAAAGGTGGTGGCGGGGGTAGATTCTCTCGCCTAGGAGGAGAGGGAGTAGAAGACGGGGTCCGTGACTCTCCAGGAGTCCGGGCCCGACGAGGAGGGGTAACGGGAATCCTTACAGGTGCACGAGGGGATCTGATAGGTGCTGTGTGCGGTCTCTCGATTATATCAGAGTTGAGGCGTTGAGCAAAAGACGGCGCTGCTGGGGGAAGAGCGGGAATTGAAGGCATGGGCTCCAGCTCTGAGGGCATCAGCGGATGAGATTCGTCACCAGGACGATACGTAGAACTCATACCATGCACAGATCTAGCCACAGAGTGAGGAGTTGCCGGTCGGCTCGGAACATAGAGACTCTGTCTCTCAATAACATCGTCGATTTGTTTTTGGAGCTTCTCGACCTCAAGCATAGCACTCGCAACTCGTTCCTTGACCTTGTTAACGTCCGGCGAGCTGTAGGCCCGGGAACGACCTTGAGACTTGGGAGGGATTAGAGGCGGAATCTCATCTTCTCCAAACGAAGAGCCAGGAGCGCTGCCTGTGAAGTTTCTGCGTGGGGTGTGAAAGGACATAGGGGAGCCTGAGAAGCTCTTCTGATACTCTAACGAAGGCGGTACCTCTTCCGATGGGCAATCTGAAAGTTCCGATACACACTCCTCAGAAAAGTCAGATGAAGGGGCTGGATTCGCAGGCCTAGGCTCAAAGTGAGGTAAAAGAGGAGATACACGATTGTCAGGCTGGTAGATGCTCAACTCGAGTGGTCGGTAAGGGCGATGAGGCAGCTGTTTAGCTGGTCGAAGATTGGAAGCCCGTGATGGTGTAGGCTCAGGATAGTCAAAGAAGGGATCGAAGGGATCGCTCGAATGGGCAACATGGCGAAAGTCGGAAGGTGCTGAGATGAGGGGACGGCGTGAGTTGTTAGAGGAGAAAGACCAGAATCTCCTTCTCTTGGATGAGACACTGTCTCTTGTCGTAGACTCCGACATGTTACGATGCTTGGGCATGGCCACAGGCTTAGGGTGGTGAAGTGGTTGATCGTATATTACTGGATATGTTTGCTTCTCGTCGACTTGGCCTATCAGCAACTGTTCGTCGCTCAACCTGCCCACTGGCCACGAAATGTTCAAAGTACAAGACGAATCCGAGGCCCAGGCAATGCCAGTGTGGGCAGAGTCAGATGTAGAAGTAGAAGTAGGCAAAGACTTACTACGACGCGGCCTCCTGTCCTCTGAGGAGACCAGCGGTGCGCAGCAGCTGGTTAGCCACGATGGCCAAGGGGACGATTGAGGGCCAGAGCCATGGGCACCGTTGATACCGGCGTGTGTCATGCTGCGAGAGAAGCTCTCACGTCATACCGAGAATGCGTATCGAACGCACGGGAGAAGGAAAAGGCGGAAAGATGAACGATTCGTTACTTGTCAAACAAAAGAAAGGTCGGAGGCCAGCTGAAAAAGAAACGGTTCAAAGCATATAATGAATAAGGTAAGGTGAGATCCCGAGAGTGTATGTATATGTAACTGCGCGCGTGTGTGTGTGTTTGTATATATGTACGGCACACTCCTTCGTATATGTAAGCCAGCTCCTGCACGAGGGGATAGGATAAAAGCAGAAGCAGGACGGGAAAGCTGCAGGAAAAAGACCAGGGACCCGGCAGATAAAAAAGAATCAAGAGAATCAGAATCCAAGCAGCGGCAAGCAACTTGCAGTCTAACCCAGCCCATCTCGTGAGTGACGGCTGGGCCGCGACGTTTAATCCACACCCTTGGAGGCAACAAACGACAGCATTGGCATCCATGACCCTGTAACTGTAATTGGGATCTGGGAAGTTTCAGGGACCCATTAGACTACGATCTCGCTGAAGAGTAAAAAAGAAAATTAGTGAATAACAATAAAAAATGGGCGGCAGCCCAAGCAGATGCAAGACGACGTATCGAGTGGTTGACATTTACCCAAGACGAACCCACGGCGCAGGTGATGGACCGGGGTCGGTTGATACGCCGGACCAGTCGGCGCTTAGAAGACGGACTTGACCATGTTAGCGCTCCACACCAACTTTATCAAAACACCACAGAGACACAGTGACTGGGCCACACGTAGCGGCCGAGATGGTGTCTAGTTTCCTCTACTACGAGTCGATGTCGTGCATTTGGTCCACTCTCTGCTTGCCACAGAGGGACCCAGACGAGGTCTCGTGCTGCCTCCGTATTGGATGTAAGGGTAGACTGGGGTTTGAGTCTTGAGGCCTTTGCCTAGGTATGTAATGTTATGTTTTCTTCGAGGCTGTGTGTCGTCACGCTGCGCAATTCTCACTCTTTTTTTCTCGTCAGACTGGTGTGAACTTGCATCTTGGCGATTGATATCGTCAACAAGACTTTACCAGTATCACGTAGTACACCATAAATTGTCTGTCCATTACAGACAAAAAGTCATAGCTTTGCTTCTGTCTGTACCCAGCAGTAGATCTTGGAGCCTGCACTCGCTTGCTGGCTTCTAGTGCGAATCTTGCCCTGCTCGTCTTCCTTTGTCTTCCTCGAATCGACATCTGACGTCGCATTCGTGCATCTTATTTGGGGTTGCACCGCCGGTTTGGGCAACACCCCGGTCTAGGTGGGCTGATTGGTAGATGCACCCCGGGACCTAGTCTCTTCATCATTTCTCCTCCATCAAATCGGTACTCTGCACGTTTTGTTTGTTCGTCTCTTCAACCCTGCGACTGACAGCCGCGGTTGCTGTATGAGATTGTCAGGGCCTCTTGAAACGTGGGAGCTTCAGGAACGCATGACAATCTGCCTTTCGTCAAATCCCGTTGCTTCTTTGGGCAAAACATGTTGTAAACTTGGCTAGCAGAACTGGTCGTCACGTCCCAAAACGGCCATGACGGTGTTTCATGTCACCCAGAATAGTTACGAGATTGAGGCCGCTGTGATGGCCATTCTTCCGGCGTGAGCGGATGCGATACGATTCGCCTGCCATTTAAATTTGAGACAATTGACGAGACCATGACACTCCCGAAATTTTAATATTTGGCGCTGACGAACGGAAAGGCTGAAAACCGTCTTGGCCTCAATGGGTACTGTAATGGTAAGCGGCCATGATACATTGTGTCGTATTCTTGTTGCCTTCTCGCTGCCTCTCTCAGCCGTAAATTGTGCACAGCCCAGCATTTGTCTCAGTAAGAGCCACCAAACAATGACTAACATGAGCACAAGGTGATGGCTTCATGTGGGGTTGAAAGAGGGTGCCAGACGAACACTGTTAGGGGCCAATTCCACGCAGCTGGGACCGATGGCATGTCAAGCCTGATCGACAGCCGGACCGCTCCCTGCTGCTGCAAAGTGCAAACATGGTTGTAGGCTAAGGCGAGGGTACAGTACAGTAGTTTGTCTGCCCTGCAAGCCCTGTTCACTTCACGCTACGTTACGTTAAGCTGTGTTGTGCTGAGCTGCTTCATGGTCGCCTCCACCATCTGCTCTACTCTCTCGAGTCATAATTGTCAGATGAATGTGCTTGTCAAGGTGGTGTCCCTGACTTTGCCTTTCCTTGGTTCTTAAAATAGCGACGTCCCAAGGATGGCGAATGAGGGGCTCTGCACTTTGGGAATTAGGTTTTGGCAGGGATGCATCCAGAAGCTCATCAGATCGTTCTAAAGTCTCTGCTCTGATCAAGGCAAACACCATTCACATGCCATGCCATAATCTATTCTGAAATAGAACTCGAACAAGACTGTGGGTTTTCAAGTGGCAATCCCACTCTTGGTCATTCTTGCTGATGGGAGTTTTTTTATCTTGTCCCGCAGGAAGCGCATTATTCAGTTTGGAGGGCATCCTGTCTCAGTCTTCGGGACGGGAATGGCTGTTTAAGAGGATGGAGACCCCGTTTCCTTGTTTCTTGTGCATCTGAGTCTTTTGACGGATGCAACGGGTGTGGCGCAATGAGAAATCCACGATGTGGGATCCAAAGTGGCCTCTCTGATTCTTTTTAGTGAGTGGAGATGAGAGAAAACAAGTCAGTTGACTTGAGTGACTCGATTTCATTCAGATGCTGCTGATAAAGAAAATTAAGGTGACACCCAACCTTTAGCCAAGGTTGACTTCCAAGGCCGAAGGGTTACAGCCTGAAAGTAATATGCTTGACTGAAGGCGTAAGTGTGTCGATAACAAGGAATGAAAGAAAAGAACAATATTGCGGGTTCCCAAAGATGTATCTCCAGTATTTTCATCCCATGTGCTGGTGCTGGATCTTGGCCAGTACTGTAAGTGGGCTTCACAGTCAGCTGCTGAGGTTTGCTTGGTATTGATATCACACGTGATACGATAGCATTTCTGAACGAGTCCGACTTGATATTGAAGATGAAACTGGCTGGTCACTTCTTTGTTGTATTCAATTAATATTTTAATAGAATTTATGAGATCCTGAAGAAGGAATTCTTTACAATCTGTAGGAGCAAACAGTGAGTGGAGTAGGTTTGACCGGCTGACGGGTAAATGCATCTACCGATGCTCCATAATAATTTCTTATCTGATACTCCCGATCCGGAAGGCGGAGAGAAAGGTCCTTAGTGGCAGAATTCCAAAATCTCAAGTAAATTCATGGACAAGAGTTACAGATTGCGACAAGCTACCAGGTCGTCAAGATGGGCAAACGGGACTTCGCCAACGCAGATGGCGCTGCTGCTTTTCGCAAGCGCCAGAAGATTACACACGAGACCCCTACAAGTGAGGAGGTAACTTCGAGCGATCAATTGCGCAATCTCCTCTCCTTCGATCAGGATTTGCGCAACGCCAGACATGGTAGGTTGGGGCTATCGCGAGCTTCTGGACAACATAAACTGACATCCTCATCTTAGGTCTTCAATCTTTTAAGAATCTTCTCGATCAGATAGTTCACGAAGAAGGCGACAAGCGCGCAAACCTCGAAATTTTACACCAGTACCTCGAAGCCGTCAAGCCCAGAGACACATCCGAAGATGCTGTCTTCCTTCACGATATTATGGAGATGTGGTCCTTTGCTGTTCAGGCCCAAAACGACGGTGTCATGTCGTCTGTTGCTGTCGTTCTAGCCTTGCTGCTCCAGATCCTTTCCGGCTCGTTGCAGCTTGTGGGTCATGGTCTCGGTATCTGCCAAACCCTGCTACAAGAATCACAGCTCAAGTTATTGGCAAAGAATCTCTCGGCTGAAAAGAGCAAGGGTTTCGTTATATCACCCACCCTGCGTCTCCTGCGAGAGGCTACATGTTTGGATGGAGGTGCCTATGCCAAGCGTATCTTCCGAGCTCGCAACTCCACCTTGACTTCTCTCGGAAGAAATCTCGAGATTGGCCATATTGGAGATACTCCGGAAGAATTTCATAAGGCTTCTGTTAGAACGAACGCTGTCCGTTTCTTCTTGAGTCTTCTCAAGTTTCTGGGTTCTGATGGAAGAAAAGAACTTCTTTCTCAAAAGGAGCTCCTTTCACATCTGACTTACATGATCAGGAATGATCCTCCATACGTCGTTACGGATATTCTGGATTCTTTGAAGACCTACGTTCTGAAAGACGATAAGATCCCCCGCGATATCAAATTCCGAAGCTTCAACACCAAGACGCTGATGCGTTTCCTGGCTCTATATACTTATACCAACGATGGTGAGGATGTTGACGAGAAGGCGACTGTGAGCTACAAGGCCCACCAGCTTCTTATCTACATTTGTACAACACCGAGCGCTGGTGTGCTGTATCCTTCCACTGGTCTTTATCCCAAAGAATCCGAGGACGATCCAGTATCAAGCGGACGAGCAAAGGCCAGTACACAAGGCGCGCTTTTCACGGACAAGTACAAGGAGGACATCCCTGTGTACAACTTTGTGCTCGCTGAATTTGCCCAGAAGCTACGTCCTTGGTCTAGTCTTAAGCATAGCGAACTCCTAATTGAGATCTTTACAGCTGCTCCTGAGCTTACTGCGAAATATTTCCTCAGCAACAAGTCTTTCACTTTCGAACCAAAACTATCCATGACCTGGATTGGATACGCCGCTTTCCTCTTTAACACCATGCAAATTCCTCTCCTACCTCGTTTTGGAGACCGCTCGCGATCTACCAAAGCTCCTCCCCCTACATCCATTCTGCTCGACAACATCATTCCTCTCCCCATCAACCAGAAGATTCTCATCCGATGTCTTTCCTCCAAGTCACATCTCACCTCCTTCTTTGCTACTCGTATCCTCATTGTGGCGGTCGAAAAGCTCGCTGAGGCGCTGAAGATGCATGAAGAAATCTCAAAGGGTAAAGACCCCGTCTGGGCTGAGGCTAGCCGTCGCCTGACTGATGCCTTTTGCCAACGTATCCCCGACATGAAGGAGATCGTTCGATCTTATAAGGGTATACCAGCTGAGAATATTCTTCACAAGACCATGGCTAGTCGTTTGTTACGCCTGTACTATGAGGTCATTCCTCAAGTGGCCCTTGCTGCAAACTTTGACGTCTCGCCTTTCTTTACCGAAGTTCTGAAGTCGCTCAACAAGGATAGTGAGCAGCATGAAGACGAGTCTCTGAGAGTGATTGAACTCGAGAATCTTGTGTCAATTGCCAGCTATTCTCCGGGTATGCGATGGTTCTCCAAGATCGATAACCTTGTCGATGGAGCGGGAGCATCGCCATATACCGCGCTTCTGCGACTACTTTGCGATAAAAAGCGAGATCTTCCGTTCCAGCAGCTGAAGAAGGTTCTTGGTGAAGTTGCCGTCGAGAATCAACTGGTCACAAAGGCCTCTGTCATGACTCCCTTGTTTGATGCTCTTCAGAGTACACTGGTAGATGTCAAGACAAAGGAAATGGAGAAGGTTTGGTCATACGTTGACAACTGCATCAACCGATGCGCGTCTTCGCCGATCAAGTACCTCGACCTTCTGGAAACTTATGTGCAAGAAGACAAGCTATCGCCGCCCAGCAATGATACTGCCTTGGTCAATGTTACGATGGCGGAGCAGCTGTCGTTTGCTCTGAAATCTGCCAACAGTGATGAACAGGCTGTGCTTGGCAAGTTCCTGTCTTCTTACTTCTCTGCTGCCTATAACTCGAAGCATGGGAAACAGCTTACTAAGGCTTTATACAAGCGCATCTCGGATCAATTCTCTGATAGCAAGATCAAGATGAAGAAGCTCAAGGAGGAAAAGTCAGACGATGCAGATGCTGACGAGGACATGCCTGATGTCGACGCAGCCGAAACCAACGTTACAAACGATGGGTCAGGTATCGATTCTTCAAAACTCGAGGCTATGCTACATGTCACGATCGCTGAAGATGAAGATACCACAACCTTGACCAAATGGGCAGGCAAAAACCCAGAGGATCTTGTTGAAGATGGTTGGGCAGCAGGCCTAATCCGCCTCCTCTCTTCCGCCCACACCAACATCCGCAAGGAAGCTCTCACCAGTATTCTCAAGATGGCTGCCAAGCTTAAGGAGTCTTCATATGAAGAAAAGGAACAAGTCTGGCTTCTTCTATCCGAGCTCGCGGAGTCCTCGCGGGATCAAGTTGACAAGGGCCCTGTTCCCTCGGCCTTTACAGCCTTCGCCATCCACGCTCTGGATGTCCTCAAGAACCCACTTCACCCTCTCTACCCCAAGATCAACAGCTTCCTCACCCGCAGCCCTTTCTGGTCTGCTGACAAACTTCCTCTCGCCCATGATGTCCTTCACGGTGAGCCCTCAGAAGACGACAAGTACTACACTGAAATCACATGGCTCCTTACCTATCTGCTCGACAGTCTGCGCACGCCCTCCGACCTGAGCATCTTCCACCGCAAGCGCTGGTTCGAGAAGATCCTTGCTGTGGGTGTTAACCCTTATCTTCGCGTTAACCTGCGTACTCGTCTCCTGCGTCTGCTCTACCGCGCGACCTGCATTGAGGGTGGTAGCACCACGTTGATAACTCGGTTCGGCATCCTGAGCTGGCTTGATACACAGCGCGCGTCATTTGAAGGAGGTGAAGAGGCAGATGTGATGGTTGCACTTATGAAGAGAGTTTGGGATACTTGTGACCAAGAGAAGGTCAAGGTTTGGAGTAAGGGAGGTATTGAAAAGTTACTTGCAGCGCATGTTCTATAAAACTAGGCAGTTAGGATCTACTTAGACATATGATAATATATACCCGGCGTTATAATACGACGAAGCCAACTACAGTCTACCTAGTCTCTCGAAAGGAGACAGACATCCTTACGGTTTAGAAGAGCAGCGAGCGTCACGTAGCATTGTGGAAGCAAAAGTAGAACGTCAAACTTGGTCAAATTTGTTCGTACATGTTGATATATGTACATAACCCTTACCATCTACCAATAAACACGAAAAGCCTACAGACACCATAGAATGAACACAAGAGTGCGTGTCTTCATACAAGATAATTTCCCCTCGCTAACCACACCCACGCATTATTATGGATAAGACCGGCCAAGCGTCTGCCGTTAAACAAAAATGTTGAGTTTTTAGTATACCCATCCTATATTCGCCGTTTGCAAAAAATAAATAATAAAAGATTTTCCAAGTTCAAATAAACAAGATTATCGCCAGGCTTTATGAAGACATTATCAAGACCGTTTCAGTTGGTTATTTGTGCAGTCTATAGTTGGCCGGAAAGCAAAGCTTCAGTTGCTGAAAGAATTGTTAGCTTAGTTGTGTGAGTAGAGGATATAAAGGAACTTACCAGAGTTGATGTAGGCCCTCTTCGCGTCTAGAGGAACGTTGAAGCGTCTCTCCAGCTCTTGCTTGATGCCCTTCTTGGTGACGGTCATCAAGTCAGCTGTCTTGAGGATGTCGCGGATCTCGGCAAGGAGGGCATCATCGCTAGGCATACCAACCATCTCCTCAGGAGAGAAGAATTGTGAGCCACCAAACTGACTCATGCGGTTACCGGGCATCTCAGAGTGAGCCAGTGACATGCGAGACATGTTCTGGTGACCGAAACCAGCAGTAGAGCCAGGGCGGCTGGGTTGGTAACCACCACCGTAATCAGAGAAGGGACCTTGAGCCTTGGTGGCATAACTGTAGCCAGAAATCTCGGATCGGACATCGTCGCGGGCAGTCTGGGTCTGGGTCTCCCAGAGCTCGGCTTGGTACTCCTCCCACTTCTTGCGAGGGATCGAGTTGGGATCGAACTTGCCTTCGTCGGAAACGACGATCTTCTTACCGGATTCACCAGCAATGACACGAGTGTTACCCCAGTTGAAATCATCCATGTGCCAGAAAGAGTAAAGAGGCAGACCGAAGGAGAAGACGGGAATGGCAGCAATGTACATAATCATCCAACCAACCATCTCCCACTTGCGGCGCAAGATGAAGATAATGGCCTGCAGACCGTAGATAGCACCAAGCAACAAGAAAGCTGTAATGGGTACGACGGAGGGGTTGGAAGCGACCTGGTAAATCAGGTACACAATGTACATAACGATAACGGGCTGGACGATGGTACTCAGGAGATCGACGAAGACGACGAATCTCATACTGAAACAACAGAAACCGCAAAGCTCGGCAAGAGGGATAAGTTCAGCCAAGTTGTGCACAGTAGAGTTAATCCAACGACGTCGCTGAGACAGGAACACAGCCCAGGAGTCGGGGGCAATGGTCCAAGCCTGTGCGCTGTAGAGGTACTTCGTCTTGTACTTGGAGTGATACTTGAGGAGCAGGGTTGTAAGGTATCTGTCCTCACCAAGGTGGAGCAGGTTCTTCATGTGGAGGGTATCAACACGAATCGTAGAATAGTCTTCGACAATTTCCTTGCTGACGAACAAGGGCTTGCCAGTCTCAGCAGCTCTGATTCGGTACATGGAGAAACAACCAGGCAAACAAGTGACGGAACCGAACAAACTCTCGAAAGCCTTGGACAAGTTGTGGGAAATCCAGTACTCGTAGACCTGAATCATAGTAATGAACGAGCCCTTGGCGTTGGTAAGAGCTGTTTCACCACAGCAGGCAATCAGGCGAGTATCGTCGATGAAGGCTGAGATCATGCGAGTAGCTGAATCCGGGGCAACGACAGTATCGGCATCAATTTGGAACAGGTATTCGTAGAAGGTTGGGTTGACGCCAATAATGTTGCGGATTTGGTGGTACATTTCGAGTTCCATAGGGCTCATGGCGAGGTTGTAGTGAACGCGGTTGAGGAAGCGCATGAGAACCATCTGAGAGTCTCGCTTACCACGGTTACCGGGACGAGAGACCTCAGAAGGCTTGCCGACCTTGACGATGACCATGAAGGGGACAATGTGACCTTGGACTTCGTACAGACCAGAGTAGATCTTACCCATGTTGTGTTGCTTCATACCCTCACCAAGAGCCTCAAAGCTGAGGGGCTCGGGGTCGACAGTCTCAGAGACACCAAGAATATCCAAAACAATGCGAGGGGTAGGCCTGTCGTTACCTTGACCGATAATCATACCGTCACAAACAACGACAAGAAGCTTACGCTTATCATCATACTTCATGCGAGAAAGCGAATCGATGGCACGGCGCAGAGAGTCCTCATCTTCGGTATAAGCGGGAATCATACACATGACGAACTTGTCAAGGTTCTCGGGTACATTCTTGCCACCAAACTGTAGCGCAGCAAGGAACTTGAAGACCAGAATAGATGCAAGCATGACTGAGATGGCCAAAATGAAGTACTCGGCAAATTGACAGCGGGTAGAGTTTCGGGTATCAGAGTCGCCGATGTAGAATAGGTTGTTTAGACATGTCTCCATGCGTTGCTTCTTAACTGCGGAAAGCTTGATGTTATCCCAGTACTTGGAGACATCTTGACCCTTGGCACTTCGGAAAAGCTGGATCACGCTATCCTCCATAAACTCAGTGGCACCGGGAATGTTGGGCACGTCTTTGCCAGGCTTGGGCTTCATTCGAAGACCACCCTTGAGATACTGGGTCATATCGTAGACTTTTCCATGGATAGTGACAATGTTCCAAGCGCTATCACGGGCAAGCTTCTCAACGTACTTGGGACTGTAACCCATTCTGCCCTTGAGGTAAACATGCTTGAAGGTGTACATCTGTTCGAAGTACCAATCAGGTCGGCTGTCGTTGGTACCGTATCGGAAGTCATGGTAAATAGAGTTAACATCGACATCTCGCTGTGCGAGAAGCTGAGGCTGACCAGTGATGTTGGTGTTACGGTTGTCAAGAGTAACCTCAGGGGGAATGGCACCGTCCTTACCCTGGCACAGAGCAGAGACCTGGACGGGGAAAAGAGGGGTGATGTCCTTTCCAGCGTACTTCATGAGAGTGTTCTCGCTGACAAGATCACTACCGGGGTAATGGTTGGGAATGAACTTCTCGAGGTCGATGACGAATCCGCGAATGGCAACGTAGGCGCCCTTGCTACCCTTGTCACCGTCGTAAGAAGAGAGTTCGCCAGCGCTGTAGACGAACTGCTTGGGGCAAATGAGCATAGGGAATCCAACCATGAAGAAGGCCGCAATAGCACACATCAACCAAATGAGCATGTTAATAGCAACCTTCTCACGCCAAGCCATACGAACATCCTTACGAGGCATACGTCCGATAAGTCTGATGGCGAAATCGGGAATGAACCATGTGAGGAAGAAAACCAGAGCAACCCAACGCTTTCTGCTGGGCTTGTCTCTGTACTCTTCGACCTCCTCGAGTGACTTCTCGTTACCTCGCTCAGCCATCTGCTCACGAGTGTCCAAGTTCTTGAACATGTCGCCTCCGCCAAAAGCAGACACACCTGCCTCGGAGCGGGTGTCGTCAGTAAAGTAGCCGCCCTTAGCCTTCTCACCGTACATGAGAGGGGTGTTGCCACCAGAAACCAGGTTCTCCTTAGAGACACCGTAAGGAATAGACTCAGCAGGTGTGAGACCGTCACCAGCATCCGATGAAGGTAGGCCACCATATCGGCCACCAACAGAGACGACTTCTCCGAGTTGGGCAATCTCCATCCAACAGCGTTCGCTAAGGAACACACCAGTGGCTCCCACACGGACTTCGTTTTGGGGCCACTGCTTCTCTTCGATAACCATCTCAGCACGCTCTCGTTCGCTACCGACCAAGATTGTCTCAGCATCTGTCAAGCCAAGGAACTCGCCAAAGGGCAAGAACAAACTGAAGTCGGCGGATCGGAGGCGCTGGCTAATTTCTGCAATTCCAAAAGTCTGCACTTGCATGCGAACACACTTGCTATCGAACTGGTTGGCAATTCGTCGATCGTTGGGCTTCAAGCAGAAGATGAAGTATGAGTTAGTGCCGGGATCTGTAACAGCCTTTTGAAGATTATCCAGAGAGGCAAGGAACTGGCCCGAAGCTCCCTGTTCCAGGACTATCTTGGAGTTCTTCTTGGACTCTCCAGCTTGGCTCTGCTGATCAAGCTCCTCCATAGCCTCTTGTTGCTGGCGCTTGTAGGCGGTGCTGGGACGGCCAGTGCGATGAGTCTTACGAGACATGACACTGGGTGCTCGCATGGGCTTTGAGCTGACAGTAGCCTGCATGACAGTTGTGCGCTCGGTGGGGTGAGTGACAGTCTGTAGGGCGTCTTGGCCAAAAAGACGAGCAACGAACTCGCTCTTGGTGCCGTTGATCATGTTGAGAAGATCACCAGAGATGACCTCGCTGTTCTCCTCGATAAGACCCTTGACGGGGTAGTCAACCTCACCAGCAAAGTGCTTGACGGTGAAGCAGGCGGATGTGTTCTCGGTCATGAAGTTGCTACCAGGCAGCTTGGCTTGCGCAGAGCCAACCTCGATAGCAGCATTCTTGCCGTCAAAGCGTCTTCGGAGGGCCTCAAGGAACTGCATATCCGTTCGGTTGCGTCGGGTCTGGTCGTCGAGGATGCTAAGGAGGCCGTTGCCGGGCTTCAGAATACCTCGAACAGCGTCGGAGTTGTCGAAGTAGCTGGTAGCAGCAACGCTAACCTCTTCAGACTCCAGCATATCGGCCTTACGGTCGAAGAAGTTCTGAAGAGTCAGGTTGTAAATGCTCTCGGTGGCGGCATTGTTGAGGAGCTGGTCGAGGGCAGATCCAGTGGGAGACTGCTGGCAGAAACCAGGGAAGTCGACAATGGAGACAGTGTTAGCAATAGACTCCTCAGGGGCGCAAAGGCGCTGGTTGATAGTCTCAAGGATCCATGCAACAAGCAGAGAGTACAGTGTTCGGGCAAGCTCTCCTGCGTGGGCACGAGCACCATTAGGGTCAAGCATGACCGTAACACGTTCTCGGTGAATCATCTTGGTCTTGTAACCGAGAGTTGTCTGAAGGTCGGCAGCGCTCACACCAAGGAAGGCCGCAACAATGCTGAGAACATCCTTGTTCTTGACAGCAGTAATGGTGGTGCCACCCTCATGGGAGAAACCACCGCTGTCATCGCCAGTCACGCTGGTCTGGCTAGTTGTCTCAAACTCGAGCTGGCCGATGTGAAGGATACTGGCAAGGATCTGGCAGATTTCAGCAATCTCAGCACGGGGAAACTCGAGCTTTCGGAGAGCGTTCTTGAAGACTTGGAAACCCTCAGCGTCGTTGATTCCAACCTTGAGCTGAGTAGGGTGGCCAAGATACTTCCAACGCTTCTGAGTGGTGCCAGCAGCGTTGGAGCCACCGTCCAAGCCAAGATGAGACTTTTCAGCCTCACTAGTACCCGCAAGGAGATAGTAGAGAACGTGGAAGTTTCGCTCTCCTGTGGGGACATCGGCAATACGGCTGCGCTCCAAACGATGGTCAAGGAGCTTACCACCAATCAAGACGGGGTTGGTAGTAGACGAAGTGTCATATTGCAACTCGTAGAACAGACCAGACTTTGAGGCAGTCGGTGTTGTAGCAGTCTTTGTAGTTGTGAGACTGTCAAAGACATATGCGGCTAGAGAAAGTTTGGTGGAAAGAGGTGTCGAGGATTTGTTGAGGAGAGCAGTAAGAAGGTGTGCTCGAATGGTAGACTTTCCAGCACCAGATTCACCACTGAAGGCACATTAGTATACTAGCCAAGTTATGACGGTTTGAATCACTTACAGGAATACAACTGCCTGGTTTTCAGATCTGTGTCCTAGTCGTAGAAAGGCACGGTCGGCAATATCCTCAGCGCCTGCCATGGCGCTTCCCTCCTTGCCGCCATCAGGACCCTTTGACGAGTTTGTGTAAGTGTTGAGCGAGATGAGGGCGTGAGAGGAAAGTCGAGCGGTAGGATGAGAGACATGGAAACGACTGGCGAGGTGAGCAGTAAGATGCGTGTCGGATTGGAGATGTGCTGGTAGCGAAGGTAGAGAGGGTTGAGTATGAGGGCCTCCTGCGCCGCCGAGCTGTGGGAGGCTCATGGCCAAAACAGACAAGCCAACAAGTGGCTCTCAACGGTTAAAACGATTCGGTAGGTTGTGATATCGATTCAGGTTGTGAATTGTTTATTAGGGACTCGATCGGTCGTCGTTGAACGGTATGGCTGGGGGTTTGGTTGATTGCTTGGATGGTAGATCAAGTCAAACAACAAGTCAACAGGCACTCTGAGCGAGGGTAAGGGTGCAAGTGGACGTAGACAATGAACGAGCGTCAGGAAAAACAACAATAAAGATGGGAAAAGGGAAGAAGTTCCGGATTCAGAAAGTCTTCACCAGGACGATTGGACGGTAGTGGTAAATCTACTTTCCCAACCGAAGGCAGTATGTATTAACAGAACAGAGCACCAACCAAAACAACCTGGACTGGACTGGCTCTGGACTGGGAAAAGGGATTGTTTTCTTGGGACGACTGGGCCACATGCAAGTCTTCTCGTACAAGACAGGGAGAGTGGAGGTGGGATTTTCTGAGTACGGTCGACCATCAAGGCAGGTTGTGCAGTTGGGGCATAGCGCAAGCCCCCCCTTTGGCATTGGACTGATTACTATGTTTGGCTTGTCCCACGACCACGGCATAAAAATGGGCGTCCATACGAGGTTTTTCCCTGTCCATAGCCACACGGCACTCCCGGACAACACAACACATCCCCTAAGCCCCCCTGTTTCTATCACTGTCTCTGAGTCTTTCTCGCCTCTTCTGCTCGTCTGGCTCTTGGCAGGATATTCTTGGTGGAGAGAGCTGTCACGAGCTTCATCTATATTGATAGCTCGGGTAATTGGTAGATCTGTGAGCGATATGAGGAACATTACCACTGTTCTTTGTTCATGCCCTGGCCTCACAGGATCTGCAAGGGCCATGAATATATATACAAAAGCAACAACTACATTAAAATCATTGAGAATTAGATGACAGATGCATGCACGCCAAATCAATAAATGATGCAGGCAGCACCAATTAAAGTTGGCATGCTCCCTTGCAGATCGATAATTAACGGTTTCTGAAACTGCGCTTGTGAGTTGCTAATAGATGGACATATCATGATGAGATCAAGCAAACACATTAAAATGCCACTTAATAAAACGTCCGGTGGTAGCTCTTTCATGAGCTGTCTGTGCCAGCTCTAAAATCAATCTCAATCACGCCTCTCCCTCGCTAAGACTGAAATGCCCATCTCACTTAATTTGGACGCCACAACGGTCAGCCATGACGATATTAGCTGAGACTGAGCATTCCTCTTATTCCTCTGATATTCCTTTGAAGCGATTCACAACTTGCTAAAACCTGCATCATTAGGGGGCTACTTACTGCTAGCCAACGGCCGACTTGCTTGTCATGGACCCATTAGTCCATCATGGTTTTGTTAGAGCGAACTCTTTTCAGACCCCTAAAAAAGAAATCGATGCATTACCCTGGCCCAGTAACCAACCAGTCACTTGCTCCGCGAATGGCATCTTTACAAATCCAGGTCTAACCCGCACAGACAGGGACAAGACGGGCGGGTCATACAGAAGGCTTGTTTACGTTTTATGCTCCGTACTGTGCGCATTCGAAGTCCCCTATTATTCTCTGTCAACTCGTTGTTGAGACATGTTTCTGCTTCGGCTTCCAAGAGAACCGATGACCAGTTGACTGGACCTGATCTGGCGGTCGAGACACTTCATAGGACTGCGGCAAATTTCATACATAACCGTGTTAAGTCTTTTGAGACAGCCCAAGGGATCAAGACACAACATTACTTCCGACTGAGACAACATGTGGCCAATATTCTTTCAGCATCAATCTACCCTACGGCAGGGCGGCGAGGCAAGAATGGGAGGATATATGGACGGTATTGACAATTTCTCCTGTGATAGCTCAGGGGTCTAGACTCTCCACTGTCAAGAGTTAAGACTCGCCTCAAGATCAGACAGGGGAGACGCTGTATGAGAAGGCTGCTGGGCTGTGTGCCGGCGGCTGACTAGGGTGTCATCGTCCGGCTCCAGTGATCGATCCTCCCCATCGACCTTCTGGAATGTGTGCCCGAAGTGTGAATGTCGATGCTAGCCTACGATGTTCCCCTGCGGTTGTTATTTTAGGACCGGGAGATGGTTGCGATGACGGTCAAGTGGAGGAGGCTCAGTCATGAATCCTCCCGTCTTTGTTCCTCATGACGCCAAATTTTTCACGAGATATGGACCTTGTTTTCTGTTTCTGTCTCCGTATTGTTTCTCGTGATTATCTATTCTCGCTTATCCCGCCAAAGTCCCTTCAGTCATGTCGTGAGACGGGCAAGTGAGAAACGCGTTTTTGTGGAAATATCCGAGACATCCTTACTACTGCTGATCTGAAAAGCTGGGTTGACTTTGACTTTGACGCGACCTCCGACATCAATAGAAGGATGTAGAATTTCCGAATTTTTATTTGCTTCAGAATATGACTAGGATATGTCAAGAGCCGAAGCTCTAGTTCTTACCGTAATACTACATACTACGTCGTGTATCAGAGACCTCACGCGATGCAACTGTAGTCTTGCGAGTTTAGATTGAAGATTCCATCATACCGTTGAAGTGGTCGATGCCGGTCCCAGCTGCGGATCATCTATAGGTACCGAGCGACTGACGACGGGTGCGGCTCCCGCTGGAAGTTGTAAGCCTTTCCAACCAGTTACTAATTAATTGGGCTTGAATGGATACTGGCGTTTAAGCCATACGCGCCATGAGCGCTTCTACCGGCGTGTTGAAGGCTAAAGAAGAAGTCCTGAGAAGCCAAGTCTAACAACATGAGGCCGTGGTAACCGCGGATCAGGCTAAAAGACAACAAAAAGAACAGTTACATGTAGATCTGTGATGGTTCTCCTGATTTTAAACCACAACCAGATAAGATCTTCGGGACGACGCGATTCTCGATTCTCGATCCCGTTGACGTCTGCCCTTGTTTTCCCGATTGACAAGATCAGATCAGTCCAGGTTGGTGGTGAGAGAGTCTGAGAGTTGAGTGTAACCACATGCAAGCCGAAAACCTGGGTTGTGTGATATATGTAACGTATACATGTGTACTGTACGGTAAACGTGTTGACACTGAATTGAATATAGGCTTCTTAACCTACATGTGCATGTGTCGATGTGCTGCTGGATCACGACACAGCCTTTCTGGCCTTTTTATATATCACCAGTATATACGGATAGAAAAGTAAGCTATCATGCCACTCTAGCTGAAGAAACTGCATGTCGTGCATCGCGAGACTCAAGGACGCGTAGTCAATGCGAGTGAATGAATGAATGGATTGCCTTCGACCCTCGTATTTGGCTTGACCCACACACCACTCAACTCCAATCAGGGCCTGATCCTTACTGTAACTTGCTAAACACAAGGTTCTTTGCCCTGCCCTCGGGTCGGGCCCCTTACCCCGACTGGCGATGGTACGGTTGTGTGTTCCAAGTTTAGATATGGCATGGACAGATCCATTTAGGAGTGACAGTCAGTACAGTATGGTACAGTGTTTTACCTGATGGTTATGTTGTCCTATATCATTATTCTCCGTAGCCTCAGCTGTAGTGACCAATATTGATTCTGTTGGTGTGCTTATGAGCGAACAACTGTAGTGCTGAAAACAGACCGGTCTTGTGCTTGACCAGTCAAATCACCCCTTTACAGAGCAAAGCCCGCCTGAAGCGCCACGTCCTGTCGCTAAAAGTATCACGATGGGACGTTGGACCTGAAATATAGCACCATTACTCCTTATGGCCCGCCGTACACAGTGCATCACTAGCTGTATCCATTTTCGGCGTCGCCCTTTTTTGCTGGGGCACGCTACTACCGCACTAGACCGTCCTGCTCGGCCTCCTACTGTACCGCTACTGCTTCACACGCCCGTGCAAGACACAAGACCCAGTCGTTTCTTCAACTCTAGGACAGTCTTCTTTCGTGAGCGTCTCGTCTTGTCTCGTCATTTTTCTGCTTTTCGCTACAGCTTCATTGACCGGCCTCACTCGCTTTGGCTGTGTCTCTTCTTCCACAATCGCTAACTTGTTCTAATATCTGACCTATTCACCAACCTCTCAGGCCCTGCACCGCAGTCGCCTAGGCCGTGATACTTCGTTCAATCGGGCGAAAAGGAGGGCGGCGTTGCCCAGCGACCGAAACCTTCATCCTATCATTCGACCAACTTCCTGCAAGCCTTCCAGCCGCATTCAATTGCTTGGGAGTTGATCGATATCAAGTTCATTCGTTCATACATCTAATTGTCACCGTCTGTCGTTCTTCTTTTGTTCCCCGGACGTAATATCCTACGTTGTTGCACTTAAACTCGGCCGTTGAACCAACACCAAAACTCAATCCCGTGTACAACATCTACATCGCAACGTGCAATATCCTGTGATTGTCCCCATCGAGGGCATCACTTTCATCGACCATGGCGAGCCGAATGTCCATGTATTCGATGGCCTCTGAGGGCATGGGTGGCCCTCAAGCTCCCCAGCAGGTGTCAACCACGACTCTCCTAAATGCCATCCACAACATCTACCTTTCCTCCCAACCGTTCCAACTCGACGCCAGCACCAGTCTGGTCGTTAACACATGGCTCACAGCGGCTCAGGCTGGTGCGACTGTTGATGCCACGCTCGCTGCTCGAGCATGGGAGCATGCCAGGCGTCGTGCGGAAGATGGCTGTGTTATTCTCGGGTATGTTTCCTTAACACCATCGATTGTTTTCATTGCTAATAACTTATAGCTCTCTCCACCAGTCAACTCCCTCGCTTCTCGTGCCGTTCCTCAACACCTTCCCTTTTGCTATTCCTGCGTCCATCTACAAGTCATTGGAGGCTGTACGACCGTTTCTTCGATGTGTGACTCCTTACAATGCTTCGGCCCCTCGACAGATCGCCCTCGGCGTAACACTGACAATGAGCTTGGGAGGAAATGTTACAGGAGCTTCTTTGTCACTGGCCCAGGGTGGAATTGACACCGAGAACGGCCTTCTTAACATTCCCGCTGAGGCAGGCTACCGAGCTTTTGACGTTTTCTACTACCTACTCACATCAGCTTCGACACCCGCCGAGAGAGAGTTCTTGGGTCTCAAGTCACCTTCAGCGTACGCTCTTCTTGCTCGCTCAGGCACCTACGAACCCCCCTCTTACCTCATCACCGCCGATGATGGTGCCGCTGCCGACGACTTCCGCCAGGCTCTGAAGGAGATTGGCATCAAGGGATCTGCCCACCGTAACTTCATTTCCACATTAGCTGGACTCCTCAAGCTTGGTAACACTCTCGACTACGACGCCGACTCCGATGACTTCGAGGAGATTTGTGAAGATGTCAGCGGTCTTCTTGGCATGGAGCCCGAGGTTCTCATGCAGCAGATGAGCACTGAGGATCGACGAACACTCGTCGCTGGCTTGTACGAAGCTCTCGTTGACTGGGTTATTTCCAAGGCCAACGCTGCCATTGCCGCTCAAATGCTTCGTATCCGAGATGGTGATGAATCTGTAGATGGCCGTGGTGTCCGTACTCCTACCTCCAACGAGGACGGTGATACTGTTTCCATCACTGTTGTTGAAGTTCCCGAGCCTGCCCTGGGACGGGCTCTGGCTATGCGAACCATTTTTGACGACACGGTGGGCATCAATGCTGAGATGATTGAAGACGGCGTCGAAATCCACCCGGCTCCATCTTCAGTTGTACGTGAGATGCAGCAAGCCGTTTCCGATGTTGCACCTGATCTGGGCATCATGACTGGCCCGCAAGGCCGAGACCGACAACATGATCTCGAGAAGCGGGAAGTCATCCTGGAAAAGGCTGCGTACGCCTCAGAAGACGACAGCTTCCTGAAGAAGCTGTTGTTCCCTGTTGAGGGCCAAGGTATCAACCTTGGCCGTGCTGGTCGTTTTGACCTGCCTGCTCTGTTGAGCGCCAGCCGTGCTTGGTTCCATCTGTCTCTCCATCCTACAGACGATTCTCCTGCCAATTTGGCCACCCTCCCTGCCATCACCTCTGCGTGGTCAGCTGGCACAATCTCTCGACAGCTTCGCTCTTGGAGACTTCCTGAGTGGGCTAACCGCCGTAACAGAAATCTCGACTACACCGCCGACTTTGATGTTGATGAGTTTGTTGGTCGTTATGGCGCACTGGGCTGCAAAGATGGCAAGGACGGCATCGAGACTTGGATGCTCGAGAGAGGATGGAGCAACGGTGAAGTCTTCATTGGCAAGGAACGAATCTGGGTTCGCGAAGGTCCCTGGTGGGAGGCAGAGAGCATGCTCGATATCAGACCCGCCCACAGTCTTCAAAGCATGGGTCAAAATCCCTTTTCATCTGGGTTTGACACAAGCTACTCAGCCAACCCTCCTAATGGTAGCGGCTTCTTCCCTCCTCCTGCCATGGACAACAGTATGAATGGCAGCAATGACCACATCATGCACACCCGCAACTTCAGCCAGGGTAACATGAGCCAAGCTACCTTCAACCAACACCCTCAGTTGAATCCTCAATCCGCACCTTCCATCGCCCCATCTGCGATGCGCAACGGCCCTCCCCCTTCTGGTGACTATGGTCTCGGTAACAAGGGTGATACCTACAAGGGACAGGTGTACTACAACGAGGATGGAGAGTTTACCGGCATGCTCGATGGAGAGCTTGCTAATGGCAAGAAGATCGAGACCAAGCCATTGACCTTTGGCCGACGAGCCTGGGTTGCCTTTGTTTGGGCCTTGACTTTCTGGATTCCCTCACCCCTTCTCAAGTTTATCGGACGCATGCGACGACCTGATGTTCGTATGGCTTGGCGTGAAAAGCTTGTTCTGTTCTTCTTGATCATCCTCATCAACGGCCTGGTCATCTTCTGGATTATCGGCTTTGGAAAGCTTCTATGTCCCAACGCCAACAAGGCATGGAATGTCAAGGAGGTCGCAGGTCACGCTGAAGATGAGGACGCTTTTTGGGTTGCTATTCATGGCAAGGTTTACGATATCACCGACTTCTGGCGACAGCAGCACAGTGACACAAATATTCGTGTCACCAAGCAGAACATGCTGCCTCTCTCGGGTATGGTCCTGGATAACTACTTCATGCCTCCCCTGAACAGAGCCTGCAGAGGCCTCGGTATCAAGGAGACCACCCAGCTCACTTACAACGAGACTCTTACCAACCCTCTTGCTCAGCACATCTCTGGCTTCTACACTCGCGATCGCACCAGTGCTCTCAAGGACCCTGATTGGTACTGGAAGAAGTTCCAGCCTAAGATCAAGGAATACTACCACGGTGATCTCGTGTTCAAGGAGAGCACTGTCAAGAAGGAGGGTGAGGGTAGTGAGCAACACCCTTGGGTTATGTATGGAAACCAGATTTACGATCTTACGGACTACCTACACACTCTGGATGTCAACGACAACTTCGACTCGTACAAGTTCTTGAACGAGGATATGGTCAACTTGTGGAAGAACAGCCCCGGTACCAACATTAAGAAGGATCTCGACGACATGATCGCAAATGCAAAGAATGAGACTGTGGCTGCCAACCTTAAGAACAGTTGGTCCTGCATTCAAAACATCGCGTACAAGGGTATCACCGACTTCCGTGACTCTCCCAGGTGCAGAGTCAACAACTACCTCCTGTTGGCCTTCGCCATCATTATCTGTATCGTCACGGCAGTCAAGTTCCTTGCTGCCCTTCAATTTGGTTCCAAGCGACGCCCTTCGCCTCAGGACAAGTTTGTCATCTGCCAGGTGCCCGTCTACACTGAGGGTGAAGACTCTCTCCGAAAGGCTCTGGACTCGTTGACAGCCCTTCAGTACGACAACAAACGCAAGCTGATCTGTGTCATCTGTGATGGTGTCGTCGTTGGTGAAGGTAACGATCGCCCTACACCCAAGATCGTTCTCGATATTCTCGGTGTTGATCCCAAGGTTGATCCTCCTGCGCTCCCCTTCAAGTCAGTTGGCGCTAGCAGCGAGCAGCTTAACTACGGCAAGGTTTACTCTGGTTTGTATGAGTTTGAAGGCAACGTTGTTCCTTACATTGTTGTGGTCAAGGTCGGCAAGGAGTCTGAGCAGACCAAGTCTAAGCCCGGTAACCGTGGAAAGCGTGACTCTCAGATTCTCCTCATGAGCTTCCTCAACCGTGTCCACCACCGCGCTCCCATGTCTCCTCTTGAGCTTGAGATGTTCCATCAGGTTAACAACATCATCGGTGTGGATCCTGAACTCTACGAGTATCTTCTCATGGTTGATGCCGATACTTGTGTCGAGGAAGACTCCCTAAACCGTCTTGTTGCCGCCTGTGCCCATAACGCTAAGATTGCTGGTATTTGTGGTGAAACCGCCCTGGAAAACGATGAGAAGACTTGGTGGACCATGATTCAAGTTTATGAGTACTTCATCTCTCATCATCTCTCCAAGGCTTTCGAATCCCTCTTCGGTAGTGTTACTTGTTTGCCTGGATGGTAAGACTCTTCTTTTTCACCATTGTTATGATTTAGCTAACGCGTCTCGCAGTTTCACAATGTACCGACTTCGAACCGTGGACAAGGGTAAGCCTCTGATTATCTCTGATGGTGTCATCAAGGATTACAGTGTTTGCGACGTCGACACTCTTCACAAGAAGAACCTGTTGTCTCTGGGTGAAGATCGTTACCTCACTACCCTGATGACCAAGTACTTCCCCGAGATGTCCTACAAGTTTATTGCCGATGCCCAATGTAAGACTGCTGCTCCTGAGTCCTGGAGTGTTTTGCTGTCTCAACGTCGACGATGGATTAACTCAACCATCCACAACCTGGTTGAACTTATGCAACTTAAGGAGCTCTGTGGTTTCTGCTGTTTTAGTATGCGCTTTGTCGTGTTTATCGATCTTTGCGGTACCATCATTCTCCCCTCAACCTGTGTATACATTGGATACCTCATCTACATCCTGGCTACCGGCAGTGGACCCATTCCTTACATTTCTCTTGCTATGATTGGTGCCGTTTACGGTCTTCAGGCTCTCATCTTCATTCTTAAGAGACAGTGGCAACACATCGGATGGATGATTATCTACATCCTTGCTTTCCCTATCTACTCTTTCATCCTGCCTCTCTACTCCTTCTGGAACCAGGACAACTTCTCATGGGGTAACACCCGTATCGTCATTGGAGAGAAGGGTGACAAGCAGGTTGTCGCTGTTGATGACGAAGGCTTTGACCCTCGCTCTATCCCTCTGCAGCGCTGGGACGACTATGCTATGTCCAACAACCTTCCTGGCCGCCGCGGTGGTTACCACGAGAAGACTGATTACTCTTACGGTGACAACTACGAGCTTGATGAGATCAAGTCTGTGTACTCTGCCGGACCCCAGGGCTCTGTCCTGACTGGTATGCCCGGCCGTAACACTTACATGCCTCCTCAGTCTCCTGCTTTCAACAACGGCCGCACATCTACTATGGGCTTCCAAGATCAACAACCCTTGCAGCACCGCCAATCCATGATGTCCATGGGTACAGGCATTCAGGACATGCGCAGTCAGTCACCGTACCAAGACTACCCTGGCCAGCACCCTAGTGTCGCCAACCTCCGTGGTCAGGCCAACCTGTCGCCTGCTACTGGCGGTGGCCACAGCAGATCCGGCACCGCTCTGGGCTTCAGCAGCGGCTCTCGTTCGCCTATGCCTGACGCCATGCGATCTCAGTCATCATTTGACTTCCAGCATGGTGGGGGTGGTCCCAACGACATGGCCATCGTCGAATCAATTCGCTCTGTTCTCTGCGAGGTTGATCTCGACACTGTCACCAAGAAGCAAGTTCGCGCCTTGGTGGAGCAGCGCCTTCAGACTGAGCTTGTTGGCGAGCGCCGCACATTCATGGATCGACAGATCGACTATGAGCTCGAGAACATGTAATCTGAACACCAGAAATGTGGAAATGCGTAACTGTTTTATACTATAATCTTGGGTACATACCTTTTATTGGGTTTATACAGCGTGTCACAGCAGTATCATCTACTTTTTGGGTAGCGCTGTTGACGAAAGTCAGAGCATGATGGAAACATAGGTGTTGGAAAGAAAATGAGGAAGTGAGAATATTGGCAGGCGTTTGATGATATTAATGGGCAGATATGGGAGTCCTTCTTTGGAAAGTTTATACTACTGGTTTACTGTAAAAATGGTTACATCTCTTACTATCTCTTAATGCTACAATGGCTGGCTGGAACCGCAATTGGTTCTTGTTTTTCGTATACTCATCTATCTATGGTTAAATACTACGTTCACTGTGTCATGCCTCTGATTTCTTCTCACGTAATGCAGTATGAACAACTGATAACTAGCAAGAGGTAAACCTGTAATGCCGATAATAAAAAGACCCATGGTCGGTATTCAATTATTTATTGAATCTGCTAGCCTAGTCTCCTGTTACGATTCGCCTTTCGCTAATGCTGTTGCTCATGCTCTTTTCTGTGTCGTTCGTTATCAATAATTGAAAAGTCAATTATCTTATTCAAGCAAGACACTTGCGTCTACTGCTGCTTGTCCAAGTTGCCCACGCCCTTCAAACGTAGGTACACATCTGTTCCCCATCCGTACAGGCTCTGCACCGCAATCCCTCCGCCAAAGTACTCCGCATAGGCTCTGCTCAATGGCAATCCGTAACCTAGGCCGGCGATGGAGCTACCACCAGTGCTGGCGGTAGATATAGCGCTGAGTCCACCATCATTGCCATTTGCATCTCCAGGGAAGTCGTCGACATCGTCAGAGAAAGTGGTGAACGAGTATGACCAGACATTAGGGCTGACCTCTGGTGGAATACCACCACCACGATCTCGGATACGGATTGTAACACCCGGAGCGTTGTCATCCAAGGGAACTATGGCGTCGTTGTTCTTGCTTCCGTTGTCTGTTGAGGGCACGCCATTCCGGTCTTCAGCAGATGAGCCTGAGGCGGATGTTGAAGGGTCTCTAGGTAGAGCAGGCTCTGGGGCGATAGTGACTATTACTGGCTCGTTGGACTTGTTCTCAATAGTTGCGCGGAAGGCGTTTTTGAGAAGTTCGGTGACGATGTACTCGAGATGCATAGGCACGAATGCAAACGTCGTATCCGGTTCGCCGCGAATGTATAGGAGTGGTCGCACACCGTAACGGAGCTCGCAGATATCGGCAACGAATCCAGCGCATGATTCTACAATTTGTGCTGGACGAAGAGCTGTGTCAATGACTCCAATGTAGGAGGGATGCTCAGGGCATGGTGTCGGACTGGCACTAGGATCAAAATGTGGCTGTGAACTAAAATGCAATGCAATGTGCTGTTCTGCAATAAGTCGTGTACCAATTCGAGCGCGAAGATGTTGATCGAGGAACCGCGTTACCTCCTCAGGAGATATGTATCGTCGGCATTCGAGGAAGCCCTTTGCGAGAATGGGGATCGTATCCGTATGCGTCGCCACGAGCTCGGCAAGGACATTAGTGAAGTGTACTTCATCCTCGAGTGTGGAGATCGCTCGTCCTTCCCGGGTTGCGTGCCAGTATGGAAGGAGGATGGATAAAGAATGAAGGTAGTTGTTGTATATACGGGAGATGTTTGGGTTCGAAACGACGATGTATGGGAGGTTGCGCAAAGCTTGGATACGGTGGGCGAGGCGCACTGGAAGGAGGGAGAGTGCGAAGTTGGCGGAAGAAAGAAGAGATTCCGATGATAGAGGTGGTCGGCCGTGTCTGCAAGGTCAGGCATGATTAGCTTGTGCAAAAGCTGTGTGGCTGGCTGGTGGAACATACCTCACAAGATCCGCAAGACACAATGGATGTTGATGAAGCCGGGCAAGAGTCGCAATTTCATCATCCGTTACCTTTTCAGAGTGTATGCTCCGTCTTGATAGCAGGCCAGTCCCTGTATATCTGTATGTCCGTTGCGATTGTCTAGGTCCTTTCCATTGCGACATATATCGTTGTGATGTGCGGTAAGGACATGACCGGAGAATTACAGCGGCTGTAGGCATGCGCTGCCGAATTGACCTTGTGGAAGAAGTAATCATGGCAGCATACTGAGCTGGGCGCAACAGTCTTCTCTCGTTGTATATACACCCACGTCTCGAAGTAGGCAGGTCGTTTAGAGAATTAAAATGGTGGCTGGTATGTTGATGTGCGAATAGCTGTATGTACGTATGATGGGATGGATGAACGGAGCTGGATGACTCGCCGTCTTTTGCTGTGTCCGGGGAAATATGTGGAGAAAGGTCACGGAACTTGAACGGCTTATCACCTCTTTGGGCCCGCTTGGGGCCGGCTTATCGCTTATCATACCCGGCAGGTGGGTAACAGAAGAATTGTCCTCTAAGGTTTAGGCTTCCATAATAAAGTAACCTAACTACGGGTCTACTTTAGCATAAAGTGACTAATTTATTTCGTCTCTTATGTCTCTAGGGGCCAATTCTTCTTACACCCTGAGGAACGGCAGCTTTCAACTGCGGGGTGTTTGGGCTTATCTGCTATACGTCACTGAGACTCCCCGCTAACGATAAGGCATCATAAGCTCCCGTCTCTAAGGGTCTTTCATCTTTTTTTGCTTGCAGGACGAGGACATTGTAGTAGAATCAGGCTATTCATGCAGGAACAATAGTGAAGATGAGATGTAGTGAATGGATGGCCATTGTAATGTTGTTTCACACTCTTCCATGATGATGAGAAGAGCTGAGTGATGATATCCAAGTTGAATCCAGATATAGTTGATAAGTAAAGATATAGAGCTCGCAACATAGATATCTCACACGATTCATTCAGTTCTCAAGAACCCCACAACTGCTTCAAATATCTCGAGTCTCTGGCGAGTCACAAAGAGAGTCGAGTCAATGAATCCCGACCTGAGACATGGGTAGGGTTGAGCGGCCCTGATGGAAGAAACCCCACAAAAAAGGTCATGACTCGAGGGGCCGTCTTCGGAGCTGGAGATACTATTATTCTAAGACCCTGCCCGCACCTTTCCGACCCGACTTCCATTGTATTGCGCCTGATACCGAGTTGATTTGTTTCTCGTATCTAACTTTTGGGTCCATCTCTCGCACTTGCCTATTCAGGTCACCTTTTGACACCAAAAAATCATCACAATGGCTCCCGAACGTGTTTGCCTGTAAGTCAACCCCTCCAGCTACGAGTGGTCCATGATCCAATCGACTGATAGCTAACTCAATTCAGTGCCTACTCTGGTGGTAAGTTGAGCAAGCTTTGGATCATGCCATAGCTTCAATACTCACGATATACTAGGTCTCGACACCAGCACCATCCTCCGATGGTTGGTCCTTGAGGGTTACCAGGTTGTCTGCTTCCTTGCCGACTGTGGTCAGGAGGAGGACTTCGATGCTGTCAAGGAGAAGGCCCAGAAGCTCGGCGCTGAGCGCATGATCATCCAGGATGTTCAGCAGGAGCTTATCGATGACCTTGTCTGGCCTGCCGTTCAGTGTATGTTTAATCCCGTCCTTTGCATAAACCCAACAGCTTACTGACACTCGACAATTACAGGCAACGCCGTCTACGAGGACCGATGTAAGATGCGACATCCCGCTTATATCCTTATCCAAGACCAAGCTAACATCGAGACGACCTCCTCGGTACCAGTCTTGCCCGCCCTGTGATCGCCAGGGCCATGGTCAAGGTTGCTAAGGAGCACAACTGCACAATTCTCAGCCACGGATGCACTGGCAAGGGTGTATGTTCTTCAATTGTATCATTCATGTTTCTCCTGCTAACGTTTCTAGAACGAGTATGCTTCTCTATCCGACAAAGCTCTGGTCTAGTACTTACATCTCTCTAGTCAAGTCCGATTCGAGCTCGCATGGAAGGCTTGCGACCCCACCCTCAAGGTTATCGCTCCCTGGCGCATGCCCGTGTTCTACAACCGATTCGCGTTCGTAACTGTCTCCCATTTCTCGGTCGCAATTAAGCTGACAGCCCGATAGTGGACGTGCCGATCTGTTGAAGTTCGCTTCTGAGCAGAACATCCCCGTCAGCTCTACCCCCAAGGCCCCCTGGTCTATGGACGACAACATCATTCACTGCTCTTACGAGGCCGGTGTAAGTCTTCATATATCTGTCGAACCTATCTCGTGTCATACTGACTCTCTCAGATCCTCGAGCAAACCGAGCTCGAGCCCCCTAAGGACATGTGGAAGCGCACAGTCGGTAAGATGTTACTTAACATTGTAGAGATTAGCAGACATTGACTCTATCTGCAGACCCCATGGAGGCTCCCGATAAGCCTACTCCCTTCACCATCCACTTCGAGCAGGGTGTTCCCGTCAAGCTCGAGGTTGGCGACAAGACCATCACTGGATCCCTGGAGATCTTCAAGGAGGCCAACGAGATCGGCCGAGCCAACGGTATTGGACGTGTCGACATTGTCGAGTCTCGATTCATCGGCCTGAAGAGCCGAGGATGCTACGACACCCCTGGTCTCACTATCCTTCGACAGGCCCACATCGACCTTGAGGGTCTTGTCCTCGACTCCAAGGTTCGAGCCATCCGTGACCGTCTTACTCAAGACTGGTCTGCCGCCATCTACAACGGCATGTACTTCAGCCCTGAGCGTGAGCTCGTTGAGCACGCCATCAAGTTCTCTCAGCGCCAAGTTGAGGGTAAGGTTAGCCTCATCGCCTACAAGGGCAACGCCTACGTCGTCGGACGTTCCTCCGAGACCTCCAACCTCTACTCCGCCGATGAGAGCAGCATGGACACCCTCGACATGAACTGGACTCCTCAGGACACCTCCGGCTTCATTGCCATCCAGGGTATCCGTCTCGAGAAGTACGGCGCGAGGAAGATCAAGGACGGCCAACCCCTTGCCCCTTAGAGTAGAAGTAGAAGGCGAAAACAAAATCCAACTCCTATTGTGCAGTAGTTCTTTGTTACTTTCAAGAGAGAAATAAAAAATACAAATGATATCAGATTACCTTGCCATGATGTGTGCAGATGCCATGCCCATGAAGGGGCTGAACGGCGATGTCTTCTGGTCCCGTGTTCACACCCAGGTCTCAGCTCGTACCGGTTGAGCTTTTGAAACATATCATCAGCAACGTATACGAGGAATGAACTTATTTGATTCGCAAAGTACTGTTGTACTTTCTGGACCTATAGTGGAAGTATGCGCAGATAAACGCAGCAGGATTTTCCCCAGCAGTTGTCGATACCCTTCATCTTTCCAAAAACCGTTCCCGTCCTCCATGCCATATGCCATGATTTCCTGCTACCGCCGCAACAGATCTAAACTTGAGGTTCGTCGCTAGGTTGTAGTCGATATCAAGCCTCCATCTGCGGGGTTGCGGGGTCAGCTTGAGCAAGCTCCCGCGAAGCTCTCACCCCGCTCCACTAGTTCGCGCGATTGGTTGCATATGAGCATGCCAATTCTATGGTTCGAGGTCCAATACTGTTGCAGAAGCAGAACAGTTGTGAGGATAGAATAGTTACTTGGAAATGTTCATGATCAGAAGATGGTAGCTCAAGCGGGTCACGAGACACTGAGAAGAAGGCAGTTTAATAATTATATTCCAGGACGCCGATGCAACAGAGCTCGAGATAATATGGCATTTCGTCCGTCTCCTCTTTGCATTTCCATCATCTACTGGGTCGTCATTGTACCGTCCTCCTCGACAGTCTTTACATGCTCGTGGTTCTCGAGGGTCTGTATGCAATCTTCGGGGAATTCGACACTGTTGTCATTGTACAGTCAGTCTTCCATCGGCCATATCAAAGGTGTAGCGAGGAGGATAACATACGCGAAGCCCTTGATAAGGCTGTACTCGTGTGTGATCTTTCCGCCCTGGTCCTGGGCGTGCTGCTTGGCCCTTTTAACTGTCAATATTTGGATGTTTTTCGAGTTGAGTGTAATCTAATACATACGACTCGACCTGGTCGGTGGACGCATCGTCCTTGCAACAAACCTGAAAGAAGATGTCAGCCGATAGTTCTTGATCGTAGAACCACATTTCAGGGGGTCTTTACAATGTAGGAAGGCATGTTGGATTTAGTTGTGTGATGAAACTGTTGATGTCTTATGATTGTTGTATGTGAAGCTTTCAAGTTGATGTGGCTGCGGGTGCCGCAAATTATATCCGTCATTAGTTGGGCTGGAGCGTGACCACGGCCCATCCTGCTTTGCCAGCACCTCAGGCGCTTGCAGGTCTACGTAGCTCCTGTACGCATCCACTTTGTTGTCAGATATCCAATGAATCTTGCTTCCCCTCCTTTGTAACTGCTCGTTTCGATACACTTTCTTGGTGGAGAGTTTGTCCTCGGCTGTTATAGGGTAGACTCCGACTCGTGTCTGACGGCTTGTGAGCATGACGCAATCTTCAAGAACGGTGTGTGACGTCGATTAGTATCTGACAGCAATGACGTGGTTACTAGATTACACAGATGGTATCTATATACTTTGAAGCTATGAATCACAGGTCCAAGAGGTTTGCCTGTGAATGTATATGGTGTTGGGATGAGATGTCCTGGATTGACGCTGGGACACCTTGATGGAGAACAATGGTGACCTGGGATATGACTCGTTTGAGCCTGGACTGACCTGAGTGGACGCAACTAATCAATGATTAGATAAATAAAGATAAATTCAGCATCATCATAGTTTCCCTGATACACTCTAGGAAAGTTTAGACACAAGGAAGTTTCACAAGATAGCACCATTTTGATATAGGGTAGGCAAAATCATCATGATGCCCCTCATGAACTGGACGATCCCCCACCTCTAGCCGAGGAGCGCTTGTTAACGGCCAGAGACTCGAGACTTGCATGACGTAGACGATAGATAACGGATAAGCATATCGCATTGCGCCAAAATAGCCCCTATGATAAGCTTATCCATCTGCAGGTCTAGTGAGCAGAGCAGCTTGGCATTGTGTCCATCCTGACGGGTCATTGTACGAGAGATCATGATGAGTAACCATGAGAAGCTATGGTCATAGTGGCTACCAGATGCAGGCAAATTGTTGATTCCCACGTGAGTAGCTTGTACACTCCGGCAGTTTTGCGCTGGTACCATTTTGATGAAATTGTTGGAGAGCTGCACTGTTGACGGTCGGACGCCACAGGACAATGATTGTGGAGACGCCGAGCTGTCGCATTCGTATTCGGTCGCAGGACTCGGACCATCGAAAGGTGAGAAGAAATGAAATCGGCATCAAGTAAAGTCCGTCTCAGTTATTACTACCGTGCCACAGACGGGATGATTTGAGTGCTCAAGTTTGCTGTCCCATAAGAGCATGCTCATCAAATCATCGTTGCATTCATTGACTTCACCTTACAACTTATATCGATAAGTAACCACACACGTGATACGGTAGAGTGGTTCAACCGCTGGGCCTTGCTCACCTGATATCTGTTTGCTCCAAAAGTGAGACGCCTCTGTTTTTGTTTTGTGGACAAGAAGAGCCAGAAAGGATGCGACTTGATGTCAAAACCCGAATATTCCCAGATAAACGAATACGCCGTATCCATGTCGAACCGTTCTTCGGTGAAGTGTGGTGTGGGACCCTAGACGATCGAGCTAGGAGCGGACCCTGGAGATGAGCCTTTGTAAGCACCAATCTGACTGGCTGCGTCCCTGGCCTTGTAAGTAAGATGGACCAATAGCGGCTGATCGATCATACTGAGAAGGGACGGGGCGTGCAAGTAGTCTTTCAGGGCTGTCCGAATCTTATAGCGACCAGTCATGGAAAGCTCCTTATGTTAACAATCATGACTCCTTGATCAACACAGATATTATGCTGTACGGTACTCCGGAGTTAAGTATCCAAATTCGTTACTTCCATGTCTGCGTATCGGCAGACAATCGATCCATATCCCTAAGCGACCAGATCAAAGACAGCCAGGGGCTAACCGGCACTGGCTGTCTAGATCTTTTCTCTCGAGACGCATTGGCCAAGAGTCTGCAGAGTATTGACTTGTAGTTGAGATTCAACGGCGCGTAAATGTGAGGCTCTCAGATAGGCTCAAGTCTGAGTTCCAAATTGACACCTATCATGTGCTCTGCAACATACCAAAGAGGGGACCAGTTGCGGCGTATCGGATGCCGCCGATAGCTTTGTTGGGAGCCCTGCATCAGACAATGAAGTACGTCCATGGCACAGTAGAGACGGTTTTCATGCTATGAGGCTGAATGGGAAACATACGATTAGGTAGATTACGGATAGAAGAATGGTCGCTAATAAGCGTTGTCCCGAATATCAGGCTAGGGCCCGCTCAGATCTGTGACGGAAGACGCGGAAGAAGGCGAGGCGGTGGACTTTATGAAGAGCAGCTAGAAGCTAGCTAGCAGGGCTGTCTGTTCTATACATACGGATACGATTATGGATGGTAGGAGTCTCCAAAGACAAGACATTATAAATACGCGGATTGTTTTAGCGTTTATCTTGCTGTCTGCAAGTGAATCAAGAGTCACGCGTACGCTGTAGCAGCTGTATAAAGGCGGTATATCTTGTATTCAACGATGGACAGTGCCTGGCCTCATACGTATGTTGATCTTATGTGCGTTTACAATCACTATAGATCATGTAAACCTGAGTGGTCTGTCTTCTGTACAGGTCTTAATTACTGCTGAATGTGAACAAGCGAATGCTACCAACCAACTTAGACCCTTTACAGGATCGACAGTGCTCGAGTTTCGGAGACTAAACTTCAATGGGAGGTAGTAGGGTGTTAAAGTGGCTAGTACCTCAAGCGTCTTGATTAACACCAGGTCAAGGGGAATTTCTTATGAGAGACCCAGCAAAAAAAAAAAAAGATGGGAAATTGTCATACAAACGTGCGTATATTTTAATTTGGGTGCTGTCTCTCATCATTTTGTGCAATGCAGATCTATGGGAAGTTGAATAAAGATACCAATCAGTTCTCTTTCATTAATTGCAAGTCTCGAATGTATGGACATCAATAGGTCGAGTCCAGTATGCAACTTTGATGCAGTTTACGGAGCCGACCCCCCTCCAACTCTAATCAACCACGCTACAAGCTGTCACGCCCTGCTCAACAGCGTCGCTTTTTGGGAGACAGAGCCACAGTAAAGCTTTCAGGATGGAAAACAAAGAATGGAAAATGATCAGAAAGCACGTAGAATCCTTGACTTCATCAATTGGCTTTTTAAACAGAAAGATCCAATGACCAGATCATGATGGCTCTGCTCTCCTCTGTCGTCATGTTAAATCTCCGCTACTTAGCGAACTCGTTCCCGTTAATCGTCCACACCCTGCCCTTGTAAACCAACCCTTGACCTTGAGACCCCAGGGCCCTCTTTTTAATTTTTTTCCTGGTCTTGTCAGGTCCGTTCCCTGTAAATGACTGGCAAGGAACGCACTGAAGCCATTAAGTGACGGGTAGCAACTTACGCGGACTCTGCAGACGAGAGGCGTCTGCGGGTCAAGTCGCTGTAGTAGTAAAAAAACAGCCCAGAAAGACAAGACATCCATTCATTGAACGGACGGGACGGACAATTACTAAGAAAGTTAACATCGGACCTCCCCAACGTGGAAAGAAATACAACCTCCACTTCCCCTTCTTTTAACAACCTCCTGTCCCCTTCCCTTCCCTCCTACTCCTTACCCTCCCTCCTTTTCCTCCCACCTACATCTCCTTAGTCGCAGGGAGTATTCAGTGGTTGTGACGATAACAAACCAGCAGCACATCTCGCTTGGCTGGACTTCGAATTCGACTGCGACGCGACTCATCCGAGCGACTCTCTTTAGGCTTTGCCCATTGTCGCGTTAAACACAATGGAGGCTGTCAACTCAACCGCCAGCGGCTTCTCGTCCGTCTTGGCCGGTACCAAATACGCCAACGTTAACCTTCCTCCTCAAATCGACTATGTTATCGATGCCGTTTCCAATGCCGGTGTCTGGACCTGGGTGATCACTTTCATTGCGCTCTGCGTTGCCTATGATCAGAGTATGTGTCATTCTGCGAGGCTCGGCCGCCATTTCGCTAACCACAGCTTCGCACAGTTGCATACATCATCAGGAAAGGTCCTATCGTGGGTCCTGCCATGAAGCTTCCCTTCATTGGCCCCTTCCTCGATTCCATGGACCCCCGATTCGACGGCTACCATGCCAAATGGAGCAGCGGTCCTCTCAGCTGTGTTTCTATCTTCCACAAGTAAGTTGCGACGACGAACCTGGAATTGGGCCATACTGACATATGCTAGATTTGTTGTTATCGCTTCCACTCGCGACATGGCTCGCAAGGTCTTCAACTCTCCTGCTTATGTCAAGCCCACAGTCGTTGATGTTGCCCCTAAGCTCCTTGGACACGACAACTGGGTGTTCCTCGACGGAAAGGCTCACGTTGACTTCCGCAAGGGCCTCAACGGCCTTTTCACTCGCAAGGCCCTCGAGCTCTACCTGCCCGGTCAGGAGGAGGCCTACAACACTTACTTCAAGCACTTCCTCAAGATGACTAAGGATGCTGGCGGCAAGCCCGTTCCTTTCATGCACGAGTTCCGTGAGGTCATGTGTGCTGTTTCTTGCCGAACTTTCGTCGGTCACTACATCTCCGACGAGGCCGTCACCAAGATCGCCGAGGACTACTACTTGATCACCGCTGCTCTCGAGCTTGTCAACCTCCCCGTTATTCTCCCTTACACCAAGTCTTGGTATGGCAAGAAGGCTGCTGATATGGTCTTGGCCGAGTTCTCCAAGTGTGCCGCCAAGAGCAAGGTTCGAATGGCTGCCGGTGGTGAGGTTACCTGTATCATGGATGCTTGGGTTCTGTCAATGATTCAGTCTGAGCGCTGGCGCGAGGCCGAGGAGAAGGGCGAGCCCCACGATGTTGAGAAGCCCACTCCTCTCCTCCGCATGTTCAACGATTACGAGATCTCCCAGACCATCTTCACCTTCCTCTTCGCTTCTCAGGATGCTACCAGCAGCGCCGCCACTTGGCTCTTCCAGGTTACCGCCCAGCGACCCGATGTCCTTGACCGTGTCCGAGAGGAGAATATCAAGATCCGCAACGGTGACCCCAACGCCCCCATCACCATGGACCAGCTCGAATCTCTTACCTACACCCGCGCTGTTGTCCGCGAGCTCCTCCGCTGGCGCCCTCCTGTCATCATGGTTCCTTACGTCACCAAGAAGGCTTTCCCCCTGACCGAAGACTACACCGTTCCTAAGGGTAAGTTTGAAAACACCATGTACTTGCCGCGTTGATCTCGAAACTGACTGTTCTCTCATAGGCTCCATGTTGATTCCCACCACTTTCATGGCTCTGCACGATCCCGAGGTTTACGACAACCCCAGCCACTTCGACCCTGAACGATACTACAGCGGTGACGCCGAGGAGAAGGGTTCCAAGAACTACTTGGTGTTCGGCACTGGTCCTCACTACTGCCTCGGCCAGGTCTACGCTCAGCTGAACCTGGCTCTCATGATCGGAAAGGCCTCTGTCATGCTTGACTGGAAGCACCATGCCACCCCAAAATCTGAGGAGATCAAGGTCTTTGCCACCATTTTTCCCATGGTATGTGTGCAATCCCCGAATGAATTTTTGACAACGACTAACCTCAGTAGGATGATTGCCCTCTGACTTTCGAGGAGAGGAAGTGGTAAGCGGTACCGTGCGAATTTTCGTTTTAATATAAGAGACACCGCTTCATCGATCGCATCTTCAACGTTCCTGATGCCATCATGTTAGGTTTCACCTAACAAGACGCATCTAATGAGGGACACGGAAAGACGTGGACGAGGAATATGGCTGTGAAAAACTTAAGTTCCAGCAAAGACAAGGCTGGAATACTTGACCTCCAATAATTCCGGAAAACATTCCGGGTATGGAGCTCGAGGAGCCACGCAGCATCGATGTGGATGAAAAGAAGAGATATGATGGTTTATCAGTTTTAATACCTATTCTCGGTGTATATATTGGCAGCCCGAGGGCTTTGGGGATGAATCGGTCATAGAGATGATCGCCATGACTATAATATGGCATTTGGACAGCGCAATGAAAAATAATTCAAGATCAAATCAACGGGAGAGAGGTGACTTGCGGTCGAACTAACGTCAGCGGGCACTATGAAGGATTCATGATCACGTTACTACTGCTCCATGAGCTTATCAGCTCCGGGTTTCAGAGACACCCTCGTTCGGCAATTCACTAGAAAATCTAAGCACCGTGAATTGTGATATTGAGGATGTGATTGCTGGTTATGTGTAGACACCTTGTGCCAGTATCGCCATGGCATTTCATTGAGGTGCTTGTTACATCATCCCCACCAAGGTTCCCGAAGTGACAGACCCCTAAATACCTTAGTCAGGTAGCTTAGCTTAGTTAACTGGGTATAGTCTGAGATTCGCCATCTTAAACCTCAATACAACGTCACTACCGGAACGATACACAGTAAATCAACATGGCTTCCCGCCGTGCCTTTGTGTCTTCAGCTCTGCGCGCCTCAGCTGCCGTCCGCCCCGCGCGGCCTATCTTCTCTGTCGCAGTGCGTACAGCCAAGCCCTCATTAGTACCCCGAGCTTTTGCGCCCTTTGCCAGATCGACACGAGACTATAGTGTCAAGACAAGTGAACCAAAGCAATGGGAATTTGAAGAATTGAAGAACCTCGTGCAGAAGGGCGCCAATGACGAGATTATCATTGTTGGTATGCTTCACGCTATTCGCATCCACAAGACCCGAGACTGACATTATATTGCAGACGTTCGAGAACCGCACGAGCTGTTCGAGACCGGCAAGATTCCCGGCGCGATTAACATTCCTATCACAACAGCAGTACAGAGCTTCCATATTCCCGAAGAGGATTTCGAGGAGATGTACGGATTTGAGCGACCTTCGAAGGACAAGGAGCTGTTGTTCTACTGTAAAGCTGGTATTCGCGCAAGGTCAGCCTCACAATTGGCCAACCATGCTGGTTGGAAGAAGACGAGCGAGTATCCCGGGAGCTGGCTCGACTGGGCGGAGCACAACGGACCCGTTGAGAAGGTTAAGAAGTACTAGGGATCGCAGTAAGAAAGGCTGCAATGGAAAGGGCGAGGTGCATTGGGAGGTCAAACATTGATCAGATGAAAGCGCCTTCTAACTTATTATACAATGCCGAGATGATCCATTTCCTCCAAACTCCGTTTTGGCTACGCTACGTTGGGGCTGTAATCAGGACCCAGGAACACATATTGTCTTACACGTGTTATTCAAACCCTCATATCCCATCTCATCTTTCTAGCAAATTTCCCTGAATCTGTTCTTTAAAACATGCGATCGCCCTTGCCCTTGTCTGGTGTGCTTGACACGGGGCTGCCATGAGCAAAGAAGAGGATCTTGATGGCAAGCGCCAAACCAGCATGAAGTAGCACAACCACGACCAGCAGAATCTTGCTGACCTGGCGGTCCGTGGCGCTAAGGACGGGATACAGGTTGCGTAGCAGGAAGGCGACAGAGATACCAAAACCGACTCCAACAAAGACCCAGTTGAGAATGGAAATGGGGGATGAACTGATGAGAGCCACAGGAACCCAGATGAGGTTAGAGTACCCGTACAAAGCCCAGCACTCGAGAAGATTGGCAGATTCGCTACCGAAATATCGCAGGGCTAGGAAGAGACCCATAGGGATGAAGAGGGTGTAGCCATAGATGAGGCCAGCGGCGCCTAGTTTCATGTTAATGCGCAACCCTCGACAACAAGTGCTATATAGATGCAAACATACCACTGAGGAGCTTAAAGTCGTAAAGGAACGGCCCCTTGCCTGTATCAGACATGTACTGGCTGATGGTGCCGCCCAGGAAGAGAATCAGAACAACCGTTGTGGCGATCCAGAACGGTCCATACAAATCAGGGTTGCCTTCGAGGACATCGAGGAAGTTGGCTCGAGGGAAAAGAGCAGCCCAGCAGCGGGACAGGACAGCGGATGTATCGACGTCGAAGAACTGCGCGTAGAAGTTCATGCTCCAAAGGAAGCGCTTTGATGACCCTGAGCCGCTTGAGGCTGTGGCTGGCGCGGGAAGACCGCTGCTGCCGGAAGGAGGCTTGCGAGTGTTGGGATTTGTGTCGTTGAAGTTGGACGTATGGAATTCGAGGTCTTCTTGGAGATCGGTGTGGCCGAGGTCGCCCTGGATAGATGTCAGTAGCTGCCAGAGCTTGGTGTAGCTAGAGGGGCTTGTATACCTCATCGTCGACGTCGACGACGGCATCATAACCAGAGCCAGACATTACGAATACTTGACAATCCTTTGGATTGCTTTGATGTGATATAAAGAGCGACTCGTTCTTGGTTGGCGATGTGTACGTGGTTGGAAGTGAATAGCGCTTTTACAAGGGAGGGTAAAGTTGCTGCTACTTGTTACAGGTCGCTGACAACTTCCAATTGGGACAGTTTGGCAGTTGTCGTAATTCAGGAGCGCGCAGCGTGTCAAGCTCCAGCCCCGAAGTTTAAGCGGCGCCTCATGATTTCCGGCTTTTGTCTATCACCACCCTGGCATGATTATCAGTGGAGCTATGTAGAACATGAAACACCCTGCATACCGAACAAGGTAGTGAGGGATAGAGCGAACGGACTCCAAATTCTCCAATTGATGTATGCTTGCTTGTATGTATCGCGATAATTGAAGTTGTCACTATTCAGACTTGCACGATATTTAAGGAGCCCAATTATTGTTTTCAATATTGTAGTCCTGTGTCATCACTTGCTCCCCCGAAGGTAAGAGGCACAAGTACAATTTCCCGCCCACAAACACACAAACACAACACAACTATCCACAAGCATTGTTCGAAGCGTGAATGCTTTTTATTTCTTTTGGGGTCTGGCCGGGACACCTTGCGGTACGGCACATCATCATATGGGCATCATTTAGAATGTATTGCCTGAGCTGCACATGCTATTTTAAAAACAACCAGCCTCGTGTGAACAAAAGAAAGCTCTCCTTCGTCCTTGCCATCGACCCCCAAATGCCAAATCCCAGACGCCACATCCATGGAGTAATCGTTTATTTGAGCTTCTTCTTGGGTCGGAGCTGGTTAGTGTGACCACACTTGCGCTTGCGGCAGTTGGTGGCACGAGGAGGGAGACGAGCCTGAGAAAGTCTGTTAGAATCCGGTGCGCTCGGCGCGATGTGAGGCTCAACATACGTAGCACTTGCGGCAGATCATCTTGTCGCAGTTGAACTTGGAGGCAAGAGCCTTGAGCGAAGGCTCAATGATACCACCACGGAGACGGAGGACCAGGTGGAGAGTGGACTCCTACAATACGGCGTAAGTATATGTTCCCATCATTTTCCTTTAATGCCCTGCGGTCGCAAGCGCATTCCAAATTCCACGCACCTTCTGGATGTTGTAGTCGGAGAGAGTTCGGCCATCCTCGAGCTGCTTACCAGCGAAGATCAGTCGCTGTTGGTCCGGGGGGATGCCCTCCTTGTCCTGGATCTTGGACTTGACATTGTCGATGGTGTCCGAGGACTCGACCTCGAGGGTGATGGTCTTGCCCGTCAGGGTCTTCACGAAACTGGATGGCGCTGTTAGTACACGAACGTACGGGGGCGAGATTTGTCGATAATTTTCGGAATCGGCGGGTTCGAGCTTACATCTGCACTACATTGGGAGTCAGTATTCACGTCTTCACCCAGTCATTTGCGACCACTGGTAGGGGTATACTCACTCTTGACTGATTTCTGTGACGGTGACGATGTGAGGATTGGAAAGCCGGGCTTCTTTCTGCGTGCAATATTGGTGGGGCGAAAGCAAACGAAGGGAAGGAAAGCCCTAAGGTTCTGGTGGGTCACGTGCCTTCCATTTCGCGATTGTGACCTTCGCTTGGCTCGGGGGTGGACCCATCACTCGACAGCACTCATGATATCATGCCCTGGCATTTTAAAGCTCGGGTCATCGGTGTAAGTCAAAATAGTTGGCTGGATATTATAGAATTATTTGCTATATTTTCATGCAAACCTATATCATTCCGTTGGCCTGTCTACGGCGATTCGATTGCCAACCAAGCACCCTCTGCTCCAACATATAAACGGCCTGGACTGTTTCGTCTAGCGATAAGCCCGATATGTGACCTTGAAAACTGGTTAGCTTTGATGGGTTGAAGAGGGCATGGTGACTTACCAGCAGTCCGATACAACGCCTGCGCTGTCTCAGTCAAGTCTTCTACTGCGCGGAATGCCTCATAATTTGGCTCCAGTGAAGCATCATCTTCTTTTTCAGATCCATCCTCTCCATTGACTGTAATGGCTCGGCCAAGGATCTGTCGCATTTTATGATCGTTATCCTTCTCAGTACTCTCTTCAAGAGGGGCTCTAGGAGGCGGAGCACTTTCTGACGGGAAGAATCTTGTGATTGCCGAATCGTCTATAAAATGTTAGCATGTATCTTTCGATGTGCTCAAATAACCCACTCTTCCTATCAATCGTGCTCATAACGTGAGTAAAGTACTGGTTAAGCTCCTCCACTGTCATGGACGTTACTTCGCCTACTGTGACCTTGTCAAAGCTAGGCTCCTGTTCGGGAACCTGTGATACATCTGTCAACTGCTGGATGCCTTTTTTCCATTTTGTCCAGTCAAATCCGATAACCTGCTCAGTATCGGCGACTTGGAGCAACGGAGCGTGACGTCCTAGTGGGAAACACAGCTTTGCGGCAACGAGAATAGCAGAGATAAGGAGAATCTCAGGATAGTCAACATAGAATCGCCGTGACTGCTCGATAGGTAACTGGAAAGAGAATTGCATCACCGATAGTATACTCTTGGCTGTGACCAGGGCTTCAACTAGGATAATGGTTAGTATAGAGGCTCATCATACTTCGAAGAGGAACATACTGGGCAAAGCGAGCTGCCTGACAAAGTGAACCAAAGTCGGCGTCTGGTTGATAGCAGGGAACATCATTCCGTAATTGTAATTGTATGACAGTGCGAGATCTAGCACTGCATTATGCAAGTCGATGCCCTTGAGAGAGGAGCGAAGGGGTATTTTGAGCGCTCTCGTGTAAGCAGACGGCAAACGATCCTGCATCTCTTGTGGCAGGTCGTAATACTGAAAGTCATTAGAGCATGATCACCATCCCTAGAATACAACTTACCGATCGCTTGTACGGTATTCGTTCGGTATTGGCCCAGAGACACAACTCTCCAATGGTTGTAGGTATTCTGAGCAGCAAGCATCCAAGATAGCACAAAGCCAGTGTATCGTTCAGGTTAGGCATTGGCCACTGCGAAGTCTCCTCTGGATTCCAGCTCTGGGCTTTAGTTGTCTGTGTTTTTCGCGTTTTATCTTGGCTCTTCTCATCCACTGTAGGCTGGGAGCTGAACATTGCTAGGCCTTCATCTTGTCCTGTTTCTTGTTGTGTTTCCTCATCCACGGCAAGACCGCCGCCGCGAGTACGGAGATCCCAAAGGTCTCGAACCACAGTCTCAAGCTCTTCCCGATGGCCTTTGCTCTTTATGAGCCATAGAAGCTGGTTCCTCAGAACTAGTTGTAGGCACTCAAGAAAGAGGTTTCTTCCTGCCTGGCCAGTGAGATGTCGCAACTCCTTCTCTTTGATCTCCTTTTCTTTTCTGGCCTTGGTACCGAGATTTCCTGCATCTACCTCGTCGCCTATATCAAATTGAATGAAACCCTGTTTTGTTACATCAGTTGATGGGTCTCAAAGGTCAATGTTGTGCCGTACCTCAACTTGATGTCCATTGGAGCAGAAGCGCAGACCATACTCCAAGTACCATTTTCGGGCACCACATTCTGGGCATCTCTCACCACGAGGAAACTTGCGAAGATCTTGCCGTTCCATGGTTCTGACGGATCATGATATTGAACTCTTAAATCCTGAATCTGTTTTGTTTTTCTTTGCAGCCCGACCAGCTAGTACACGACAATGTGACCTGGCCGCTGTGGTGTTGGCGCAGACAAAAAGAAAAGTGGTCAAAGCATGGCAAACTCAGTATTACATATGATTTGTCGATGTTTGTCGCAACCGAGAATTTACGCTAATAAAATGGCAAGTTAGCGTGGAGAGGTCAACAAAATATCCAAAACATCTTTCTAGGCTTGTTTGTCTCTTTATGTATTTGTTTCAAGGATGTTGATCCATCACGCCCAAATCGCTCTCTAGGTTACGGCTGCGCATCTCACCAATTGTTGACGTCCACACGCAGGCCTGAGATTAACTTTGACAACTCAAACATATTATTCTTGTCTCACGCCAACACGTCGACATGTCCAATAGACTTTATGATAGTGCCATATTACTTAATAACTTCACATCACCAAGAAAAAGAGTATAGTTAATCAACTCCAAAGCTCTCCCATTTTTCGTCATTTAATTGCTGCTACGTATCGTGACATGATGGTATTTGCAGCTTGTGAGCTAGGAACAAAGGAAAACATTTTCGAGCCTGAGGCTCGAGTCAAGGATTGCCTTATATCATAAACGGCAGGCAATCCCATCAAGGTAGAGGGAATCCTTCTGCGCAACGCCTACCCATGGCCCATGAATATTGATGCGCCGAAAGTCGATCAAAACAACAAAGATCCCCTGGTCAGACCATCTTCTGAAATAGATCCCCAGGGGCCAAGTGCCATCAAGGTAGGGTCCGGATTAGGGGTCAAATAATTTAGTTCTGGCCGGGAGCCTCCTTGGCCTCCATAGCGCACTCCTCGCCCATGGAAGTGAGAACGATAACGTCTTGAATCCGTGGTTAGCGTATCGATCGCTTCAAAATCATGAATCTACTCACTGGTGTCCTTCTCCTCCTCCTTGAAGAGCTTGGTGATCTTCTGGCCAACCTCGTTGTCGGGCAGAGGAACATCGTCCTTGGTGTCACCGTCATCGGTCATGAGGGAGAGGAAGCCGTCGTCGGAGATGTCGAGCTTGAATACTTGTTAGTCGAACCAATAACGGAAATGACCGGGGGTAAGCTCTTGAAGGAGGGGTTCTTCCTTTGTGGAGCGGGGCAAGGGTTCACACACCAGCTGGTACTCTCGGCGGGAGACGTGGGGGACGTCCATGTTGTGAGTAGAGGGGGAGAGATCCTCGTACTTCCTGCCGGTGAAAATGTCGGTAGCGACAAGATGGACCTTGGCGTGACCGTGCTTTCCAGTCTTGGAGGTGGACATGTCGATGATCTTGCAAGGGCGGTTCTTGATGACGACGAAACCGTTCTTACGCAGAGCAGAGCACTGCATAGGGTAGGTGGTAGACGCGCCGGCATCGGCGGAGTCGAAGGTCATCTCATGCTAGAGTAGGAAGAAAATAATTAGCAAAAATATTCATAATATTTCCAGGCAGTCTCGTAATCATGGCACGTCGCTGTCGTGGCTTTTGAAGCTCAAATTGAGGACAAAAAACCATAAGACAACATTGTATCGTGGGGCACAAATCGCAATGCGGGGTGAAATCCCCAGGCGAAAAATGGGCGCAAGGGCAGATTTCGTGGGCGCGTGCGCATGGATTTCGAGACAATGCCAGTCAGGTAGAAACTCACCTCGGCGTCGTTAGGGGCGGACATTTTGGCGGTATTGACAAGAGATCGAAGGTCTTGAGGAGAAAGGAGTGAGGTTGAGGAGGAGAAGAAAAAAAAGCTGAAAGTGGTGCTTAATAGTGGGATGGAGAAGGGAAGAAGAAGGAAAGGGCCCAAGTCGGAAAAAGAGATGGAGGGGGCAAGAAAAAGGCGAGAAACCCTCGACGGATTTTTTCTCAAGGTTGTGATTGGGCCTTACTGGGTGGCAGCAGTGGAGTGGGCACTGTTTTTTCAGGCTGTGGATGGATGGACGGACGCTACCGATGGGCAAGAAATTAACAGCCCAGCCGATTTAGCTTTAGGCAGGGTAGCTCTTGTCTCGTGAATTGATTAGGTTAAATCTGATCCTGAGGTTACCTCGGTGGATTGGCTCTTTGAGGTCTTGTTTGGGTCCTGTCCTTTGTTTGAAGGAGGGGTCTATCAAGTCTACGATGAAGCTCCATTTATTGTTGCATTTTGCCCCTCGCCTTTGTCCTCGACCCCTCTACGGACAGTGGAGGGGTCACCTTCTTACAGGGCACTTGTCCGCTACAAAGGCTGGGCGGGGTGGAGCGGGAGCAGCCTAAAAAGCGTTAATTGCCAGCTTCAGACCAAATGTGAGGTTGTCGCCTTGTCGATCAGTCAACAGATGTGACATGAGCTTGCGACAGCGGGGTTCAATCGATTTGATTATTTGACCTCCATCTTGAAGGTACTCGGGTATAACTATCCCAATAAGATCCAACAGAATTACTTTTTGTCACTTATTCACACTGTCTGCAGTGTTGGGGTTCGAAATCGAAGAAATTCAATTCACTTACCTCTCAGACTTCAACAGCGTGAGAAACAAATCATAGCCAACGTACTAGACCTTCATGCATGCTTGTGTATTTCTAATTTCCTCAAGCCATGGGAAGACGTAGGCTCAAGCATATGAGGCTACTTAACTGAATTGCAGCTCAATCTCCTCTGGTAACCTTGGTAAAGACCCCGATCTAGCCAGCAAATTCGGGCGGTTGCGAGTCTAGACTACCAGTTCGGTAGGCAGGTAGTCAAAGGCACGAGATCTAAAAATTCTTGTTGCCAACCTCCCAGGCTCAAATGCACAGAGGTGCAGCTACGCACGCGGGGTCAACTTTGATCTTTCTCTCCTATTGCAAACCCGAGGTTCAGTTTGGCACATAAACTCCCGGATTGGCTAGGCTGCCTTGCTGAATGCACTCCAAGCTCTTGCTTGCATGCAGTAGGTGCATTCAAAAGATTGCTACCACCATGTCCTAATTACTTGGTGCAAGCGTTGTAGTCAAAGGCCCAATACTACCAAGCTGCAGAATTGTCCATCACCTTCTCCATGATGTTCCCATCTCTACATGTAGAATACTTGTAGTAAGTTGTTGGCAGGATGGGTTGTCTTGTCGATGCAGGTAGCTAGCAGTAGAGAGCTAGGGAGTCTTATTAGTATCGGTATACACCTCGGGTGTCGGTTCTCCGAGATCCCGTTACGGGGGCTTCATGCGCCACACGAGGCTGAGTTAGCACATGCTTGAGGTAATCTGACATGGCCAATCATTTTATACCTGACACCTTACCCTTCAATAGCTGTTGACAGCCTCGCGTTGCAAGCTGGCCAAGCTGACCCTTATGCGCCCACTCCAGCTTTAACCATTGACTTAGTATTGACATATCGCCAGCACGCCCAACACCGATAAATGATACCATGACATTTAACACGAGCCTCGAATCTGATAATTAATCACCCTTCATCGAATTATCTCGCCGCCATTCTCCCATCAACATGTGGCTCGATCGACTGGCCGGAGGCCCGGCCACCAGTCCCGGACCCTCCACGCCTCAACCTGGCGGCAGACCTTATCCCAAGAGAACATCGAGTACTCTGAGTCCATATGTCACATCTCAGCGCCCTGGAGTATCTCCTCGCGGCTCATCGCTCTCCTTGGTTTCCAACGATTCATCTTCATCACTCCTATCTTCAGCGCGAAGGCCGAACGGGTCTGGTCTAAGGCAGGCCTCGACAATCGAAACAGGACCCGACTCTCTCGAGGTGTTGGAAACATTGTTGGCAGGGTTTTCTGATGCTAGCGATCAGCCTGAGAAGAAGACTACTATATACCAGGACGATCTCGACTTCGAAGCTGATTTTGGAGGATTGTCGTTGAAGGAGCTGGCTACATCCCAACCCCCTGATACAACCATCTCTGACAATCGCAAACCAAAAACGACAGAAGAGAGTAGGTATTGCGCGCCCAAGGAATTCGAACCCTCAACTAACTTATGAAAGGCGAAAATGATAGAGCCAAACTCGAAGACCTTCATCGATCGATAGAAGCATGCGACGACGTTCTTAATTCGGTTGAGCTCAACCTTGCCAACTTTCGCAATGACCTCGCCATGGTATCCGCAGACATTGAGTCTTTACAAAACCGATCTTCAGCATTGAACAAACGATTGGAGAACCGAAAGCAGGTGGAGAAGGCACTGGGACCGTTAGTAGAGGAGTTGAGCTTACCCCCTGAAGTCATCTCCAAGATCTCTGAGGGCCACATAGACGAGTCATGGGCCAAGATGCTTGCCGAACTTGATCGCAGGTCGAACATGTTCAAGAAGAAGTCCGAAACCGAAACCTGTAATGCTGCAAAGGATCTCGAACCGATTCTGGAGAAGCTTACTATGAAGGTAAGACACCAATGCAACTCTACAAACTATCTCATCTGACACTCAAACAGGCAATTGAACGCATTCGGGACTTCATCGTAGCTCAAATCAAAGCGCTAAGGTCACCGCATATTAACGCACAAATTATTCAACAACAGAACTTCCTTCGTTTCAAGGAACTGTTTACTTTCTTACATAAACAGCATGCACAACTTGCCAATGAGATCGCCCTAGCATATATGAACACTATGCGATGGTATTACTTGAATCAGTTTTCCCGGTATGAGCGGGCTCTGGCCAAGATCAAACTACACATACTTGACAAGAATGATGCTCTCGGGCACGAGGACACGACTCGGAAAGCCACTGTCCTTTCAAGTAATCGAGCACCGGGACCTCCTCACGATGCCTTTAACCTAGGGAGGCGCATTGATCTTCTGAAGACAAATAATCAGACAGCCATTTCATCCTACCTGGCCGAGGAGGACCAAACAACACACTATTTGGAAGTTCCTTTCCGCAATTTCAACCTTGCGCTCATTGACAATGCCACCGCCGAATACACTTTCATGGCCACCTTTTTCTCACCCGCCCTGTCTTTTAGTCAGATCTCAAAGAACTTTAACTACATCTTCGAGCCCACTTTCGAGCTTGGCCGGACACTATCAAAGGCTCTCATAGGAGAGACTTATGATGCTCTAGGTTTACTCCTCTGCATTCGCCTGAATCAGCATTTTGCCTTTGAGCTTCAGCGCCGCAAAGTTCCAGCCGTCGACGGTTACATCAACGCCACGACTATGCTACTCTGGCCCCGTCTTCAGGTTATCATGGACCGTCATTGCGAGTCGGTCCGTCAATTGATTAATGCTATTCCTGCCAAACCAAGCCGCGCAGAAGCTGCGAAGCTTTCGGCAGCACCTCACGTTGTAACGCAACGCTTCGGGCAACTCTTGCACGGCTTTTTGGCTCTCAGCACTGATGCTGGTGACGACGAGCCCGTTGTGTCCAGTCTACGCCGATTACGTTCTGACGTAGAGACTTTTCTCACTCGGCATGCCGAACTATTCGGCGATAAGCGCAAGAGCGGGCGCTTCTTATACAACAACTACTCGCTTGTCCTCACTATCATCAGTGATGCGAGCGGCAAGCTGGCTGACGAGCAGCAGGAACACTTTGAGGAGTTGAAGACTCAGCACCAAGAAGCATCGTAGAAATCGCTTGATATGATCCTGCTGGCAATTTAGAGTTTAATGATGGTAGATAACTACATGCTTGGGTTCTTAGCATGAGCAGTAAGCGCATGTTTTCTTTTCGCACGGCGTCAAGGAGAGAGGGTTCATCAATGGTTTTTGTAGCTAAACGAAGCTTTCGGTTTCTTTTCATTAGTAAAGAGAAAAGCTATTTTGTCGTCTAAGTACAAAGAAATCACTCTAGTTGCCAAATCTCTATACTGCACAGGGCTGTCTTGAGCACTTCCAGAACCAGCTCCGCGTAAACGGAGATAGCATATGCCTATCGGATGAAGAAGGACGTCATACGATGGACAAGGGTTGGGTTGCGTCGAAGGTAGAAAGCCAAAGCTCCCACGACAAGAGCCATTCCGACCGTCCTTGCGGGTCGACGGAAACGCCAAAGAGCCTCCTTGATGCGATTACCCATCTCTTGCCAGTGAATCTCATCTACCTGCTTGTCAAAAAGCTCAGCGCCCTCTTCCATAGTTTGTTTCGTGCTGGCTTCAATATCACGAGCCGTCTTGAGAGAACTGAATTTGGAAATTTGACGCCAATAACTTAGAGTCTCGGGAGGGTAGCGCTCAAAGAGAGCAGCTGACTTGATGATGAGCACATCCAGATCCATCTTGGTAGGCACTTTGCCAAGAATAACGTGTAGCATGTCGGGCTCGTCAATCTCGAAGATCTCACCTCGACGATCAAGGATGATCTGGGCAAACATATAGACTGTGAATACAGGCTCCCGCGCAAGGAAGACATCGAACAGCCGAGCGATGTCTTGGTACGTCTCAATATTATGCGCATACATTGTCAGTGTGCCCGCCAATGCGTAGTACGGCTCGATACCAGCAAGGTGTCGCCGGAGCTTCGGATCAGCCGCATGCAGGATGTCAGGAAGAAGACGAAGCTGAGCGGTCGTCGGTCCAAAGCTAGGTAGCATAAAATCTCGTATCCTCAGAACCGATAGCCGTGCAAGTACACGAGCTCGACATTCTGGGGCCAGCACCAGAAGCAGAACCTGGGAAATGTCGTGGTAGCCCTGGAAGTAGCATAGATAAGGGTAGCGGCGTAGAACCTCAGTGATGAGAGATGAGAGTTCTGACTTGCGGAGACTTAACTCCGCCTCGGACTGATCTATTGATACGTTAGCTCCGGTAACTCTCGAAAAAGGGAGGATGGAGGTAGATGAGTACTGTTTGGGTAGTAGATGAAGGAGCGGTTGACATCAAGCTGAACCTGATCCTCATCCCGATGGCGCGGCAATTGCTTCCAATCCCCAGAAGCGTCTTGGCTCGATGATAGATCCTGTTTTTCACTGATTGGGGCGTCGAGGCCCAGAACTATAGGCCCTGCGAGACATTGTTAGTCAAGATACACAACTCGGATGTACGAACAAGCACATACAGGCTTGCCTTCGTAATGTATCAGACAGGAATCCACCAGGTGCCTCAGCTAGGGATCGGAGGCGGCTTATGTCTTTCCATTTGCATGCTTCGATGATCTCGGCAGCCTTAGGATTGGACAGGACATCAGGTTCCTGGGAAACATCCGTGCTGGTATTGACATTGGTGTTACTACTGCTGCGGCTGGCAGACAGCGGCGTCTGATGACCGTTTTCTTGAGGGCCATCCATGACAGGGACTAATGACGAACAGGATGGGATGGTAAATCAAGGCAAAATAGGGATGCGAGACAGATCGTGGATGAGATGGGAAGGGATGAGTATCAAATGCAGATTCTCGCCATGACCAAGAGACGGGACAAGACACCTCAGAAACAGAACAAGACGTGTCTATTTCCTTGGTGAATGATAATGGATATGTGTTATTATTGGGCAATCCTGACGTCCTTCTTCATTTCCCGTGATAAATGCTTCGAAAGGGGTTTGTGATGTTTCGTGTCACTTGGTCTGCTTGTCGCTGTATGTACAGTACCTAGCAGGTAGGCCCAGTAAGTTCAAGACGTTTTTGACCCCTGTTTGGCTGATGGGAGGTGTGAGGTCGGGTTGATTCAGACTCAATGCGAGTTAATTACTAACTTTGGGCAAGTAGCGTAATGGTACCGCGCCTAGTATGGAAGCCTCCAGGCACTCAGCTGTTAGGTGCTAGGCACTAGCCAGAAGGTACGTATCCACTTTGCTCGGGCTTAAACGGGACGGGCCTGAGAATCCCCCACGTTCGGGCATTTCTAACATTAATTACATACCTGCGGTTACTTAAAGTTGATGCCTCCATCAGTAACTGAAATAAATGACAAGGCTTTATTTGTTACCTAAGATCTGCCACATTGTTTGGTTACCAATGACATTCACCAAATGATGGAAGTCAAGATACAGAACAGAACGAATAGCAACTATCGCAGTTCGCTCTAGGGTGACTCGCCCATCACAGATATCTACCTAGGTATCATCTTATTCCACAGTAGCCAACTGATAAACCCCAAGCACCCGTTCTCATAAGATCAAAACACGAACGACAAAGAAAGGGATTTGACTAATGTGGCGTGAGGTTGGCATGCGGTTGTTTGAGACATAACACATTTCTAGCTCTGGCTTACCTTGAATTTGCTAATCAACGTCAGAGTCCTGCAGCCAATGACCACAAAGTTCCTGTCTAATATACTGTACACGTGAGCTTACAAGTACATACTCTCTCTGGCAGGTAGGTGACGGCCAGTCGTAATAATTCCTCATACATGAGTCTAAAGCTTGTCATCGTAATTAGACGTCCTCGATGCGACAGCTGTAATCCTCGATCCAACCCCCTGTATTGCTTCAAGTTCTATGCACGTTGTTTACTATCAGAAAGTCCCCGAGATGGCTTGGCATAAATGACAGCTCGCGCTACACAAGGGAAGAGAGCCCCGTTTCACAGAGAAACAGGCCTTGACTTATGCCATCAACCGACGATCTTCGTGTCATGAGACACGTAAACAGAGCAGGGCCATACCTACTAACCTAAGTACTAGATTGTTATCAAGGTAGGTACATAATTGTACGTGTCTCAATGAAAACTTGAGTCATTTACTTTCCCTCTCAGCCTTTGCCTTGATTCTGGATATGGGGGCTAATCGTTAGTTCCCTTACTTAGTGTCGGGTCCCAGTAGTATCCATTGATTGATATCCATATAGGCACAATGCCTGCCCCACTTGATATTTACAGTCCGGGCATGTTTGGTTTTGTCTATAGATCACATACCATAATTGTTTACTTCTAGGTTAGAATATAACATGAAACTACAGTCTATTGTTCTGTAGAATATCTCAACGACATTGCAAAGGAAACAAGCTGACAGTACTTATCCCCTTATTGGCCAATGGCTCGATGGCTTTCCAGGGCTGAACGAATGCACACATGCAAGAATGGGTAGATGGATATACAGAAAGAAAAGCAACGTGGCTTACTACCTATACCCACTGCAGTACCATAGAATGAGTTATCGGACTCGAGTTGGCTTGGGGAAAAAAAAGAAAGGTTAAGACACAAAGACGGTCCAGACCAACCCTACAACAACTAAGATCCCGTTGGACTCGGTATCTTCAAGATCCGAGATGCAAACAATATTGGCAGCAGACTATCTAGTCCCCAGCGAAAGAGCTAGTCTAATCGATCAGAACTAGTTAGGTCTCGCACTTTTGAGTGATGGATGTTAAGTATACATGGGCGGGATGCCATGTTATTAGCCGAAAGTGTAGCGAGCTGATAATCTATGTATAGCTTCTCTAGTATCCATTACAATATACCTGGGTAGGTTAGTACAGTAGCAAGTTTCGTCACAAATCATAACAGAATCGCCATAGTCATCAGTACATGTAGATCGATAACTAACTCGGCTGCACAGTGAGTATTAAAACACAAGAGCCGCTCCGCTCTACCGACGCCCTGGTTCTCGGACGCCACTTTTAATACCCAAGGAAAGGAAAAGCAGAAAGAAAAGAACAAAGAGAGACAAAGCGTTATCGCAGCGTTGTAAGTAGGTAGAAACAGGTTGGACGTGACCAAATCTTATTAATTTTACATGTAAGACTGCGTCGTGCAAGACATTGTAATTATATCGGTGATTACCTTGTTCCCGTCAAAGTTGCCTAGGTATGTCAAGGTAGTGGAGGCTAAGGAGGTTCTTCTCCATGAACGAACTTGTTCCGTGCTGTGTGCAGGGATCCAGGGCTGACCACTTAGGCTATGTCGGGGGCTAGGTAAACTAAACTCAGAGACACTTCCATTCTCTGCCTGTTACAGAGTACTACAGTAGATATTCTGCATTGCTACTCCGTACGTCTGGCCTTGAATCGACTTTGTACTAAGTTTGTAGGCTGGACACAATGGATGCCTGCCCATCTACCACGCCCAAGGCTCAGATCATGTTCGCACTGCCGTCTTATTGGTGGCCTTGAGGCAATACGAGGATGACAGACGCAGAAACCCACGCCGTTGAAGCCTGCTATAGGGCTGGTTGGTATAGACCAGGCACATAGCTAGGGTGAAACCGGGCTGTTGACTCATCATGGTGAAGGCAACTTGCAGAATAGAACAAGGATTAATCCCAACTTGACCTACACTTACACCAACAGTGTAGAGACGGATTGGATGATTCTTAGTACTGGAGAACCACTGTTCGTAGGCCCCCTCCGCCTAAAAGCGCTAGGGTCCGGCGGGGCGCTAAAATCTATCCGCCCCGGGCTGCTGGGGATCGATCCATCACATTCATCCATCACATCCGACCTCCACTACTATCTGCGCCTAATTACCACCTACGGTAGGGATGGAATATTGTTCCATGTTTTAGGTACCTCTCGTTCAACAGGTACCTGCTAAAGTACGGATAGCACTTAGGTAAATGCACAGAAAAGGTGGATCTTACCTCAGGCTTCTCTTCAGCTTCGGAGCCTCATGCTTCTCTCGTTCGACTTGCTTTCAACCAACGCCAACGCAGGTCAGATCAAAGTCAGGTCAGACCAGATCATCGGACTCAGTCCTCTGTGGCTTGCTCCGATTTTTATCCTCCGAGACGAAACAGACTTGATCTGTATCTGCCCTTCATCTTGCGGGCCACAAATGCCAATCTGGACACGGATTGGGCGCTCTTGTCTAACAACAGCTTGCCCTGATCAATAATCAGCGTCCCCCGAGGTTGATGTACTACACTCTACACTCTTCACGCTTCCTTCAATACTCGTATTCCCGTGGTGTCGTCAATAAGCACCTAGCATCTGCGGACATCGACCACTCAGTCCGACCCGGAGCCATTCCGGTTGACCATTCAATCGACTATTAGCTTTATGGCTCTTTGGCTCAAGCAGAAGACATTCGACCCTTGAATAGCACCACATCTTATCCAAACACCTTCTTAGGTCAGCTCGGTTACCAAGGAAGCCTCTTCTACTCAGCATTGCAGCGAGTGCAGGTAATTCTATCCTATCTCTGACAGTCTTCCGCCACTTATACATTGTCTGCACCTGTACCTCAATACAATCGACCTCTGAGGCTTTGTCGAACTCCCGACAATCTCTTCTAGTTTTCACCCCGAGATTGCTCAACAGGCCCTGGTTTGTCCGAACGATAGGCCGTTGCTAGGCGGATTCCAGCGGCGTCAAAATTAGTTGGCGGTTGGACTGGTGCCATCCACCGGACCGTACCAGTGCTGTACAGCAGGGTACTTGCATACGCGACGTACCCAACGATTTGTCAAATTTACTAGAAAGAACCTCGGCCTGCTTTCTTCTTCCTCTGTCCCGACCTTACTACCTGATATCCCGGCAAATCGTCTGTTACGGGAACGTCACAAGTGCTCCACGCGGGAGCCGTCACTTGTCATCTTGTCTATCGCTCTTCAGCTTCGAACCCTTAACAATTGGCATCGGAACACTCGTTTGGGGAAACCACCCCAGACTACGCTTTGTTAGTTTCTTTGATGCCATGAAGAGTTCAGCATGGCTTTCCAGAGCAGTGTTCTTAGAGATGGCGAGTGGGTGACGCAGACAGTCAGTTTCCAAGATGCTTTAAAGGCCTCTTCTTCTGTACCCAGAATCACCTCCGACCTCCATACCCAAAGGCCGGCTTGCGGCATCCTTTCTAGAACTATTATAGAGAGCCCGGTTGTCCATTGGGTTCTTCCGGTTTGGTTGCGGTCGCGCTCCCACAACGACCTTGCGTTTATTGGGGTAAGTCTCATCCTTTTATGGAAACAAAAGCCAGCATGCGCCAAATCTTCCATTTGCAAATAGTCAAGTGATTGGCAGGATAAAGCGTGTCACGTTCCTGCTGCTATGGTTGATCTGTGTACATACTTGAGTGCAAGTCTCGACCGCCAACTTCTGAAGGGCAACTTTAATGTCGCCTGTTAAGGCCTATGCTTACGATTGGCCTATTTGCTAACTATTTTAGGATCGTTTCGTACAAATAAGTGAACTCCGTGAAGATGGGCAAGTTCATGAGGTTATACGAAAAGCTGATTTTGGCACGCGGATTCGCAACGCAATTGTCCTCGGGGCGCCGCCTGATGGCACATGTGTTGGTATAACCAAGGTAGAAGACCCTGACGTTGCCATGCAGGACGATGCTAGAGCGTACCAAACCGATGTACATCATACGTTACCACCACAACTACTGGTGCTGATGCTCGAGACCGGAGATGCGATTTTCCTATTTATTCGAGAGCGCGCGGACGGTACGCTCGAATTTGTGACAACAAAGTACGAGAGCCCTAAAAACCTACAATTTCTTGGATACCATCTTTCTATTGACCCGTCTTCTCGATACATGGCTGCCGGATCTGCACAAGGGGCGTTTGTTATTTACGAGTTAGAGTCACTTGCAGCCATGGATTCGCAATTCCGAAATCACGGATCTTTTGACCCTGTCAAATCGATTCGAATCCGGACGACACAGGGCGTCATACATAAGATGGAATTCTTGCATCCACGACCCGAGGATGACTATCATATCATCCTCCTTCTAATTATCATCCGGCGTGAAGCCAGCAAGCAGGCCCATGTCTCTCGCATGGTAGTCTACGACTGGGAACTTGGTGATGAGCTTACCGGCGTCTTTCGGTCAGAGAAGGGAACCCCTCTACCTAGAGAGCATCGAATGCCCCTGATGATCATTCCACTGAAACTCAACACTGCCTTTTTTGCGGTCTCGGAAAACTGTATTGGCATTGTCAAAAATGCATTTACTGGACAAACGCTATTCGACACTATCGAGACTCACTCTCCCGGGCAAACCGACTTGCATCATGGAGCCTCTGAACCCCTCTGGACGGCTTGGTCAAGGCCATTCAGACTTAGTTCATGGCAGGAAAAGATGGACACTATCTACCTGGCTCGCGAAGATGGTGTCATTGCACACATAGAAATTGATGCAATGGCTCTGGTCCCTTCGGTGATTAACGTTGGAACGATCAATACGAATATTACGACTGCTTTCGCTACGGCATACGATGTCTTTTCAGATGTACTTGTGGTTGGTGGAGAGTCAGGCCCAGGGGGTATTTGGAAGGTATTCGATTCTCTCCTTGTGGACAACGCTTGGACAACGCTCACATGCTCTAGATTGAAGCCCGCGGCGATCCTCAGCAAGTTAGTACTATACCGAACTGGTCACCCGTTGTAGACCTCGCCACCACCGATACGAATCTTTCATGGGCAAGCGGTAGTGCACATAAAGAGCCTTCGGCAAGGCGCAAATCCTCTACAAACATGAGACAGAAGGACCGTGTCTTTTGTACTTCCGGCCGAGGACCTCGGTCGAGTCTGACAGAGTTGAGATGGGGAATTCAGGCAAGAATTGGTCTCGAATTTGATTACGATCAGCCTGTTCGTCAGTCGTGGATGTTTCCAATGGAAAGCCAAGGGGAGAGAGGGTTCTATGCTGTACTATCGTTGCCGCATTCCTCAGACGTGCTTTATTTCCCTGGTGATCTGAGCAACGCCAGTGCTTTGTCTCCAGATGCTTGCCCATTTGATACTTCATCGCGAACAATCTCAGCGATTCAGAATGATCAAGGGACGATTATACAGATCAGCGAAACATGTACAAGCTTCATCGCGCCCTTTCAGAGGTCAGCACACGATTAAAGGAAACATCTGCAGATATGGAAAAGCTAACAGTACGTAGTTCGAGACACAACCATGAAGAAGTTTGTGGGAAGATCTCTCTAGTCGCGGACCATGCGTACTGCTTTGACGACACGATAGTGCTATCTTCGCATGATTCCCAAGCATCGCGGCTAGATGTTTTGCGAGTTGACCAGATGAATCTATCGCATGTAACTTCATTTGATGCCAAGGGGGAAGTAACATGCTTGGGTCTCTTTAAGACATCACTCAAGATATGTATTGCGGTAGGCTCTGTTGGAGATGGCATGCCCTACTTAACAATATATTCCTTGGATGGTCGAGAGTTGTGCAGCAAGGCTCCGCAACCGCACCTTGGTAGGTTCAGTATTTCGATGGCCGAACCACGCCGCTTATGCTAATAATCCACAAGATACCACCGAGCAGCAAACTCTCTTCCAGGTGGAAGCATTCACAAGTGTGCATGCAATCGCCGACACCTCCGACAAGACCATTTTATTGCTGGGCACCAGAACCGGTCACCTTGTGACTGTCCACCTTTCAGAAGATGGTCTGGAGCATAGCTCTTTCACAGTCGAGCAGATCGGTTTGTCACCTACCAACGTATTTGGGGCATCTGGTCCATTCGACGGAAGCCATGCTGCCTTCGTTTGCTGCGACAACACCTTATCAGTTATGACCGGCTTTTCGGGAACGACCACCAAATTTCACACCAAGAATCAAATCTTGGCAACCGACTCTAACGAGCAATCAATGCCATCGCCACCCATTCACTCTGCGTTTTGTCTCGAACATAGCCTTTCTGGCTACCACCGGCACATGTCTCTCATGTTGCTATCTGGGACGCGAATTCTTCTCGTGGATATCTGGCCTCATGTCGGCCCAGTCCCTCGCAGCATCCCGCTGGATGGAACACCAACGCGTGTTATCTACTCTAAACAATGGAAGGCATTGGTGGTCGCACATTTGAAAGATGACCGCCCAACACTTTCTTTCATCGATCCGGACACAGGGGCCAACATTTCAGCTGCGGCTAACAAAGACAGGCAGCCGTCTGATTTCATCTCGGGCTTAGGACATCCAGGAGATAGGATCTTTGGGCTATGCGAGTGGTTCTATGTCAAAGATGGAAAAACATTTCCATTCATCATTGTGACCACCCAGCATGGTCGGTTGATGATTGTGTCTGTGAAGGCACAAGAAGTCGAGGGTGCCGATGGACCAACGAGACAATTACAATACTGGACCAGGTACAAGAAGAAGGGCTTTACAGAGCCAATTTATGCGGTTGTTGGAGATGCCGTGGGTCTTCTATTCTGCGTTGGCAAGGTTCTACATTGGGAAGTCCTTGATCTCACAGAAAAGAAACTCAAACCGATGAAGCAAATCAAGTTGGACTCACCAGCTACGTCACTTCGGGTTGAAGGCAGCAAAGTCTGCGCATTGACTGCGCAGCACTCTCTACAAGTTATTGACCTTGAGGTGGGATCAGAGGAAACTCAGGCGTCCGTCATACACAGCGACCAGATAACGCGGTACACAGGGCATGCGATCGAAATGGGAGATACTGAAGAACAACTGGGCAAGTGGCCTGTGAATGTGATATCCACTTCGCAAGCTGGCCTTGCTGGAGTCTGGATTCCTTGGGGCCAACGCAATAAGGAATTCGAGATTGTTTTTGAAGGCACCTTGCCCACATCAATCAGAAGATTCCGCAAGGGCCACACGCGGCCTTTCTGGCTGGAAGTCGATCGTCAACGGCAGTACGATACACTGTTTGGCACGACTGATCAAGCCGAAGTTCTAGGCGTATCCCTGGATGGATCACTTCAACATTTCTCCCTCATTGGGACGGACCTGTGGCGTTTCCTTCGACTGATACAGAATTTGGCATATCATAATCCGAACGTATGCCCCTTTACACGCAACAATCAGCCATCAACAGGTAATGGCATGGATCTCGATTTGGATCTAGAACTGGAGCCTCAACCTTACCCAGATATGATGCACATCGACGGTGACTTACTCAAACGTTGTTTTGACTTACGTGCACTGAAAAGCCTTGTGTCCATTGGCGATGGCATCGACCTATTTTGCGAGTATCTGGACGGCATCGAAGAAGGCATACATACAGAGGGTTTCCGGGACAGCGGTGCTGAGGGACAAGAGAAGTACATTGAGCTGGGCTACAAGATACTTGAGTATGTTCTGGCCCCAGCAATCTGATTTAAAAAGGAGACACGAGAAAGGTCTCGCTCAAGGCAGCTTCAAAGCTATATTACAAACTTGCATCATTTGGGTATACATACAAAAGAGTTTCAAGGACAATTATCTATAAAATTTGTCAAGTCTGACCCAGTACCTTGCCGTTAAGATCACAGAGAACGAAGGAACCTAGGCGAACTTCGGCAATTATTCATTATTTTATTCTAGCATCCTGAGCCTCACTTAAAGGACAATCTTGCTGCCAGCCAAAAGATTGCCTAGAGGCTATTCTCAGATCGTAGTAACGGGGGCTTACATAATATAGTGAATTCACAAAATAAACGATTCCTGTTTTATTTTTCTACTGCCCCGCACTGCATCAGAGGCTGAGGCGGCTTAAAATATTGTCAACGGTGTTTCAGTTTGGAAGGAAAGATCATGATAGCGAACTTCTCTCTAAGGGGAAACCCCTGGTTGATTACTCAAGGCTGAATATATATGGCATAAACTAAGCAATGCATTTTACTGTGTAAATTCTCATCTACTAAACACCAACAATGGACGTTAAGATTCGCCACAATAAGCCTTGTATTGTACAGTATTGGATCAGGTTGTGATGTTACAGTGGTTCCCCGCTGGATTGCCCCGCCTTAAACTTGTGCAGCGCAGTTGACCCAACCCACTTACCTTTCACACTCCAACCTGACCATCCAGGCGCTCTTCTGTGTGTGTGTGAAGAGAGACCAAGAGCGAGCATTTGGTTGCCTTGTTCGTTTGGCACCTTTTTTTTTGTATTTTAATTTTTGGGTTCAGGTATTTCGCCTCCCCCAAGACTTTTAGAAATACATCTGGTTCATCCACCAGTTTCGACGACCGTATCTCGACTTTCACTTAGCCGATCAGCCAACCGCCGAGATGCCGCCCAAGAAGAAGGGAAACAAGAAGAACCAGCAGGACGACTGGGAGGCCGAGTTGGGCGAGAGTATTGCCCCGCCCGCTGCCGATACCAACGGTGCTGATGGTGACGCCAACGACGATGACGAGGGTGGTGCTGGTGGACTGATGGCTACTCTGCGCAAGAACAAAGAGAAGCGCAAGAAGAAGGGCATTACCGAGCCTGAGCCTGCTCCCGAGCCTGTTGTCGAAGAGCCCCCTGCTCAAGCACCCGTCGAGGCCAACATTGACGATGAGTTCGCCATGCCAGAGAAGAAGGGCAAGGGTGGCAAGCAGAACAAGCAGGCTGCTAAGAAGCCCGAGCCTGCTGCCGCCGGAGATGATGCCGATGGTGGTCGTATGTTGACCAAGGCCGAGAAGGAGAAGTTGAAGAAGGAGCGTGAGAAGCAGCGAAAGAAGGAGCAGGTATGTGCTACTACAGATGCTTTCTAGCACCGCTCACTTGAACATACAAATCGCTAACAACCATCTGTCAGGCCGCCGCCAAGAAGAAGGGTGGTGCTGCTGCTCCTCCCAAGGCCGAGCCTGCAAAGCCCGAAGCCGTCGAGGAGAAACAAGAGGCTGCCCCTGCCGCGGCCACCCCGGAGCCTGAGGCTGCTGGAGGAAAGAAGAAGAAGCTTCCCGCCCATCTTGCCAAGCTTCAGAAGCAGCAGGAGGAGCTCAAGCGCCAACGTGAAGAAGCTGCTCGAGCTGATGAAGAGGCTAAAGCTCAGGCTGAGGAGGAGGATCGCCTCGCTGCCGAGGAAGAGAAGAAGCGAGAAGAGGCCAGGGCTTTGAAGAAGCAGAAGGAAAAGGAGCGCATTGAGCAGCTCAAGAAGGAGGGCAAGTACATGACCAAGGCCCAAAAGGAGGAGAAAGCCAGAAATGAGCGAAAGCTCCAACAGATGTTGGCTGCTGGTATCCAAGTTGGTCCTGCTGAGGCTGCCGAAAAGAAGAGCAAGCCTGTGGATACAAAGAGAAAGAAGGGCCGTGGCCAACAGAAGGTACAAACTCACGATATGCGATTGACACACTAGTGCATACTAACTGTTTCCAGATCGATGAGGAGAAGGCTCTTGCTGAAGCTGCCGAGCGAGCGCGCCAAGAAGCCGAAAAGGCCCTGAAGGATGCCGAGGAGAAAGCTGCTCGCGAGAAGGCCGAGGCTGATGCCAAGGCTGCCGCCGAGAAGAAGGCCGCCGAGAGCGACATCGAAGATGACTGGGAGGCTGCTGCTGCCTCTGATGGCGATGTCAAGGACAGCTGGGATGCTGACTCTGACAACGAGGAGGCCGGAAAGGAGAAGGAGAACGGCAAGACACAAGATGAGTCTGCCGAGGACGATTCTGAAGAAGAATCCTCCGATGATGAAGAGGCCACAGCCGCACAACTCGCCGAGGAGAAGCGAAAGCGAGAGGCTGCCGAGCGCCGCGAGAAGGCTCACCAGGCCGCTCTGGCTGCCCGATCCGAAGACAACCTGCGATCACCAATTTGCTGTATTCTTGGTCACGTCGATACCGGAAAGACCAAGCTCCTCGACAAGATTCGACAGACCAATGTTCAGGAGGGTGAAGCTGGTGGTATTACTCAGCAGATTGGTGCGACATACTTCCCTCTCGAAGCCATCAAGCAGAAGACAGCTGTTGTCAACCAGGACGGCAAGTTCGAGTACAAGGTTCCTGGTCTTCTTGTTATCGATACCCCTGGTCACGAGTCTTTCTCCAACCTCCGATCTCGTGGTTCTTCGCTTTGTAACATTGCTATTCTGGTCGTCGATATCATGCACGGTCTTGAGCCCCAGACGCTTGAGTCTATGCGTATGTTGAGAGAGCGCAAGACTCCTTTCATTGTCGCCCTCAACAAGATTGATCGTCTTTACGGCTGGAAGCAGGTTGCCAACAACGGTTTCCAAGACAGTCTGGCCCTTCAGAGCAAGGCTGTCCGTAACGAATTTGAGACTCGTCTTGAGAAGACAAAGGTTGCGTTCGCCGAGCAGGGTTTCAACTCTGAGCTCTTCTACCAGAACAAGTCCATGTCCAAGTACGTCTCACTTGTGCCTACTTCAGCGCACACTGGTGAGGGTGTCCCCGACATGCTGAAGCTGATCGTCCAGCTCACTCAAGAGCGCATGGTTGGTTCTCTCATGTACCTTTCCGAGGTTCAGGCTACTGTCCTCGAAGTCAAGGCCATCGAAGGTTTCGGTATGACCATCGATGTTGTTCTCTCTAACGGTATCCTTCGGGAAGGTGATCGCATTGTACTGTGCGGTACAGAGGGAGCCATCAAGACAAATATCAGGGCACTGCTCACACCAGCTCCTCTGCGAGAACTTCGTCTCAAGTCAGCATATGTCCACAACAAGGAGGTCAAGGCTGCTCTGGGTGTAAAGATCAGTGCTCCTGGCCTTGAGGGTGCCATTGCTGGTTCTCGTCTGATGGTTGTTGGCCCCGATGATGATGAGGATGATATCGAGGATGAGGTAGAGTCAGATCTTGCTGTTCTGTTCAACCGTGTCGAGAAGTCTGGTCGTGGTGTCAGTGTCCAAGCCTCAACTCTGGGTTCGCTCGAGGCTCTGCTGGATTTCCTCAAGGACTGCAAGATTCCTGTTGCCAACGTTGGTATTGGACCAGTCTACAAGCGTGATGTCATGCAGTGTGGTGTCATGCTGGAGAAGGCTCCTGATTATGCCATCATGTTGTGTTTCGATGTCAAGGTCGATAAGGAAGCACAGCAGTACGCCGAGGACCAGGGTGTCAAGATTTTCACAGCTGATATCATTTACCATCTGTTCGATGCCTTCACCAAGCATATGGATGAGCAGCTCGAGAAGAAGAAGGAGGAATCCAAGATGCTTGCTGTTTTCCCTTGTGTCCTTAAGCCCGTCAAGGTTTTCAACAAGAACGACCCCATCGTCATCGGTGTGGATGTTACCGAGGGTTCACTGCGACTTAACTGCCCTGTTGCTGCCGTTAGAACTAACCCCACAACTGGCGCCAAGGAAGTCATCAAGCTGGGTAGAGTGTAAGTATTATCCTGATTCTTCTATGTCGAACCCCCTATTAACATTTCACAGTACTTCAATCGAGCGAGAGCACAAGCAGATCCCTGTGTGCAAGAAGAAGGAACCTTCAGTCGCTATCAAGATCGAGATGGGCGGCTCACAACCTATGTACGGCCGTCACCTTGAAGAAGAGGAGACACTGTACAGTTTGATTTCACGAGCCAGTATCGACACTCTCAAGGAGTACTACCGTAAGGAAGTCAGCAACGAGGAGTGGCAGCTGATCATCAAGCTCAAGCCCTTGTTCGACGTTTAATAAGCAATCGGATGTACAAGAAACTCTGAGCTCGGCGGTTGTGAAAGTTCTCACCATTATCGGCGCCGGGAGTTTGGCTTTGCCCTGCACTCATGAATATTCCCACAGTCAAACAAAGTGGAGGCAGGGTCAAGCCAGCTCCCTGTTGGAGGAGAACGGTACGAGTCCCTTACTGCATTTTGAAGGGGAACATCGGAAAAGAAATTGCGTCCATCCTGTTTGAAGTTTATAGTCTTTTGTAGTGGCTTGCATTTTCCGGAGAACAAAAATGGCTGAGGGCTCGTATGGTTAAGGAATAAAGGGTTTCTTCACCAAAGTAGCCATATAGAACGAAGATTTAATTCAAATCAAAGTTGAAATTCACATTTTCGCCGTGGTTGTCACCGTCTGTCTTTTCTTCTGTCATTCATTCGATAACATGGTTGTCCGCACATGCGGCACCTCGTACTGCCTGGTCAAATAGAGGGCATAGATGATATCTTAGGATTTTACCAACATACTTATGTAGATACTTGTGCCTAACCATAGAGCAGGATGCACAGCCGAAGCATCAAGGAAGTAACATGCACTTAAAATCTGAAACTTGGCGATTGCCGTTGTCTGCACACTTGCAATAAGCTCTTTATTCAAGTCACTTTGAGAAGGTAAAGAGAAAGACAGAGTATCAGAACATGAACCAAACTCGAGTGTATGGATCCTAGCTACTAACTTAAAAGTGTAAAAAGTGGTCTAACGTTCGGGTAACATAATATCCGTCATGATAATCCGGGCCTCCTTCTCCCAATAAAACAAAGCCGTTTGCAATCATATCGCATGTTCTATCTCTCTTCTCCTTCCGATCCTGGTGGCCTTTCTTTTTTCAACATCCGTTCGTAATCCTTTTTTAACGTCATTCATATCATGCACCGCGCCCCTTTGTTCATAATTTACTGGGGGTCGGCTGTGCCTTCAGTCTCTTGTGGAGCATCGGCATCCTTCATCTCTGCGTCGGGGTTGGCCTTCTCGGCCTCTGCAGCCTTACGAGCATCCTCCTCAGCCTTCTTCGCAGCCCGTTCGGCCTCGGCTTTCTCCAAAGCAGCTTGTCGCTCGGACTCGACTTTCTCAAAGTGGCGCTGAACGATGGGGCCAGCCATGGCACGAATCTCGTCGATCTTGGCAACGTACACACCCTTAGTGGTATCCTCGCCCTCCTCGTACAGCCAGTCCTACAATTCAAGTTAGAATCAATCAAGCATATAATCGTTGTACAGTCTTGGACATACCTCGGTGGCCTCAAGCTTAGCCTTGATAGTCTCCTTCTCCTCATCGCTGGCGAACTCAGAGTACTGCTCGTCGAGCTTGGCACGGAGGTCGTAGATGTAGGCCTCGAGCTCGTTCTTCTTCTCGTCGGTGTCGGCGACAAGCTTATCTTCCATGACCATGGCAGACTCCTTCTCGAGGAGGGCGGCCTTGGTGGAATCGTCCAATGAAGCACTGCCGGTGGAGATGGGCAGGTCACCCTTTCGGACTTGCTTCTTGACCTTGCGGGTCTTCTTGGGGGCATCCTTATCGGTTTCCATGGCCTTCGGGAAAAGTTTTGTTAGCGATCGGGGTTCATAAATCGAAGGTTCCAAATCTTCAGCGACAGCAGTAGCAGAACGAGAAAAGTTGGGCGTGTCATCGTCGACGCGCTGACGTTTCGCAGGATAGGCACGACTATCATCTCCAACAGACGAGGATGATGACGATACAGTTGCCGTATCCTCAGAACAAACAGAAAAACTAGATGCCATGGACGGCGCAGGCAAACTCACATCGGGGTCCTCAATTTCCTCCTCAACCTCTTCCTCCTCGACATAGTAGCCGGTCTCGACGTTCAGGACACCGTGAATGTTGACGCGGGCCTTGAGCTTGCAGATCATGAAGTCGTCCTTACCATCAGCCTTGACGTTCTTGACTGAGAAGCGGCCGATCCATGGGTTGGTCTTGCCAGGGAGTAGCTCGGGCTGGGCATATCGCGCCTCGAGATCGAAGGGCTGCTTTCGGTAGAATGTGAGAATCTTAGTGGAGGGCATAACGTTGCCCTTGTTGAAGACAGTAAGGCTAGTGTCCTCATCAGGAATATCGGGGGCCTTCTCCCAGCCAAATTCGATGGGGTAGCTGATGATGTCCTGGACAGAGAAGTCTCGGACACGGAAAACGGGGGAAAGAATGGCGCAGCTGAAAGCGGAACCACGGGCAAGAGCCTCGTCGGCGTTAAGAGTGAAAGACAGAGGCTTGCCACCGAAGAAAGCCTGGATGCGCTCCTTGAGAGCAGGGACACGAGAGCCACCACCAACAACCTCGATAACGTCGATGTCGTCCTTGGTAAGCTTGGCCTGAGAAAGAGCCTCCTCGAGGGGAACGTGAGTTCGCTCAAGAAGGGGCTCGATCATAGCCTCGAACTCCTGTCGGCTGATCATGGCGGAAGCGTCGATATCGTTCATGAGCGACTCGATGTTGACAGGGGCCTGCTGGTTGGCAGACAGAATCTTCTTGGTCTTCTCGGCGGCGGCAATGGTACGGGCGAGGGCACGGCCGTGAGTCATGATGTCGACCTTGTACTTGCCCTTGAACTCCTTGGCGAGGTGCTCGACGAGAGCGCGGTCGAAGTCTCGGCCACCGAAGTCCTTGTCCCATGTAGTAGCCTTGACGGCGAGCTCACCCTTCTTGAACTCGACGATAGAGACAGTGTAGCTGCTGTGGCCGATATCGACGAAGCAGACTCGGCGAGGCTTCTCCTCAGGAGCGGGCAGGTCGAGCTTTGTGATACCCCAGCCAAGAGCGGCAGCAGTGCCGTCGTTGATGAGGCGCAGGACACGGAGTCCAGCAATCTCGGCAGCATCGATAAGAGCGCGGCGCTGGACATCAGTGAACCAAGGAGGGACACTCATGCAAACATCTTGAACAGGTAGCTTGAGCTCGGCACCGGCGGTGTGCTTGATCTTGCTCAAGTACATGCCAACCAACTGGGTAGCTGTGAACTTCTCCTTCTTGCCAAGGTAGTTAACCTCAGCACCGACCTGGCCGTTAACATCGACCAGAGGAGCGGTAACATATTGCTGCTCAATCGCAATATCGGTATCGTTGAATGCTCGGCCAGCAAGTCGCTTCAGAGAGCTGACGGTGTTCTTGAGGTTGGAGATCTCTTGGGTCTTGGCGGCCTCACCGAGGTAGCGAGACTTAGGTCCGAATCCTACCAAAGAACTGTGAAGCTGTTAGTATGAATCTTCTACAACGATGGTGGGGTTGCTCGAGTATGCGCGACAAGCGACGCGGTCAAACAAGAGGGGATGACATACGGAGTTGCGCGGTTTGAGACTTCATTGGTGACCTAAAAAGGACAGAGTCAGCAACAAGCTTCAGCAGCATTATCCGTCTATCTCATCGAGGTATATGAGCAGGGCGGTGGTCGACGAGTATGGAGGGGTAGGGCGGTCGGTTGAGATAGATAGATAGCGGGGGAATAGACAATGAGGGTATACGCACAACGTCGACGCCACGGTTTCGGGCGATGGCAATGACGGTCTTGAGGGTTCCGAAATCGATTCCTATAAGCAAATGTCAGTTTGTTGTCTTGTAGCGACGGCTATTCATACAACCGCAACGGGCTGGTTGAAAGGTAACTTACCAACGACACTCATGATTTCGACTGGTGGGGTTTGCCCCGAGACACGATATTAAGGTAAAAAGAGAAGAGGGGGGGATATAGCTGAGCGATTCGAAAGATAGCTCAGAAGGGGAAAAGGAAAAGGGATCGCAAAGAGGCGGAATATAGAGAGAAGATCGTGAGAATATGGAGGGGAAGAGTAAGGTAAGGTCGACTTGGTTGGGCGGCGGTTGGTTGTTTATGGCCCGTCCTTGGTCCGCTGGGTCAATTTTTTTTTGGTGGAGGGGCAGCGAATGGGGGATGCCGCCTGCGTACTGAAGGTACAGAACTGAAATTTTCAAACGGCACCCTTCTTTTCAGTGGGTTTCCCACCTTTCACAGGGTATGCGTACTCGGTACCTGCGGGTCTAAGCGCTACGCACTGAGTAATAGCGTACAGCGATGATGTAAGTGAAGTACAGATTACTTTCGGTCTGCGATTCGACTTTTGTTTTAAGTTGTTTCTAGAAGATGCGAGGTTCCTTCCTTTAGCAAGAAGAGAGAGACCAGACTTGAACGTTCTACTCGCGACTTATATATTCGTGATATCTCTCTAACTAACAACAATAAAAGACAACACAGTATCTTTGTGCCAGGATGCTGTGGTCACGTTTCACCGTCCACGATGGACTTGGTCGACCCTAGAAACGACGATAGATTTCTGTGCGATTCTGTCACCAACGAATGTACCTTTCTGGGTTAAGGTACTTTGTCTGCTGTACTGTATCTACTCCAAGGTGTAGTAAGCTGGGCTTCCTGTACGCAATCAATTGCCTTATAGTGGATGTCAGGGATTTACCCCACTACCCACTAAGTTGCTGTACGGTACAGTGTTGTACTGGACTGAACAGGAAAAACGCAAGGCACCAGCCTCGAAACGTTGATACCCTTGACCTGAACGTGTCAAGTCAAGGTTGAACGAGGCGAGGCTATAAGGATATCCTGGGTAAATCCGTACTGTATCATGATACACGTAGACTAGGTACGCAAAGAAGAAAAAAATAGTTGCCCCTCCCCCGCTAGGTATCCCGTCACTTGGTTGTAAAGGTGAGGCAACTCAATGGTAGAAAACCCCTCTAGCGCCTCTAATAAGTTAAGTTAGTGAGATAAAGAACCTTGCCACAATGGGACATTTAATATGGCATTATTTTTGCCATCTATCCTAGGTCCATGTACATACAGTTAAACACTTGAAGTTATCTTGGTCTTGCTTGTTCTTCTTTTCAATCTCTTTCAAGAAGATAAAAGAAATTTCGAGATGACGAACCTGCTTTAGAGCCCGGGCTCGATCCTCCGCGCATCCATGACTAACAGTAACCCAGCCTTCAAGATTTGCATGATCTTGACACAGCCAAAACAAACCATGCCAAGATGTTGAAAAGCCACCCAATATCATGCATTTTCTATTTTCTGCTCCGCCGGCTTGTTTTTCTTTTTTTTTGCTGGAAATCTTTTTCAGGTGACCGATAGGCTCACCGACAAAATACGGGTGTGTCTTACCAGTATCTCCAAATTAGACATATAATAAGTCGTCTCGAAAGTTCAGTATCTTGACGGATATAAGAATGATACAGCACGTTGTATGATATCCATCTCGAGATGCATGGACTACCGTATAGTATTGTCAAATATGTATACAAGATACTACTGAAGTAACGCCGAAATCGCTCAAGAGTACCGATAATTGTAACCTGACTCGACCCTGGTCAGGTCGCCTTGCATCCCTTCATTCATCTTCATGTCCAGCCAGGTGGGTAACAGAAGAATTACCCTCCAAGGTTTAGGCTTCCATAATAAAGTAACCTAACTACGGGTCTATGTTAACATAAAGTGACTAATTTATTTCGTCTCTTATATCTCTAGGGGCCAATTCTTCTGACACCCTGAGGCCAACCCACGAGGTTTTATGTGTTGTCAAGGCCCATGCGGCTCCAGAATTGCGGGGTAGATTGTGGTCACTGTGGGCATGATGATGTCGGATCGACAAGCACGGGCTGTATGTTGTTCGAGATAGCTTCATTTTCTTTACTGACTGCGGCCCAGACTACACTATCAGAAACCGAATCCGTCAACTTGAAGCATGAAAACAAGATTAACATTCTTGAATTTGGGCCTCCGGATGATAGAATAACTGCCTACATTCTTCTTCGACAGGTAATTTGAGTACAGCTAACATAGCATACTATTTCAACTACCAGCAACCCATGTTGCTTACCTTGTCTTAGCGACTTCCTTTCGGTCTCCCTTTTGCCATACGACTAGCAAAGGATAAGTTTCTGTCATGCCTCGATCGTTCGTTGTCTGATCCTGTGCCCTGTGAGTATCTCTGAATACCCTCACTCCGGCGGCCACTAGCGACAGCATTATTGGCACCTATGTCACCCAAGATAACGTCATTCATGCTTGCCGAGTGTCCTTGAGGAAAAGCCGAGAATTCGTTTGTTTGGATGTAGGCACCTGCCGTCTCGTCGTTTCCAGAAACTCGACTCTGCATCCGTTGCGCGAGTTGATACTTCCGAAGATTCTCTTCATTCATCAAAAGCTTCATCCGTCGTGGTGTACCAACCCCCAGGCCGGCATCTCGAGCCGACGGGATACTATCCAACGAGTCGCGATCATTGAAGAAACCTCCAGCTGCGCCTTTTCCTTTCTCGACATCCACAGCGCTTGCATCGATTTCGTCTGGATGAGCATATGTTCCCAATGCAGTCTTTTGACGTGCCGAGAACTTTCCATCAATCTTGTCAGGCGGACGCACCACGCTTCTTGTTCGACTGATTTCGCTTGTTGTGGTCGACTCACGGTTCGAGGCAGTCTTACGCGCTTTGTGTGCCACCTTGAAAGTCTCCGGGACGATATTTAGCTCGTCTCCTTGTTTCTCAGCTTGTTCTACCGCCTCTCTTGCTGTTGTATGACTGTCCGCTGCCGCAGCATCGGCTCGCGGCCCTCCCCAAGTTCGCTGCCCTGCTGTGAAAATCCCGTACACCATGTAATACCAGTTGTAAAACGGGTTGAGAATGAACATGAGCGGGTACAGCCAGATCTTGAATCGTCGCAGCTTGACTCCAAAGTAGAGCATCAGCATCCAGTTGAGCCCAAGAGAGATAGCAATGAATCCTACGGGGAGGTCGTCCACTTTCTTGACTGTCGTCATCAAAGCCAATACCATGATGAAGAAGAGTAGAGCTGTTGTACGTATGGTATTCTGCATGAATCGGACCAGGATCAGGATAGGATATCGTTTCCACAAACGCCAATCGGTAAGCATACAAACTTCGTTCGTTATGAAACCGAGGAACCATCGGCGCCTCTGCTTAATCAGGGACCGAGTTGTCTGGACAGCCTCTGTCTTGCAGAATGCCGACGTACACATCTGGATCTGGTGCCTTTTCTTGGCACCGATCATGAAGAGATGTGTCAACCAGCGGTCCTCTCCAAGATGGCATTTGGCGAAGTCAAACAGATCCTCACACTGCTCTGTCTTGTCCACAAAGTAGTATTTGGCCATTCTTCGAAAAGCTGAAAAGCGCAGCATGGTCAGCGCTCCTGGCAAACAGGTGACAGAGCCGCAACCGGACTCAACTGTCCGTTCAAACAGCTGCCCATGAATGTACTCCATATCCTGCAGTAGAGTAATAATGCTGTGTTTCTTTGTCGTCGAGGTGATGACGCCTGTCATAGCCAGCATCTCTCTAGTATTACCGGGACTGAGCTCCATATCGTAGACAAAGTTTTGCAAACATACTTTGTCCAATATGCAGTCAGAGTCGATAAAAAGGATGAAGAGGTTATCATTTCTCTTAAGATACTCTTCATATACTCGGTCGATAAGTTTGAAGGTCACTTTCTGGCAGTGACGCTTCCCTCCGTGTGGGAAACGGGAGATGGTCACTCGTGCGGATCGGTACTTAACGTCGATACTTCCAGGATATGACTCTCTTGTCAACGGTACGCCCAGCTGACGGATTGTGTTGAGATATAGGTCGTCTTCGTCTTCTCCGTCAAAGGATAGGAAAACATGAATACATGCCGGAGGGTAATCGCAGTCGACAACCGAGTTGATAGCTTTGATGAGGACTTCTGGCTCTTCTCGATAGCAAGGCATAACGACGACGACTTTGGGCGCCGTGACATCGTCTAGAACCTGCTTTATTCGCTTCGTTCGCCCGAGTTGGTTTGTCACGACTTGGTAGATGCAAAACAGCCATGGCACTGTCAAGAGGATAGCAAAGGCCCAAAAGGCGAACCACTGTAGAAATGATACCATCTCGTCTGGCCAGAGTCTTGTAACTGTATCGGGAAGGGGCAATGTGACCACCATGATCGGAAGGAATATAACTCTATTATCAAGATCAATGAAAGCCCTTTTAAATAAGAAAATGAATATTACCGTAGAAGAACAAAGGCGGTTCCGACGATAATGCATAGCACATTGATAGACCAGTGTTCTGACTTTTGAAAGACCTTGACGATGCAGTAAACAAAGGCTGCAAGCCATAAGAACCACTCGAGGCATGCCATTAGGAGAACAACACCCACTATGCTGGTGTAGATAATCTGACCAAGACAGGTAAGTTTTTGCATCCATTTGGTCGTCTGTTGCAAGTCAACTTACGTTCTCTGGAGGCCAGTCGTTCAGCACTGCCATGGTTGGGTTGCGCAACAACACTCTTTGGTATGATCAGACACTGTAGTCACCTGCCTATCGTCTAGGAGCTACGGCGAGAATCTGGAGAGAATGTATTTGTCTGGCCATCGGAGGACGAGAAGACAGTTAGTCCAGGCTGAGTGCTCAGAAAGGGGATGGGACGTCTCCAGAGGCGGTATCTTGCGGTGGCTTTGAGCGGGCACCCGCGAGATATGACGAGTACTAGATCAACGGTACAATGGAAAAGAGAAGTCATTTGGGCAATTGTTTGGGTGACACAAGCAGTGTAAACCGAGATCCTGTAGGGAAGGTAGATTCATATTTTCGATTAAGAATGTACAAAAGTTGACAAGGGGAAGGTGTACTAGACTAAGACGTTGTAGAAACAAGAAAAAGATTGCCTCCCTTTGTATTTCGTCAAGAACGGCTGAAAACATCTTGGTAGCTACTGCCGAATCTATTATCGCAGTCCGTTGAATCACGGTTACACCATGTTTACTGCTTTCCAAGACGGGTTACAAACAGCGAATCAAACGGGAGTTTGTCCTACGAGACGGCCTGTGTATTATGTTAGAAGGCAAAGAGAATAAGATCCAATTGTTTGTGGGCTCATACAATCAAAACAAATCCCAGTGGCTAAGCAATGATGGCAAGCCTCAATCAAAGATAATACTGACCGGGCATAACGTTTAATCGCCGACCCTCTTTGTATCCTCGATAAAAGGACATTGAAGCTACCAGATCTTGGAGCTTGAGATTTGCAGTTTGTAGCCTTATTGCTAACCACGCTGCTGCTTTGCGTGGCTAGTTGGACACAAACCGTTGAGCCTCTGTACACTGGTGGTACACAGGGCGATGACAAACATTCATGACTTGGATCATAGGTTGCATTATGCTAAGCACGTAACAGAGGCATGAGAGAATTATTCAGTTTTGGCACAAATTCCATTAAATCAATTTTGAGTTAGACCGTGCTGACCTGCAATCATGTGTTGGTATATGCCTCCGAGCAGCAATTCGAAGCCCATGCAATATGCGACAAGAGAGATATCAGCATTTGTTCAGGGCGCTGCGTTTTCGGTGGCACTAATCTTCATAGCCATGATTTGGTAGCAGAGTGTCGTCTTGACGTTTGAGCTCTCCCGGCGCAATTTGCATACTCCTGCACCCACCACAAAAGCCAGAGTCGCGCTTTGTTGTGAGCTATTCCCCAACAATCCGGCTTGAGTCACTTATGAGGGAGTTCCACAATCTATCGTGCTGCCATGTAGATGGCATCTAGCCACCTGTTACGTGGCTCAGATTGACGCACTGCTGCTGTGTGGCAGGAACCGAAGAGGCATCTTCGGCCCACCGGTGTAAGCCAGGGGCTTAGTGAGATTCGTCGTCGTACCCATTGGCTGGTTTAGCCACGGTGGATCACCTAGTTAAAAGCCTTACCCATTGTTCATGTTTACCAATCGACATCACTGAGTTGGAGTTTGCGAGATCTCTGGCCTCGGTCTTTGCCTGATCTGTCTAATCGGTTGTGATGAAACGTCGCCGGTCTTTCGTTGCCTGAGTTGTTCTGTGAATATTGGTGTTTCGAAAAAGTCGTGGGGAGTGAGGGTATGTACCACCATCTTGATCCTCGTTCTGTTGAAGATCGTAGTTGAGCACCAAGTTCTTGATGCGCTGCTGTTCCTCCCGCTCAGCCTGTTGCTGGGTTTTCATGGCAATTGCAAATGTCGAATCAGAAGGAAGTTCAACAGTTCGCGTCTGGTACATGTTAGCATTGGTCGAGATACTGGAACGAATAGCCCTACCTGTTGGCGGTTGCCCTTCTTGGTCAACAAAGAAAAGGCCATAGTGTGACCTGGGGGAGCCTCCCCTTCGCCCCCTTCTGTGGGAGTTGTTTCTCGAGCCTTGGAGCGAACAGGAAGTGGCACGTCGAAAAGCTGTTTGCGCTCAAACTTGCGCGACTCGAGACTTTCCGCCATCATCTTGGCATATTCGCGCTCAAAGTCAGCTTCGTCTTCAGGATCAACTTCCTCTTCTTGTCGGGTAACGACGATAGCCTCCTCGTCAAAAGTGCTCTCACTATCCGAGTCGTCTTCCACATCCTCTGCTTCTTCCTCTTCCGAAGCACTATCATCGTTTTCGTCGCCATCTTCGTCATTGTCCACATTGTCATCGTCGGATGATGTGTCGCTTGTGGCATCATCCACGTCGACTGCTCTGTCGACGCCCGCAGACTTTTGGTCCTGGGCAACAGCAAGCTGGAAGGCTTTGACTGCCTCGTCCAACCCGGAGGCGAGCTTCCATTGTGGCCGTGTAAGAGCAAAGGTATCTTGGACCAGGAACTCGATATCCATAGGTAAGGACGCCTTGGTAAAGATGTAGTACTGGAAGAAAGAGAGGAAGTAATCCAACTTCTTGCCCGCTGCTCCACGGTTGAAGAACATACCGCATGTCTCGAGCATCGTGGAGACGAGGCGAATTCGGAAAAAGTCGTCAGGAGGATCCAGGGGGCTATACCTGCCAGGAACGGGCGGTCCGCCATACCCGAACGTCATGATCTTGTACATGGTGTCAAAGATGACCGGGTGCTCAAGCATGCGGTAGTTGTAAAGCTCTCCGAGGTACTTCACCTCAGCGATGCGGCGCTGATAAAACCTATAGTCATTCTGCTCAAGACCAAAGGTCATAGATTCAACCACGTTATCGATCACCTTGACCACAAAAGCAGGGTGATAACGATAGAGCGCGCTGAGCAGGATTCCAAGGAGGTGGACACTTCCGTATTTGACCTTTCCTGGCTTCGAGAACACCTTTTCCAGAATAGCAACCACCTCTGTTTCCTCCCAATGAAGTCTTCGGATCTGCTTCAAGATCTTGCTATAATTTCTCTTGGTCATATCAACATAGATCAATTTGCGAACGAAGAGTTCCATGGGAGTGCGTTCCTTTTGTTCAATAGCTGAACGTTCCGGCGGGTCCACGTAATAGACAGCATTGTCGATAAGCATACGCTCTGGTTGTCCGATGTGCTGAACCGACTTCTTGCGCTGAAGGGTTTCGAGAAAGCTCATCATACGCGGGGCTGTTTCGGGATTTCGAAGGAGGTATCGACCGCAATTCTCGATAAGGTTGCAGAGAATCTCGATGTTCATACGTGAAAAGTCATCAAGACTGACTTTCAGACAATGAAAGACGACATGTTCCGGAACAATGCCGAATTTTGTTAATTCAGCAAGGTAGCGAATGTTGCTCAAGCGAACTTGACCCAAAAAGTCCTTCTCTTTCCGCCTTTGCAAGCTTCGAAACTCAGCATCGAGGTAGTCAACAAGACCTTTCGGAACGTCGGGCATGTATCGTCCCAATGTAGCAACGAGTCGTGACCATGACGGCAGCAAGTCGCTTCGGCCTTTTGGAACCTCGGTCAGTGCCTTGACAAGACGGTTGCGTGACGCCTTAGAGTTCAGAAAACAGAAGTCAATGGCCGTCTGGTCGACAATGTCCTTGTTTGTCAATTCTGGCAGACGAGCAAGGAGAGCGTCGACCTGTGCTCCAATGGTTCGATTTGCAATGGATGTAGACTGATCATCGGTAGTCTCAACAGTCTTAGTGGTTTCGGTTACTTCAGCCGGGTCCTGCTTCTTGCCCACCTGTTCGTCTGTATCCGTCTTTTTCTTTTTGCCATCCTCCAGCAAAATAGCTGGTACTTTACCTTTCAAATCAACCAGGTTTTCGTAGAAGCGACGCTCGTCTTCGTCTTCCCAGATTCCTGCACCGTCTCCCATAGAGCGAAGGTAATCCCCCGTCTTCACAAGACCGATGGAACCGTTGGAGGCGGCAAATGAATCGTCGGAATCTTTCAAATGGGGCATTTCAGCCCCAATAGCATCCGCGACCACTTGGGCGTTAGATACGAGGCGTTCCTGAGCCTTAACCTGTTTCTCGTAATTTGACTGGCGATCTTCGAAAACCTCACCAGACTTGACATAGGCCTCAGCGTTGCGCCGGGCTTGCGACTGTATCGACTTCTGGTCTCGAGTAATATGTCCTTTGACATCATCGAAATACTTTTTCAAGATACTTCTGAATCGCTCGCGCATTTCGGGTTCGGTAAAGGGTTGGTCTTCGTCCGCAGATGTCTCGTTCTCGCCACCATCACCATGCTCGGCGTCGTGTCCTTCTGTCGTACCATCTTCCTCTACCGTCTTGCGGCCATCGGCTCCCATCGGCTTCACACCGAGAATGTCCCAGCTGAATGACTTGACAAAGATAACGAGAAGCGGGAGGTTTGCGTGTTCGCGATCGTATCCGAGTAAATCCTTTAGCACTTCGAGAGGGAAGGGCTCTGCGCCAGTGCCCTTGTTCGTCCTGGTTTTCAATTCGGGTGTCTTGCCCGCAGCGCCTTTCATAGCGTCGTCGGGCTTGCTAACATCGTCGAGTGTCCTGATGACTCCTACAAGCCACAACTCTGTTACAACACGCAATAATGCGCGCTGTCGTGTGATGCGCTCCTTCTCTTCCTTCTCGCGAACCTCGGGTGCCAGAGACTTGAGAATACCCTTATCAGGGGTCGCCATGCCCTTCCCAAGCAGCCATGCCAGATATTCCGTAAATTCGCTAGGCCCAAATCGCTGATGGAGCGCACTGACGATTTCGACGCCAGCTTCGATCTCGCCGGGAGACTTGAGTCTACAAAGCCCTTCATAACAGGCAGATATGATCTCGGAAAGGTACTTGTGCAAGCTCAAGGTTCGGATTTCCTGGAGGAAGGTGCTGAGGGTTGCAGCAGTGACAGCGGTTCGAAGTCGTTTGATAAAAGCAGTGTTCTTTTTGAGTGATGAATCGAGGCTCTTCGCAACCGGGAACAAGTCTATGATCGTTTATGTTAACTGGCGAGGGCGGGGGAGGGATTGGTGGGGTAGGTGTAGAGATGATTCATACCAGATTCGCCATCCCATGCCTTTTCGTTCAACGTGCGCAGTTCGCCTAAGGAGATGGTAAGCTGCTGTGCATAAAAAGAAAAGAAACGAAGAGATCGTACGCTTTCTTGCGCGATCCATAGCGGGACACGACGTAATGGGAGGCGGTTCGCGACTTGGGTTGATGTTCTAAATCTGGATTATGATATGAAGTGGGTGGAGGCGGCGCTGCATTCGGCGCAGGCGGCCTGCTAAGGGATATGTTTCCCTAGGAATCGATGCTGTATGAAAGGCAAAAGAGCCGACATGGGTGATCCCGTCAAGCCAGGACGGAGGAAGTGCGAGGGGGCAGAGCCGGTTGGTTGTCGTTGTCAATGTGTCGAGTTTTGCCTTTACCTGACTTTGAGGTTTGGCAGTGCTAAGGCTAAGGTGAGGTAAGGTATCCCTAAAGGTGACTGCACTGCGTAGTGGTCGAGGTTAAGGTAGGTACTGACGGGACAGACCAGAGCCTTGCCTTAGAGGGTACTAAGAGTGGGGTTCCTGTGCCTGCCATTTGGTGGTGGCCCTCAACTGTAACTGGTGGTCCAGTGCGTAAGCTCTGATAGGTGCTACACTGCCATGAAACATGAAACCAGAGCATAGGTTTCTCTAACAAAGGGAACTCTTCCAATGGAATATCACAACCTTCTTTGGAGGTTTCTGTAAATCGCACTTTCTTGAGTACCTGAATAAACCACTGATAGGAATACCTATTAAATTCAAATTTCTTTAAATGCCACCATATAACTTACCTACCTACCTACTAACCTAAGTACATTCCTACTATCTACAATATCAATTGACACCGTCAACATAAATGGAAGGACTTCTCTAATAAACTCGTTAAACCCCTTGTCAAAGGTCTATTCTTGGTATAAATATCCTGCGGTCTTGTAATTGCCAACTTTTCTTTCTCTTGCCCACGTATGCGTACTAACTGATCATAGTACATGCGATCATGACCAATTCCCGTCAAACGATACGATGATCATCCCGTCGAAGTTCAACCATCTCCGGACAAAGCATTGATCATTGAAGACACAAGACTTCAACAAGCCGGGGTCAGGATAAACATGAATCTTGCTATCAGTATCACTTATCAGGCCAGTTACAAGGTGGGCCCCAAGTTGGCTGGTTGATACATCTCCGGCGATAATCGCAAAGCAACAAACGTGATTCGCCATCCGTTACCATCTCCTGATAACGATAAACCTTCAACCTCCGCGGATCAGACCAGACCACATGCATCCACTTAATTGCAACTTGCATCTCCTCGCTCTAAACCGGCAAACACGATATCATGAACGAAGCCTCAGCAGACCCAATGGGTACTATCAGGGGCCCTTCCTAGGGCCAAGGAACGGACAAACGGCTGCCACATAATGTCAGATCACCCAAGATAACAGTTATTATGCAGACTTCTGCCACCTACTTGGTGTCCAAATTCTCCTTGAAACAGTAATATCAATATCAATACCATATCAATCCTCTCAGTCGTGTGGCTTTTCATTCGAAGCTATTCACATCAAGCAGACCTTCACTCGCCATGGAAGGCTCAACAACCACCACAACTATCATTCCTCAAAATGATCACAGTCTTCCTCCATCACCTCCGAGCACGGCGAAGCCATCTCGGATAGGCAGTTTCCACGATCTACAAAGCCTCTCATCGGCTGATCATACAACTCTTGATGAATTCAAGCCATATCCCCTTCCTCCAAAGTCATTACCAAAGTCTGTCCTAAAGGAAGATATAAAAACTCCCGACAATTTTGTCGAAAGAGATCCCCGTCTTATCCGTCTCACCGGAGTTCACCCCTTCAATGTCGAGCCACCCCTGAACGACTTGTACGACGAAGGCTTCCTGACTAGCGAAAACCTTCACTATGTGCGGAACCATGGCCATGTTCCTAGGTGTGAAGATGACGAGATCCTCGATTGGGAATTCGAAGTTGAGGGCCTTGTCGAAAACCCAATCAAAATGACCGTACGAGATCTCATCAACGACTACCAGCAATTGACTTACCCGGTAACATTCGTATGTGCCGGAAACCGTCGCAAAGAACAGAACATTGTCCGAAAAACCAAAGGTTTCTCTTGGGGCGCTGCGGGCTTATCGACCGCTCTTTGGACTGGTGTAGCTATTGGCGACTTACTTGCTGCCGCAAAACCCAAGCGTGGTGCCAGATATGTTTGCTTCGAAGGAGCAGACAAGCTACCCAATGGCTACTATGGAACTTCCATCAAACTCAACTGGTGTATGGATCCCAACAGAGGTGTCATGGTGGCGCACAAGATGAATGGAAAGACATTGCACCCAGATCACGGCAAACCTGTTCGTCTTGTTATCCCTGGGCAGATTGGTGGCCGAAGTGTCAAGTGGCTTAAGAAGATAACGATCACTCAAGAACCTAGCGATAATTGGTACCACATCTACGACAATCGTGTGCTGCCGACTATGATCTCTCCCGAAGAGAGCGCAGATTTACCCGAAGTCTGGAAGGACGAGAAATACGCCATCTACGATCTCAGCACCAATAGCGCCATATGTTACCCTGCCCATCAAGAAAGAGTTCTTCACGCAAACGCGCCAGACAAATACAAGGTACGGGGGTATGCCTATGGTGGTGGTGGAAGACGTATCACTAGAGTCGAGATTACCCTTGATAAGGGTAAGACGTGGAGACTCGCAAACATCCGGTACCATGAAGACGATTATCGCAACGCACCTGAAGGTGATACACTCTATGGTGGACGAGTCGACATGTGGTGGCGTGAAACATGCTTCTGCTGGTGCCTTTGGGATCTCGACATCCCAATGGATGAGCTGAAAGGTGCAGATGATATCATGATGCGCGCTATGGATGAGTCCATGAACATCCAGCCTAGAGACATGTACTGGAGTGTTCTGGGAATGATGAACAACCCTTGGTTCCGTATCGTGATTCATAAGGAACACGATGCGCTTCGCTTCGAGCACCCTACACATGCTACTCTCAAGATCAAAGGTTGGATGGAACGTGTCAAGGAGGCCGGTGGCAATCTCACCAATGGTTACTGGGGTGAGGTTGCACCAGGTGAAGCACAGCAAGTTGTCGTCAAGGAGCCTGAGAAACAGATCTGTTTGACGAACCCTCAGGTTAACCGCCAGATTACTATCCAAGAGCTCAAAGCTCACGAAGGTGAAGATGAGCCTTGGTTTGTTATTCATGGCGAAGTTTATGACGGTACCCCTTATCTCTCGGGCCATCCTGGTGGCGCAGCATCCATTTTCGGTGCAGCTGGCCAAGATGCTACTGAAGAGTTTATGGCTATTCGTAAGTGCATACCCATTGAGTCTACATCTAGACGGTTTACTGACATTCAATATCCAGATAGCGAAAATGCAAAAGCCATGCTACGAACTTACCACATCGGCACTCTCGATAAGGAGTCCCGAGCCATACTCAGTGGCGATGCAGCCACAGCAACCGGTAATGCAACCCGAGATACTTTCTTACAAGCCAAGACCTGGAGCAAAGCCATCTTATGCAAGAAGACATCCATATCACCTGACACAAAGATATTCACCTTCAAGCTTGATCACGAAAATCAAAAGATTGGTCTCCCTACCGGCCAGCATCTTATGATACGTCTACGCGATCCTGCTACAAGAGAAGCCATCATCCGCTCATATACACCATACTCCGATGGGTCAGACTGTGGCCTGTTGGAGATCCTCATAAAGATCTACTACGATACACCTGAACGCAAGGGCGGTGTCATGACACAGGCTCTAGACTCAATTCCTATTGGTCATTGGGTTGACTTCAAGGGTCCTGTGGGCAAATTTGTCTACCAAGGTAACGGTCGATGTACCATCAATGATAGAGAGCGTCGTGTCCGTCGCTTCGTTATGGTCTGCGGAGGCTCTGGTATTACACCTATCCGCCAAGTACTTCGCGCCGTAATGCGAGACCCCAATGATACAACACCCTGCATTGTCTTTAACGGAAACCGCAGCGTGCAGGATATCCTCTGCAAGGAGGAGCTCGACAGTCTTGAGGCAGTCAATCCTTCGAAGTGCCGTATTGTCAATGCTCTGTCCGACCCACCGCCTGTCTGGAATGGCATTAAGGGTTTTGTTAACCAAGCGTTGACCCCTGAGCAGATGGTTTTACCCAAAGCAAGTGGCGAGGGCGATGAGCTGGTGCTCGTGTGTGGACCTCCACCAATGGTCAAGTCTGTCGAGGCGACATTTACGGCTTTAGGCTTCAAAGCCGATGATTTTGTGTTCTTTTGAGAGACGGAACGAAGTATAAATAATGATTGGAACGTTATCGAGTGGATTACAGGAGGGCGTTTTCAAGGGCGTTTCTAGGATAAACAGTTTTGATAGGCTTTTAAGGCTATGAAGCTTTATGACTTTAACTAACGTACGTAGAAACAAACACCATGCTATATATGCTTTCAATTTCCTGTGCCCCTATTCAGCCACACTCCCCCAAATAATATCAAAGACAGGATTCACCTGATCATTAGGTCGTAAATAATGCAATCGTATTCCTTTCTTTGGCCTCGGAACTTTAATCGAGATGGTTGATTTTGATCAATGTCCGCCCCCAGAGCTGCCTTCACTACTTTCCCCGCCGGCTCCATGGTTAGCAGGGTCAGGGTAGTACCATGCGGCAACAGCGATAGCAACATAAAGAATGATGAGTAGAAACCCTTCAAGGTAGTTGCTCTTTTGGTCTTGGAGAAATCGTCCAACAGTAAGGATGGCGAGAATAAGCATAACAAGGTCGAAGGGGGCAAAGTTGAGATCAAGACTCTTGTGGAGGCCCCAACTAACGATGACAGTAAGCGGGGCGTTGAAGAGGGCGGTTTGAAGCGTAGCACCGAGGACGTGGGACATGGCCAAGTTAATTTGATTGTCCCAAGCCTCATCGATAGCAGTCAGATGCTCAGCAAGCTTTTCGACCAAAGGAACAAGGATGAGGCCCATGAACGCGTCGCTGACATGTCCTCGTTCAATGACATACTCAATTTGCATGACAAGGATAACTGCAGTCCAAGCAACAAGACCGACAGAGATTACCAAAGCAATTATGCATTCGGTCAAGGTTAACTTGGCCTTGGCCATATCCTTGTGCTTGTCACGATCGTTGTGCTCATCTTGTTCAAATACAGCGTCGTAAATACCATGGTGAGTTCGGGCTTGGAAAAAGACGTAGACCAAGTAGGCGATTACGAGAAGAATCGAGACGATTCGCGAAATCTGAAGGGTCTTGTGGTCGAGGCTCTGGTTGTTGAGTGTATCGCCGTTTCCTACACCATACTCGAAAACAGTAGGAAGAGCTAGAACAACGCCACTAATACTGGTCAGATGCTATCATTTCACAACATTAGGTAGAACAAAACTCACGCAGTCAACAGCAAGCCGCTTCCAGCCTCACTGATAGCCTCACTGAAAACCTGTTCGTCTTCCAGCATGCCACCGACAAAGAAGCAACAGCCCAAGCATAGGAGCATGGTAGCAAGAATCGAACCGAGAATAGCAGCCTTGATAACGTAAAACATGTTTTTGGAGAGGAGTACCATAAAGAGGATGATTTCGACAATAGAGCCAATCCTGAGCAAAATTAGTTAACAAATCCTGAAAGTTGGCTTTTTGGGTAGACATACGTGATCTCGATGAGAACGCCCCAAACATGAGGCAGCTTCCGCGAAAGCTCTTGACCGGCGAAACCAATGAGGTTGGCACATGGGATCATGGCAATATAGGCCAACGCAAAGATGGTGACATGGTTATCGGGCATAGCATCTACTAAATGTAAGCAAGCCGTATTGTTAGATTCATTTTATTTGAGACGTACAGCGAACGGCAATGGCAGCAGGAACGAAGGGCCATAGAAAGTTGCATAGCAGACTGGCTCGACTCGTAGATCTGAACGAGATCTTGGAAAAGTGAATAGGGTGGAATCCACTGCGGCCACTCTCTCCTGCAGGTTTGATATATCGAGACATTTTGCCGTTTCCGTGTCCGTTTCGACCTCTGTCGCCTCTCTTTTCGTTGTACGTGTTTGGGACGGGAAGTGTGCGGCCGTCAGACGAGACTTGACGCATGTCGGGAGAATTATGTGAGCGAGAGCGATGGCGAGGGCGGTGGGAGCGTGAAGAGGAGCGTTCTCGATGATGATCTCGCGGCATCTTGGCGACCGTTTTGTAGTTAGGAATTTCGGGAGCGTCGAGTTGGTTAAGTCAAAAGACCAGGTCTAGACCGGTTCAAATGCCGAAGTTGCACTTGTGCTTGTCCTTGTCCTTGTGTTGTTGTGGTCAAGGTTCAAATGGGAAGACCAAGCGCGGAGGGAGCCAAGGGGAAGAATCCTGGGTGGATTGATATATGAGAGAGAAGGAACCAGCCAGTTGGTAGCACTTGCCAGCTCAAGACGATGCCAGCAGTTTTTATTCAGTATCAGTTTCCATGTTTCACCCTCCTGAAAATCAAGCTAATAGGGTCTCGTCCGTATCTGTGCTCCCAGTAAACAATGGGAGAAGACCCCTTGTAAGAGCATCAGCCAATGAGATAGCTCCAGCATGATGAAGATGCGGTCACTCAGAATCTGAGCCCTGCCAAGTTTCGGTGACAGTCTCAATTTTAGCATGGCTAGCATGGCCAAGCCGGGCCCAACCGTTAATTCTCGGCGGAGATTGCTTGGCGGTTCCTTGATCTCCGCCCTACATACCTTAGCTTTAGCTACGTCACTGATGCTGTGTGCCTCTATCAACCACAGACTATAGTACTACCTGATACTAGAAAAACAACGGATAAATGGCTAGGTACCTAGTTAGGTAACTTGCATACATCATTGTGCATTATGCTGTACACAGTAGATAACTAAAGAGCTTCTCTTGATCACTGTTCGTTACTCTATTGATTCCCATTCATCTCCTACCCAAATCCACTGGTGGCTGTAAACCAATCTTTTCTTTTTTACGCTTATTTCATTGTCCTCACCCAATATCTCCCCTTGGGTATTTCTAGACCCATTTCGTCTAACCAACCCTAGAACACCAAATGACAGCGTAGACTTTATAGTTGAAGCTTGTCCATTAGCCGAACAGGGGCATCTTGCTTTGTGGCCCCTTGTGCCGGTTTGCCGTCTACCTGCACCCCCTTGACGCCCTGTCTGACTTCATATCGAATCTGCAAGCCAACGCTCAAATCCTCCGCCATCATCTGCTGTTCCAGAATCCCCAGGCTTAGCGCCATCCCCGGACTCTTCCATTACAGACGCATTGCTGTTGGTCCCTTTCTCGAAAGCTGCCTCTTTGGCCCGGTACGGGACTGGTTCCGCGAGTATAACTGTTTCAGTGCCCATAGGAATGTTCAGCTCTGGTCCCATTGGCAGTGAATCCATGTCCACTTCGACGTTCAACAAAGTCTTGAGAATCACTTGACTTCCCGCCTTGCTCATCACTTCATTTGCCTGCTTGCACTGCTCTGATGCCACGCATTCCACGCAGCCTCGCTCGCAGCGGCAGTTTTCGACTCGTTTCAGTGCATCTCGCAGTAGCTGATCCACATGGTCGAATGCTTTGGTACTGATTCCTGAGCCTCCTGCGCCGCCTTTGGCATCGTAGAAAGTCAAACGTGCTGGACGTTTCCGTTGCGATTCTTGTTTCGCAAACTCTTTTACTGCCGTCTTACACTCGGTCCTTACATCGCCAGGCATGCTAATAACAAAGGCCGGCAGTAAGCTCATGATAGCATGCTCGGCAGCATGTATCGCGGCCGCAATGTGAAGTCTTCGCTCCTGAAGAATAGCCATCGCTTTCTTAGGCACATCAAGCCACATTCCCTTGCTGAATCGAATTACTGGGGGATTGTCTACTTGCACAGCATCCAGCACTCTGTTCTTCTTATCAACCTTCCAGAAACCGAAAACGTTTTGTTGTATCTTGATTGTTCCATAGTAAGCATGCGACCGGGAATCTGAAATCGTCCGAATAGCTTCTGTCTCGGTAGGATCAATATCGGTATAGTCACGTTGGACAGTTGTCCATTCCACTTTGACCCTTTCCACCCTGGCCATCCCTTTGTCAGGCTGGAAGTCCCGTACAAGGTATGGATTACCCTGGTGAAGAAATATGGCTCCGTCGTAAAGAGTGAAAGTTGCCCTGGAGGCCTCCAGTTCTTCCAACACGATGTTGCGGCCGTTGGTGATATCGACGATGGCGAAATGGTCATCTTCTGTGTCTCGAATAGCAACATACTTTGCAGGGATGGGTCGGAACCTATCGTGGCAGTGGAAGAATCCCATGTCGTCTCTAATGAGACGTTCCACGCAAATCTTCGGTAGGTCCCTGCCAAAGTATTTCGCATCCTCTCTTGGACGAATAGGCATTTCATATGCCGCACATTGAATATGCCCTTCACGTACCAGCATGTTCTCCAAGTCCACTTGCAACTCGCAGTTTGGCTTTGTGAATAACTCGTCCGGGTTCTGCATGTAATGCTGGTCTGTAGCAAACCCATCGCCAACCAAAATTGAAAGGGAATCCTTGTTACGACGGCCAGCACGGCCGCTTTGCTGGCGCAAATTAGCGATCGTATAAGGGAAGCCCCAGGTCATGACACAGTCGAGTGAGCCAATGTCAATTCCCAGCTCCAATGCAGTCGTCGCCACAATCCCGAGGAGCTGACCCTGAAACATCTCAGTCTCGATTCTTCGTCGATCTTGTGCTGTATAGCCGCCGCGATATCCCATTACTAAATTGGTGCATTCTGGCCGACCAAGATTCTCCAGCTCTTGTTTGATTGTACTAACAAGCAGCTCGCATTGCGCTCTGACTCGACAGAATGCGATTATTCTAACGCCTCTTAGCATCAACGCACAGAACAACCGTGCACATTCGAACTTTGTACTGCCTCGACCAGACGCTGGGTCACCAGGGTCCTTGAACGGGGTATTCCAGCAGAGAAATTCCTTGCGTCCTGATGGAGAACCGTCATAATCTATCAATTGAACATTCTCGATGCCAAAAATAGTTCGGAAATGTTGCTCAGGATTGGCGACTGTGGCAGAGCATGATATAAACTTGACACGCCGATTGCCTACAGCGGCGCATATTCTTCGTAGTCTCCGCATAATGAACGACATATGGGAGCCCATTTGGCCATTGTAATAGTGCAGTTCGTCCACTTGTAACAGTAAGTATCCACAGGTGAAGTAGTTTGCCAAAGTACGTACCAACAACATATTTCAGGTTCTTCAGGTATGACCTCCACCGCTCTTCTTGTGGTAATATGGTGATGTGAAGCATATCTGGATTAGTAAAGATGATTCTTGCTTGCTCACGGATATCGTTGCGCTCGGTCATTGGGGTATCGCCATCAAATGTCTCGATCATCGTCTCCTCGAGACCAGGCATATAACCCATCATGTCTTTCAGACTTCTCTTCTGGTCCTGTGCCAATGCTTTGGTAGGGAAGATATACATGGCCCTCGAATTATAGTCTTCTTCTAGAGCACGGATAACAGGGAGTTGGTAAATCAAACTCTTGCCGGAGCTCGTTGACGTTGACACAACAACATGTTTGCCATCATGTAAACTGTTAAGGGCTTCTGACTGATGTGCATAGAACTGAGTGATTCCCTTGGCGTTGTATAGGGCGTTGACTAAATCCTGGCTTAGTAGGAAATTGAGGTCTCCATATACGGGCTCTTGTTTTTCGAAAACTCGATGTCCGTCAGGAACAATTTGGCCAGTGTACCAAGGACTCTCTTTGAGCTCTTGTACAATCTCTGGGACCGTCTTTCGTTCCTTTGGAATACTCTCTGGGATCTTTTCGGCCGCCACTTCTGGGGGAAACTCTTCTGGTGCTGATGGCGTCGGGGTGCATGCTTTTGTCTGTTCTTTCAGTGTTTCAAGGGGATCGAGTCCTGCTTCTATGCATTTGTTGAGATAGGTACTGATGGCGTTGTTGAATTTTTGGTTTCGTCTCTCGATGAGATTTGTCATTTGCTTTTGGCTATAAACAGGCATTTTCAACTGTTCGTCTCGGAGCTTTCTGTTTGGCTTCGTCGGTTCGCCCCCTTTTCCCTGGACTTGCCTTTTGAGATCTCCGTCTATAAACTCGAGAAAGAGCACCTCCCGCCCTGAAGGTTCAAGATCTCGATCATGGTGTTTATCAAGACTATCCAGGCCAGTGTATCCACCTACCGAAGCATCGTGTGCAGGTGCTTGAGATCGGTGCGACCTTCCAGTCTTGAAAAGTTCGTCTCTTTCGGTTCCTTTGACGTCCAGTTGTAGCATAGTCTCATCGACATATGCAAAAAAGATGCCCTCGGGGCGGATCGCTACCATTGAAGCAATCTCCTCGACCAGCAACTCTCTCTTTATATGGGCTTCGACGGAAGACTTTACCGTGTCAAATGTTGTGGCAAGGTGTTTTCGAGTTGTGCAGAACGTGTAAACAAGGTTCAGAGCCCGATGCGTTCTTTCAATTTGCTTGAACTCCTCTGGCCACTCTACGACGCATGGTACCACAACGCTGCTGGCTTCCTTCTGAAGACTTGGTCGCCCTTTTCCTCCCTTGCCAGCTCTTCTGGGTTTCGAGTTGCTCGATTGACTCGAAGCTGGACTCCCAGCTGCAGCATCATCTTGAACATCCCGCTTGCGTTTTCCCTGATGGGATGACGATGATGCCGATGGTTTAACATCAGCATCAGAAGCACCTGCGTCTCGTTCTGAAGTTCCGTTGGGCATTTTCACGTCATTAGTACCGTCAAGGGTTTATATGGAAGTCAACTGGAGTCGATACGACCCGCGAAATCTGGCGCGAAAGTAACGACGTCATTCATTAAGGAGTCGCGAAATTGATGCCACATCACGTGCATACAATTAGAATCCAGGTACGTCTTCATGAACACCATAGAAACCAACACTTGGTGATACAGCTATGCCTAAGTGATTTATTTAATTTAAATAAATTTGTTTGCATGAATGTGACTGCATGACCAGCACACGGCTGTGATTCATCTCCTTCCGCCACCAAGAATGTCCTGTTCTTGTACAAAAGGCTTCCTAACCTTTCCCAAGGTCCAGTAATGATTCCCAAATGTAGCACATAGACAGAATTTTATAGTACCGTCCGAACCAGAAAACCATTGGACTCGCACAAGTGCCTCAACACGGCATGCCCATTCCAAGCTGGGCACGGCATTAAATGCTTCACGCCGCCGCTCTGCTGACCCATTCTGAAATCAGCAACTGGTGTAGCTAGAAAACTTATGCACCATGCCAAGTCCCCGTATATAATTCCGCCATCTCTTGGTGTCGTTCGTCACCTATGTCTGGGGTGTAACAGCTCTCAGCGCTCCTCGCCACCACCTAACTGTCTTGGAGTTCCTTTTGGATGCTGCCAATTTCATTCATGAAGATCTTAGCATTCGCGGCTGACATCTACGCAAGATTTGTTAGTCCAAACTAGTAATTTGAAGTCAAGGATATCACCACTTACCCGCATAGTGATGCTCACGGGCTTAGATTCTGCACCTTCAAAAGCTGTGAAGAGAATTCCCACGGACTTCAATGAAGCTTTTTCTTGGAATTCCATAGCAGCAACAAGTGCTGTGTTGAGAATGACTCGATGAGTCTGATCCTGGCGCATGATGAGACGGGCAACCTTGTGTCCTTGCGTTCCCCCTGCTGCCTCCTCGTCTTCTTCAAGAGCTGAAGCATCAAATGATCCGGGTATAACAGCACCGTTGTCGTCGTACTCGACACAGGCTACAGGCACGTTGATCTTCAACATACCTGCGCCTCGTTCTTTCCAGCCGGCTTCCTTGTCATGATAGAACATCTTGGCTCTCACAGATACAATTGTTGCTTCTCCAGCTTCGCCATCATTGACCTCAACTATGAAGTGTTAGCATTCGTTTGACAAATCGGAAAATTGTTCTTTTACTTTTCTGTAGCTTGAGCTTCTTCTTTTCGTCGGATTCCTTCTCCGGAGAAGCAGCCCGCTCGGTCTCGGCAGGTTGTTCGCTCTCCTCCCTCTCGTCATCGTCGTCGTCCCCTTCCTCCTCCACGTCACTGTCGGGAGCTCCAAAGGGTTTCGCAGGCTTCTCACTTTTAGGCGCCTCTGCTCCGGGTGCGGCGAAGCTCGAGAGAGGTTTGCCAGCCCCGAGAGCGGATCCAAAAGTGCTTCCACCGAAAGGGCTTCCGTTAGTCCCAGACGAAAGACCAGCAAAGGGTGACGCTCCGCCGGAGCCACCAAAGGTCAGCTTGGGCGCTGCTGCCGGCTGCGCAGCTGGGGATGCGGATGGAGAAGCAAATGAGCTCAGCGAGGGCTTGCCGGCGATGGCTGAGGCAAAAGGACTGGACCCCTGAGAGCCACCGAGCGAAGCAAAAGGCGATGTGCCAGAAGATAGCTTGCCAAATCCAGATGCCGCAAAAGCGCTAGCAGACGTTTGTGGTTGAGACTTTTTCGTGGGTGACGTGCCCGCCTCGGTTTCTTTGGCCGACTCTTGGTTGGAAGTAGCTGTCGATTGCTATGGCAGGATTAGTTAAGATCTTGTACCTCCTGTCGTAGTGATATAGGGAACATACAGCCTCTGTATCCTCGTCGCGGTGTCGCTTCTTCTCGGGCTCCAGTCTTAAAGATCTGTCTTTGGCCGAATCGGAAGAAGCTATGCTATTCGTATCATTTTCCTCTGCCTCCTTGCTTCCTTCTAGTTGATCGTGTGCTCGCTTCTTCTTAGGTGAAGTGATCTGCTCCTTCATATCCTTATCGGGCGCATCCGAGGTGTTGGCAGCATCTTCGGCGCCAGACGTTGGGGGATCTGAGATAGAAGACTGCTTAAGTTCGCGACGTGTGGCGCGTGTCTCTGCGTCCTCCTTTGTCTCGACGTTGAGGGGTTCGTTCTTGGGGCTGGCGTCGGGAGCGTCGTCGGCCATGGCGTGCGGCGGCTCGGTGTGATGACGGTAGGATAGAGTTGAAGTATTGCTGGATATGAGAGGGTAATAAAACGACTTCCAATTATGGACCCGAAAGCTATGAGAAACTAGGCAAGAAGCAAAACTCTTATCGGTCGTAGGTGCTACTCGACAAATCTATGCGCTGTACTCGGGATCGGGCTGGGCGCAGGTTGTCTGAGTTGGGTCTTTTGTCGATGCTAGAAGCTGGCGGTTCAGTAAGTGGAACCAATCAGATATATGCAGAGTCGCCAACGTCGAAATAACTAAAACTAACCTACACCTTGTGCTTGGGTATTCACCGCCCACGTTTACACCAGCGACAGGGAGGGGTAGCAGAAGTGCAGAGATTGAACGTCATAATTGATGGGCGCTAATGATATTAATATACAGAGGTACTGAGTTTGAAAATTATTAGAACGGTTTATCGAAATGGTCACAGGCGGTCTATCAGAAGCCTTTATTCAGATTTGACTCGACAAGGTCATTTGTTCCACCGAGGTTGGGTACCAGAATCATGGGACCAAAACCCGCCAGTTCATGGTCACAGCAGGGGTTGTAGCCTGCCTTGATTTTCCAAATCCTGGTTTTCAATCATCGGGGAGGACGGAGACGATCCAGGGGTGGCATATGCAATTGTGAGTCTGACTCTCATATGTTTCACTTTGCAGCCGGAAATGCGTGTCTCGTACAGAGTTTGGTTCCCGTAGCATGATTGGCAAACGCGCTCTCACGCATGCATTAAGTTAGACACCCAATACGGATATCAGATACAGCATGCTAGATTCGGCTTGCATAACAGCTTATCATCGAGTGAAACACGTCAGAAGACAAAATCGATATAGATTTCCCATCAAGTACCTAGATCAAGGGCCAAGGATCGTTCCCTGACGCTCGACCGCCATAATACAATCCACAATTCTATCAAACTTCCATGGGTACAATTACACCGATTCTAAATCAATCGTTTTGATCCGCTGCTCCCTCGGATTTTGTAATAGCCGATTCTCAACACGCCATTTTCTTGGTAGAAGCCAGAACTTAGCTGATAAAGCACAGGCAGCCCAAACCAAGATAGAAGACGAGAAGAGGATACACTGCAAGGAAAACCCGGTTCTTGACGACGCCGCTGCCACCCAAGATGCTAACACCAGCGGCCAGAGACCAAGCGATCAAGACAAGGTAAATTGGGATACGAGCGATCCAGTGGAGACCCAGGGCAGACATCATGGCAGCAAGAACCAGAGGGAAAAGAGTGTAGCCAATGATACAGACACTCTGAGCAAATGAACTGCACAATGAGTTAGTAACTAACACGTACGTTGGACCAGATTGGGAAGACATACATATTTCCGCCTAGCAGCTTGATTTGCAGAGTCACTACAGCCTCGCCGAGCCAGATCATGGCGAAAACGCCGCTGAACACAGCATCTCGCTGTTCAGAACGAGCAGTGAAGCTCAGAAGAACACTCAGAAGCAGGCAGAAGATCAGAGGACCCCAAAGATCCCAGTCGCGAAGGCCGGGTGTCATATTGCTCTGCAGCAAAGCTTCAGCGTCGACCATGCGACTTGCCAGTCCAGTAAGCTCCTCTCTTGTCCCTGAAAGACCTGCACCACGGATGCTTGAGTAGGCGCCGCGAAGGCCCCCTTCACTGTCGAACATAGTACCACCTAGAAGGTAACGGGGGTAAAGGACCTCTCTGAGCTTAGCCCAGACGGCAAGCAGGTCGCGACGCAATGTCTCCCATACAGTCTCGTCAATTGTGTTCAGAGGGGCGCTTCGGTCTTCGCCGGGGATGCGCGATGTCAAGTATCCTTCGTTCAGTGGTCGCGATGATGAGCTAGAGCCGATGTTGCCTGTCAAGGGCTGGCGGGAATTCGTCGCAAGGGGGTCGTCGAAGTCATTAAGATCAGCTATACGAGTGTGAGTCCGACAAATTTCACAGTACAAGAGCTCATAGAATGTAAGGAAGTGCTATGAGGATCGTGAATAGTCGCTTACCATCATCAGGATCAATCAGGTCGTCCTCATCCTCCAGAGGTGGGTTGGCATAGTGCCCTCGAGCGCTTGAGGCTGACATGATTTGAGCTCGTTGTTAAAATTCGTTTCGAGAAGTGAACGTGTCGGCGTTATGCGCCAGGTCGTCGTGACTGTCGTAGATGAGGGTTTACGTTGTAGTGGAATCGGAGAAGCGAAAGTTGCTGAGTATAAAGGCTGACGTACGTTGAATCTCTAATAATTGCGAAACGTCCACGGTCGCCTCTCTGGAAACAACCCCTTGACGAGACGTGGCCCAAGCTTCCTTTAGACGCCACCAATCAGATGAGCCCATCTAAAACCGTATATACCTACTTCAGGCACACTCAACTATTTGTTAGTGGAGGGTCCAGTATGAGTTCCATCCCTTAATACAATTGTGTCGATTTTATCATTGTCGACTTTTAAAGTCAACAATGAACTCACTATGAGATACTTACCTAAGAACTACCTAGACAAAATTGATTCTCTGAATAAGTAAAATCAATAATGTAGGTTAATTCAATAAGACCATGGCAGTTTAGGTAAGTCACATCAGTCCGGTCCAGTACCAGACAATCACCGTCACGATAAATACTTGTTTCCATCTTGAACTCGATAGCAATAGTAACTGAGATATATTTAGTCGATTATCTGTTCAGAGCATATTAAAAAGGGTTGACAAGAACTCGTTACTTGCAGCACAACAAGCACCCCATCCTATTCCAGACCAATGCCACGCCCTAGCCAAATAATTAAGACGCCAGCGTTCATATCGAGTGGTCATACTACAGTATCAACTCCCCCGTCATTGTCTCACGACTCAGCATGATGATTCAAATGACTTTACACTCATGTCAAGTGCTATCAATACCATCTGCGGCTGTGGTCACGAGTTTCCTCAGTTGAAGGAGGTGCCTGTCCATTCCCAGTCCAGTGCTGCCCGTTGTGCTGCCCGTTATTCCAATGGCTTGGATGCTGTTGCGAGGAGTTATCCGCGTAATTCTGTTGGATCCCGTGGCTTTGGTGGTTGTTGTACGCAAATGCATTCTGATTTTGCTGGTAAGCAGATGGCTGCGGGAGCCAAGAATTCCCATGGCCGTTGGTTGTATGGTTTTGATACCCCGTTCCATGCGAGCTATAATCTGCCGTGCCTTCCATGGAAAACTCAGTCGAGACTGAATCCTGCTGTCGTTGATCCTCTCGGGCCCAACGCTCAGCGGCTTGATTCCACGGCCCCTCGTACGAAGTTTCAGCTCCTTCGGGATCCCAAATAGGGAGACCGTCTGGAGGCTGGGCCTCTCCCGATGGTTGGCCATGGCCATATTGAGCTATGTTTCCGTTGATACCACAAAGGGCCCAGGCAAAGACAGCAACGTCTCTGATGGACTGCATGAGCTGGTCCATGGGCGGACCTCCAGCAGCCTGAACTCCGCTACGCAGCGGCATATGTTGCGGAGCATAGGGAGCCTGGAAATTGTGGTAAGACTCGTGCGCGTACTGAGCCTGGAAAGGCTGCTGTGCCCAGGGAGCAGCGAAAACGCCGCGGTCGTTGGTAGAAGGGATATTGGGGTTATGGGCATCAGGAATCTGAGGTCGTGCTCGGCGAATGATAACGACGAGGCCATCAGAAGTACAAGAAACAACAGCTTCTAGTTCAACAGAAGGTGCCAGCTGTGGTGCGGGGCGACTGCGTTCACTGCGTTCTCTGCTCGCCCGTGGTGTGTTAGTACCAACAGGCTGCGGAGACGGAGGGGTGGGAGGAGTCTGATATCCGCCAGCTTGTGAGTTACGAGAGTTAGAGCCCAAGGCGTTGGAGCTTGTGGTACGCGATTCCCCTGATGTCATGTCATCAACAGAAAGGAAACCATCTTGCATTTCCACGTCAGGCTCTGCCTTGACAGAAGGACCAGCACCGGCGCTGGCGCAGGGACGTTGGTAAGAACTCGAGTTGGAACGTGAGTCAAGGTCCATGGCGCCATCCAGTTTTACACCACCTCCTTCGGAATCACTGGAGCGGCGACTTTCAGCCCGTTGTTGACGGTTAGGTGCCAGCGAACCTCTGTCAGACCTATTCTGATCTGGACTTGGGCTACTGGTATGCTGGTTGGAGTAGTAGGGCGGCTCCTCGCTTCTAGCAACTCCATCAACGTTGGTGGCGTCAAGAGTGGACTCTCCATCGATGTTACTCTCTTCATCTTCGAAGTCTTCTGGTCGTCGAGGGTCTCTGGACCAGAAGCGCAAGTAGGCAATGGAATCGTTAGCCTTGGCACTCTCAAGACATCTGACAGCGTCATCGAGGCAGCTTTCTCGAATACACTCGTAGAAGCTTTTGTGCTGAACTTGATCGGCCGGAACCCCGAGAATAGAAGCGATAGAATCCGTTGCAAACATCACAGTCAACGTTCTCGTAAAACGGTTCAGAATAAGAGCGGCTCGAGGTTCGCGCTCCACAGGTGGCAACCTGAACTTGGAAGACAAATGTTCCAACATGTGGTATCGTGGGTCTCGAGGAGAGCGAGAGAAGAGACGTCGGACCTGGGGCGCTGCCAAGGCACGTCCTACTTTGAATTAGCAACGGAAACACGATATATCAAATCAGAGGTGCCTCTATATGAGACCACCCGGGGTATAAACGTACTCTCGCTTTTAATATCACATCGATAAATACTGATACAGGCAAAAAGAACGTCGTGAACGATAGAAAAGACGCATTCGGTGCTTACCCAGCGACCGTCACGAGAGCGAAGACGTGCATAGTGCAGAACAGCAGCCTTGTCCAGCAAGACGCCGCGACTATGGATGGATCGCGCATAAGGGATTTCCTCTGGGTGAAAATATTCGAAGGCGGACCTGCCAGATACCTCCTGTGGAGAGTAACCAAGAATCTCAAAGATAGAATCAGAGGCGTAGAGGATGTTGGCATCCGGATGTAAATCTGTGGTTGAACATATGTTAGAGCGACCTGGTGATATCCTCACACGACAGGGATAACTCACTATGTATAGTCAAAAAAGTATGCTCCATGAAGATGACGACGCAAGAGCAGCGAGCTCCGCAACGAATTGGTTTCGTTTGGTCTGTTTGGTTTGCTGGAAAGGTTCTAACAGAGAAATATGCAGGGCTTGTCCGGTGCTTGTTGGCTAATACCAACTAACTGGTCACTGGAGAGGCAAAACTTGGATATCCAGGAAATAGAGTTCGAGCAAGCGCACCAAGGGACGTCGGCGATAAATCGAGACAGTTGGAGGCGATTGAAATGGGCTGAAGCACTCCCACCATGAACAAGTCTAGCTTGCTAACTCGAGATAGTCTCTTCTGGCGTCAACTGCTAAAGTGGACCCTGAATGATACAGAGCACTAATGTACCAAGTGATACGGATAGTGGAGGGTGGCTTGCAGGGGGTGTATGGTGAAGCCCTTGGATGACAGGAGCACAGACACGACGGAAGACGAGACGAGAAGCGAGTAGGGTAATGGGTGGTGGGAGAAGGGGACCAGAAGTTCAGAAGACTGGAGTTTCTGGTATACAGGTTGACTTGAGTTGAGTTGAGTGTAGGAATAGACAGATATAACAACAATTGGGGTCAAGTTGAGATGAGAAAGGCTCTGGTACTGAAATACCTGGCGGTTAAGATATTCTCTCTACGGTGCCTAAGAGCACTGAGGAGCAATGAAAGGCAAACAGAGTGAAATTAAGTTGTGTTATGTTGAGTTGAAGCTGCTTCAGATAGGAGCGGGCACCGAGATATATAACTTGGTGACTCGACAGTAGGCCCAGTGCTGCAGATTTCAGGTCAAATACCGAGTCGGAGTGACAGGGACTCGGAGCAATCAGCATCCGGAACAAAGACCCTCGGTTCGGTAGTACAGTAATACAGAATAGGTAGAGCTGGCTGAGGGGAGGGGAGAGGCTTAAAAAACCAGGAAGCAAGAAAAAATAAATTGAAAACAAATGAAAAATGAGAATTCTATAACGAACTTGGCTAGGGCCCTGCTCGAAGACAATCCAAGAAAAAAGTGGCTTGCTTGCTTCCAACGTCACTTGTGACAGACAGTACCTGAGTGCAGTAGCTCGTTACAGTATGGAAGACTCTCCCTGTCAGTAGGCCGTCTTGTAAGCTGGTCCTGTTGCTATACATAAATCTCCCTCGAGCCCAAGTGTTATCGTCAACGATGTACTAGACTATAGTAGACAAACAAAGTCGTTGTCGACAATATATCGTCACTTTGAAGTACTGTCATGTAGGCATGCATCCAAGACCAGTTTGCGTACAAGGTATACCCCAACCCGTCACACAGAGAGGGTTGAGGTGAGGGAGAGAGGTCAGACACGAACTGCTACTTACAGCCATGTTGAAGAAACCCCGACGTTCCTCGAGGATGCGCCGCGCAGGTTTACCGTACGTACAAAAGAAGAAGCGAAGCGAGGACAAGCCAAGCCAGGGCATGGACTTGGACTCGGGATGAAGAATGAAGCTGCAGTCGCGTGGCTGCACTGATGGACGATCACGATGGCTTACTGGGTTACGGTTACGTCGCACTGTAAAAAAGCAAAGAGGCTCAACCCCATCCTTGACCCTTCATATCAATGGTCAATATTCGAAGGAGAGGAGGGGAGACAACAAGAAAAAAGTTTTCAATGCTGCAGGCTGTCTTGTTTGGCAAGTCAATGGAGGAAACAATTGAGAGAAAATGATCAACCATGGCACGCCCACCCCTTGGCTTGGACAGAACAGAATGATAGGTAGGCGATCCCTAAAATGTCGCTAGTAGTTAGCTAGTCGTCTCAATTGTCCTCCTGACTCCAAGGCCGTTACCTGAAGAGAATATGATATGTAATAAGAATAAAGTTAGTACTAATGCGCAATACCTACAGTACAATGCTATGTCGGATGAGGTGGTGAGAATACAGATACACTGCAGGTACCTTAGTACGCGACGACGGGCAGGAATGACGTTGAACAGAATGACGACAGGGGGGCATCAACGGAAGTGGAAAAGTAACAGTGGCTGATAGTGGAGCGGGGGCTCTAACGTTGGAACTAAAACCGTCCCGATGCAACGGCAGGACAGCTGGAACAAGGATCGAGGATGTTGGGTTATCAATCGAATAACAGTAAATTCAAAGCAACAAGCCATATTGCTAAGTAACATTCAATGCCTTTCAATAGCATAACAGACAGTAAGTGGCAATGAAGCCATTCAGTACACGATAGAACATGTCCTATTTCGATGCAGATGGTATTCGACACGCTGAAGTGACACAGTTCATTGTTGCTTCATCTTTTTCAAGGTCTTATAAGCATTGTTACCTCAGATCAAGGACAAGGTGCATCCGTATCTTTCACTGCATTCCCTCTGTCGACGATTAAATGCGTGCATGTTAGTACGACTCTTGACCAAATACCAAAGACATTCGTTACAATCGCCTTGTGAGCCGTAGCACAAAGTACATGCCATGCCATGCCATGCCATACAATGCCAATATCCGGTTCAATATGCTACACCCTCTCTGTTCGAGGATGACTGTTGGTTCCAGAAAGAACCACCACCAGTGGTACAGTAGCCAGCCGTTAGCTCTGTGGATACACAAATGACTTGAATATTAGCCTGTACCCTCCGGGACTCGAGAAAGAAGCAATTCATGAATTATACATGGAAGCATTCATGGCAAGACCCTTGTTTCAGTACATAGTAGATACCCACTAAGGTAGGCTGTCTCCTAGACAGCAACGCCCTGGTGTAACTGTGCCACTGTACTACAGTAGCGTAGTCAGTACAGAATCATTCTCTACAAGCGCGGGATCTGAATGTCCTCGAGTTATTTGGCTCCCAGCTTCTCAAGACGGCTCCCCGCCTTAGTTGTTGCACAATACGGATACAGGACAGCCCATTTTCATGGCATCCCGGCCCTCCTCCCTTCTTCAAGCCACACCAAGGGACCAACGGACGGACGGACGGACGGACGGACGCTTCTGATCCCGGTCCACCCTATCGCTTTGCAATTCTGCAAGGCGGACCTTGTCATGTTTGTGTCCCTGAACCTTGCAATGTTCATTGGGGAAGTCGTTGCGAGGACCCTTGATGACGAGCAACCTTATTAAATAGTCCAACGCCACTAAGCGTAGCATTAACACCTGCAATGGTGACTGGGATATCTCCAAGGAACTGTACATAGGACGGCTTGGATGGTCGGTGGTTCACTAATTAACCAGGTACGGTATGGATACAAATGTGAGTGATGATCGACAGCTAGTGCCGCAGGGCGATGCCTTAGCCGGAGAGCAATAGATATACACTAATGCCGTTTCACATGACGAAGGCTTGACTTGACTTACTGACTGCTTTCACGAAGAAACCAAAATTCTGTCTTTCGTTAGTAAAGTTTCAAGAATCACAACCGCGTGAGCTAGGGTTTGAATAGTGGCGGACCCTGAGCCATAAAGCATTGGTAAACTACCAGGCTGCGGACGCCTGCATCCAATGTGCATTGCATCTAAATAGGTAGCTTGAGAGATCACGAAACCGAGCCGGTCCTTACACCGCATTCGTTCGTTTGCTATGCTTCCTCGCTCTGGGCACTCATGCATCAAAACAACGTACAAGACTCAGGTTTGAAGAGGACGATGAGATGACGTGCATGTTAGAATTGACCAAGATCGAGATTTATCTACTGAGATACCTAGACGTTAGACTATCTACGTAGCATCTCGTAGACGGTGACAAAGAGCATAATTCAAGCACCAGATGATCGATAATGCTCCCAGAGAGCTTTACGTGATACAGACACTTTTGGTTTTATAGCATCGTATGGTCATGCATCCATTAGTAGTAACCGTCAAGATCTTGTTCTTCGATATCGAATGTTGAAACCTTTACCTTTTGGTCAGTCTAAATAGTCAGTGCGATCCCTAGAGTTACTATCAGACACACCATAAACTTGATCATACATATAGTAGCTATAATGTGGCGAGTCTTGGTTTCTTATGCTTATGAGATACTTCAGATGCGAAAGAGCAACTACCTGCTACACAGATTGTGTGATTCATTGCTACTGACCTGCCCATGCCAGATGATGATTTGAGAGAAGCACGATCTGCAGCCAGGAGGGAATGCTCCATGGCTGTGTTCCATATCAGACACCGCTTCCATCTACAAGTCATCGGGCTTGCATCTGTCTAACCTCATGACTAGTAACATTCCATTGCAGCATCTCATGGAAGCCGTTGTTGTGTGCGTAGTACCTGCCCGTTAGCATCACAAATCTCGGCTATCAAGGTGGCAGGTCCGTCTATATCGCCTTCTTCCACCTTCCAGGTGCAACGCTAGGCAAGTCTAGTGGGCAGGTGCTCTAGAAGGTTCAACTCACCCAATCAAATGAAGCGATGTAGCTCTCGACTCCACTTTATCGGATACCAGGGGCACTGTTTCTTTCAACAACACGACACATGGAACATCCCGTCAATTAGCATCTTTCGACTTGACGCGCACCGCGTCCAACTCTTTTTTTCTTGAGTGTTTCTTGATCATAGAATTGTCTACAGGCGATACAGGGCGACCATTTCGAATTCGTCTCATATAACTGCTAATCAGACCACCGAGCATTGTTCCATCTGAACTTTTCAGGTAACGCAGCTTTAGTCCTGCTCTAACGGCAATTATCGAGTTACCAACTTACTAACGCCGATATCAAGTCCTGGCTTGTCTGCATATCCGAAAAGGGCATTGAAACTTACCAGTGGACTACCCTTGCTCTCCACTTCTGTATATGTTATATTCATAACGCTTTTCAAGGTCAATCAAAAACAGCTACAGACGTTGATCCTCTTGGCAATATGGCTATCGCCCATGATCCCTTTGAACTGCCAAAGCTACGTTCTTCGTTTATCCTCGATGTAAGTATCGACAGAACATTTTGTGGTTCACGCGATCTGACGAGATGTATAGAACGATACAGAATTTCTAGAAAATGACAATGTTGCCGGTACGACTCCTTATTGATCATCACTACCTCATTGTCTAACGCGGGAATCTCGGTTCTCTACTACAGAGTTCTTCGATGTCAAGTTTTGTCCTTACCAACCTTTAGACGCTGCCCCTGTCTTTGCAGCCATTAGCAAAAAGCATGTTAGTCTCCCTGAGGCCAGTTCTTTCTTTCAAAACAGCCCCTCACGCTCACCTAGGTCGTTATCTGCACCCTTTCTCAAACAACTGATAGTAATCCGTGCGAAATACTCTCTGTGATAAGAGATGATGATGTAGGCGTTACAAAATGCATCATGCATGCCCTAACCAGACCGCTGACTCTGCCTAGGATGAGGCCTCTGCGTGCTGTTGTACTTGGACAAAGGATCCGGAAACTGGAGCTCCCTACCTTTGCATTGGTGGAGTCGATGCCAAAGTCAAGATCTATGATGTTGTGAACGGAAAACTATACAGGGTAATATGCCTTACCAGAAGAATGTTGTACCATGGCAATTGCTGACTTTTGTTTGACCAAAGTGCCTCACTGGCCACGGAGGTGTTCGTTCATCCACCCAACCCGTATATCTCTAACTCAGAAACTTATGCGAAGCAGGATGTCAACGATTTAGCAACTTCGCCTGCAGATCCCTCTATCATTGCCTCTGCATCAGGTGATACCAGTATTCGTGTCTGGAGTCTTGACCCAGTGCATGCTAACCGCCCATGCTTGGTAATCCTCTCTGGTGAAGGTCATTCATGGGATCTGCTCAGCTTGGTAAGTCCTCTGTACACTTGATTAAATGTGACGACAAGAACTAACAGTGTTCATCAGGCGTTCCATGATACAGGTCGGTATATTCTGTCAGCAGGCCACGATCAAATCATCAACCTGGTAAATACTACAGAACGATTAAAATATAACTCTTCTAACTAGCCAAAGTGGACGATTCCTGAACTGCCGACCGAGCCTATCCAAACCCCAGCTCGAATTCATTATCCTCACTTTTCAACGTCTGCTGTCCATAGTGGGATCATAGACTGGTAAGTTCTGCATATGTGCATGCATACCATGATTGCGTGGCTAACAGAGAAAGCGTGGCATTCTACGGCGATTGTATCCTCTCACGAGCATGCCATGACAACGTTATCTCGCTTTGGAGGATAGAAGGGTTTTCGTCCTCAAACCCACCTCCTGCGGAGAACGAGGCGCCGGTGGCTCAGACCACCATTCCAAGTAACTGCGAGGAAGCGAGTCGTCTTACGCTCTCGGCATTTGTTCCCACAGTCTCACCGGAATGCCCATCTCAATACACCACACTGCTCCAATTCGCAACTCCCAATTGCGGCCCTCAGTTCTTTATGCGTTTCAAATTGCATTTTGTACCGGATCAACACCCTGTTTTGGCTTTCTGTAACGCCGGCGGCAACGTTTTCTTCTGGGATTTCGAACGTTTGGTAGCATATCGCGAGTTTATGGAAGCTTACAAAGATCCCGGAAGGGATAAAACTAAACATCTTCCTCACCCTAGCTGGTTGAGACCTGTAAAGGCTCGCCCCAAGCAGGAAATTAGCAAAGGCCGGCATGGAGGTGGCGACAAAGATATTCCGAGTGCTTTCAAAGAGGATGCTATCAAGTTAAACGAAGAGATTCCAGACGGCTACAACGCAGAAACCCTTGAGACCTGGGCGTCTAGGTACAGTACGGGTGATCCCCACGAGCCTCTGAAGGCACATAAGACGGAGTCTTCATCGGCAACCTTTGTAGGGCGACAAACAGCATGGAGTCCCGGTGGTGAGTGGTGTGTCGTAGTGGGCAGTTCCAACCAGGCGTTGATTCTCCAGCGATGGGCCAACAAGGGCTCAACATCTAGGGCGTCTGCCTCGGCGTCCGTGCCTCCTTCTGTATCGGCGCAAAACGGCACAGCTTGAAGCTTCTAGCTTACGGTCAGAGTCCCCTTATCGGGAGACTGTTATATAGTGATAGCGAAGTATCTCCCTCGGAATCATCCGAAGGATTCAATACATTTAATGTGGCACTGTCCAGTTCGCCGCCCTCATTGACCATCCTCTCTAAATACCTTCTTGCCTCACTCTGTTCCTTTGATCTGGCTTGCTGTGCTTGCTCAGTCTGTAGCATTGAAGCTGAACTGATGGGCACTACCAGATCTGCCAGGTAAAGGGACGCCATTGCACGCAAGCGAAGATAATGTGGATTCTTCGAGTATGGTAGCTCTCGAATCAGTTCGTCCATCCTCTTCGTAACGTCCTGCATAGCAGATAGTGATTGAAGCCGTAGCTCATCTTTTCTTCGAATCAGCCTCGTTTCAGGACTGTCCGTGTCATCACTGCCGAAGTTATCGTCATGGCCGAACGATTCTTGGAAAGATTCTTCTTCAGTGTCATGTATCAGTCGTTCCAAAAGCAATACGTGCTCTGCATGTATGTTGTAAATTTCACAGCTGAACATGGCGATCCAGAAATCCACCGCAGAAACGATGTTGGGCATCTTTGAATCATACGGATGTTGTTGGATGAGTGTGTCGAAATAAGCCTTGACTTTGTTCATATTTTCTGCTCGACCCCATCTCTTGGTGGTCGGTTTTGTCTCACGGGCTTCTTCATGTTGAGCATTTTCACCTTCTCGCATGAGAATCTCAGCACCGATAGCCCAGAGATTGTGATGCCGAACATCAATAGGAAGACCAGTCGGTCGCAGTTGTAGAAGCAGGCTGTAGGTACGAGAAGCTTTCTCTATCTCTCCCTGGTCGACGAAGTGGTGACAAGATTGCAGAAGAACATCAAAGTGTCCGCTGCGCTTGCTATTCGTTGCCTTTTTCGACTTGGGACGTGCCGCTTCATCACCTTCTGTCTCTGGATCTTCATCACTTTCAGGTTCAGCTGCCGAGGTGCTGCGGCTGGGAAAACCACGGTGCGGGAAGTCACGAATATGTTGTGAAGGGTTCTCGTCTGTTTCCGAGAGACCTGCGATGGCGAACTGGGCTACTAATCCGGGAGAGTGGCTCAGAGGGTTGATGGAGCTTGCGGGGAAAGAGCTTGGAAAATCATCATCCTCTGTGAGTTCTAGTCTCTTGCGCTTGGTAGACTGACTCTGCTGAGAAAAATATGGCGGGTCTGGTAGAGTTGTCATTGTTGTGGTGAAGATGTAGATGAGTGTAACAGAGATGTTGATTTGAGGTGTTGAAAGTCTTGAATGGATGGCCCCACTATCGTAGTACAGCCAACTCTATATTATGCTTTGAGGTGAATACATAGGTGGGTGCTTAATTCATAGTACTTGCAAAGACCAAATTCAAGAAACTCGTAACCGGGACTATTCCGGCGTGCTAATCAAAGCGAGACGTTTGACGGACGACAAAAGACAAGGTATAGTCACTCGACGGGATATCAAATGTTGCCGCCCAAGTTCATCGCAAACACAAACGGATTGATCAATGCTCTCTGTTTCATTTCAATTGACCCAATCACAAAGCACAGCATACCCATCCTATATACATGACCTCCCTTGTAGTTTTACATCTGCTTTGTTTAGGTTCGGTCGAAGTAAGTCCACTGGCCAGGGACAGGCTTCTCCTCAAGGTCCTCCCAGCTGTAGCTTGTTGTCAGTATAGCTGTAATGACATTGGGATATCGCAACTTACACCTTGGTCTTCTCCATAGTCTCAACAAGCTTAAGCTCGCCCTCAGCGACCTGGATAACCTCCTCAATGAGGCCAGCTCCGATCTTCTGCTCGAGTTCATGGACTCTGTCAAGCCGGTTAGTTGAACTGTTCTGATTCCGTATCAAGCCGTCGGAGGTAAAACATACTGGTCGGCAGTCATCTGAGGCTCGTCCTCCCACTCAATCTTCTCATGGTCCTCCAGCGGCTTGCGCTCCGCCCAGGTAACCTGGTCCTCTCGTTCCTTGAGCGTTCGGATACCTTCATACTCAGAACCCTCGTCCTCCTCGCCGTTCCACTCCTCAAGTCGGATATCACCCGCCTCATGCTTTCGTCCCACCACAAAGATCTTGTCGCCAAGCTTGACGGTGTGGGCCTCACTGCCATCGACGCGGCCGCTGGCAACGCGGAACTGTGACGAGTTCTTGCTGACAAGCTCCTTGGCGCGGGCTGCCCACTCATTGTAGCCGGGGGGGACCATCTGCTCGACAAAGGACATGCGGTGCTTTGTTACGGTCTCGACGGATTGGCGGTACACGGAGGTCTCGGGGAAGTTCTGGAGTTTGCTGAGGGTCGTTCCGTAGAGGTAGAGGAGGGTCGATCTAGGCGTAGCATGAGTCCAGAGACCGGTGAGACCGGTAGGAGTACCGGCCTCCAAGTAGCGCGCAAACACACGAGCTGTTGGCCTCATCCTGGCGAGGTCAATTGCAATTACTTCGTCGTGACTTCGAGGTTGATGGAATGGTCAGAGGAAATTGAATTGACCTCATTGGACTCTAGCCCACCATTGCCGATCCAGCTTGCACGTGTGTCATCACGTGACCACAGAGTCGGATCATGGCATCACCACTCATCTTGCATGGAATAGTTCGATGTGCGCTTGCTAGGAATTAGACAATTCAAACAAGTCTGGGTAGTTCTGGTATGTGTTTCGTGATAGCCAAAGATAGATTGAGCCCGAATAGCTGCACCATTGCGTACCAGACTTGAAGCCAGGACCAAGCTCTAGTTATACATCACAAGGACCCTCTTACTGTGGATCTTGATCTAGACATGCATTTAAGTCTTTCTACACATATATATCAAAAGAAAACCCCTCAATCTTTTGTTGATTGATGTCTCAGTACCTCAGTCGAGTCAATAACTTGTATCGTCCAGACATGTAACATATAACCTTGACGCAGGAAAACTAGAAAAAAAGAAACACACAAGCTCATGTCCGCTCAGATCATGTACCCTATGAGGCTCGACTCGGCATAGTCATTCCAAGATCTTCAACGGCTTTCATGGATATCATCTCTCCGATTGCCGCCGTTTTAAGAAGATTCCTCTCGGCTCTTGCGGTAAGCGGCCTAAAGCACAATATGTCAGCCCCTTTCCATAATGAATCAAAAGGCAGAGGCGCGCCGCACTTCTTGTTCGGACTGAAGACCCTCAATGACGGGGGCGAGCTCAGTGAGAATCTCATATGCCTTCTTGTGGTACTCAATTTGAGCAGAGACAAGCTCGGCAAGGTTTCGCAGAGGCTCGGGTGTATCAAGAACCTGGCACAGTTAGCATCCTGACGGTTGATATTCTGTTTCGATTTCGAACTCACATTCTTCATAACACCAACAGCCTCCTCGGTCTGGGTGACGAACTCGTCCTCGGCCTTCTCAACTTCTTCCTGGGCCTCAGGGCTCAACTCTGGCTCCTCGTGAGCCTGGTCGCCCTGGTGGCCGCCAATGCGGAAAGTGGTGCCCTTTGCATGAGCTTTGACAGCATCCAGAGAGAGACGAGAGTTCTCAACGTTCTTGCGGGCGCGAGTAGCAAAGTTCAAGTTAGTGTTGAGAGTGGTGTTCCAACCAGCGAGGAATCTGCTCTGAATCGCAGCGTCCTGGGCAAGACGGGCCTCGCCAACACGCTCGCTAGCAAGCGCATACTTCTCCAGGGCTGTCGCAAGGGGGTCTTCGCCAGCACCGGTGTGGTGCTGGTGAAGCAGCTGGCTGCTAGACAGACTGGCACGGGCGACAGCATGGCTGAAAGTCTTGGGCTGGGGCTTGGCAGCAGGAGGAGCGACGAGAGCGGCCTGGGCTTCGGCGGGAGAGGTGGCGGTGGAAAGAAGGCTGACCTTTTCGCTGACGGTGCGGCCAAGATCCTGGAAGGTCTCCTTGATGTTAGGGGGGTAGTCGTAGGCCTCGTTGGAGTATTGCGAGCTATAATTCCTTATCAGAACACTGACTTCTGACATGTGAAGGCACAAGTCAGTATTGTAAGACTCACGTCACAGCAAGCATCTTCTGGTGAGCTTGCTTGAGAGCATCGACACGCTTCTCAAGGTCGATGTAGTCGGGAGGGAGCTGGGTCTGTAGGCCACATGTCAGAACGATGGTTGCGCGATAGAGTGCGAAAAGCTTCAACCCACCTTGTCCTCGGTCTGGCCGAACTGCTCCTTGGTGTACTGGAAAGTGCGCGACGCAAAGGGGGTGACAGAGGCCCCGAAGTTGCTGTATTAAAAGCGGTAAGCATCATGTTGAATTGGATTACGACGAGAGCTTTGGGGGTGACATGTTGCAAGCTTGCATCGTCTGCGAGTGCAAGGGGAGCACATACGAAAGCGACTTTCCAACGTTGCCGAAGGTTCCTCCAAGGTTTCCGAAATCCATTCTGACGGTTTGGTCGGTTCGAGTAAGTGGCTTGAGGGTTCGTAGGTATGAGCTTGGTTGGAGGTTTTGTTAGGGGCAAAATGACAAGGAGGCTCTTTGCGTCAGCGTAGTTCAGGTATCCGTAGTTAATCAGGTACGGGAGATATTTGGCTGGACTGGACTCGATAGATATGAGAGCCCAGGTGAAACCCCCACCGCACCGCAGAGCACTGGCTGGACTTCTCTGTCCTCTCCTGTAGTTGGTTGGAGCTTGAGGCTTGGAACCTCCCTTCTCCAGGGGTACAACCCCACCTCATCCCCGCTCTTAAATGGTCCCTCGAAGCTTCAGGGCTCACAGCTACAAAGTGAGGGAGACCCTGGAAACCATCAAGACCACTGGACGCTCTTCAGTTGGACGCCATGAAAAGGTAACATCTTGGTACCTACTTTAAGGGGCCTGTCTGTCTTAAGACCAAAATCCCTTCCCATACCAGTGACGTACCAGATATGTATTCTATTGCGGTTGGCAACAATTTCGCCCGCCATGTGACAATTGCTGGTTCTAAACCTCCAGTTTTAATAGATCATAGTTTAAATTGGCATCGATCAAGTAGATCTAAGGAAACGTTGTTCAAGCCAGTTTTTGTACTTTTTCTCTATCTATATCTCTAACATTTATTCCAAGATGTGTTTATTATCTGCCCAAGACGGCTCTACTCCCCTGCACACGGATTCGTAATCCTGCAAAATAGGACTCTCCATATCCAAACTAGGCGTTGTCCAAAACATTGTCCAGTTGCAGTCTGACAATTTCTTGGTTCCTAAAGATCGCTCAAAATACCACTTATTGACTGGATTGTCCTTTCGGCTTCGCCAAGATACACCTTCGGGAAGACAGCCTCGCACCATTGCGTTGAACACAATATCAGCGCAACCACCGCTCCCTTGGCTCTTCCTCAACACAGCGAACTTATCCAGGTAAGGGACGTAGCGGCCTTGCTCATATGCGGTCTGATCGTCCAGACCTTTGGGCTTCTCCCAAGTCAAAATAGCTCCGCCTTCATATTCTCCGGCGATGATAACACCAGCAAGGTTTTCGTTCACTCTGTTGAGATAGTCGTCAACGTCCAGTTTTCTGCCAAATGAGTCCTCAATCAAATGGACCAGCCGAGGAAGATCAATGCACTTGTCGGTCAATCGCAAGCGAGGGCCCCCAGGCTGAGGTGGGCGCCATGGATTCTCGCGGGGATGTGGGAATACTCGAAGGGGCATGCCCTTTTTGAGAAGAGTTGAGCCCACGGATACCCCTACCGTCTGCTCCTTACCAGAATTGGTTGGAGCGCGCGCCATAGGTAGAGAGGATGAGAATACCGGTTTGTTAGTAAGAAGATTGTGCAATAATGGATTCTTCTTGCGCCGGGTCGTAACCATGCCGCTAATCCCGAATTCAGAATTCGATCCTGCCAGCTCGGAGGACTTGGATGAGATCTCAGTAAGATTGGCAGCGGCATTAGGCGTCGTGATGAGAGCTGATGCTGTATGCGGCAGCATGGCTAATGCATCTTTAGCTAAAGCTAAATTTGAAGCATGAGCGGTCGTCGAGGCGCGAATGTTCTTGTCATCAACAAGCGGTGATCCGTCTGGTCCCATAAGCTCTTTCAATATCGGCTCATATTCCTGTTGTAGGTTGATGAACCGGTGAGCTGCCCCAGGTCGTCCAGTCATTGGTGTTGCTCCGAGAGGATCAAGGAGGATGATTCTCTCTACGAGAGCCATGGGTTCGGAAGGGGAACTGTCTGCCTCGCTAGAATTGTTGAATTGCAAGCCCGCAAAGTATCTGGTAAGTGCCAACACGATTTGATTCGAATCAACCGGTTGAGGTGGCCGGGTGACATCACGAGTGACAACTGAAGGGATGACGGGTAACATCCGGTGGTGTAGAATGCGGTCGAGAAAGCGAGGATCTTCAACTCTTATGTCAACGGGCGTTGGCTCCTGTGGTGTGCTTTCTTGCATAGATGACTCGTCACACACAAATGCATTGGTGACAGCGCGAGCTCCATGATCTTGGAAACGATCGATAGCCTCACAAAGCCGGAAAGTCTGATCCTGATAAGTCGTTCGCGATGCATCGATGCCACAGTCAATGACAACCACGCTCAAGAGACCAAGTTTGCGCAATTGAGAGAGGGTGTTCGCCACGCCATCAAGAGTCTCGGCATCAATCTCCTGGGGAGCGCGAAGCTTCATGATGGCAACATGTGGAGGCTTCGGTGTTTCGGGCGCTGTTTCTTGCTGAAGGTCACCTTGAACAAATAGAGGTGAATCGGCTAGAGACTTTGGGTTCTTGCCAGTCTTGCCGGCATATTTCTGTAGGTAGCCTTTGGCATCGCGCTTGGTCGCTGAAACCTCCAGAACCGATACGATAAAGTCCTGCATGTAAGTTAGATGGATGAGCGATGCAATACCAGCGACCAGCTTGGCCAACATACCCTATCAATAGCCTTCTTTTTGGCGATTGCCGTAGAAGCTGCCGACATGCGGCGGGCAGCACCTGGGGAGAGACATGCTGGCGACGAGCTTTTATTGCCGTGCTGTGAAGCAAACCCGCGATACCGAGATCGGAAGGAGTTGGTGACGTTATGCGAAGATGCTGCGAGGTGCGATTCTGTAGCTGGCGCACAATGACCGCACCTTGGCGCTTGCTTCAGTATGCGAGGCCAGCTCATGATGGCACAAGATATGTGTTGATCAAGACGACTTTACTTTTTACTTGTGTCTGACCACAGTGGAGATATGAGTTGGAATAGAGGAGCTTTGGCTGGCACCACCTCCCCCGGATGACCTATAATTATGCTGAATTGAGAGCGGCCGTAGGGGGAGAGAATCGATGTTAACTGCAGAGCATCGCTGGATGACTCCTCAGAAAAGAGGAATATGCAGGTGCAGTTGAAAGTGTAACTCCCGTGAGTCAAACTCAGCAGAGGAGAACTGGGCCTGGGACTTTTATCAGATCAAATAGCTGCCCACTCCGGGTAGTGGAGGTTAACAACTTTTTTTGGAGACAGTGCCATGTGTGCGATAAGCTGATAAGCCCCAGATTCGATCCCGCCGATGTCGCTAAGAGGATCCGAGTATCCATCCATGTTAGTGATGACGATGGATACCGTCGGCACTTGTTAGCTGCTAAACTGCAAGCTCTAGCCAGATGCACTTCTCTGAGAATTAAGAGGTCGACTTTACAGTCTATAATACTTTACTCTAATGGATCACAAGTCTGTTGTCTACTTACTAAGAGGTAGCCATGATTGCTAGGTGTTAGGAACTCCATCCTTCAAGGGACCCTCAAGTCTAGTCCCCATGTAGATGGAGGTAGTCAAACCAACAACATCTCAACACGGTAGCTGCGTCATATAATATCACTCAATTTGTCACAGATTATCAAATACTGAGGAACTGGCAATTACTGGCAACCGTTTTTGGAGCCATATTTCGAGAATTCTGGTAAACTCTTCTGACGGACATCATGGCTTACAAACCCAAGTACATGCTGAGTTATGAAGACTCAGCGCCACTCATGCAAAGGTTCCAAGATTGATGATAGCTTCTCTCTCTAACGTTATATCTCCGTGTTACACCCACTCAGTCTCCATTGCCCCCATTACCCCCACCCAACTGTGGTCTCGTCGGCGACTAAACTCCGTATATCTTTCCTATAAAACACTTGTAGACGCTCCTTATTGACACAAGAGAAAGCCTACTTACTCAAACTACAGTTTCTGGTTCAAGTATCAACAACTCCAAGTCCTAACCCTCTCAATCCGCTCTATCATCATGGCTCCTACGTTGTTATGGATCGGCCTTGGAAATATGGGGAGGGTACGTTCCAATCGATTCACTCAGAGGCCCTATGACAATATGGCTAACAACAACAGGGCATGAGCAAGAATATCGTCGAGAAGGGTAATATGGATGGGCCCCTCCTTCTGTACAACCGATCGACCAAGAGGACAACAGACTTCAGTGCTACCCTCCCTGCCGGCAAGACCGAAGTCATCGAGTCACTTGCCGATGGTGTCGCAAGAGCAGACATCATCTTCTCTTGTATTGCAAACGATGAGGCTGTGCAAGAGACTTATAAGACAATGCTTGAGAGTGATGTCAAGGGCAAGCTCTTCATTGAGAGTTCAACCATCCACCCGGAGACAACCGAAGCCATTGCGAAAATTGTTACGGACAAGGGAGCTGAGTTCGTTGCTGCACCTGTGTTTGGTGCTCCTCAGATGGCCGACGCTGGTCAGCTTGTTGGAGTGCTCGCTGGACCTGCCGCCAGCGTCACAAAGGCAAAGGCATGGTTCAAGGGCGTCACCTCCAAGGCCGATATTGACCTTTCGGACCAGCCATACAGCAAGGCTTTGACTCTCAAGGTCCTCGGAAACACCTTTATCTTGAACATGGCGGAGCAGCTCGCCGAGGCTCATGTTGCGGCAGAAAAGACAGGGCTGGGTACTGAGGCTATCCATCAATTCGTTCAGTCGGTTTTCGGAGGACCTTATGCCGCTTATAGCGAACGCATGCTAACAGGCGATTACTACAAGCGAGAGGAGCCCCTCTTTGCCGTAGAGCTGGCAAGAAAGGATGCGCGTCATGCAATGAATCTGGCTAAATCTGCTGGCGTTCAATTGCGGAATGTTGAAGCTGCGGACGCGCATTTGGCGATGGCCTATGACCATATTGGTTCATCTGCCGACATGGCTGGTATATATGGAGCTGTTCGTAAAGAGTCCGGTCTCAAGTATGAGAACGATGCCTAGATAGATATATTGGGATGTTTCGTCAACAAACTACAGTAGAAGAACGTGACGCTTATCGCTGGATTTATAGTAAAAAGGTTCCATTAACACCAAAACCAATCTGAACATAAACCAACAACCACATCCTTCCATGTAATGAAAGAGTCACAATATTACAATGGCTCGTATGTAGGAGTAGAGATAACATTCACATCGCAGATTAAACTGGCTAATACTGAGCATTTTGCTAGGATGCCCATCATTGATAACTTTCACTTTACTGGTCTAGGGTAAGTGTTTGGCCGATACCGCTGACTCAGCATGGAGCCTCCTGTCGCAGTTCAGTGATGCAACCAATCCAAGAACAAGCTCACCATCATCGACGACATCAACCTCGAGAAAGCTCCTTATCCGAAAACCAAGCTCAACTACTACCCGAACGCATCTACACGAAGCTCCTGCCGGCGGGATAATACTCGAATAAAATCGCGATCATGGCTCAAGGGTATACAACGACTTCCTCTTCAGAACGACGCGTGGAAGACCTAACAGCATCGTAGATACGCCGTTTTCATCGGCCTCGCTGTCGTCGGCGCCCTGTGCGTTGCCTCGTGGTTCCTTGCTCCCAAGGGTGAAAACCAAGTGTCAGTAAACCCTTCCCCGCCGATGCGATTCCTCCCTGGCCGGTCGCGATGTAGCATAGCTGACATGTACCCTCACAGACTCTGGCGATCCTCTACTATCCTAGCCATCGTTTGCTGCTATCTCATGTGGGCTATCACGTTCCTCGCCCAACTCCATCCCCTTATTGCGCCCAGAAAAAGCGGCATCCGCGAAGAGTACCTCGATTAGACGCCTACCTATAATATGCATTGGGGAAGAGGTGGAACGAAGGGAGGGACTGTCATGAGGATGCGCTTGTAATTTTAAATGCCCGTCTTCTTAACACTCATACTGTTATTGCTGTTTTGTTACATACGGAGTTGGAATGTCTGATATACCAAGCCAAAGATGCGCTCTGCATATAAACATTTCTCTTTTCGAGTTCTAGCGTGATTACTTTGCTGCCTGTTTAAAGTGGTTGAACCTATCCAACAGCGAGACGACCTGCCCATTCCCTTGCATACATCAACAATGCCCATAGCGCTTTACCATCAGCTGCCACACCGCTTTCGCCTATTGAGTCAACGTCCGCAAGACCAGCAGCAAGCAAAACCGCTCGACCGACAACCCAGCGCGATGCTGCTCCTGCGATGGCGAGAAAGCATGCTGTTACATATCCGCAATCGAGAAGGATGCGGAGAGCTTCGACATTGTTGGCCACGACAGCCCAACCAAGGGAACGAGCTGAGGCAGGGACGTCATAGTCCCAAATCACCATCAGTATGGGGAAAAGCTTGGTAGATGACGAGACCAAAAGAGCTGTAGACACTGAGTTTGGCCTTGTGTACTGAGGCAGGATGCCCAGAAGATTGAGAGGTGAGAATGCAGACGATGTGAGGAAGCGTATGCTCACATGGAACGCTGCTGTAGAGAGGGCGCAAAAGACGACTGTAACAGAAGAGTTAGTTAATAGATCTTGTGAGTGACCTTGGGGCTATCATCTTACGGAAGAAGAGGTATTGAAGAACAATTGGTTGTTGTGCCAGTCTGCCCAGATTACTTGCCCCTGGCAGGGCGTCAGGTACTGTCTGCTTTTCTAGTCGTGCCCACGTCAAGTAAACATCAAAGAGAAGTAGTAGAATACCAAGACGAATGATAGAAGGCTAAGAAGTTGTCAGTGCGAATTCTACACGGCTCATATTTGCTCATCATAACTTACATCTAGACGATCATCGTCACGCATGAGGGTGTTATACAACAAATGCCGATAGACCTATGAAATGATCAGAAGCTGCAACATCATACAGATGACAAGAAGAAACTTACCTGAGGTTTTATAAGAACCAGGTCTATGAATAAGACGACAAAGTCATGCTCAACATACTTGTCGCAGAAGGAGCCGCAGTTGCGACAGACAGTAAGTCGAATATTGTGTCCACTCGCCTTATCCCCTGCACCAGAATATGCCGTCCAAAGCGTCTTAACGGGATGTCTGCATTCGATACAGATGGGCATCTTGAATGCAGCTGGTTTGAAGGGGTTTACAAAACCTGGCTTGCTATAATGAGATTTGTTGCTGGCGTAGTTTGGCTAATATCATGGCCAGGGATACTGAGTTAGACAAGTACTAAAAAGAGCCACGCATTTCAACATGACCGGGAATGATGTGGGGATAAGAACCAAGTCCGTCATGCACCAATCAAGGGTCAAAATGCATCGAACAGAAGAACTACAGCAGACTCACATAGCTCTCTGTCTCGACCATAACAAATACTTGTTTACTTCAGTTGCTTAATTTCAATTCATTGTAATATATTTGTGAAGTTTCTTTCCTTACAGTTGATGTTGATAAAGCATCTTGATTCTGCTCATTGTCTGATTGATGCTCTCCGATATGCCATAAAATTGTACTTGGGCTTAGTATGTTCAGATTGTAACCCCGATTTCATCCAAAAACCTCTCAAACGCTCCTCGATTTTTGCTATGATTTATGCATATATCCTGAAGTATCGCAAATGCCACCTAACGCCTTGCAGCTTGAAACCAGTTGCAACATGCAGTTCTCCACGACTAACGCCTCCCCGTCCTCGTCCCAGCCGCAAGGCTTTCTACCTGATCTCTCCCAAAGAACCCTGAGCTCAAGTGGTGCGGCTCGGAGTCTAATCGTCCTTACCGCCTTTGACTGCCACCCTTCCCCGGATGCCTCCTTCATAATCACTCCGACCACTGCTCGTGATCTGTAGGGACTCCAGCAGGCCGGACGGGGCTCCTGCTGATGGCCCTCCATCATCACTACCAGTGTCAGTCAACTCTATAAGATCACCGTTCCGTTCAGGCCTTCCCTCGGGCATTCCACGTATTCGTTCCAGTTGCGAGCTTGGTTTGCGCGAAAGAGCGCCTCTTAGCCAAGTTTCTACCGCAGCAGCCGCCTTGTCTAACCCGTTGCCCTGTTGCGTGGAGGTAGAATCTTGGCCCTCTCCGGTGGAGTTTTCTACAATGGTTGACGACTCCCCGGATTTGAAACCAAAGTGAGCTGTTTCTGAGCCCATTATAGACATGGAGGGAATGCCTTCCAGTGTTAGACCAGGCAAATGCTTCTTGGTCCACGTATTAAGATAGTCTTTGTCTGGCCCTGGGGCTCGTGTCCCCATGCCCATTGAACCAACACCTCCGGGTCGACGCATCCAGGCAGGCAAAGACTCGCCGGCTTCGCTAATTGTGCCTGTGCCTCGGACTGGGCTTGACATAACGGTATTCGAAAGCTGCGGCCGATGTCCGAGAGAGCTTTGACGACGGGACGAGGTGCCCGTAGACCCAGGCGGATTGCTTGATAGATCTAGACTTTGCCGGGGCGTCGAGAGAGTTGAAATAGTCCTAATACTCTTCTTTCGGCGAGGTGGAAAGTAACCCATAGCATTCCGTGCGACTCGTGCGATCTCTACTGGTTGTGAGAATGAGTCGATTTTGACCCATCGTACGTGTGTCCATGGTCTGTCTTCTTCGACTGACTGGGTTGCCGATGGTGTTCCGTTAGTTGGTCGACTGCTGAAGAAGTCATCGTGGACTGCCGGTGCGCTCTCTTCCGCAGCAGGGGTTGGAGCAAGCAGATCAACACCATGCGCATTGTGCCATGATGGTGGATCACAAGGTCGCCCACGAATATCGCAAGCATCGACTGGAATCGTCAAATATTTGCGCACCTGTACGCTGTCCCGCGTCCAGAGCCCATTGGCCTTTCTGAATGCATCTTCGCGGCACTGGTATCTCAGAATCAAGCCCGCATAAGTGTCGCTGGGCTCGACTTTGTGAATGTAGACCAAATACTCCTCAGGCTGAGACTGTTCGGGTGCAGATTCGTCGGAGTTGCGGCGTTTGTGTTTCCCACTGACATCTAGTCCTCCGTTAACACCATCGTGGCTTTCTAACACCATGGCCCTCTTCGCAGCTTTCAAAGCAGCTTCGCGCTCTTCCCGAGATCCAGCGCCCACGTCATTTAGATTTGGCTCCTTGGGAGGCGCGGGACCCCACGCACCACCTGTCTTCTTCGAGCTACCGCTACTGGAGAAGTCCCTGCCCCATGTCCCAGGTCGAGATCCTGCTCGATTATGGGATTGGCTCCTCCTGGCTGCGCCATTGTCGCCCGATATGAGAGAGGACGTAAACCCCTGAATGGAAGCCCAGCTCGACGTCAACGAGTCGTTTAAGAAATTGGAGAGGTTCGCTGCGCTATTGGTACGGTGTGGTACGGCAGTCCCTCGATCTTGGGGAAGAGGGCTCGCAGAACGGCTGTTATCAGGACTCAAGGCTGACAAGAGACCATAACTTCGTGCAGGTGAAGCAGAGGTTGTAGTATCGTGTACATTGAGGTTACGGCCACGGCGGGAGCGGCTGGCTTCGCGGGACGTAGCGGTATCACTGTCATCATCGAGTGTGCTAGCAAGGCGTCGATTTCGAGGGCGAACAGAGGCGGAGTCTGAAGCATAGTTGGCAGGTGCGAGTGCCGATGAGGACCGATGCGGCGAGGGCCGCGCAGAGCGGTCGGTCATGATATGTCAACTCGACAACGATATATTCGAGGTGTATCGGTGCGACTCTGCACAAGTGCGTGGCACTCAAGGCACGGCGACTAAGGTCGTAGTCGAAGTCATTCAGTATGCATCAAGAAGACGGTAAGGGTTCGAGGGGCGAGATAGCCAGGCGGAGATAGAGAGAGGATTAGGAGGGTCCTGTCAAGGATCCCCGATCGCTAGCGGAGGCGATGAGTAAGATGGAACAGGGTCCAATGCACTCGAGTATTAACCAGGTTTTTGAATCTGCTTCTAGCCTTCACTGATATCAAGAAGACAGGAACTCGAGCTGTTGTAATATGCGCTACGTTTCTTCGTGGGATGTGATAGAGGTGGTCGTTCTTGGGACAAGGTTGCTTCGGTGGGCCTAGAGCCAGCGGAAAGCTAGGTAACTTCCATACCTTAGTGAGAGTGGATGGGTCCAATTGTATGTGCAGCAGGGGGCACTCGTCAGTACCCCAGGGACTCATTACCTAAAGTGTACTTGGCATCAGACCGCGAGCATAAAGGACAAAATAGTTTAATCACTTCTTGTGAGTTTAAACCAGCCCCCTAAGCCATTTCCTTTCCTTACTTGACAGCTTAGAGAACAACCTTTCTGATACCCACTACTAAGCTTGGGTACCTTGGAGATACTTTGTCCAAGAGCTTTGCTGTAGATTGCTTGGTGCTTAAATGATGCAACCGGCCGAGACTCAATCAACCCAACTTGAACTGTAAATCCATTCCAGAGCAAAGAATGCAATTTGCGGCCAATAAAGACGCGTGCTTGTGTTCTACCGACAGAGGGATCCGAGATTAAAAAGCCACTGGACAGTACCTACTCACGTTAAATGCTTTCCAAGATAATCAGATCTTATGCACAGCCCTGGTAAAACCCTGAGTACTATTTCCGGAAGTCAAAATATTCGGGGACATGATAGGACACAGTAATCGCATTCTACCTTGCGATATAGTCTTGGTGCCTCGAGATTACTATTCCTCGAGATAGGAGTGATAATGTACACGAATACTCCATCCCTTTGAACTTGTTAATAAATTTAGCTGGGGACAATGGAGTAGGCCGCGTGGAGAGGAATGACCCACGTCCATCTTTGGATGCTTCAGATTGGAAGAAACACTAAACCTAGCGTCACAGAATTAAGTCGTTCCACTAGACTGTACTGTACGTAGCCTCAAACCCCTGAGAGTCCCCTGAAAACCCTACCCGGATTTCCAGAAGGTGTTAATGCTGTCCCACATGGACCCCTCCAGCTTTCAAGTTACGGACACATGAGTTGTTATACCCATTCGAGTCTTTTTGCACGAGCTTTAGGCTTGTTCAGCCAGAAATGGATTGCTAGTATTTCAATTATGATGTATATATCTTGGTCTGCCACATTGCCACTTCATGACCTGAACCATACTCTGTAGAACTGGCGTTATTACCGCCATCGTCATACCTTCATTGCTGTCAATTGTCCTACATGCTCCCCGTCACTTTCTGATGAGGATCAATTCGACAGGGGGCACTGAGGTTGTACTATTCATGCCAGGTCTAGAGGCATCTTGGGCCATGTACAATCAATTGCTAAGCCACCTGAGTTCACTATCAAGTTGCAGCTGGTCAAGTACGTGGGGTTTGGTATATAGCTCCAGGTCACGATAGCAGCACTTATTGTGTTATATCCGACTATCCTGTTCAGCCCAATGGCATGTCGAGATTAATATGATTGGGATCTGTACCGTTGATACCGAAGAATTGAAACCTGGAGAATCAGTAAGGAGTATGTTAATAGGGCATGTCAAGACACTTACCAGTCCTCTACGTTGAGTGTTGTTGGAACAGCTTGACCTGGTCCTGATGCGGTACTCCAGCTATCTGGGCTCTGCCCCTCCGGTAAGTTAGGGTCGAGGTTAGGTTGTTGCCACATGTTTCCGTGACTCTGAAAGCCTTGAGGCATCATTCCATTCCCGCGGTGTTGAAATTGTCCCGCTTGTGGGTTGTGCATCCCACTTTGTCCGTTACCCGATGGCATTGAACCCATGTTGTTGTGGTCAAGATTGGAATGTGTTTGTGTCGGCGACAGGTTTGGGAAGGCTGGCATAGAAGCGCTATCAGGAAACAACTGATCCGGTTGAAAGTTCTCCCAAAGGGATTGTGACAGGTTTGGAGAGTTCCTTGTCACCAGGTAGAGATCAGGGGGCGTTGGTGGTACAGAGAATGATGGATTGAAGGGCGTTGCTGGTCGAGTTTGTGGACGAGAGTTCGTGCCCCCCATGAAAGTATCGGCTGTAGTATGTCTACTGTTTGGAGATGTGACTGGCGGAGGTTGCATCGAGCTCATCGGTTCTGTTTTAACAGCACTCGGCGTCTGAGGCCGCGACCTCTCATAAGATTCTTGAGGCTGGGGTGTAGTGGTGCTAAAGTCGATAGCCATGTCGTCATATTTTCGTTTCGTTGCTTCAGCCTGCCGATTTTGCTGTTGTTCCAAATGTGAAAGACTTTGGCGCAGATTTCGATGTCGTTTGCCTTCAGCCCTTTGCAGTCGCTCTTCCAGTACCTTATTGCCCATGATAGACTCAAAGAGTGCATACACCATCTTACCCACGAGCCAAACTCGCGAGATTTCCTTCATGGCTGACATACAGCTCCGTAACCTGTCTTGGGTGACCTGTTGAATGGAAGGGACCGGCGACTTCATCTGATAAACATGCATGATAAGTGCTGAAAACAGACTGTATACAACGAAAGCGGGACAATACCGCAACTGATCATGCGCAGCAAGATTCTCGACGATGGAAGTTATCATGGCCGCTGCCTGAAAAGCAATGTTGCGGGAAGGGTAAGGCGAGGGATCAGGCAAGCGCGATGAGCCACCTGGTGGCATATGTGCTCGATGGAGGAGACACAAGGTCGTATAATAGTTCGAGTGCAGTAGCGCAGACCAGAAATGATGGCGAGGCATCTCCCAATAAACAATTTTCGGACAATTTTGCAGCCAGTCGGCCAAAGCCATGTCGCTATGCGTGAGATCAATCGCATTTCGTTTAAGTCCTTTGGACGCGACCGAATATTGCTGTGACAAGACCAATCCCATGATTTCGCACAGTTTGACGTACTCTAGAAAGAACTGAACATGGATCGGATCCGGTGGATAATCACTTGCTCGGTCTGCCTCATCCTCGATGAAATCGTCTTCAGTCAGCATCTCCACGTCTGCGTCGTCCAGATTGATATGGACAGGTCGACCCAAAGCAACCGCCACTGAACGATCACGAGTAAAGAGAGACCACCAGATACGCTTCCATAGCCTCTTGTCTGCTCGGCTTAATTGCGACTGTTCAACAGACCTATGCATGCCCGAACCCTGCGCAACAATGGTTGCCACGCGACTCCAGTAAAATACGTTCTTGGTGACATCTTCGGGGCCTTCCCAATACCAGCCCATGAGAAGTAATGACTGAACAATTGTCACGCGATCGTCTTCATAGTTGGCATCATACAAGGCCTTGGCACGCTTGTAGAAAGTGAGGGCGGCAGGAGTTGTCGATCCGTTGGCATCCATGAGTTGGGGATTGTTGCAAGCGCGAGTACCTGCCAGAAGGACGGACTGGAGTAGTAGCAGTGATGGAGGGTTCTTGGGGTCTCGATATTGTCGCATGAATCGGGTGCGGTTAATAACTGGCACAATAGGATGGACCCATTTGAAGTACGCATCGATGAGTTCGTCGCAGAGTGTTCTTGGGGGGAGCAAGAATGCCCCTCTCTGATGTAGAATATCTATCTCAACATTGTCAAGTTCTGTAAGTCGAGCTCGGGTACCGCGGACATTCTCAGGCAGCGGGTAATGTACAACATCCGCTGAGCCTTGACGATCGTGAACAAGCAGAGTGAGATTGGAAGATTCGCCAAGATATGCGACTCGTCCAGCTTCAGTGATAGGTGCGCGCGTAAATTTGGGTTTCATGACTATGTCAAGATAGGTTCCGTTGTCAACTTCCTCTTTACGTGCTTGAGCTTCCGTCCAAGCGGTGGGAGGAGTGCCATTGTTGGAGTGGTATACTGAAGGAGCCCTTGGCGTGAGTGATGCCGTACTTGGGGGAGCTGCAGGACGCGGCGAAGGATCTTCAGTACCATCGCCTCGATCGCTAGATGAGAGAAACGTGCTGTTAGCCATTGAAATCCAGATGCATGTGTAGGCGCATTCCCATACCTATCGGAATCCTTGTTGGTTTGGCTGCCAGAGCCTGTGGTCTTTTTGCGCTTTGGGTTTGGAATACGGCATTCGATTTGAAAGGCAACACAGTTTGTGCAAGGCACACCGAGGCTTGCTGCGTCGCATCGAACCTGTACAAATTGAGGGTTAGTAGTTGATGGTGATGAGGTCAAACCTCAATTGAGTTGCCTCCGTGGCGCATCGCTTTATGGAAAGAGGAAAATTTACCTTTCGTGCGTGACAAGTCTATTAAATCGTTAGCCAAAGCAGAGAAAATGGTATGCTTGACGAGAAACAGCAAGTATTGAGGGATGTCGCGATATTATCATGATGAAGTGGGCTGCTGCCCGCCGATGCCTCGGCTCATGCTGAGGGGGACGGGGCACTCATGGGTGTCTAGGTTCGGCAGAAGACAGCGTAACTTAGAAACTGCTTACCTCGCATGCACGCGATGCTCGTTGCCTTGTAAAAGAACAAGTTCAGCGCTTGAAACTCCAGAGTCTTCCGTCGCAAATGCAACTCACCTCCGAAAACTCACTCCGCCAGCGGATGTCGACGTCGAAGTGCTAGATGCGGGCGGACCTGGAGCCTGCGAGTCTCCTTGCTGCTGAGCTTGAGGTTGCACTTGCGGCGTGCCGCTGCCCGAGGACATATCCAAGTCCATGGCACCGGAAAGTCGGCGGTAATATATCGATGGGAAGCGAGAGTATCGAGTATCGAGAATCGTCAAAGTCGGTAGTATCGAGAGGGGAAGGACGATAGTTGAAAACGCAAGCAGTAAAAAAAAAGGCAACGTAGAATGGAAGGTAGGATAGGTCGGTGCCCAGGTTGCGATGGGCTTGCCTGCGTCCAAGTGCGGCCCAGGGCAGGTACGAGCCAGCGCGAGCCAGCGCGAGCCAGACAGGAGGAAGCACTGACACCGGGTACCTAACACAGACACAGACCGGACACACCAGAACACCACTAAGAAAGCAGGCAAGTGCTGAAGTATGTGCAGAGCCACACCAAAACGGCAGGTCTGAAGATCTTTCGATCTGGTCAAAGGAACCTAATGAAACCCCTCGGTACGATTGCCAAGTGCAGACAGCTTACCTGCCTTAAAACAGTACGAATAAGGTGTTTGTGAGACACCTTGACACTTGGATGTAAGCTCGAGTCTTGGCTTTGTTTCGCGTCAGCTAAAAACAAATAATTATGCTGAGAGCCTCAAACTGTCCAACACCAAGCAAAGACGATTTCAATTGTAAGCAGGCGGATACGTCGGTAGAAGGTTCCGCAGTGTAAGGTGAACAGGCCTATTATTGACATCCCGTCCGAGGAGTCTGACTTACTGACTGGTTTTACGCTACCCAGATGGAACAGGCCGAACTAGGTGGGTGTCGCTAGCGGCGGGAGCGGGGGACATACGCACATTAGAAAGATCTACTCCGTACCATGGAGGCCCTGGAATAGGTATTGCTCAGTGTTAGCGTTATACTCCAATATGGGTAATAGATATAAGATCCAAGCAGGTAGCTAAACTGTGAGCATGATTGTCTAACTATTCCAATCATAATACAGGCTTTGAAAGACCCAGTCGGATATCCTACTCTTGTATAGATATATGCAATGTATATCCCATCCTCATCTTCAGCAGCTGCACATAATAATAACGGGCGGGTGTATCGGGAGTCCGCGCACTCCAGATCCTCAGCAACAATAGCTCATGGGTGGCCCTGTCACCGTCGGAGATGGTGGACGTTACCTCCACTGTGGTCCCGTCTTGTCTTTCGGACAGGCGAACAAAGTACTGTAGACGATTCGGCGCTCACTTCAGTTCAAGAGGATCCACAAACGTATGGGACTTGTTCCGTGGTCCGCCTCAATTGCTGATTGATGCCGTATCAAGTTCCATCTCCGAAGAAGATGATGAGTCGATTGACTAGCTAACAAGTTTTTGAATAATAATTAGACCGTCAGACTCTGTACGAGGCCTGGCTAAGTTGGCTGCTGTTCGATGAATATTAACCCTAGCTAGCATCACCAAAGAACTGCGGCGTAGGCGCGTGACTTGGGATTTGTAGCATGTGTCCGTTTTGGAGATCAAAAGGGGGCCTCGTCGATTGACTGTTTCATGCCGCCTATTACGAGCTTGTGCATGAAATGAAATCTCATCGGATTGATCGACACCATGATCATTTCGCCTGTACCGTACGTAGTGTCATCTTGGCTCATGACATGTGAATGCCTTGAGGCGTGATGGCGGCGGTCCAAATCCCCAATTGAGTTTGGTCCATCATTTAACAAAACATGTCGCATGTTAAAAGCTGGGGAAGTCAGACTGCGCCTCTTTGTTTAATCTGTTTGCGACAACCTTCTCAAGTATTGTACGTACAGGTAATGAAACTCATTCCTAGGTAACTTACACCTTAAATTCATCCTTCACGCTGACAGGATGCGCTCAAGCCAGGCCAAAAGGTCACACTACCTGTATGTCACACGTCACTGTGACCGTTTTGTTTAATGAAGGTGACGGTGAGACGGTAAGTGTATAGCATGCTTTGATCTGCTTTTCACATGCAAGTCTACAAGTATTCAACGAGGGATGACCCCATAAAACACTATCCACACCTCCGGGCTTCCGAACGCGTCCCCGGATCCTGATTACATGGCTGTCCTTGTTAGTGATTTGAGGCCTTGAAGGATGTGCTGCGGCAGTGCTATGCTTCTTGCCAAGACATTAATAACGTCGTAATCACCCTCTTCAGACCAAGGTGTGTGACCCTGCGGTCATCTTCCGTTAGGCTTCCCCTTCAGCCCTACCCAGCTCGATGTTGCGGTACCTCTCCCGTTGGTCACATGGATCAGGTTTGTTATTGGTGCCCGTGCCAGTTGGCGCATAGCCTGTAAGCGACTGGGAAATCGGAGTTGAAAGCATCAAGCGTATATCCTAATTTCTTCTATAGTATGGATAGATACCGCAGAACCTACTCTGCCTTAACTGCCAAGGGCTCCTTGCCATTTGGCTTGGTACTTGTGTTGGCTATCGCGGCCGATCTCGTGTCCTCGACCTCAATGCCAGCAATAAAAGCTGCGCTCACGAACTCGAGAGCCGCAACAAAAACACACAAGAAGCTGGCAATAGCGAAGTGAGTGATGGTTGAACCAATTTCCAACCATGATCCCTCATCTTTGACAACCCAGAAGAAGTAGAGTGTCAGAACGTCGCTCGCGGTAAGAACAACCATGAAAAGAGCGGATGGCGCCACACCCAATCTCTTGTTCAGCACTCCAAGGTTGGCTGATATGAGGAAGAAGGGAATGATGATCTTGAGGATCAGTAGCGCTCCTTGCGAAAAGGGGTCGAACACTGGAATCAAACGCGAGACACTTTCCAAGCTGAACGATGAGATGGAGGCAATATTGCCCGTGCTAAAGAACGCTGACTGAAGCAGGACCATAAAGAACAGTGCAATACGTGCATCAGACAGAGTCAGGGGTCGGAAAGTGCCCAGCTTGCGCTGCTGGCTTTCAGCGACAGCCGCCTCCTTTTTGGCCTTGCCTTCCGAGAAGGCGTGGGCTGCGTACTCGAGACGCACCCAGGCCAGCAAAGTGATGCTGAAAGCGACATAAAACAGCCCTTCGTATGAAATAGTCAAAATGACAAACGTTGGAGCACATGTTAGGAAGATGATGGCAAGGCGATGCATGTAGTGGCTGTTGGGCTGTAGTCGATATGCCAATGGCATCAGGAGCGATACAACTACTGCTATTAGTATGATGTTTGAAAATGTAACAAGTGTGATTTACCTAGAACAAACCAACCAACGATTTGATTTCCCTTTGGAAGACCAAGCTTGGCTTGTAGTGACGTAGCGCTGGAGTATGTAACAAATGTTGCGAGAATAATAAGGCCAACTTGAATTCCAACAAGAGTCCGGCTTGTGCCAAGACGTTTCGATTTGGCCTTGAATGTCGTGAAGTCTGATAAGATGAAGTCCTCAAGGACCAAGTAAGCCAAACCAATGACAGTCATTAGTCCACCACCAGCCAGTATAAGAGAGACGTTTTCAACTTTCATGGCTGGGAGTAAGGTGAATGTGCTCATAGCCAAGCAGGAAAAGAACCATAGCAAGCTTAAGAAAAGATGGGATCGCAAGAATGAGAAGCCCAATGTTACCGGCCAGAAAGCACCCACAACAAAAAGCCCAGTCAGGATTTCACGGTGAATGTATCCCAAAGCCAAAGATTGAATGACGCCAAGATAGAGAACGACATTGAACACAAGTGCGATCACGGCACCGCCAGACCTGACATGACCAAACAAAGCGTGGGAACCTTTAACAACGTTGGCCCTATGCGCATAGACCTCTTCCCAGAATAGGACAGGGAAGAATGCATACAGGTAGTACGCGGGAGGAGATTTAGAAACGATAAAGGATGAGTAGAGCGCAACGAGGACTGATAAAAAGAAAGCAGACCCAAGCAATGTGCGTTGAGGAGGTGTGCTCTCCTGCACCACATACAGAGAAAGGACAGTTGTGGTAGCATAGGCCATCCAGCCCAGGTAACCAACAGTGATCAAAGCACGGAGGAATAACCAGTCGTAAGTTTGAAGATATCGCAAACCTTGAAGACCAATCGACATCAGAGCATCTGATTCTTCAATAGCCTCCTCAAAGGAGCCAGCTTCGATCAACGAGCGAATGTGAGCGATACGTAACTCTGGACCAAGCTTGTCCTCGCTTAGCGGTCCGTATGGCTGGTAGCGAAGCTCTGCATTCCTCTTGTTCTCTTCCTTGACCCGATACTGCTCGAGGATGACTTGGGCGTTGGCCAAGGAAGCCTCCGCCTTTTCCTTGATAGGTGCAGAAAGGAAGTTCAAGGGGAGTTGACCAACACCATTCGCAGGAAATTCGGCACCGATCAGATACGACATCAAAGCGGCGACGTCAGCTTGGGCAACATCGTGTCTGCGTACATGGTCCAGGTTCCAATCAGAAGAGAGTTCATCATGACCAGGCGCAACACTGTCAGGGTGCAATTCAGGGGCCGCAACACCAGAACCCCATGAGATGAGAGGAGTTCTGGTATTGTTAGGATGGCCATCGCCATGGCTGCCCCAGTCTGACATGCCGTGATCAGCGGTGAACACAAAGGCAGTCCGGTCATCGGCATAAAAGCCTTCAATAAGCTCGACAATTTCCTTGACACCTTGATCCACCACCTTAATGTTGTGAAGGTATTCTTTGGAGTATGGTCGGTAGGAATGTCCAGTGGTATCGAGACCCAGCAAATGAAGGAAAAAAACCACCTTATCCTCACGAAGTGCGGTGTTGAGCGTCTCGTTCGTGGCAGCTGCAGCAAAGAAATCCTTAACATGGTCAAAAACCCAGTAGTCAAGCTCCGTTGCATCCTTGGAGAAGTCCTCAAGCTCGGCCCCGTATGCGAAAGCGTCGACTCTGCCCGGAACAGCACCGTGCTGGAACATGGGGAGGATATCAGGGCTTCCCCAACTCCATGTGTGCCGGCTGCGGTTGAAGACACTATCAAAGTTGACGGGGTTCATCTTCCATCCTGTCGCAACAGCCGAGACGTCCTCGTACAAGCCAGCAATGAGGGCCACATGGCCTGGCCGTGACTCTGTTGGAACGCGTGTATGGGAAACACCAAAGGTTCCATGTTCCAATACTCGTGAGCGAAGGTAAGGAGCCAGATGGCGTGGAACAAGGTCTTGATCGGTTTCGGGGTAAGGTTCGGGGTGGGCTTGGAAGGCTTTGTCTGCACGGAGTCCGTCACCTAAAGACACAATCTGTTAACTAAGAGCCTGGAGCATGAACAGTACGTCCACTTACCAACGAAAAGCACAAGTCTGTCCGCGGGTGCTTTGGGAGAATCTGCTGGGCGCTCGACTCCAAAAAGTTGCATGCCCGTGACAATTGGGCTAACGAAGTAGATGTCGAAGATAGAAAGTATATACACCAAGTGGAAAGCGACCGCAATGGCCATGAAGCCAATGCGACTAGAGCCAGCCATGGCGAAGTAATAGAGCCTCTCAGACACGTAGTTCGCAAGTCCGGAAGGTTCGAATGGTCGATGATGTTTTTTCTTGGTGTAAGTCAGAAGTCAGGGGGATGGAAGAGGAGAATACACAAAATCCAGCCACGCAAACAGAAAAGCAGGTATTCTATAAACGTCAAAAGGCAAAGAATCGTATCAATGAAAGATCATGAATTGAAAATCATGAGGTTTTGTGCCCTCTTTTATTAGATCAGAGGTAAAACGAGAGGCAATCTGCTGTGCAGATGCAAAAAGGCCAAGACATAAACCGTGGCCAGAATTAGAATGACGCTGATGAGGGGACGCGTTAGACACCTAATGGATGTAGCCCCGTTGATCTAGTCCTGGTCCCGCTCGATCAATTTAGTGCTTAATCTGCAGGGGAGACACGCTAGTGGCCCAGCCTGTACAACCCTTTCATGTCTGTACCTGAAAGTTACCTTGGTCTTATTGGCTCTAAGCCTTAAGCTGTCAGTTGGATGGAAATATCCAATTCCATATCGCTGATGTTTAACATTCGGGAGCCAATGAATCGGACTGAAACAGTCAGGATAACACGATTCTTTGAGCATTTGTCTTAATGTTTAACTTCCACTTGCCAGGCATAATTGCGGCAGGTCATTTCTCTTCGTACAGCAGCTCAATGGGCATCTCTGCAACCTTGATGAACGGATCTGAAAGAGAGATTCGGCCTCCAACAAGGTTCTCATTGCATAGGCTATAATTTATTTCTGCATTCAAACATCGGTCCTTCGACCTCCCCACGCTAATGCTTTCTAGTTGCTCGTACATGCATGTGTCAAAAAGAAGTTGGGTATCATAACAAGAAACACATTCGACCGCATCAATAACATGAATTTGCGCTTTTCACTACCTCGTCAAATCTTCTGTCAAAGACTTGTTGACTCTGGCGTAAAACTTTAGCGCCTGAGATCGTGGGAACGTGATCTCTTCCGTGAGATATCCTGGGAGCATATCTATCAGCTGCTGGTCACGTCCTGCATCCAGTTGTGGTTGATAGGTAAATGACACATCGTCGTAGTTGTCCGCCGCGTCGTCGTTTTCGACTACGAGTTTGAAGTGAAGGGCTGGTCATTATGTCAGTACAGAATTACAGGATGGAAGGGCGTAAGGCCAAACTTACTGCCATTGCGACCAGTTTGGATGCAGTCAAAGGTGTCTTCCATCTCCTCTTGCTTCACACCCCGTAGAATCAGATCTGTCAAATCTGCATAGAGCCTTTCCTTCGCCAGCGCGGTGGCTTGCGCCGCATGAGCAGCTCCAGCTTGGGCAGTGCGATTCGCCAGCCCACTGGCCTTCATAGCGCTTCCCGGGACTCTGGAATTATTCTCCGCCGACCTCGCAGCAGCCAATTTGTTAGAAAGGGTCTTAATTTCTGACTTGGCATCGGACAAAGAGCCGTTCAGGGTCTGGATAGTGTTCTCCAAATTTTCTGTCTCGGCTTCATTTTCGACTAATTGTTTCCGGAGCTCCTCACTTTCGTTTGCGAGCGCAGTCTGGGCAGCCAGTTCAGCTTTCAGTTCAGCTATAAGCTTGGTAGCGGCTTCTTCAAGTCAGTACAACGGTCATGGGAAATCTTCATAACAAAGCTTACCGGCAGTGCGCTCCTCAGCCTGCTTTTTGAGTCGCTCAAAATTTCGCTCAGCTTCTCGAACTCCTACGTCACGCAGATCTCGATGGCGAGCCTCAAGGGCCGTGTATTTCCTTGTAAGATCTTCTAGTTGCCGGCGCATGGTATCGTCGCTCATATTGTAACTTTGCCATGGTGCTGGAGCCTCGATGCTAGGTGGCTCGCCAACACCGTCATCTTCGTCCGCTTCTAATACAGGATCCAGTTCCATCGGGTCCTGCTGTGTCTCTGGAACTTCTGCAATTGGCGTGGTAGGCTGTCGCGGAGGCCGACCTCGTCGTTTTACAGCGCTTTCGGGAGCAAGAATAGATGTATCGCCATTCGTCTTCTTCGGTCGCCCACGCGTTCCTTTCTTTATATCTGTAGCCGGGGCGCTCGAAGGAATTCCAACGTCCTCTAACGGTAATGTTTCGTCTATAGATATCTGTTGAGCTTTGCGCGTCCCCTTTGTACCACTCGCAGTGGCTTTACCTGAAGCAGCTGGTTGCGCGTCCGATTCGGACACAGTTGGAAGCTTGTCGCTATTCGCTTGACGCGTCGCTCGAGATGCAGGCTTGGTGATCTTACTAGCTGAGCCTGGTGGTCGGCCACGAGGCTTTTTGGTAACACTACGCACAGCTGCTTGAAGGTCGGACTTGTCAAACATATCAAGATCGGGCTCTGAGTCGGAGGCGGCAAGTCCAGCAAGCCCTGCGGCCGGCTTTGCGCGAGCGCGTGGTGGCATTGAATCCTTTTTTATTGGTAACAGTCGGTCAAGCGTATCGTTTAATAAAGGCGCACAAGGATATTATGGTAGCTGAGAAAGCCGTGATCAAAATGGCAGACGTCAAGGCCCAATCGCATGTGTTGCGCAAAGAATTGTCGTGGGGATAGCGATAAATATTGGAGGGGAAGGTTTCAAATCAATGTTTACAATCCCACCAAGATGAGATGTTCATCCATCTAAACAGATTGGGCGCTGGAGCATGGTCTGTGCTCTAAGACTAAGGCACAGTAGCGGCTAACTGCCCGCCACCCACTTACCGCCCGCTCTGCTGAGATCTTGTCGCCCCGGGCGGACATGTGCCAGCGTAGAGTTAGGTTTGCCGGATCGCGCATATCGATCTTTTATTCTTCATACCACCTTTCTCACTTTCGTCGACCCCAACATTTTTTTCTGCCTTCCAAGCAGCAACTGGCATCGTTGGAAATGTCATGATCGCAGGAAGATAATAACACACCTGGCTTGATTATCTACTGGCAATCGTCGCCGTCTTAACCCTCTCTCGTTCCGTTATCTCATGCCATCCGAGTCAGCCCCTTGGCTGCGCTGGGTCCTCGGCATGGGGGAACGACGCAAGCTCGGCGATGTCGCCATGGACGTCCTGCTCTTCGCGGGTATGGTTAGTACAAACTCCGTAACGTCCAATGTATTATCTGGGACGTGACACTAATATCATGATTAGATGACTGCTGGCCTCTACGTCGCTAGAAATTTCTTGAATCCCATACTCAGCAACATCGCCGACCCCGACAAAGAAAAGCACGAGCAAGCTAGACGTCAGGCGAAAGCGCATTTGGAGCGAATGAACAAGAATAAAAGAGATGGACTTGATTATGGCGACGACAGTGACTCCAGGAGAGGAGGACCTCGGCCTGAGGACTTGGTCCTGAATGAATACGAAAATCTAGTCGCACTCGAGATGGTACCGCCCGAAGATATATCTGTTGGATTTGATGGTAAGTAACTGTGCATGTCGGGGCATGTTGCATATTGCGGTTCGTTACTAACAGCGATAGATATTGGCGGTCTGGACACAATCATCGAAGAACTAAAAGAATCCATCATCTATCCTCTGACGATGCCACACCTTTACTCCCACGCCGCACCACTACTGTCTGCTCCCTCCGGTGTTCTTCTGTACGGTCCTCCAGGTTGCGGAAAGACTATGCTTGCAAAGGCTGTTGCCCATGAAAGTGGTGCTTCTTTCATCAACCTACATATTTCGACTTTGACTGAAAAGTGGTACGGCGACTCGAACAAAATCGTACGAGCCGTCTTTTCGCTTGCTCGAAAAATGCAACCCGCAATTATCTTTATCGACGAGATTGATGCTGTGCTCGGTACTCGAAGGAGTGGCGAGCACGAGGCCAGTGGCATGGTCAAGGCTGAGTAAGTTTGGTATTGCAGTAGTTATTTGTCGATCTGTTCTAATAATCTGCAGGTTCATGACTCTCTGGGATGGTCTGACATCTTCAAACTCATCAGGAATGCCTGCTCGCATCATGGTGCTAGGCGCAACTAACCGCATCAACGATATCGACGAGGCCATTCTCCGTAGAATGCCCAAGAAATTCCCCGTCACGTTGCCAGGAACTGAGCAGCGACGAAGAATCCTGCAGCTTGTCCTGCAAGATACCAAGACGGATCCTGAGCATTTCAACCTGGACTACGTTTCAAGAATCACTGCTGGACTTTCAGGTAGTGACATTAAAGAGGCATGCCGAGACGCGGCCATGGTACCTGTCCGAGAATACATGCGTCAGCATCGCGAGAGCGGGCAGGCCATGTCAACCGTGGACCCAAGACAGTTCCGTGGGATCAGGTCTGACGATTTCCTCGGCCGCGAGGGTGGAAACATCAAGCTACAACCGATCAGACAATCAAGCGGTGTTGAGGAGTTAATTGCGGAGGAGCAGGATTAGCGAACGGGACTCTGTGTGTATATAGGCTGCCAACAGCAGCCAATGTTGCTGAATAGAAACACTCAACCCTGGATTTCATCTTATCAGTAAAGCTCCAATCAGCTGCATCGCAATGTCTCTTGTGGTTTTATTACCTATACCGTATCGCTCGCACAGTAATATGTCTCCGCATATGTGAACTTGTCCACCATTCAGGATTGAAGTTGGCGAGCTATAACGATATAAAGCAAGCCGGGGTCCGGTACCGTCCTCCGGGTCTGCCGCATACAGTGTCTTCCAACGTGCGTCCCCACGCGCAACGCACAGGACTCGATGGGCCATGATAGTGTTTGATCACGTCATTTGATAACCCCACCATACTTTCCGAGGGACCGATAGCGGGCTACCTCGAGATAAGTGCACAATCAGTGACCAAGCAAGTATTCTGATATCAGTAGCCCTCCGTTTATCGGTCGGATGATTCAGAAGCGGTGGGCAAGGCCCATGAAACTGCGGTTCTCTATTGAGCTGTTGCGGCTCTTCAGAGGCTTCAAGCACTGGAAACCAATGGCTCAGGCCTCGAGTCTATTGCTGCTTTAGGTGCGTGGCTGCACTGTAGTAATGTAAACGCCCTCCAATATAAAGCTCTCCATACGTAAACTACAGGCCAATCCACTCCATTTGCGGGGAGATCGTGCAGGCCAGAAAAATTACAACGTTCCCCCAGACCGCCGACAGCGGGAGTGACTCCCCGACTCCCGAACGACCGTCCTCCTTCAAGCTACCAGGGAGTCTACCTCTTGCTATTTACCTAACTCAGCATCTTCCTTCATACTTTTACCTTGAACCTCAATTCTTCGTTCCTCAAACCTCTTCTCTTCAATTCGGCATTGGGTTTCGTCTTACATACTCTGGTGTCGGATCATTGCCTAGCGCCGTCCTCTCCTCGCTCTAAGACAGCTGCCGCCATCGTTCTCGCTATACAACTTCATCCCGTTGCAACACCCAATATTCTACAGAATTGAAAAATGTCCGCTCCTTCGCCTACCGAGTCCGGCAAGTCCGCCGACCCATTGAAGCGAGTCGATAACGAGGGGCACGACCTTCCTCCCTCTCCTGCTCCATCGAGCCCGCGCAATGGTCGCAAGCGCTATGCTCTCGCCACCGAGCTTGTGTACACAGACAGCAAAGATCAATATGGCGCCTCCAGCGTTCCTATCTACCAATCTGCCACCTTTAAACAGACATCAGCCAGCGGCGGCCAGCAAGAATATGATTACACACGCTCCGGAAACCCAACCCGAACACATCTTGAACGACACATTGCCAAGATCATGAACGCTCAGCGAGCGTTGGCCGTCAGCTCGGGAATGGGTTCTCTCGATGTCATCACTCGATTGCTCAGACCCGGCGACGAGGTCATCACTGGCGATGATCTTTACGGTGGCAGCCATCGTCTTCTCACTTACCTGGCCGCTAACCAAGGCATTATCGTTCACCACGTCGACACCACAACTACTGATAGCGTGCGGGCACGCCTCTCGGAGAAGACTGCCATGGTTCTGCTTGAGACCCCTACAAATCCTTTGATCAAGGTCGTTGATATTCCTGGCATTGCCCGCCTGGCTCATGAGGTCAACCCCAAGGCTCTGGTAGTTGTCGACAACACGATGCTCTCGCCAATGCTTTTCAATCCTCTGGATGTGGGCTGCGATATTGTTTACGAGTCCGGAACCAAGTATCTGTCGGGCCACCACGACATCATGGCTGGTGTCATTGCGGTGAACGACACTCAGATCGGAGATAAGCTGTTCTTTGTTATCAACTCTACTGGTTGCGGTCTTTCTCCCAATGACTCGTTCCTTCTTATGCGCGGTGTCAAGACTCTCGCAATCCGAATGGAGAAGCAACAAGCCAATGCTCAAGCCATTGCAGAGTTCCTTGAGTCTCGCGGTTTTCGTGTCCGCTACCCAGGTCTCAAATCTCACCCTCAGTACGATCTCCATTGGTCTATGGCTCGTGGTGCTGGTGCTGTCCTGTCTTTCGAGACTGGCGACCCTGCTGTCTCTGAGCGTATCGTCGAGGCTGCTCGTCTATGGGCCATCAGCGTGAGCTTCGGCTGTGTCAACAGTTTAATTAGCATGCCTTGCCAGATGAGCCATGCCAGTATTGATGCCAAGACAAGAGCTGAGCGACAAATGCCCGAGGATATCATTCGATTGTGCGTTGGTATCGAGGACCCCAACGACCTGATTGAGGATCTTTCGCGCGCTGTAAGTACTGAAATTCTAAGTTACGAGAAAAAAGCTAACGATATTCGCAGTTGGTTCAAGCTGGTGCCGTAACTGTTACTATGGATGGCTTCCACGCAGCTGGAGCGGCTAAGGAGCTCGGAGAGACCCCTCTTGTCTTTCAATAAGTGACGAAAACTCAATGAGACAGAGTTCACCGGAAGCAGAGGTCCATGCCGATGGATTCGAAGAACATTTTGATTTTACGAGCGAACTCAATACTTTGCAGGATACCATTTCAATGCTGGGCAAGTCATGGTTTTTAAACCTTAGACAGGGTGGTGAAAAGAAGAGGCTTGCCACATGTACATCGCCAAAGACGCGATGCTATTAAGAGGAAGAGAAAAGAGAAAAGGTCCTTATCATGAGATTACGCTGGAGTTGGCGGGAAGGAATTCTGGAGTTGGAATTGTTTACTTGGGCACCTGCAATAGGTTTGAGACAAACTCGAATATACGGAAAGATTCAGATTCAAAGATACATGTCTGTTACAACAGAAACCCATCCATGCTTAAATCGTTGTCTTAACTTGATGCCCGAAAGTGCAAACGTATAGCTGCTCCTCAGCCCCCGCTTGACTTTGTGGTCGTGGTAGCGCCATACAGAAACACATAAGCCAGTTTTGTTCACTTGAGCAAACCTCAAATGAGACGTCACTTGTTTGAAACATCACATACAGTGGTCAGTTATAACACAATTTTAGTTACTCAAATTGTAAGCGACTAACTACCAACGGTCCAGATAACAGGTATATTCAACGCTCCCCTTAAAAGAAACTCCCAAATGCAGATGCGGGCTTAAGAAAAGTCAAAACGGTCGGGAAGGACAACGGGTGCCACCAATGTCCATGTATACATGCCGTAGCAGACCCAGGCACTGACAATCTTGACCCAACTTGCTGCGTAGGTACGTCCAACAGTTGCAAAGTCGCCATCCTTGGTGGATTCGTCGAAGTTCATGGTAAGCAAGGTTGCTACCCAGGCTGTCGCCAAAAAGAAGATGATATGGAAGACAGTGTAGCTGTACTGGGTCCTGTTGCGCTCGTCGTCTCCAGCGGGGGCGTCGCCAGCTTCACTTTCATCGTCGGTCAGCAGGGCATCAGCGGGCAAACTACCCTCCTCAACAGCTCGGCGCAAAGCCTCTGCTCGCATCTCACGACGAGCACTTGGCTGCTGAGTTACCAGTCCGTGCTCGTCGTCCTCTGGTAGCTGGATACCGTTGGAATTGCCAAGGCCAAGACTCTGAGTGGCAGCTCGGGTGGTAGTGTATGCAATTGTAAGCAGGGTAACGATGGCACCGATAACAATGGATGTCGTTCGTGTTCCTTGGCCCATGATGAGAGGGTTACACTTGCTGTCGGGCTCCATAGACACGGCAGACATGGTCAAATATGTGCAGTAGACAGCCACCATAGCGGCCTGAGCAAGTCCTGCCTTGGGATTGAATTCCTGGACCGTAGGGTTGACAGAGATGACAGAGATCCCAAGCCAGAAGATGAGGTTGATAGTGATTACAGCCTGGTTCATCGAGCACGAGCCGCGAGCAAAGAAAATGTACTGCACAATGGTCATGGCAAGCGAGCCGATGTACATGCCCAGAGTGGAACCGATCAAGACGAATCGCCAAACTCTCGAATCCGTGTCTTCGATCTGGGCGAGGCAGTACTCAGCCCAATTATGAGCAAGATCAACAAGCAGTATAAGGCCGAGCAAGAGGAACAGCATAGCCGCAGCGAATGCGACGTAGTTGCCCCAGAACAGGAAGAATTCGTCGGGAATCAGGAACGAAAGAACAACAAAGGCGAGCCAGGCGATAATCTTGGGGCCCCAGTAGCCATTTTGAATGGAAGCACGAGGATTCTTTGAGGTTGCGACACCGAAAAGCAAGCCAGCGAGGATGAGATGGAAGAGACCGAGCGCGAAGTTGATTCGGTGAACAGCGAACCAGCCATGACATTCGCCAGTTGGGCAATTGATCGTAACGTAGTCGAGAGTAAGTTTCTGGAGTTTCTTTATTGCCCAGGGCGTGAGCATTATCCAGGCGATAATGGAATTTACGAGGAGGAGAAGGGCGTATGCGATACGGGTTGCGACACTATTGCCGCATTTGCCACAGGCACTGCAGACCATAGAGCAGGTCGCAGCACCACAGCAACTAGCAGCGAAGGACACAATCTGAAGAGAGGGCCAATGTTAGTTTCGATATCAGATCTGTAGGTAAGAGTCGCTAACATACAGTACCGACGCTTGGTACCGCAAGAAGCGGTAAAGATAGAAGAGCACCCATTGCGACAGCGCGTTACCGAGAATGTTCGCGTGGTCTCTCGGGTTGGTTGCGATATTATGGATATCTTACTGCGTATTCCAGCGCAGGTTGAGTCGTTTGCCGATTCGTAAGCTGGCTGGCAGCGCCGTGCCTTGGTAGATGGACAGATAGTTGGATGGATATCCTACTGTCGGTTGTTTGATGGAAAGTTGAGGCTACTGACGATCAAGCCGCCACGTGAGATTACGTCGCCATGGAACAGAAGCCGGTAACAGAAGGCTTAGGTTGCCAAAATAAAGTAGCCTAAGAGCGGGTCTTAAGTAGCATAAGATGACTGAACTATTTCGTATCTTATGCATTTAGCACCCATCGGCGCCCGAAGACCGGATGAACGCAGACGTGGCTGGAAAGGTGGCGCAGTAGGTACGGAGTAAAATACCTGATATTGAACGGACTGTCACTGTACTGTATTACCGGTAGCACTAACCCCTGCCGACAGTGTCTACCGTCTATTCTGTAACGCCTGTGCTTGGTCACAAGGGCCAACTAGCACCTACAGTACAGCAGTCTCGGGACTATCTCCGCGTTCGGCTTGTCTCATGCGTGGTTGTTCAGGGCGAGTTCATGACTATCAACCTCCACGAGATCCCCTAGTCTCTAGTCATTTCCTATCCGATAGGTAGTCCACCCTCGGTATCATTATCCGTCTATCTCGTCTATCATATCCTGTCCCCTTTGTTCATGATCCGTCTCGACTGCCGCCACGTGTAAACCAGTTTCACCGTTCCTCCATCCTCTAGTTTATCCTATCTTCTTTATCAACTTATCTGCGGTATCTCCTTAGGCCGTTGTCAATCTTGTCCTATTGCGTCAGCACTTCCCTCACTAGCTAAATGTTAACTTCATCCTCATAGAACCGTATCCTCCCCTCTTGATATTTTATTCAGTTTCTTTTCAATTCCTTCTCACTGCTTGGTCAGCGAGTCACAATGCATCAAGACCAGCAAAAACGCCTGTTTCAGGCGCGAATTATCGCGAGTATCGCTGCGACTGTCATGTCGTTGGCTTGCGGTACCAATGTAGGTTTTTATTCATGACATATCTCTATCATAGCTGTTCTAACGTCAATTAGTACGTTTACTCGGCTTGGTCTCCGCAATTCGCGGAACGATTGAAGTTGTCATCTACCGAGAGCAACTTGATCGGTCTATCTGGTAACCTGGGCATGTATACTTTGGGTATGCCTATAGGTGCATTCGTCGATCATAAGGGCCCTCGACCTGCTGTTCTTGCCGGTGCTGTCCTCATGCTCCTTGGCTATTTTCCGCTTCACCAAGCCTATCATCGTGGCTCTGGCTCAGTATTGCTTATGTGTGTCTTCTCCTACATGACTGGCTTGGGTAGCTGTATGGCATTCGCTGCTGCTGTCAAGACGTCTGCTCTCAACTGGCCCAAGAACCGTGGAACGGCCACGGCGTTCCCTTTGGCAGCCTTCGGTCTGAGTGCCTTCTTCTTCTCTTTCCTGGGTGCTGTCTTCTTCCCTGGCGATCCCAGCGCTTTCCTTGAGCTTCTTGCTTGGGGTACCTTTGGCCTCACCTTTGGCAGCTTCTTCTTCCTCAAGGTTTACCACGACCAACCCGAGTATGAGGCCGTACCCGCATCGGAGGATACACAGAGCGTCCCATCATCTTCTTCTCAGCAATTCCGACCTGGCTCTTCAGAGGAGCCGAAGCCTTTCCACTCGCCCCGAGTGAACAATGAACCCGGTATGTTAACTAATTCCAGTAGTAATAGCACCCGTACCAGTACGGGCTCGTACGCACCCGCTGTACCATCCTCATCCACCACCGCCCCGGATCCGACGGTCTCTCCTGGATATCCATTTGCGCCTGAAATCGGCCTTGTGGTCGCCCCCGAGAACCCTGAGGACCTCGAGGTTGGCGAGACGTCGCCCCTGATTTCTCGCCCCACATCACGAACCGAACAACCCCTTCTTGGAAACAATAATATTAATAGCGATGGATATCACCATGTAGACATTCGAGGTCTCGCCCTCTTGCGCAGCATCAGCTTTTGGCACCTCTTCATCATCATGGGTATTTTGGCAGGCGTTGGTCTCATGACCATCAAGTATGATTATCCCGTGACCTTAGTTTGGGAAACACTCAGCTGACAATGTCTAAAGCAACATCGGAAATGACGCCAAAGCTCTTTGGAAATACTATGACAAGAACGTCACCGACGATTCTCTCGTTCATCGACAGCAAATGCATGTATCGACCCTGTCTATCTGCAGCTTCCTCGGCAGATTGTCAAGTGGTAAGTCAAGTGACAGCATCTACTCGTTATGTCAACTTCTTACAATATCTCTAGGTGTCGGTTCCGATTTCTTAGTCAACAAACTCCACGCCAGCAGGCTCTGGTGTCTCGTTGCTGCATGCGCCATCTTCATCTTCGCTCAAGTATGCGCATTGAACGTCGAGAATCCACACTGGCTTGGGCTCGTCTCGGGCCCGTCTGGTCTGGCTTATGGCTTCCTCTTTGGAGTATCTCCATCTCTTGTCGCCGAAACTTTTGGCGTTCATGGATTAAGCCAGAACTGGGGCTTCCTGACCATGGCTCCCGTTTTCTCGTCCAATATCTTCAACATATTTTATGGTAGAATCTACGACGCACATAGCGTGGTCGGTGAAGATGGCGAGCGCTCCTGTATGGAAGGCTTGGAATGCTACCGTTCCGCGTATTGGGTCACATTACTAGCATGCTGCGCTGGAACCGGTATCACTTTTTGGGCGATTCGCCACCGACACGCGAAGCATCTGAGGGCGATGGATAAAGGTGAAGAGGAGGATTAAGCATGCGGGTACTAGCACTAAAGAGCCGGTTCTCAAGGCGTTCGGTATAGAGATTTGAACTGCTTCAACTTAGAATTGAGATCATAGACAGACACAAGCTAACGCTTGATTAAATCAGACACAGCCATTAGGTTTCAAGGATTATCATAAAGAAGATCTAATTTGTGATTATATGCAATTAATGTTTGCCATCCATCTCTCGTTCCATATCCAAAGCTGGTTGATTGCACAAGCGCCAAAATAACGAAGCGCGACATGATTCATCTTCAGCCGTATACCATTGCTGAGAATGACCAAGTCCAGCCTGGGAAAATAAGTAGTTGAATTCTATACAGATGAGGCCATGCTCTTCCAGGATTGCCTCGTCATGCCTCCTGCCCATAAAACGCCAAGAAAATGCTAAAGTCGTGGACTGGCGCCGTAAAAAGACGAATAACGTGTTCCTGATTAGAGTGTTGAGAAGACGTTGGTTCCAGAGCCATGCAAAAAGAAATAGGTATTACTGAGCAAGCTCGCGCTGAAAGTTGAGAAAATAATCGCCTCAAAGTAGAAAATCAAGTCTTTTGCTCTCCAGATAATCGTGCACTGTCGTGGGAAGTGTAAAGAGAGTGTGTGTCAACAGCCAGAAAGGTGAATGAACAAGATAACATGACATGGTATTTGTGACACGATTCTGAATGTGGCACCTCATATGGAAGCCTTTGTCTTCTTCCGGTCCTCATCTGGACTACTGTCAAATATCGCACCTAGTCCACTCAAGGAAAAAGGGTCGTTGGTAGAATGCAACACGACCAACCAAGCGGCAATGATGTTCACCAAATAGTGAAGCATGTATGCATGAGAGATGCCATACATGGCGGCGTAAAGGGCAGTGGCGAACAGAAGCAGGCTCGTGACATAGCCCAAAACCCGGCTCACCCGAGGCACCATCTTCCCTGTTGTCAAGTTCTCCACGAGCAGGATGAAAGGCATTATTGACAAAACATTATGATGTGAGGAGAAGGGTGTGAGCCAATGCACAGCCAAGTTCCGGATCCAGACTGCCAAAATAGGAAGGTTAATGGGAAGAATCCAGAGCATTAGAAGTAGAATAGAATGGGCATAATGGTAGTAGTTCGAGTTGGCGTCGGAAGGGGCGGTGATGTTGATGCGTAGAGCTCGGATTACAGTGAAGAGCTGCACCAGGCATGCTACCAAATAAGCAAACTGATAAGGAATAAACGTCCACACAAGAAACAAGAGGATGGCTGTTGTGATCATACGCCTCTTAGGGGTTGATGGAACAAATGCAGGCGAGCTCACTATCCTCTCATCTTCTGTTGATCCTGACAGAAGAAGTGAGGTTACTGCCCAATAAACAAGACCGAGAACATGTGTGAGAGCTTTTGTCATATAGTGAACCACGGCACAAACCCCGATGCAAACAACACCAATTAGGGGTACGAGAAACCAGAAAAAGGGGTCATCCGTCCCAATGAGCATATCGTGGCGATGGAAGTCAACGCTCAAAGGATCCGTATGGGCCTGATTCAAGAATCTGCTGAGCCAGGAAACTGGAACGCCTTCCAATGATACCGAAAGGAGAGTCAGCGACACGAGAAGTAATGGTATCGATTGTCGCAAACACAGGTCCAAGCTCTGCGAGAATGAGATGAAGACCCCTGAACTGTCATAGACACGGAACTGTTTGCGCAAAACAAGCGCGACAGTTAACATGGGGAAAGCAGCAAAGACAGTTCGGTATCTCATATACAACTTGCCGAGACTACCCCAGAAGTCTGGCTTAATTGTAATAAGAAGGTTGGAGTTGCAAGACGGATCAGTCCAAAACTGAAAAGTGAGGCCCTTCTCAGCGTCACCCAAAGTAGGCGGCAGGTAGGGGGCGACACCATGGAGACTAATATCGGCAGAGTTCGCATTAACAAAGTATTTGGACTCGTATGGTTGATCAAGATATTGTCGAACCAAGGGACTGAAGAGAGCCTTGCCGGCTTGGCACTGAGGGTTTACAATCTCGAGCTTGTATGCAAGAAGCGCTGATTGCAACGAAGGAATGGTGACTTCCACACTCATTGGGCGACTAGCGGGGAGTTCCACGGAAAGTCCAGAAAGAAGAAGCTTCATAAGACCAGTATCCTCCTTCCTTGAGTAGGTAGACTGGTCACTGAACTCTGCGACCAAGAAGCTGAGAGAGTTTGGCGCAGGTTTCTCCACAATGGCCACGAATTGATGGTCGGAGAGCTGTCCGAGGTCGTACTGAAGGTAAGAAAATGGAATGATTTCTCGCTCTCGATCGAGGTAAAATGGGTATCTGGACGATGACGTCGAAGCAGGAAGTAAGATACGATCAGAGGCTGCATTCTTACAAGCAAGCCTTGTCGAGCCACTGCCGTCTCCAGAGAGATCGATTTGAAAAGGGTAAAGCGAGGTGACCTGTCCGGATTGGAAGGGGTACACGCTGCAAAAAAGGACTTCCACTTTGCCGTTTTCACCAGCGTCATCCAGAGGAGCATCCGTTAGAACAGTAAACCGTCTAGCCTCGGGCGAAACCTGTGGTGGGATGGGAAGTAGATGAGCTTGAGGCTTTGACTGCTTGCCAGTCTGACGGAGGACGAGCCTCTGGCCAGCTGGAAGAATAGATTCAGTGTCGTCACCAAGCGTGAGCAGAGTCGTTGCTTCTTTCAGGGGCAAATCCTTCTCCATCGTTGGCTCCATTCCTGTCAGAAATCGCTTCTTGAAAGTCTTCATTCGTTCGGCCCGTGGTTTGGTCTGCGATGCACGATGAACATCAACAATATCGTAGAGTGTTTTCGTGATCACTTTTCGAAATTGATCGCACCAAAGGATAGCCTGGTGATCCATGCTCGTCCAAACTGTTGGGATACCGGTCGAGAAGACAGTGAATCCGTGTGTTGGAGGAACCAGAGACTCGAGACTTGCATAATCAGACGGAACAATCGTGTCCAGCCCACCGCCTGCGATTGAAACCAAGGTCACATGCCACAAAGGATTGTTGTTGGCCCATTTTTGTGAGTATGCCTGGCGCCAGTAATCGTTGATCTCGTCGTAAATCTGAACTATCTGCCCATCAAAAGTGACAGGAGGGCGAGCATGCGGTGCTGACATGGTAATGATGGTGTTGATTGAGTTTGTCTGGTAATTGGGCTGAACAAGCATAGCTCTCGCAACAACACCACCCATGGAATGGCCCAAAACAATGACTGACGTGGGATCCGGTAGCTTGTCTTCTCGTGCAACGCGCTGAGGGTCGGAATAGAGCGAAAGGATGTAGCGAACAGCTTCGTTAAGGTATTCGGCTTGGTCGAGTAGAGTCTGGCCGTGAAATGCCGTTATATCTTCGTTGAAATCCACAGTGAAGAAGTCGAGACTTCGGACGCCAGCATCGAGAGCGCCATGATCGTGCTGGAGATTGTTGTGAAAGTAATTGGCTGCTTCAGCAGCTATAGGACGGACCTGCTTATAGCTTCCTGCGTTGCCAGGGATAAAAAGTACGGGAATTCCAAGGAGCTATCGATATACGAGTTTAGCAATTCAACGCCCAAGTTGAAATCTGGGAAATGGTAATACAAACCTTGTCTGCTGGCTCGATCCCTTGCTCGCGGTAGAGATACAACGAGTATTTGGTCGCAAATCGAGTATGCTCCGTATCGAATTCGGTGTAGCGCACGTATGAAGGACGCATGTAGGACATACGGCACCCCTTTGGATCCAGTTGGCTGGTTACAAGTGAGCGCAGAATGCCCATAAGAAGCGCGATTCCCAACGCGGAAACAAGCAGGACGATAATGGAGAAGCGCGGACGACTCGTGCGCCGGTTCGGGGACGGAGATTGTGTTGGTGTCCTGGCGAGAGCCATATCGGGGGTTGACGGTGCTGCAAGAGAAGTGGGTTTCAAAGCTGTCGTTGTTTGAATATCCTCTCGGGTCTGGTTATTTCTACCATTGTGGTCATTCGTGGGCTTCCAATTGAGGCTGCTAGGTCGTCGAATTCGTGCTGGCGATGTGCGCGTCCTCAACCTAGTATCGGAGTCGGGAATATCAGACTCGAGTGAGGATTCGTCACCATCATCGGATGATCCGGACGAGCGCCTCTTCATGGAGAAGGCACGTTCAGACTCGCCGCGAGCCTATACCAAGGGAGACGTGGATGGGTTCGAAAAGCAAGATTATCGTTGTCGAGATCAAGATGGGGTCGGTGCGATCTTCAATTTAGACAACGAAGTCGAGAAGACGAGGTCAAATCACAGAGTAGGATGAAGTCGAAGCTAAGATTCAGGTCAAGAACGTCTGTGATACTACTAGCCTGCGCTGGAACAGCTTCGGGACATGCCAGCAGGGATACGATTTAGCTAGGTAGGGTTGGTGAAGAAGCAGCGTAGCGCAACGCAGCGCAATGCAATTGAAGACTTCTTGGGCGGTAGCAAGAGTAGAGCCGACCCGTTTGCGACAATATGGAGATGGATGCAACCGGGGGTTGTACTGTAGTTTTTCGACGGCTGGGATACGTCGGAGGCGCACCTCGGCGTGCGAGTGAGCGTTTGAAACGAACGACACTAAGAAGCAACGAACGAGAGTGACAGTAACAGTGACCGTGACAGTAACTAGGTAGTAAAGAAGCCAAGACCAAAGACGATATTCGCAACGACAAATTATGTATGCGGCATGTCGATACGACTCCCCCAGTCACGTCGGTCGGTCCCTAGGTTGGCTTTGAATTCAACGAATGTGGGTGGGAAATTGGATGTCGATGGCTTCTCCCACTTGTCAGCCGAGTCGGGACCACTTTTAGCGCTATACCGGGCTCCCCTTTTTTTTTCTTCGCACCCTTCCATGGGGCTGGGAATATAGCTGGTAGCCCGCTGAACGCCTGAAGCTGGTAGGCTGGCGGTTGGCTTCAGATAAGCGCCACATCCATACTTCCAGTCTTGGAGTTGGAGAATCCCGTCTTTGACTTCATCAGCACCCAATAATCGAATTGAATTTCCAAAGTTACAAGGAAGAAACCCCAACAATCACCAGCTAGACTAATCTGTCATCACGCATCATACATACCTAGTCTGTTTACTTGGTCCTTCATCAGTGGTTGCAGGGATGTCCTGCAGCTGTATATACATTTAATTTCAGTGCAGCTTCGTAGATGATTTAGAGATGATTGCTTTCGTCTGCAATCAACTATCTTGACTGTGCGCGTATAAGTCAGCGTACCTCTTTTCGATACGAATAAATCATCTCATCCGAACTGAAGTCTCGTAAGACGTCATGTACCTACTGTACTGGGTGCTTAGGTGTAAGGCTTCAACAGCCACCATCACCACCTTTTAAGCCACAATTAAACATAAGTACCAACTGCGTCACTTCCAAAGCATGACAGTTCACGCCTTGCCCACTGAAGTAGTCTACTACTACTGAAGTGTCGACGCCTCTCCCTTCCTAGTTCCCTGTTAGGGCATGAGTAGCGCGCGTTGACAGCGCGTGTTCCGTCTTGGCCTGGTGATAGCTTCCTTGGACTTGAACCAAAGCTTGGAAAAGAGAGCTAAATTCTTGATATATGTTGCGTATCGAATCTATAACCATGAATCGGCGCTCTTATCTGTGGAGTCGCGGCTAAAGTAGCTAGAGTGCCTTTGTGATGTGTAGTATCTGTAGTATGTAGTATGGGTCAGGCTGTTGAGCTCTATTGGTGGCTGGGTCTAAGTGCTGTTGGTTTCGTCAAGTAAAAGCTGGCTCCCAGAACTGGATGCGTATATAGACAGCGCTCACATGTCTTTCACTTCGTTTTACACAGACATTAGTAGGTGATATTGAAGACCAATTGTTCAGTGATCCAGCAACGGAGATCCCGTTTCATAGAGAGGTATTGGACGTATCCGTACCGTTATGCCACTGTGACTGGGTACTTCTTACCTGGTCCAGGTTTATCGACCCTGTGTTTCTTTCATGCAGTGAGACCGTCAAACGCAGGCACGCTACATCAGACGCTGCTCTCATAGGCCGAGCCTTCCAATTTATTACAGTTGATGATCTACCATTTATCATCCATCCTTCTCCCGCTAGGCCAAATGACGAGATGTGGACGACATTCTATTCCCGACATTTCACGTGATCGATCCAGAAACATGAATTACCATATCATCGAAGGATTATATAGCTGCGGAACTATGATTATAGAATTGGTTTTTATGCCATCCAAGCTTCTGTAGTAATGCCTGCCATATTGGCTTTACACCTGGCTGGGAGGTACTTTACTTTAGTATGCAGGCCCCACTACAAGAATATCTGATAGTTGCATTGCCCCAATCGGATAGAAACCCTGTAGGTAGTTACTGCTGCATGCGCGCCGACATCGATAGTAGTTCACGCTGAACAGGAAAGAAGTAAACAAATAATCATCGCAGATCGCTCTTCATGGTTTGGATACGAACCATCAGAGACTGATTTGGAGGCCTATTCGTCCTCCTTCAAACTCTAAATGGCAATAGGATCACTATCCAACTGAGTTCGATGCTATCGATCACTTGTCTTTCCCTTACATGTTCACGGTCCTAAAGTGGATTCTTGAAGATGGCCACTATAAAACAGATTGATGGACGCACAGTAACTATCCCTAACGAATCCATATTGAACTCATGATTGACTTGGCCAGGTTCATCAGATACAGTCAGGGCAGGTTATCGTTGACCTTTGCTCTGTTGTCAAAGAATTAGTCGAGAACAGCATCGATGCTGGTGCAACGAGTATAGGTAAGAACATGATTACTTGGCATGATCAGCTCATGATGAGCGACTAGCATTGGAACATGTGCTAACATCTTCTGGTCTAGATGTTCGCTTCAAGAACCAGGGACTTGATCTCATCGAGATAGCTGATAATGGATCTGGTATTGCCCCTGATAATTACCCTTCTGTGGCTCTCAAGCACCATACATCAAAGCTCTCATCGTACTCTGATATAGCCACATTGGAAACGTTTGGTTTCCGTGGCGAAGCTCTTGCTTCGTTGTGCGCCCTGTCTACCGTTAGCATCACGACTTGTCAGCAAGGCGAGGCTCCTAAGGGGACTAAGCTCAGCTTCGAGACCTCTGGAAAGCTAAGCGGGACAGCTGTTGTTGCAGCCTCAAAAGGCACCACCGTCTCTGTCGAGCGTCTGTTCCACAATTTGCCCGTCCGTCGTCGTGAACTTGAACGCAACATCAAGCGAGAATGGAACAAGGTGATCGCCCTCCTTGGTCAATATGCCTGCATCCAGACCAATTTGAAGTTCTCCGTATCTCAGCAGCCTACCAAGGGAAAGAGAATACATATGTTTTCAACCAAGGGAAACCCTACAACAAGGGAGAACATAATCAATATTTTCGGGGCAAAGACAATGACGGTCCTCGTGCCACTCGATCTGTGCCTCGAGATGCAACCGTCTACTGTCAATCCGGCCATACAAGTCGACTCTCCCCATAAAACTACGTCTAAAGAAGTCCGTATTGTAGGCCATGTCTCAAGACCTTCTCATGGAGACGGGCGCCAAACTCCAGATCGCCAAATGTTCTTCGTGAATGGCAGGCCCTGTGGTCTGCCTCAGTTTGCGAAAGCATTCAACGAAGTGTACAAATCTTATAACAATGCACAAACACCCTTCATTTTGGCCGATATTCAACTCGATACACACATGTACGATGTCAATGTTAGTCCCGACAAGAGAAGCATTCTGTTGCATGATCAAAATCAACTCCTCGACAATCTGCGCACTTCCCTCACAGATCTTTTCGATTCACAAGACTATGCAGTCCCTACATCTCAGCTCATGCCGTTTAAGAATCGCACTGAGATCCAAGCAACTGTCAACACACCATTCAAGCCCCATGTCACTCCTAGGAAGCCCCCTAGTGGCTCCTCCCCGAGCCCTGAATCAGACGACGGGGACAATAGCGAGAAGACACCAGTGTCAAAACTATCATATGGTGGCTCTGCTAGAAGGGTCGGTAGTTCAAGAGCATTGGAGAGAAACCTCAGCAGTCAAAACTTGATCAGCGGATGGGTCGAAAGGGGGGCGACTCGGCGACCAGAGAGCCGAGAGCACCAGGTACCAAATACGGAAGTTTCAACTCCTTCTGTATCAACGAGATCTTCCACCAAGCGAGGAGAACCGAGTCTATTTGTCAGAAGTCCTTCGCCTGCATCCGAAGAAGACGAGAATGATACTACAAAGCCGCTGCCTGTCCGGGATTTCAATAAGCAGCTAAGGGCAAACTCTCACACGAAAAGTAATTCATCTGCTGGACCGGTCAGTCCCTCGGTTTTGGTTGAGGAGGAACCCCAAATCCCTGCTACAATGCCTCTAAGACGGGGCCAACAAGATGTTGCACTTACTACTCCGAGTAAACCTTCACGGGGTAAGGCGATACCAGATACAACTACTGTCATGATAGGAGATGAGGTAGTGGGGAGTGTTGCAGACTCCTCTGATGATGAAGACGAAGAAGCAGATACCACTGCTGACGATGCTATGGAGGTCGACAATCCGAAGCCCTCTTTTGGGAGTCGTCTCACGCAGATATATACTGCTGGTACTGTAACGACAAATGGGAGCCAATCTTTGCGCAAAGAACCCGACGCCGAGTTGCCTGATGATCCCATAGCCTCGGAATCGGGCGACTCAGAATTAGCTAGCGACGTTTCTGCCGATGATGCAGATACTGCTGGGAAAGGCGCTTCCGAGCCGGCTGTACCACCGCCTGCTGACGAGGTAACGGAAGAACACAAAGCACCAAGTGCTTTGCCGGACAATCCTTCTTCCCCAGTAACGGGCGAAGTTACTTCTGTTGATCGCAAGAGTCAAAACCAAAAGTCTAGTGTACGAAAGAAAGAAGCCATGGCTCAACTTTGTCAATCTGTACGAACGAGTGAAGGCCTTATAAGAGCCGAGATGAAATCCTGGGCAAGTCGACTTCCTTCGAACCAAGATTGTTCGGCTGGTGAGGACGAGGTGGCGGATCTTGATGCTGCCGATGCGGAAGACAAGTTATCCCTCACCATAGCTCGTAAGGACTTCTTGAGAATGAGAATAGCTGGCCAGTTTAACATGGGCTTTATCATTGCAAGCCGTCCAGCGAGTTCAAGGTCAGGCGAAGAACTCGAGGCCGCTGAGAATGACGAGCTATTCATCATTGATCAACACGCAACGGATGAGAAGTACAACTTTGAAAGACTGCAGGAGATCCAGACCGTACAGTCTCAACGACTAGTCCACCCGAAAAGGCTCGAGTTGACAGCTCTCGAGGAAGAGATCGTATTGCAGAATATTCCTGCAATAGAAGCCAATGGGTTCAAAGTACATGTTGATATGAGTGGAGATGAACCTGTAGGCTCGAGATGTGAAGTGCTGGCGCTTCCCATGAGCCGCGAGGTGACTTTCTCGCTTGCTGACTTGGAGGAGTTGATAGCGTTACTTGGTGAAGAATCGTCAGAGTCAAAGCATATACCTCGACCATCAAAGGTCAGGAAGATGTTTGCGTCGAGAGCGTGCCGAAGTAGTGTTATGATTGGAAAAGCATTGACACACGGGCAGATGGAGAATTTGGTGCGACACATGGCGGAATTGGACAAGCCTTGGAATTGTCCTCATGGCCGTCCTACGATGAGACACTTATGCCAATTAGATGCGTGGGATTCAAAGGGATGGGCAGGCGATAGTGTGCAGAGTCCTTCAGTCTCCTGGCAGGCTTACATGAGTGGAAAGTAATATTACGAGATAGACCGGCTGTGTAAAACTAAAGACTTTTGTATTATCAAAACATCGGATTAACTAAACTACATTACAAGTGTCCCATATCACGCCGTTACTTCCAATTGGTATATCCCGTCCCATTCAAACCATTCAACATTCGTGCACAAATGCATTCATAAAACAAGTAAACCCAAAATCTCATCTCCTCTCCGCAAGCGGGTTGCGTCCATCAAGGAATGAAAAGTTGTTTCCCGCTGCCCGTCCCTCCTCCGCCATCTTACCACTGACATTACGACGCCCGTACGGTTTCGAAGTATGCTGGTTGTAATCGTTACCGGTCGACACTTTGCGAGTGTCGTTGCCAACCATAACAGGGGGCGTGCCACTTGTAAGCTCGCCATATGATCTGGCATAGAAAGCAGCCTCAGGCTGGATAGAGCTCTGGCGGTTCTGGGGAGCAAAAGCTGGCTTCTCATCAGCGATATCTCTGCTCGCGCTCACGCGTCTTGCGTTTGAGCTGATATCCGTCAAAGAATCCTTGAACTTGAAGGGGAAGTAAGGTGTCTTGGCTCGAGGGGGAGAGGGGCTTTCTCGCTTCTCGGAGGGAGGGTTCAGGCGGAGAGGGTGAGGTCGAAGATCATCATCAGCACCCAAGTCGTAAGACGGATTGTTCTCATCGCCATATTCCTCATCGGAGTCGTCGTGGACGTATCGTTGAGCCAAGGCTTCATATGACTTGTTCTGTCGATTGGCCGCACTCGTCCTTGCTGCTTCCATTTCTCGGTTGCGTTGGTTTGTTCGGGAGATGAGCGAGTCCGTAGGCTTCCAGGTTTCAGTGAACTTGGCAGGGCGAGGCTGGTTGCATCTGTAGCTGCTTGATGGACGAGAGCCGGCCTGGTCATCAAGAGGGATCTCACTGTACGCATCGTAGTAGACTGAACGAGTAGCAGAAGTACGGGTTGTGGCCCTTGATGTCGCGGAGTCTCTGCGCTCACGGCGAGGAGTTGTAGGGGGTCTCTGATGCTGTGGGCTTGGTGGGAATCTAGTTCGAGAGTCTCTGGTGCCAACCGTGGTACTGGAGCCGTTGCGGGTGTGGGTGAAAGGGATTGCGCGAGGTGGTTCAATGCCGTCGTGGATGCCTTCCTGTGGAACAAGAGACTCTCGGCGGACAGTTGTAGCCATAGACATCCGGGGGTCGTCCATAGTACTGGTGGTCGTAACAGAAGACTTGTTCCTCTTGTGCTTGGGTCGAGCAGTAAGATGGCTCTCAAGAGGGTTCATGTCAGGAGGCATCAAGCTGATCTTGCGGAACATAAAGCCCAGCCAACCTGCAATGGCCAGGCTGATGAGATGGAGTCCACCCGACACGGTAAAGGTATAGAAGAGTACAGGCTTGAAAGTCTCCATGAGGGCTTGGTCCGAGAGGCGAGTAATCCATACATCACTCTTGGTACGCACTGATAGGGCTCCAAAAGCGTACAGAGGTACAACACCAAGGTCAGTGACACCGCTAAAGAGCTGATACGATGCGGAAGAGCCAGGCGAGCGTGCTGCAGCGTCGTGAGATAGATGCCAGATGCCATAGATACAATGCAAAACCACGATACCAGGCTACCCGTGTATGTTAGTTACGTTGACGACCAATTGGGTGTAGATAGAGAGGAGCTTACAGTAATTCTCATGATCCAGCCCTCAATGGTGGGGACTTTGTCAATGAGAATCATCAGAGTGAGTAGACCGAGAGCCGCAACGAGTTGCAGTACGCGGAGCACGGATTGTCCATGTCGAAGCCATTTGATGAAACTTTTGCTGCGAGGGCTCATAGAAGAATATTCGTTGGTTCTGTAGGTGAGAACCTCGTGCATACTGAGTGATAGCCAGGTTAGCATTGAATACATTGTCTTGGGGCTTACGTCCACACTCACTCAGGATGTCTGTTGAATGAAACAAGAGGTCCATTCTGTTTCTTTCGCGGCTTGGGAGCTTGCCAGCTTGCTCTTGTGACAGCCTTGGGATCAAACTTGGGCTCTGGGAAGCGTGAATCGTTCGATACGGCGCTATAAAGGAAAGGCGCTTGCGACGGAGCCATTGGTGCGAATGGTCGCAATGCGATGCGCTCAAGTTTGCGCGGACTTGACTTGGGGCTAAATCAAGTAAAATGAAAAGAAATGAATGAAAATGCTGATCCAATTGCTCGTTTCCTATTGGAATGAAGGCGATGCAGTAGTTCGCAGATTGACTGCGATAGACGGGGTCGTCAAAAGAATGTGATTGTTACCCGAGATATTTACAGTAAGTAAGTAAGAGGAAGAGGAAGAGTGAGGGTCTCAGTCAGATCCGGGTTGGGAACAATCGCCCAATATCGTATCGCATGCATCCCAATCGGTCGCTGTCTCTGACGAAATGTGTACATCAAGGAATGCCGGGGGCGGGCCGCGTTGGTACAGCAACAGGCTTACTTTGTCTTGTCGCTTCGGGGGGTTGGACCTAAGGCTGGCCAATGCTTGCTCAGTAAAGATAGACGGGCAGGTGGGTAACAGAAAAGCTGTTATCCAAGGTTTAGGCTACAGAAATAAGGCAGCCCAAATGCAGGTCTAAGCTAGCATAAGATGACTAAACTATTTCGTCTCTTATGCTCTTAGCAGTCACTTCTTCTGACACCCTGGAGACGGGATCCAGTTCTCGTGTTAGTAGTAAATGACTAACGTTGAGTTAAAGAGTCACTTCTCAATCATTCATTGGTTTGTCTTTCCTTGACCTGATGTTTCCATCTCATCACATCCGTTTTGGAATATGGTCTTGTCAATAGTGCCGCGCTCTGGTCGCCTCGAAGCGCTTCGTCGACCATCCCGGTTGGTTTCCCCTCAGCGGTATTTCTCTTCTTCGACAATTCGACATGGCCCGAGATCACCGGATGCGCCATTCCGAATGGCTGTGGTAGGATCTGGCCCAGCCGGATTCTATACCGCCTATCGAGTGATGGGAAAAGTGCCCGGAGTAAAACTAGACATGTATGAGACTCTTCCAGTGCCTTTTGGATTAGTTCGCCATGGCGTGGCTCCAGACCATCCTGAGGTCAAGGTTGGTTACCCTACAGAAGATGCGATATGACACCCTTGGTGACTTACACAACCACAGAATTGCCAGGATAAATTTGACGAGATCGCCTCACAGTCTAATTTCTCGTTTATCGGGAATGTCTCCATAGGACTTCTTGGTCATTCTTCTGAGCACTGCACAATAGAGCTGCAAAACTTGATGAAACACTATGATGCTGTTTTATTCGCATACGGAGCATCTGAAGACAAGAAATTGGGAATTCCTGGCGAATCAACTTTGAGCAATATTTACTCGGCACGAGAGACCGTAGGCTGGTACAATGGCTTGCCTGGATCTTCTAACCTCAATCTCGACTTGACACAAGCCGAGGAGGCTGTTGTTATCGGCCAGGGAAATGTTGCGCTTGATGTCGCAAGAATGCTCTTGGAGGATGTTGATGTTCTGAGAAAAACAGACATCACAGAAAAGGCACTAGAGACCCTATCTAAAAGCCGGATAAAGAGAGTCCATGTAGTTGGGAGAAGAGGACCGATGCAGGTACGAGCCTTGACCAAGGATAAGCTTATAGACGATGTTAACATGAACCCCATAGGCTTCATTCACTATCAAGGAGGTACGAGAACTGATGAATCTCAAAGATGTTGCCTTTTCGCCTCTAAACAGGTCCTTGATTCCCGAAAACCTCAAAGCTTTACCACGTGCCTCAAAGAGACTCATGGAAGTCTTAGTCAAGGGTTCGCCGACCCCCCATGACGTTGCTTCTAAAGCATGGTCGCTCGATAGTTGTCTCTCCCCGAAACATTTCCTCGGAAACCAGAACGATCCGTCTAAGGTAGCGAGTACCGAGTTCGACATCACCGAACTCGAGTCGCCCTTTGATCCCAAGTCGTCAGTCAAAGCCACAGGGGAAACCACCATCTTGGCATCTGATGTTGTTTTCCGCTCCGTGGGTTACAAGTCAATTGCTTTGCCAGGATTTGCTGAGATTGGTATCCAATTTGATGAGCGGCGGGGAATCGTTGACAATGATGGTCTTGGCAGAGTGACCAGGATGGTTTCAGATACTCATGCCGGAGGTGTCCACAATGAAAGAGTTCCTGGGGTCTACTGTGCCGGTTGGGTCAAGAACGGTCCAACTGGAGTTATTGCATCCACAATGCAGGATGCTTTCACGACAGGCGATGCAATCGTTCACGACTGGCTCTCAGGGGGTCACTTTCTGAACAAGTCAGACCAATCCGGCGTGACTGGATGGGAGGGTCTTCGACAAGACGCTGGACCGACGACATGTCGAGCTGTTGCATGGGACGACTGGCGAAGAATTGATCGCGCGGAGCGAGAGCGTGGACAAAAGATCGGCAAAGAGAGAGAAAAGTTCACGACGACAGAGGACATGCTAGCTGTCCTGGATTAACGTAAAAGAAAGCAAGTTTAACTATTTGTATATTACATCATTTTGTACTTCACACTACTAGACCTATGTACATTATAGAGGCCTATGAGCTCTTGACCTTCTCGGTAAGCTCTGGCACCTTTTCAAACAGATCACCAACCAGGCCAACATCGGCTACCTGGAAGATGGGGGCATCGGCATCCTTGTTAATGGCAGCAATAACCTTGCTGTCCTTCATACCCGCAAGATGCTGGATAGCACCAGAGATACCTACAGCCATATACAGCTCAGGTGCAATCACCTTGCCTGTTTGACCCACCTGCAGACTGTTGTCGGCATATCCGCTGTCAACAGCAGCACGCGACGCACCAACGGCGGCACCGAGGGCGTCAGCAAGAGGGTTCATGATCTTGTCAAAGTCCTCCTTGGACTTGAGACCACGGCCACCCGAAACGACACGGCCAGCAGTAGAAAGATCAGGGCGATCAGACTTGGCCAAGTCCTCTGAAACCCACTCGGTAGGTGATTCGGGCTTAGAGTCAACGCCCTCCTCAATAGTGGCGGAACCTCCCTCGAGAGGAGCAGAAGCGAAAGCAGTTCCTCGAATGGTGACGATCTTGACAGAGTCTGACGACTCAACCGTAGCGATTGCGTTTCCAGCGTAGATGGGTCGGACGAAAGTGTTCTCGCCCTCAATTCCCGTGATATCAGAGATCTGCTGTGAGTCGAGGAGCGCAGCAACTCGAGGCATGACGTTCTTACCGAACGCGGTATGGCCTGCAATGACATGTGTGTAACCGCCCTTCTTGATGTTCTCAACCAAGAGGGGAGCGTAGGTCTCGGGCAAACCCTTTCTCAAAGTCAATGCTGGGTTGGCGATTTCGACGTTGATGTGCGACTAACCTTTTCATATGCAGCATTATCGACAGCAATAATCTTTTCGACGCCCTCAGCCTTGGCGATCTCTTCAGCCACAGACTTGACATCCTTGCCTGCAATGAATCCGTGTACAGTTCCGCCCAATTTCTTCGCAGCCGTAAAGGCGCTCAATGAGCTGTGGTTGAGCTTCCCATCCTTCTGTTCGAGAACTGCCAGGGTAGATAGTAGCCGTTGTCGCTGTGCGCTTAAGCTGTAGGCCTGCGCGCGGGCCATAAGGCCAGTGGCCTGCTTTGCTAATACTCGTTTCGTGGTCGGAAGCATCGCGGTATCGTGATTGAATTGTAGGTTGACGAACCAACTGTCCGCTGGGGGAGTCGAAGAATGATGAGGTACGTGAAGTCGGCGTACGGTTGTTAGCGGGCCGAGGTCGTGGCCGACATATTCAACGCCGCCATCAGTCATTGACCGGGAACTGACGGCATGTGGGTTCGAATGCCGAACCGGCTCAAGATGTATCACATGACGGCTATTTAAACCACCAACCTTTCTCTACCTTTTGTTGAAGGCAAATTATAACCGTATAGTATTAACTAGGTAACATATGAATCATGTAACTGGATTGGATGATATTCTCAATCTTTGTACCCGAACATATGTTGACGCTTCAACAGCAATAAGTCATTCATAATACGACCAGATATCGCTGTATATAACCGCTACTTCAATCAAACAAGGAATCGCGTATACAACATAATTATCAAGTAGTCAGAGATTAGACCTAAATCCTTTGATATCTTGCTTTAAGAACAGTCCATGCCTGGTGCTGTTTGATGTACTTGGCTCGCCAAGCCTATACGCTTAGCTAATCTGTCATCACGTGATGTAACTCAATCCCCCTGGACCTGCTGCGCGTCGAGATGGTCACGAAGCTGAAGCCAGTCAGTTCGCGCCAAAATTTCTCCAAGACGCGACCCATTTCATCGAGACTCCATCAACATCACGACGCTAGCGATATCGAACCTACGACGACATACGATCAATCGTCCATTGGAACCGCGATAACTTCATCCGCACCTAGTCGCGCATTTCCTAGTCGCGCGCTTTCGATTGATTGCTGCCTTTTGTAAGCCATTGTCCGCGCTCATCACCAAGATGGACGATTCAGCGACCTATGGCTCGCCCAGCAACGGTGCATCGCCCAACAGCAACCCCATCCTCGCCCAGCCTCCTCTTCAGGGCGACTCAAATGCAGGCGATAGCGAAGGTATGTGCGCCTGATGGAATTCCCATGCCCCGTCCAAAATAAGAGGCTCATGGGATATAGACGTTCAGATGTCCGAGGGATTGGGTGTCGATGCCAACATTAAGCAAGACAGCACAACTCCTGCGCCTGGTAATTATACCTCTGAATTGTTGTGCTCACCCCGCTAATACCTTTAGCTCGCGGCGATGAAGAAATGAATGATGCGCCGGCCGATGAAACCAAGCCCAAGGAGGACGGAGCTGTTGGTGCCGATGGCCAAGAAACCAAGTCAAAGGAGGTCGTCGAATCCGTCGCTCGCGAACATTTGATGACACAAACTCATGCCATCGTCCTACCGAGCTACAGCACCTGGTTCGATATGAACGTTATCCACGAAATCGAGCGCAAGGCCATGGCCGAATTCTTCAACAACCGAAACCGAAGCAAAACACCTGCCGTCTACAAGGACTATCGTGATTTCATGATCAACACATATCGTCTTAACCCCGTCGAGTATCTGACTGTCACGGCTTGCCGAAGGAATTTGGCTGGTGATGTTTGCGCTATCATGCGCGTTCACGCCTTTTTGGAGCAGTGGGGATTGATTAACTACCAGGTAAGCTTTCCGCTCTATCGTAATTCTTACTTGCTAAAACTTGATAGGTCGACGCCGACCAGCGCCCATCACACGTTGGACCTCCTTTCACTGGCCACTTCAAGATCATTTGCGACACTCCTCGAGGTCTGCAGGCGTGGCAGCCTTCAGCCGATCCTGTGGTTCTGGAGGGTAAGAAGAGCCAGGACACTGATCAAAAGGCTGTTGCGGCTACCCCAGCCAAGGGAGAACAAAATCTTGAAATTGGACGAAACATCTACGAGGCTAATGCCAAGAGCTCTCTCATCAGCAAAACAGAGGGCAAGACGAACGGAGAAACGCCGACCACCAACGGCGTACCCGGTGCTGAGGATGCCACCAAGACACCCATTTCCAAGGTGCATTGCCACCAGTGCGGCAACGACTGCACCCGGATATACTACCACAGCAACCATACAGATGCCAACCCTAAGGCCAAGTACGATCTTTGCCCTAACTGCTTCACTGAGGGCCGTCTACCCGCCAACCATAACAGTAGCATGTATGTGAAGATGGAGAACCCTACTTACACATCAACCCTTGATCGCGACGCCCCATGGACCGACGCCGAGCTTCTGCGACTCCTTGAGGGTCTTGAGCGATTCGATGATGATTGGGGTGAGATCGCCGAGCATGTCGGTACCCGTACACGAGAAGAATGTGTGCTTCAATTCTTGCAGTTGGATATCGAGGAGAAGTACCTGGATTCAGAAGGCCCTATCAGTGCACCCACCGGTTTGTCTATGCTCGGCCCACAGCAAGGACAACTTCCATTCAGCCAAGTCGACAACCCAGTCATGTCTGTTGTTGGGTTCCTTGCTAGTCTGGCCGATCCAGCCAGCACAGCCGCTGCTGCCAGTAAATCCGCCGATGAGCTCAAGCGCAGGCTCCGTAAGCAGTTGGAAGGCGACAAGACCGATGACGATTCCCAGACCAATGGCGATGGCAAGTCCAAGCAGGACACTATGGACATCGACCTTCGACAAGAAACCACTACTACGACTACTACAACGACAACCACCACAACCAAGACGAACGCACTTGCTTCTATTCCCCTAGCTTCGATAGGTGGCCGTGCCGCAGGATTCGCATCACATGAGGAACGAGAGATGACACGCTTGGTCTCTGCGGCCTCAAACGTGACGCTGCAGAAGCTCGAGCTGAAGCTTAAGTACTTCGATGAGATGGAGGAGGTCCTCCGTGCGGAGCGACGAGAGCTTGAACGAGCGAGACAGCAACTGTTCTTGGATCGACTGACGTTCCGACGAAGAGTTCGGGAAGTCCAGGAGGGTCTCAAGGCCGCTGCTGCTGTTGGTGGTGACCAGGGTGTACGAATGGCGCAGGAGGCTATGAACGACGGCGACAGATTAAGCTTCCAGGCTGTTCCCGGTGCTTCAGCAGTCCCCCCTCCCAGCAGTGATGGCCAGATCAAGAGCTTCGAAGCATAGAGGTATAAATTAAGGACCAACAAAAAACAGACTGTCTTGGGGATAATGACGCGTGGGCAATAATCGGGTTTGGAGCTTGGGGGTTATTCAGGTGGTTACTTTACCATAGGCACAGGCATGCTACTTGATGTAATCTGTTGTGGAATGGTGTACTACTATGGTATAGATGCCTTGGTTTTTTTATATCGTTTTCTTGCTACTTGACTGTATCTTAGGCGAATTGGAATGTTTACGTTAGTTTTTCACACTCTCGTAGAATTACCGGGTCTTGGTTCGCAGCAGTATATTATTGTATGCCACTAGTAAAAGAGACTGGTTGTGCTGAGATAGCCATAACTTCGTGTATGAGTTTAAATATTGCTGAGATGTGATTTGCTATGAAGAGCATTCCGTTTCTTGTAAGCACTGCCATTGTACACTTTGAACGTCCTCATGAGGTTTCGGGTAACAGTTTCGGGCCAACGGTCGTTAAAACCATTGGCAGATTTACCGGCATTAGTGGCTTGTCTAAGAGTCGATCAAGTTGATAGTAAACATTGGCGAGGATGCTAGTGTACATTCGCTGATTGGAATAAAGATCTTGGAAATAGCATGGTTCTAATGATTAGTTGTTGGAGGAGCTGATCCAGCTTCAAGAGCTACTCGGAGGATATTTAGGTGAGCTCTCCACTTCCCCGCGAGCAAGCTACTAATAGTAATCCGGGGTGGTAGCGACTTGACAGCACAATTAGTTCAGTATTGGGGCAGTATTGCATTCAACATCGTCCCAAAAATGAAGACATCTCAGTCGATGTAGATCATCATACACCTATGCTGATCTTACAGATGTTGAGATAACGTTTGTTATGCAGTCACTTTAACTTAACGTAGTGCTTCCCCAGACGAGCCTCAACTGACGATTGCCTCGGCCATAGTGGGCTAAGCGGAAGCTCATTCTAGATACCTGATTGGATACAGCCTGCCCCTGTCATCCGTCCCGTCGGCCCTTGGGGTTTGGTTTTGGGGGTCTTGTGTTCCATAGTACCCGTACCTCGGCCCAAGGCTTTTTGAGGGGAACAGTGGAGGGAACACGCATGACGTCTCACCGTCGGTCACAAGCAAATGTCCCCTTCCAAACCAACCAAACCAATTTGGGGTTTTGTTTTTTTGAGAGAGACCTAGACTGACTCCATTTATTCTGTTAAGCTTGCCGCGTCTTGTACCGAGGCCAGAGTAATAAGCGCGAAACCGGCCCTCTTACTCTTCCCATATAGAAAAGCCGACAGTATCGTCATTTCCCATACTCCATATCTACCGCAAACCTCCCCGGCTCCCTTCTTTCGCATTTCTTTTCTTTCTTTGTTTCCTCATTCTTCCTGTTGGTCATGTTGACTTCAGCCCGCTCGTCCGCCTTCAGGAATAGCTTCCGTCAGTTTAGCAAGATACGCGCAGTAAGTCAGCACAATTCCTTCTCTCAGAGCCGTCTTCACATGTTATTGTCGCAAAACGAATCTTGAGGAAAGCCAAGAGCATTCTGGCTAGCTATTCTCAAGAGAGATGGATGGCAAACGAGTCATGAGTACTCGGCGGGCGACAGGAACTGGGGTCCATTGTTTGCTTGTGATCGGCTTCTTCGCTCGGTCCAGGTGTGCATGGATTACCTGCGCAACATCCTGGATCGCTTCCTTACCCTGACATGCTTCATAAAACTTCTTTCTGGTTTATTCGTATTTCTAACAAATTCAATTCAGGCACAGACTCTCAATATGGCACCTTCAAAGCGCGCCAACAGCTCATCCTCATCAGGTAGGAGCAATCCCTGCGCATTCGATATCATGTTCTAACGCGATCACGACCCAGGTTATTTTGAGAACCATTCCAAGGGGCCAATGCTACGATGGCAAGACTCTCTTCCAAAATTGCCCGTGCCGACACTTGAGGAGACGGCCAAGCGTTACCTGAAGTCGATTCACCCTCTTCTGTCTCCTACCGAATATGAGGCCAGCAAGAAGGCCGTCGACGAGTTTGTCCGTCCTGGCGGCGTAGGCTCCAAGCTTCAAGAAAAGCTCGTGGCGAAGCGTGAGGATCCTAACACAAAGAACTGGATCTACGAGTGGTGGAACGACGCTGCCTACCTCTCCTACCGGGACCCTGTTGTTCCTTTCGTCAGCTACTTCTACTCCCACCGAGACGACCGCCGAAGACGAGACCCAGCTAAGCGCGCTGCTGCGATCACGACGTCAGTCCTTGAGTTCAAGAAGCAAGTCGACGCTGGTACCCTTGAGCCAGAGTATATGAAGAAGCTGCCCATCTGCATGGACAGTTACCAGTGGATGTTCAATGCTTCTCGTGTCGCCGCCAAGCCCGCCGACCACCCTGTTAAATACTCTCCCGAGGAGAACAAGCACATTATTGTTATTCGCAAGAACCAGTTCTTCAAGATTCAACACGAGATTGATGGAAAGCAGCTCAACACTTCGGAGCTTGAGCAACAGTTCAAGCGTGTCTATGAACTTGCCCAGCGTGTTCCTGCCGTTGGTACCCTCACATCGGAAAACCGAGATATCTGGACAGAAGCCCGCGATATCCTGCTCAAGGCCAGCCCCAAGAACAAGGACGCCCTTGAGGCCATTGAGTCATCTTCTTTCGTGGTTTGCCTTGACGATGCCGCACCTGTTACTCTAGAGGAACGTGCCCACCAGTACTGGCACGGCGATGGTGCCAACCGCTGGTACGACAAGCCCCTGCAGTTCATTGTCAATGATAACGGTACCTCTGGCTTCATGGGTGAACACTCTATGATGGACGGTACTCCCACTCATCGCCTTAACGACTACGTGAACGATCTCATCTTCGGAAACAAGCTTGACTTCTCTGATCCCAACGTTCGCTCAAACCTCCCCGATCCCCAGCTCGTTAAGTTCGAAATCACTCCTGAAGTCCAGAGCGAGATCGACCGTGCTACCAAGGACTTCAACGATATTATCAGCAAGCATCAACTTGCCGTACAGGCCTACCAAGGTTATGGAAAGGGTCTCATCAAGAAGTTCAAGTGCTCTCCCGATGCTTATGTCCAGATGATTATTCAACTTGCCTACTTCAAGATGTATGGTAAGAGCCGACCTACTTATGAGTCTGCTGCCACACGGCGCTTCCAGCTTGGTCGTACCGAGACATGCCGCACTGTTTCTGACGACTCTGTCGCTTGGGTCCAGGCTATGTCTGATGCTTCCATCGATGACAAGACACGTGTTGAGCTTTTCCGCAAGGCGATCAACGCCCATCTCGAGTATATCACTGCCGCATCTGACGGAAAGGGTGTTGACAGACACCTGTTTGGTCTCAAGAAGCTCCTTGAGTCTGGCGAGGAAGTCCCCGCCATCTACAAAGACCCTGCCTACGGCTACTCTAGCTCGTGGCATCTGTCTACATCGCAACTTAGCTCTGAGTTCTTCAACGGTTACGGCTGGAGCCAGGTCATCGATGCCGGCTTCGGCATTGCATACATGATCAACGAGAACAGGTAAGAACAACTCAAACACAGTAAGAGACTTTGCTAATACATCATAGCCTTAACTTTAATATCGTATCAAAGGGCCTTGGCAGCGACCGTATGAGTTACTACTTGAATGAAGCTGCCAACGAAATGCGGGAGCTACTCACTCCCACCCTTGAGCCTCCCAAGGCCAAGCTATAGGCGCACGTTTGTTATACAAAGACGAATAGACATCGGATGCTTGCTGGGTATCTGGCGTATTTTCAGGAGTCGGACTATGGAAGGTCTTGTTTGGCGATGTATCCTAGATTTAAAGTGCCATGCCATGCATCTATAAGGAATTCTGCAAATTCCATATTGGCAGACCAGACATACATAAACTAGACGCCATCATGAATGGGCACGAAAGATAAAAAGATTAAAAAACAATTAAAATTTAAATGGTCAATTATTCACTTGTGGTTATGCCACCGCAGGTCTAGCTAAGTTCATCTGATGTGGCTCAAACAGAACCATGACAGAAATGTAATGGTGATATCCTACTCTTACATTGACAGATCCAAATTGTCTCTAGATTAGCCGGCGTGAGCCACAATCTCGTTCACCAAGTCTCCCTTAGACTCGTCGTAGTAAGAGCAAATCTGCGAGGGCAGAGGCACCTCCTTGTAGTCATCGTCCTCACCGGAGATGACATTAAGGTTGATGCCTGCGGACTTGCTCGTGAAGACCTTGGTTCCTATGCTCTCCTTGCTGAAGTAAATTTGCGCGCTGTCGATCTGGTCCAGCATAACAGTAGGAATGGTACCCATAACTTGGAGAGCAAAGTTCTGGGCCTTGACAACATCGACAGTTGACACAAGGGTATCAACAATCAAGGACAGACGAGTGGAGTTCTCAACAGTCACTTGGTTGGCCTTACCCCTGACAATGACAGTAGTGTTGTTGCAACGGCTGATGAGGACAGAGTGCGTCAAAGAAGCCTCAATCTCGATAGGCTCGGATTCCTTCTCAAAGTTTTCCTGGGCTATGTTAGCTACGATCGGTTTCGTTTATTCAAACCCAACTTACAATTGTCCACTTGTTGCCCTCGAGCTCCTTCTTGGCAGGCTTCTTGATACGCATGCTCTCGGGCTTAGGCTTCTTGCCAGGAGCCGGGCTCTTACCCCTCTGGCTGCTTTCAACCGTGGAGCCGCTGCGAAGGGATGGGTTCTTGTGTGTCATTTCAGACTTGTCCACCTTGCGCAAGCCCTTGGTGACACCTTCACCTTTGTTGAGTTCCGAGAAGACAGCACCGAAACCACCACCAGATGAGGCAGCCGCAGGGGCATCCTCTGTCTTGATATCCAGAACAGGAGGAGGGCCTGGGGGAGGAGGTGGGGGAGGAGCTCCACCAGCAGGAGGAGCAGGAGCAGGAGAAGGCGCCGAGTCGCTAGACAGCGATTTCAAAACCTCCTGAGCGGGTTGTCCATTGGGGTTCCATGGGATACCGTTGGGGAAGTATTGCTTGACGTAATCGGCAAGATCTTTGAACACCTGGTAGAAGCTCTGAACCCATTCGGTCTGCTTGGGATCCCTGACAGTCTGGTTAATTACGTTCGCTCCAATCATGGACGTGACTTACTTCTCCTTCGACTCCTTAAGGACTCTGTTGCCAAAGAATTGAGCTGCGCCTAGGCACTCGTCCACATGCTTATACGGACGGGTGTCAACAGTGACCCAGGCGAGAACCATAATACCTTCGGAAACAGTGCTCAGTTGCGTGATCATAGGGCTGGGGCGGTTGTTGTCTTTAATCTCAGTAACAGCCATAAGTGCGTCGTTGATTGGCTTGATGAGGCTTTCATAGACGGGTAGACCAGGACCAGCTAGATCGGGCTTCTTTGCCTTGGTCGATATCAATAGGAACTTGCGTTGTTCCTGAAAGCCAGTCTTGACAAACGAAGCCTGTTCAGCAATGAGCCCACCGAGTTGGTGGCTAAGCTTAACATATTTCTCGACGGCGGTGTTCAGGAAAGCATCGAATTCTTCAATAGATTCGGGAAGAGGCTCGGCGGGAGACTCGGGCTTTGCAGCAGCTGCAGTGGGGGGAGGAGGAGCGACCGAAGAGGGGTTGAGAGGAGAGGGTATCGCCTGGTTCAGAACACCAGCATCGGCGGGCGGTTCGGTGGAAGAAGCGATATCTTCAAGGCGAGAGGTTGCAGCCTCAAGGCTAAAGTTCCGTCAGTGCCTGCACAGTCTACCAGGACAACACAATGGGTGTAACGAGCCTACCGCTTGATGAGGGTGGTCAAGTTGTGCATCTGACTATTCGCAGCCATCTTGAATGCGATCGCTTGTCGAAGCGTATATGTTGCAAGCCGTGGAAATTGAAGCCGATTGTTTCTTTGGACACGCGCAAAACTGGCGGTAGCCCCAAACTTCTATATAGTCGACAGTTGAGTGATTGGCAGGGACGCGTCCAGGCAACGGTTTGGTCGGTAGGCAGTTGCGTAAAACGATCTGAATAATGACTGCCTATGGTTGAGGTTAATTATAGAAACGATCGAATTAAAGACCGATTATGTACCTTTAACTGCAATACAAATGCAATCCAGCCAGTAACAGGTAGGTAGACAAGAAAAGGCTCAAGGAACACGAAGCAGTGTAATGAAGATGAAGTAAGTTAGGTGTGAGGTGAGGTGAGGTAAGTGGTTGGAGCTCGGTTGAGGAGTTCAAGATCCAAATAGGGATAACCTGACACCAGACAGGGGAAGCAGAGCTGTACTGCAGCAATACCTGGATGGAGCTGCGGTCCTAGTGCGCTACTAGGTACTACAAAAGTACAGCATCGTCAACGAACCTGGGGGGCAGCCCGCTGTAACCTCCTAACTTTAGGTGGGTAAGATTGCATGCACCTGTTACTGGCACTTGTCATGATGACAGACAAAGAGGAAAAGTGGGATGTATAAGTCTTTATGATGCATTATTTCTTTTTTTCTATTTACAGGGTCCTTTTAGAAAACATGTTTTGTTCCTGGGTTGAATCTCCAAGACATCGCTACAGCGGACACCTTAATATGCGTGCCAGAGCCAGGGTCAAGGGATCCATCTGGGTGAGGCCATATGCTACGTAGGTCTGCCCGTGTCCTAGCCTTGGCTACAGAGGCATGTAAGGTTAGGTGCCTATGATGTCGAATTTACTGTATCTATCAGATCATTGGGTTGTACGTTTTAATGGCTGACTCCCCTACTGTACGTATGCGTCTTGCAGCATTCCATAGATTCATCGCGCCGGAACTGGGAAGAGTGCTGAATCGTTTAATTCAGGCTCAGCACCAGCCACTGAGGGGCACTGGGCATCGCTGTACTGCAATGGACACGCCTATACTACGTGCGATTAGGAATGGATCAGAGCCACGTGGTCATTAAACAAATCGATAGAAGCATTTGGTTTTCCAGAAGGTTATAAGCGATAAGACACTGGAACTGGATGTAAATCTGAAACGCACTTTCAGTAGGTACTCAAGCATATCGCCTGACAAAGAATACGTTTACTGGTTCTTTATGAAAGGGCTGTTTTGTAGAAACTTTAAATCGATACGGTTCCTGAATGTGAAAGACGATGGAGCTGCTATAATCATAGACTGAGAGCACTAGGCCTAACGTTATATGGTACCGTATACGTGTGCCTGACTAGAAAAAGTTGAGCTGGCATAAACAGAAATTCAACACCAATGCCGACACCGCCTGGTATCACTCATTCATGTATTAACGTACCTATTAGGTACTTTAGATAACGAAGATTCTGTCAATGTCCATTGTGTTTGTTTTCCTTTGGCAATCGTTTTACTACCCAAGCTATCTACCTGCCCACCTAAGACACCGGCTTTGTTGACCGGAACTTATCCCGCTACCCGTGCTTTTATGGATGCAAACTAGAGATTTGGACCCTTGTTTCTCAACATCCATCGCAAAACATAAACTCCACTCGCTGTCGAACATTTCCATTCCCTAGCGATCTGCACATTATCGGACGGTTATCTATTACATAGACGCCATACCGATCCTGTTTCTTTTTCGAGATCCGCTCAACACCTGAACGTTGGCTCTGTATCTTAGAAATCCCGCCATAACCAGTCGCTGAGTGAGACAAGACGTCCATCATGGCTGATGTCGCCGAACCCCCAGCGCTTGAGCCGCAAGTCGATAATGAGAAAGCGCCTATCTTACAGGATAAAGAGGAGATAGATGTAGAAAAGACCGAGGACCCTGATCAAGGCAACGACGCTGGTGTCACTGCCGATGATGTAGAGGCAGAAGAAGAACCAAAACCTGATGCTACTGAGGAACAACCACCTTCAGATGTAGTTGAAAACACCATGAACGAGGAAGCAGCCCAACAAAATGTCTCTATTGACTTTGTCACCATGGGCATGTTTATCATCGGTCAGCAGATTCCTCACCCTTAAGCGCGGTCATATTGTTTATTGCTTTAATGTGAACAGTAAGCTGACTATTTCAAGATGACATCGACTTTGTTCCACCTACAGAGCCCGTCAAAGACATCCTTGGCGGCGCCGGAACCTACTCAGCCCTGGGAGCTCGTCTGTTTTCTCCCCCGCCCAAATCTACCTCTGTGGGCTGGATCGTCGATCAAGGTTCCGACTTCCCACCTTCACTTTCAACACTCATTGACAGCTGGTCCACCTCAGCTCTCTTTCGCCATGATGCGCTTCGGCTAACGACACGAGGCTGGAACGGCTACGAAGGCACTGCAGAGAAGCGAGCATTCAAGTATATGACTCCCAAGAAGCGTCTGACCGCTCAGGATCTTACACCATCGCTGTTGCAATCACGGTCATTTCACTTGATATGCTCCCCGAATCGATGTAGAGACCTTGTTGCCGAAATCACGTCGCTTCGTAAGAAGATTGTACCTCCTGAGTCGTACACCAAACCCATCTTTATCTGGGAGCCTGTACCAGATCTATGTACCCCCGACGAGCTGCTCAACTGCACCAACTGCTTGCCTCTGGTCGACATTTGTAGTCCAAACCATGCTGAACTTGCTGGCTTTATGGGCGACAGTGGCCTCGACCCAGAGACAGGTGAGATTTCTACACTTGCTGTAGAGCGAGCCTGCGAACAGCTTCTTGCCAGTATGCCTTTGCAATCTTTCTCTCTCGTCGTTCGCGCTGGTGAAAAGGGATGTTACATCGCGAAGAACGGAGGAAGAAAACGAGGGCGTGATCAGAAGACCACCAAGCGACGTAAGAAGGACTACACGAGGGGTGGTCTACAGCATGATACCGATATGGAAGCTCTATTCGCTGGCCTACTCCAGGATGCTGATGGGATTGTCGCCCGTGAAGAGATCGAAGTCGACCCCGGTATTGAGAAATGGGTACCCGCATATCACACAGATTCGACAAAGGTTATCGACCCTACTGGAGGTGGGAATACCTTCTTGGGCGGCCTTGGAGTTGCGTTGGCGCGAGGTGAAGGCCTCGAAGAAGCTGTGGCCTGGGGTGCTGTTGCAGCAAGCTTCGCCATAGAGCAAGTTGGTGTCCCAACACTCGGAAGAGATGCAGAAGGCTGCGAGACTTGGAACGGGCAGAATGTCGAGGCCCGACTAACAGAATTCCGCGAACGTCTATAAATAAATTGCCTTCTTACATATACATAATGCCTTATTAGAACAACAAGCATATAGAAAACTTTGCTATTACTGAGCTTCCATCATTCATCATTCATGCAAGTCGCCCGAGCCGCATTGTCAACGTCGTAAACTCTCTTCAATATCGAACAGGCCAGTAACAGGCCTGCTATTACATGCAGAAAAGACATTCCTAAGCCCAACTCCATTATCTAAAGAGCCTTACATATATCTCCCCCATCTCACTAAATCTTGTAAACAAGATGTTCGTCTTGCAACCTAAAAATAAAATTAGTCAACTCATGTACTGATAGTATGTAGCAAGAAGGGAGTGGAACTTACATGATTTGGTTTGCTTCTCCCATTTTTTGCAGTGCCTTTAATGCCTCTGCCTTGTCGAAAGCGCTGCGTCTTCCAACCTTGCTGTTGACGGCTTCCATAACTGCATCTACCTCGGCTGAGTCATCTTCGAAGAGATCGGTGTTGAGAAGCTGTCCTAGGGCCGTTCGGAATGTAGTGAGACGCTCAGGTGAAATGGGAGTGTCATCAATGGCAAGTGCTGCTGTTCCAGCGGCGAGATCGTTGTCCCCTTCTTGGGAGTCCAGTTGGCTCTGGGAAGGAAGTTGTGAAGAAGGCATCGATGATGCGAAGGAGGGTTGGGATGACTCTTGCGCCCTTCTGCTTGAGCGACGCGGCGTGGCTTGAGAATCGTCTTCCAGATCCTCAGGTTCTCTGCTGGACCGAGCTGTATCGGTAGTCCCTCTTGCTTGAAGTCGGCTGCTGTTGCGAGTCCCTCTGGAGGCGGACCTGTTGGTTTGTGTGCCATTGGCTTCGTCTCCATCCTCATCATCGCTTGGATCCTCGTCGCTAGACGACGCAAAGTCAACTGTCTGAGTCTTTCTCCGCTTCTTCCGGGATTCTTCCACCACTTCCTTGAACAGGGCGAATCTGAGGATCCCCTCTGCAGCGATTGCATCGCGCTCCTCGACTCTGCTCGACAAACGAGATTTGGCGTGTGCAGTGGCCAGACGGATGATAGTCTCAAGAGTACGCACGGTCAAGGGACTTGTTCTTCGCTGATTGCCTTCCATCTCGTCGTTTCGCAAGCCAACATAGATATCAGTAATACGATCCGAAGCCTCCTGTGTGAGAACTGGCTTGATTCTTGTCTTGGCATATTGAATGTACTTCTTCATGAAAGGAATGCTCAGAATCTCAGGTTTCTTGTTCGAACCTCGACCAGTTGTAATGGTGACACCGGAATGAAGCATGGCATCATACTTCTGGTACACATCGGTAGGTCCCTGCGATTCATTTTGGTTCGAAGCCGATACGCCGAGCGATTGATTTCCTTGCTCTCGGACAGGGGCACCCTCTTCCGTTCCTGGCTGGCGATATCTATGCATACGAAGGACATGCTCCGAGACGTGTCGATCGCGTGTATCTTCAATGTCATCTGTAACAACAAAAAGCAAATCGAAACGCGACAAGAGAGAGTCGGGAAGTGCGATATTCTTGTGAGGATCTTTGTGCGGGTCGTATTGACCAAAGATGGGGTTAGCAGCAGCAACAACGCTGCAGCGGGCGTTCAAAGATGTATGAATTCCTGCCTTTGCGATGGTGACAGTCTGCTGTTCCATGACTTCGTGGATTGCAACTCTGTCCACGTCAGACATCTTGTCAAATTCGTCAATACATACAACACCACGATCTGCCATAACCATTGCACCAGCTTCAAGTCGACGCTCACCAGTCTCCTTATCTGAAGTAACAGCCGCGGTCAGACCTACACCTGAAGAACCACGACCTGTTGTTGCAATTGCGAGCGGTGCTGTGTTCAGAACGAAGCGTAATAGCTGAGATTTGGCAGTAGATGGATCACCAACCATTAAAATGTTGATGTCTCCACGTAGATGTGTTCCATTCTCGAGGTTCTTCTCGATACCTCCCAAAAGCATGAGTAAAATGGCTTTCTTAACATAATCATGACCGTAGATACTAGGTGCAAGAGACTGCGAGAGCAACTCAAGCAGGTTCTTCTTCTTGGAAACCTTGTTGATATTGCGGATATCGGTATCTGTGATAGTGGCGGTCGCAACACCACCACCAGACTTTGATGACAACAAGACAACGTTGTTGGTCAAGATCATTGTTTTAAACAAGGCACTGTTGTGGTTGGTATTTCGGTTACCCAGAGTTCGGTAAATTCCCACGAGTTGAACACGGTCACCAGGCTTCACGCTGTCCACGAGGTCGTCGTCAAGAATAGCGTCTACTCCACGAGGAAGTTGACCTGCAGGTGCGCGCTCCGGCATTTCCTGGATTGAGATTGTCTGATGATCGCGGTACGTACAAAAACCGTACTCGGTGACAAGGGGGTTGCCGTCGTCGTCTTCGCGAGGATACACACTCGAGGTGGTGACTCCGTTTGTCATTGTTTGATCTTGATACTCGCGAAAATGGAACATGTCTTTCTTTTCGTTATAGTGCACACTCTTCACTACCTTGGGTCGGATCAGGGAAGTGCGTGTAACGATTCCCTCGATGGAGACCATGTAGTTCAGAAGATGGGAAGACAATGTACGCGGGTTGCAAGCATTCAAACCAAAGCTGCCTGCCCACGCACAGTAATAGATGGTGTCTTTTGCAGTCTGATCCGGTCTCGCTTGTGGAATCGTTTGGACGATGTTTTTCAGTGCCTGATCAAATGCCAGAGTAAAGTCGAAGGGTTGCAGCAGCAGACCCTGTGCAAGGTCTTGGTTGTGGTTGCGAACATGGTCGAGATTGACTGTTAGGCGGCGCTGGTTCTTCTGGAGCATAAGAATAATGTCTGATCGGTAACTTCGAACCTGGGGATCATCTTGATATCAAGAGTTAGTCGGCAATGCATTGAGGCGGAATAGTAACAAGTTTGAGAGGGAGGAAGAGATGGGCAGTGTACATACTGGGATCAAGAAACTCCTCTGCTTGGCGAATGCGATCACGCACGCCTTCATCCTGAAGCATAAAAGAATCCATGGTGACGGTTTGATTTGTGATGTATGTACCAATGAACTCCTTGTTCAAAGACGATATTTACGAATATGAGAATCGAGGGGTGGAAGTAAACCTGGCGGGGCGTTGCTGGGGCTGCTTGAAACCCCTGTCGCGCCCCTGCATCAACGCGTACCCATCGCGTAAAGTGGTAGGCTACGGATAGCGATGTTCAGTGCAGAGGTGGCTGTCCTGTGGCTGAAAGTGATGGAAACGGATGCTAATCTCCCCTCAATATGAAAGTCCACCTATGCCTATTGCGGTAATCACCTATCGGCAGGAGGTCCCCGCCTGCCAGGCACTCTTCCTTGCGCTGAGGACTGGGTTACATGGAAGGTACCTCTAGCCCCCATTTGGATCATTCCAACCAAACCATATGATCTTTCTACTCTCCCATTCTACACTAGCTACTTCCTGCAATCCATTTCTCCAGTACATGACACGTTAAACAATTTTGTTGCACAATGTCAGTCGGGCTCTCTGGCGGCGCGCACAATGCCCTGGACGAAGAGGCAAGGGCCGAGGTTGATGTTCTCAACTCGCGACTAGAGAAGACGACCCAATTGACCAAGAAGATTCAATCCTGCCTCAACCGACTCGAGACAACAGGGAAAAGTGTACAGGATGTTGCTGGGCCGCTCAACGGAGAAACTAGGCGGCTTCAGATACTGGGAAACAGTAAGTGTGAGCTGCTGTTTGTGACAATGATCATGGCTAACCAAGTGTCAGATGTCGACTCCGTTCTTTCTGCAATCGATCGCTTGCGCCAGCCTGCGGATAGCAAGAACGACGAGGAACAGATCATCCGGGTTGGGCCTGAGAAGGCTGGTCTCTCTAACTACCTGGCCTCTATAAAGCGTCTCGGCAAAGCCTTGAATGAGATGAAGGCTTCGAATCTGCGCGCGAACCAGCAAACAATGGCAGACTTATCACGTCTCATCAAATCAGGCAACAGTCAACTCGAGCATCATTTCGAAACTCTGCTTCGCGGCGAGACCCCCCGATCTGTCGAGCCGCTACATTTCATCACGAAAGATAAGCCTTTTCCCACACTCCCTCAAGACAAGATCGCCCGACTCGGTCTTGTTTATTCTTATGTTGCGGAGAGCAACCCCAATGGAGGCTCCGAGCTTGCTCATATATACTCTGAGGTACGCGGCCCGTACATTTCAACGTCGTTGGCAAACCTCGCTGCCGCAAGCGTCAACACCGCCAAAAAGAAGAGCCCAGATGCTGTCTACCGTGCAGGCACCAACGGTATTGGAACTTACTCACAGGCGATGGAAGGCATCTTCCTTTCCGAATACGACAACGTCTGTAGTGTTTTCTCGCGTGAAGATTGGGGTGTTATCTTCCAGTCGACTTGCCAAGCGGCTTTAGCAGAACTGGCACGAACCCTACGTGAGCTCAACACGCATATCAAGAACCATCTAAACACCGATTGCTATTTGGCTTATGAAATCACCGAAATCATGTCGGCACTTTCCGGGAACCTCGAGACACGAACTGGAGAATTGAAAGGAGCACTTGCTGCTGCACTGAAACCAGTTAGGGAAACCGCCAAGACGTCTCTGGCAGAGCTCTTGGATGAAACAAGGCGAAAGGTCAGTATGTTACAGATGTTGCCAACTGACGGTGCACCGATACCGTTAGTGTCGGAGACTATGCAACGTCTTCAGACCATGGTACACTTCTTGCGCCCAATTTCGAGCATTATGATATCGATTGGGGACGGCGGTTGGAAATCCAACGCTGCGGCTAACGGGCGCTCCACGGATGCAATTCCCAGCCTGGCATCGTTCGATATTGGGGCAGATGGCAAGGAAATATTCTCGCACTACTGCCTCGACACTATTGAAACGATTTTGTCTGGGCTAGATCAAAAGTCACGAATACTCATGAAGAGCAGAGCTGTCGCTGGAGTATTCATGGCCAACAGTGTGGTCATCATTGGTCGCATGGTCCAGAGCTCAGAGCTCAACGACCTCCTGGCAGGCAAACTCGACATTCTCGAGCAGTGGCGCAAAAAGGCAACGGCAGCCTACACAGATGTTTGCAAGGACCTGTCTGTGCATCTCTTTGATACCGTCCACACTAATCGTACAACACGACCTACATCTGGGCCTGTCGATTCGACATCCATCGTCAAGGGGCTGGGCAGCAAGGACAAGGATAAAATCAAGGAGAAGTTTACGCAGTTCAACGGCGCGTTTGACGATATGGTGTCGCGCCACAAGTCCTACAGTATGGAGCGTGAAGTGCGGCGAATGTTTGCAGAAGATATTCGTTCGAAACTCCAGCCTCTATACACACGATTTTGGGACAGATATCATGAGATTGACAAGGGCAAGGGCAAGTATGTCAAATATGACAAGACATCCATTGCTGCTGTCTTTTCCAGCCTCGCTTCCTGAGGATGAGTTCAACAAGCGATTATGTGTTCATCGCAACCGTTCATGGTCACTGAAAGAGCTGGCAGTCAAAAGTTCCATCCATATCAGGAACCATATAGCAGCTAACAGAATTTTGGCGCCGTTTGTTTCATTGAGCTGGCGACCTTATTGGATACGGGTTTCTTTCGCCTCATTTCAAGACACCTCAACAACTGGCGATTTTGTCACATGAGACGCGACATGCGAGGAAAAGACAACTCATTCATGATCATGGCCCTGCTTGGGTCTGCATTCAACGCCCATCTAGCTAACTTCCGGGAGTGGCTTGAAAACAAAAGTCTTGCCCACCATACCTTCTCATAAGAGCACAGGTCGTGTCGATAATCGAGGATAGAACACAACAGCCGGTAGGGCCTAATATCGTCGGATATGCTATTTGATACCCCTGCCCGGCCACTCCTCCTGCCGAGTCCACGCTTTTTGGTATGGAGGGGAAGTGCACAGCAATTAGGAAGGACACCTGGGGCAAGTACCACAGTAGTCATGGGTTCCAAGATCGCTGGCTTTGCAGCATGCTGTGCAGCAGCTGTTGGTGGGCATGTTGACTTCGGAAGTGGTCATGGCGGATAAGATAAAAGGAAAAGTCGAGGATGATGTGTGTCCACTATTCGGCTTCAGGAGCATACGGGTGGTGGTGTTGGATTGAGGAGGAAGTGGTTATATCTTCTAAGGAGCAGTCGGAAATCAATCAGGGAACTTGGCGGATTTATACTCCGTGCTACTGAGGGATAGCCAGAGGCGCCACAACCATCTCATCTCTACGCCCAAAAGGCAACTGAGGATGCCAGTATGAGGGAAGCCTTAATTTATGGTAGGATTCGGACTTCCCAAGCAAGGGTTCTGTGGCCTTCTTCATATGGGTTGGGCGAGACGTGAAACATCTCATACGCCACGTAGCGCGGTATGATGTACTGATTTAACGTCTTCTTAACGGTCTACCATGCCACTACTGAGACTGACAGTGCTGTCTCAGCCAACCACGACGTTTACTGTCATCGTCATCGTGCATGTAAGCTCAGCCCCGAGCTCCTGGGACTTAGCGCATGGCTGAACGGAAGCTACTGTAGAAGCTGTAGATCCCAGGCCCTAGTTACTGGCTACTGGGTAGTTAGGCACATAGCCAATCTGGCAGGTGACATCTGACAGGTGGCAGCTGTCATTGTGCAATGCATTGAAAGTCGCATGAAATCCTGCTCGTATATCGAACGAGGAGCGATGTGTGTGCATCTGGCTAGTTGGTGCACAGCCTCAACATCATCACGATTAGCATATTATTTATCGAGTTGACAGCACACCAACTGTATTTGAAACGCATTAGCTACTATCTATAGTATATCTATCAATTAAGACCCATACTATTCATTGGACGGCACCCGTAGTTTGTCAGTGCAGCACGCCGACTCGTGGAGGTCGAGCTTCTCAGGTATTGGTTGCTTGCTTCTTGATGCCGCTGCCAAAGATATCATCGACACGGGTTCGGCGCTCCCATACAATGGCATTGTCAGCTCTACGCTTGAAGTACAGTATTCGGTGTTGGGGAATGAACTCCTCGTCAGTCTGTTCGCTCTTCCACTGTTCCACTGCTCTTTCGCGAGCTCCTAGAAAACGGTCTTCGTACCCAATAATGTAGTCGCTTGGGTCAAAGTTGGTGTCCCATCGTAGCCGGTTGAGCATATCGGCAGCTGTGCGAAACTTACCAAGTCCAGGCGCTTTGCCTACCACTGCAGCCCGGGACCCGTGGGATGCAACCGTACTGCTCTTCCCTTTCAGCTCCTCTTCGTCATTGTCGAGTTCTTCATCCTCTTCGAGTTCATCGTCCGAATCTTCGTCGTCTGTATCACCAGCGAACTCACCCCACGGCCTTGTATCGACAGCCATTTCACCAAGCTCGGAGCCTCGAACAACGATTGCGCTCATCCAGCAGAATTGAGAATCGTAGTACTTCTCATCGCGGCGAATCCTGGTTTCAAAATCCTGTAGCACTGTTTGAACGCTCGTTTGCATCTCCTTAGCATTCTCTTTACTCATCTTGCCGTCCCGGATTGGAGGGAAATCTTACCGACTAGCAACATAACACAACGAGATTCGAGCCAGCCAATGAAGCGGCCACTCTTTTCCTGTGATGGCCCCCAATAATGTGCATCAACCTTGATGTAAGTCTTGAACTCGTGCAGGAATTCTGCAGCTCCTCTGCTTCTCTTGGCATCCTGACTAGACTCAAGGCCTAATAGGCTATTCCATGTACAGCCATCCACAGAAAGTAACTTATTGGCACGCTCAAACTCCGCTGCAATAGTCTTCACAGTTGGTACAGATGCTATCGGAGCGGTGTTGAGCGCGGGAGCGTGCCAACCGATCAAACAGAGAGGCTCTCTGAAAGTCCGGTTGTACCTCAAGTCCTTGTGGAAGAATGGATCAAACACCATCGAGTTCTTCCAGTCAAACTGAGAGTAGTGTCTGAAGAAGGTAACTATGATGTCTGTCGGTGACACCGTTTCGTTCTCGTACGCCAGTGCTTTACAGACTGGGACAAGAAGGACACTGATGTGAATACCACCAAGGAACCCAAATTTGGCCGAATAGATGCCTCTTTCTTGAGCCCAGGACTTGATGAACAGGTGTGCCATGCGATACAGAACCATGTCCGGTAGTGAACGGCGTAGATAGAAAAGATCGCGAACAGGTTTGAGTTTCGCCAATGTTTGGAATGGCAAAGCAAACGCCGGATCGTTGGCCGGACGCTTCATAACTTCAGGCCATCTGGATAATGTTAGCATTGCGGTTCATTCCACGATCTCTATGGGTTATACGAAGAATGCATACCTTTCTGCGATAAACGCCGCAGCACAATACTGGAGGTCTGTCTTGATACCATGAACTTCTAGTTCCAGCATGTACCCGGAGTTGGCTTTGACTCGTCGTAAGATTTTAATATCTGCCGCACGTTTTAAACGTTGAATGGCCAACTTAAAGAATGTCTTGGAGCTGAAAGGACCGATACAGAGGCAGTCAATATCAGATGAACTAGTCCAGACACCCAGACCGTATGAACCGACAGGAACCAGAACAAATTCAGGTCCAGATCGAACATCGCCCTCTGATACTGATGGAGAGGCGTCTTTCAGAGCGGCCTCTAAGGCTTTAACTGCTTGAGCTCGTGTGGCTCTCTCCTGATCTGTTGGTAGGCAGCCGTAGTTCTCCAAGAAATGTTCCAGATCCTCGCCTTCGACTAAACTTGACACGGGGCGCTGTAGTTCTATCTTCATTTCTGAAGCACTTGACTTCGACATGTCAGTCGGCGCTGATTTCAACAGAAGACATCGTATACCCCAGTGGTCGCTAGGATAAGTGAGATGGCCTTCTTTGGTTGATGGGAATGGCGTTTGCCCAAACATGTTGAAGCCATGTGGGCGGTAGTGTCCGTGTGCCTTTACCAGTATCTTGTCATATCTTTGTGGTCGGTTGTTCAGTCCGCTTCCAACGAGCTCACACGCCAAGGTATTCGTCAGCGGGTCAAAAGTAGCTCCTTGTTCGCCTTGAAAAGAGTCCAGAACACCTCTTCTTTCATTGTTCATGTCTGAAGACTCGCCTGACTCGAGGCGCGTGGTTAGCCAGGTGTCAATGAAGCCAGCATCTGACAATGACCGGTCGATATCTCGCAGTCGGTGGGCTGATTGCGACGATATATCCTGTCGTTTTCGGGCAGATTCGATAGTAAAAGAAGAAGTTACAATATTGAAATCGCCTGCCAATATCCATGGGTTCTGTGGGAAGGTTGTGAATAGATAGTCAAGCATCTTTTGAACCTCATTCTTCTTAGTAGCAATGGCTCCATCAGTCAGACCTTGACTGAGATGGCATGCTACAAGGATCCAAGACTTGAACTCTCCGTCCGAGGTTTCACGAGTGCCAATGGTTGGGAACCGCACCACGGCGCATCCCTTATGTTTCCTTTGAAATGACAGATGATGCCACTCGAACGGAAACTTGCTCAGCACAACGATGTTGAGAAGACTAGGAAGTGGCCCAGCCCCTGCGTCTCCTGGGGGCTTGTGGGAGACGAAGGGATAACGATCCCGCAGTTCCTGGCTGCCAAGGAGGTCAGGGAGGAAGTGGTCTGTAACCTCTTCAAGGACAACAATGTCGGCAGCGGCTTGAGGAGATAGTAGGTTTTGCACCAATGGCGCATGTCGATGGGATTGAGGAGGCCACTCAAACTCAGCCAAAACATTGTAAGAAGTAACGACTAATCGATCCAGCACGACCTCGGTTGTATCTGGCGTGGGTACAGGCGAGAAGCAATGAGCTGGCTGAAATGATATACGTGACATGTCTTCCAGACGGTCGTTGAAATCTCGAGGGGGTGTTATCTGAGTGAACTTGCCTGATTCGAGGTTCAAGGTCCCCCAGAGCTTCATAGGTCGTGGACCAGTGCCGCTCTGTGCGAGGGGCTCACGAACAAGAATTGAGATTTCCTTTAATTCCCATGTTATAGGTGTCAGGAGACGAGCCTTTTCTAGGAGGAAATGATGGGGTGCAGCTTCAGCATCTTCACTCTGGCCAATGGTCATATGGGGGGTGAAGTTCTCCTCCGTAGCATTCTGAGGTTGGCCAAGAGCATGTGAGATGTGATTTTTGATATTTGAAAGTTGTTTGACATCTTGCTTCGAACTTTGGCCTAGGAATATGGTGTTGTGGTGCTTGTGGTTGAAAGAGTCGGCAGTGTCGAGGACCACTTGAGGTCGATGCTCTATCTCATTCCCTTGAAGAATTTGGGCTGCCTGCTCCAAGACTTCAGGCCTAACGAATGGGTAGATGATATTGATATGAGGTGGCCAAGCAGTATAAGCTTTGTCGTAAAGACTTCTGAGATTATCCGCTGATGACCATAGTTCTTGGGGTGGGATGGCGCATAATGCTGTCTCATGAGACTCGAAGGTGAAAAGCTCGCTGTTCTCCATTTTTCGAGAACCTGTTAAGTAGATCGTTGTTGTTGGCGACTATTGTCTTATAAGAACTCAAGGGCGAAGAAGTTGCCCAAAAGACAAATTAATGATGTGTGAGATAAAACAGAAGTTGAATTAGCTTGTTGTGATCGATGTCGAGTGTCTCTACTAAGCTCTTTATTTCCTGATTCTAGATCAGATGTTCGCCTCATTCTTTTATGGTTTATCCCCCCTGTAAGACTGAAACTCGACGTCCCAGTCATAGTTACATACGCTGACTCACAAATCGTCTATATTATCTATATAAATGCATGCAACAAGGCTATGCTTCAGGGTCAATTACGAGATCCATATCGAGTTCCATATAAGCTCTACGGTATGACTCAGGCGCTTGCATAAGGTAGCTCCTCTAGATCCATACCAAGTAAATGACAAAAAAAGTGACAAGGAGTACACACTAGGCGGAAAGGTCTTATAGGCTCCATGGTTTAAAAGTCCTTTTCTTGTTTTAATTTTTTCAACGTGATATTTGGAAAATCCCACTGCACCACACCTTGTCTGATTTTAATGTACAGAGTTAAAGTAATTTGATCTTTCAAAGTATGGATGCCAGAATGGCCAGCCACTACCTACGGCGATGTTCAATAGGTAATTTGGTGTAAGTCCCGTCAGTCCAGGGTAGCGGAATCTCTGTTTTTTGACCCCTCCACTAGCGGGCACCTAGTTAATCTGCACCGCCAGCAGAGATAAGCCACAATGGTAGTGGGATAACCCCACTCTCCACGCTAGCCAATAACCTCCTGCCCAGCTTCCTTGTGAACACATAGCTTCATACCTACCTGTGGCTACTGTTGCTTTGAGACCAGTCCATATTCGACATCTCCCTTTCTATCATCGAACTGCTGCCCATACCTGCTATTCTCAGGCGTCGAAAAGCACATCAAAACATAATCGTATAATTTCTTGCTGGCGCGTATTGGCTGCCTCAACCGCCATCATGGACTACGAAGCGATAAAGGAGCAATGGAGTGAGGTCGAGGATCGCGATGGTGTTCGTTTGAGTTGGAACGTCTTTCCCAGCTCTCGCATGGTGTGTAAGCTGCTTCGTGGTTCTTTCACTTAAACTGACATCGTCCAGGAAGCTTCAAGACTTGTTGTCCCCATTGGAGCACTCTACACACCATTGAAGGAGAAGCCCGATACTCCTCTGTTGCATTTCGAGCCTGTGACCTGTAAACAACCTTGTCGTTCAGTGTTGAACCCCTTCTGGTATGCTGCGATTCTGTTCAGCTTTATCTGACTCCATTTTTTGCTGACTTGACCCTTAAGCCAGGTCGATGTCCGCGCCAGAGTTTGGATCTGCCCTTTCTGCTTGTCCAGAAACCAACTGCCGCCTCACTACAAGGACATTACCGCGAATGCCATCCCCCCCGAGCTCCATCCAGCCAACACCACGATAGAATACCGCTTGTCTCGACCGGCGCCCGCGCCCCCGATCTTTTTGTATGTCGTTGATATGTGCCAGGAGGCAGACAGCCTTGCCTCCTTGAAGGAATCACTCGTGATGAGTCTGAGCCTGCTCCCAGAGAACGCTCTTGTTGGACTTATCACTTATGGAACAATGGTATAGCTCATTCGTAACACTTGACATATGTTTGTTTTACTCACATTCAACTAGGCCCACGTCCACGAAATCGGTTACGAGGAATGCGCCAAGTCTTACGTGTTCCGAGGTAGTAAGGAGTATGCTGCAAAGCAAGTTCAAGAGATGCTTGGCTTGACTACTTCTGGTGTACGACCCGGCATGCAAGCCCAGCCCGGTCGACCATTCCCCGCAGGCCCAGCGTCTCGCTTCCTCATGCCTGTCCAACAGGCTGAATTCCAGTTGACCAAGGCACTGGAGTCTCTCCAAAAGGACCCCTGGCCTGTCGCCAACGATAGACGTAACCTTCGTTGCACTGGCGTTGCGCTCAGTGTTGCCGTTGGTCTTCTCGAGTCTTCTTTCCAAAATGCTGGTGGCCGCATCATGTTGTTTGCTGGTGGTCCTGCCACAGAAGGACCCGGCATGGTTGTCGGACCTGAACTGAGGGAGCCAATCCGATCCCATCATGACATTGACCGAGACAATGTCAAGTACTACAAGAAGGCCCTGAAGGTATAGCTTCATGAGTTTCTGTTCTTGTGAAGTGAGACTAATGCTTGAACCACAGTTTTACGAGAACCTTGCCAAGCGCACTGCGCACAATGGTCACATCATTGACATCTTCGCTGGTTGCCTGGACCAAGTTGGTCTACTCGAAATGAAGGGACTATGCAATTCCACTGGTGGCCACATGATTCTTACCGATAGTTTCACTTCCTCCATGTTCAAGCAGTCATTTGTGCGAATCTTCGAGAAGGATGGAGACGACAACCTTCTTATGGGTTTCAATGCCGTACTCGAGGTTCTGACCACGAAGGAACTCAAGGTCACAGGCCTGATCGGCCATGCAGTCTCGCTCAACAAGAAGTCTATCTCTGTTGGCGAATCTGAATGTGGTATCGGCAACACATGCTCTTGGAAGATGTGTGGCATTGACCCCAAGTCCAGCTACGGAATCTACTTCGAAATTGCTGGCCAGGGTCCTGCCAATGTCCAGCAAGCACCACAGAAGGGCATGATGCAGTTCCTGACATACTACCAGCATTCTTCCGGTCAGTTCCACCTCCGCGTTACAACAGTGGCCCGGAACCTTAGCAGCCCCGCCGGAGACCCCGCGATCGCGCAATCTTTCGACCAAGAAGCTGCGGCTGTTCTCATGTCACGCATCGCTGTTTTCAAGGCCGAGGTCGATGACGGTCCCGATGTCTTGCGTTGGGTCGACAGAATGTTGATTCGCTTATGTTCGCGATTCGCGGATTACAGAAAGGACGATCCTTCATCTTTCCGATTGGAGAAGAACTTTACTCTATATCCTCAGTTCATGTTCCACCTCCGCCGAAGTCAATTCCTCCAGGTCTTCAACAACTCTCCCGATGAAACGGCCTTTTACCGACATGTGCTCAACCATGAGGATGTCAGCAACTCGCTTGTCATGATCCAGCCAACTCTGGACTCCTACACCTTTGACCAGGACGGTGGCCAGCCTGTTTTGCTCGACTCTGCCTCCATTCAACCCACCCACATCCTTCTCTTGGATACTTTCTTCCACATCCTGATCTTCCACGGCGAGACCATCGCAGAATGGAGGAAGGCTGGATACCAAGAGCAGGAGGGATACGAGAACTTTGCTGGTCTGCTTGAGCAGCCCAAGGAAGATGCTCGTGTAAGTCTAACCCCTACCCCCTTTTTGATTACTGATTGGCTCACAATTTCTAGGATCTCATTACTGATCGTTTCCCTCTCCCTCGATTTATCGTTTGTGACGCAGGAGGCTCTCAAGCTCGATTCCTGCTATCCAAGCTTAACCCCTCTACCACCCACACCACTGGTCCTTACGGTGGTGTAGGAGCCACGACTGCTCAGACCATCTTTACAGACGACGTGTCTCTCCAGACATTTATGGACCATTTGATGAAGTATGTTTCTTGTCTTCCCTTGACCTGACGGTCATGAATGAATCACCGGTGACTAACCATTTATCTAGGCTTGCTGTGAGCGGTGCCAACTGAAGTGGTCCCTGAGCGCCTTCGTTTTGGGACCATTGGTGTCATTAAGATACTCGACCTTTGTAAAAATTAGTGCAGATGATGATTAGTTGTAAAGAGCCTGTCGTCCTAACGAACTACAATAATAGAAATAGGATTTGATATTGCACCTCTTGTAATTGATTCATGCCTCTCAACATGTAGCTACTTAGCACTCAATTGTGATGACTAAAATATACACGTGACCATTGGCTCCACTCAGATCTCTGTTCCTCTAGTTCGCTTCCTTATCTTATCGTTAGGGCAGCGTTCTTTTGGTGGGGCGCACATTTTAGAGAGAATCGCACGTCTGCAACTTTTCTTCTTTTTCGAGCAACCTTCATTCGCACCCTTTGGCACGCAAACCACGAGCCTCTGCCGACTTCAACAAACAGCAAAATGCGTATGTCTCCTTGCTGAGCGCCTCCGACGATCTATCTGCTTACACGATGAACAGCTCCCAAGTTCGATCCCAATGAGGTTAAGGTGATGTAGGTTGATTCTTGAATTGGGATATTTGGTCGACTCGCAACTGACATATTCTAGCCACCTCCGCGCCACTGGTGGTGAGGTCGGTGCCTCCTCTGCTCTTGCTCCCAAGATCGGTCCTCTGGGTCTCTCTCCCAAGAAGGTCGGAGAAGACATTGCCAAGGCTACTGGCGACTGGGTATGGCTTTCGATTCTCTGTCGCGCGAGGAAGATACTAATAATCTTTTAGAAAGGCCTGCGCGTAACTGTCAAGCTTACCATCCAGAACCGTCAGGCTGCTGTCTCTGTTGTTCCCACTGCTTCCTCCTTGATCATCAAGGCCCTCAAGGAGCCTCCCCGTGATCGCAAGAAGGAGAAGAACATCAAGCACAACAAGTCCGTTGCTCTTGACGAGATCATCGAGATTGCCCGCACCATGCGATACAAGTCTTTCGCCAAGGACCTCGCTGGTACCGTCAAGGAGATTCTCGGAACTGCCTACAGTGTTGGCTGCCAGGTTGACGGCAAGCCTCCCCAGGCTGTCATTGAGGCCATCGACGCCGGTGACATCGACAGTAAGTCTAAGAGGTCACTTTTTTCTTGGTCATTTCGTACTAACATACTTTCCAGTCCCCTCGGAGTAAATCTGTTCTTACGTTTAGAACCTAAATACCACAAAACAAGAACAATAGATCCATTTTCCGATGGTTCCCTCAAAACTAAACTCGTCCTCTCCGAACATAATGCCTCGTGAATGTGCGATGAACCCTTGACTCACTCTGAAATCTACCATCATGCTCCGTGGTTTATTTCTATTTTTGTGCAAGGAAGAGGAACCATAGCCCCATACTCACCGCGATATACTAGCTTTCAAGCTCTTGTGGATGTAGCGGTCCATCATCAATGGCAACATAACCTTGAGAAGCTTTACGATTCAATTTTAGTAGCCTCTACCAGAATTCCATTTCATACTCATGCGTCGCCCTTTGTCTTTGGAAACAAGTATCAAGTTCTCGGTATCGTTTGAACATCGCTCTCCGCATAGGTTGCGTAAGAGGGTGTGAAATTGAAACATGGATAGCAGCAGAAGCAGAAGTGTAGAAACTTGCTCGCCATGTTTTTTCTTTGCCAGTGGAAGTATTATCGAATAGATTTATCTGATCGACGAGTATTCCATGGATCTACAATGTACTTCTGAACAGAATGTTTTATAAAGTCAGATGAACAAGGTCCCCTGTCATCAAAGCCTACTTTACCCGTCTTGCCTACCAGGTACCCACCTCGGTTTGCCAAACTCCACTGACAACCATGGAGGTTGCCGTCTAAGAGTAAGCCATGCAGTTTTATTACTTTGATAGTGGAAAGCTCAAGTTCCGTTAGCTCCATATCTGCTACTGGGTATCAGAAACATTGTCGTTTAAGGTTCAGGTCACCAAAATAAAGTAGCCTGAGCGTTCCATGGTCTAAGCCAGGTAGTATAAAGTGCTTACCTGTAGATTATTTCATCTCTTGGGGTCTTGGTCATTTCTTTTGATACCCAGATAATCTGCCACTGCTAATATGATGTCTGTTCTTCTGGGTATGTCTTTCTACTGTACGGATGCGTCTGCAGAGTACCTAGACTGGGGTACTTATAGTATGATCGACCCATCCCCCATGTTTCGCTTGCTGACGTCCAATGACTTTGATGGACATCCATGCTGTTACAAACATCCTGATGCCGAGTCTAGTGTCTGTAGTAATTAATGCAGTGATATTTTTAGTCCAGTATCATATCTCGGGAAATTGTTTTTATTATACGTGGTTAGGATAGAGTGATATCATTTTCACATGATACCCATTATCGAGAAATAAGTACAAGATGGGCTTTTGGCTCTTAGTCGATTAAGATTGCCGTGGCTCATCGCCTGGGGTGAAAAGGTGGGCGGCGGTGCAAGCACGGGCTGTGTGGCAGGAAGGTACCCCTCTTCGAAGCTCTGGGTCTCCGTCTCTCCCGCCCCAATGTGGACCGCCCTGGCGCCGTCAAATGCTCACCTATCTCACTTTACTCCATTCAATCTGGCGCTACGGATACCTGTCGGGCAAACGAAACGTGCCTGCCGATAATATACAACACCTTACCTACCCGCCTGTAGGTCAAACATTATACCTCATCCTTTCACTCGTAATCCCCGTCGGATCCAGCTTTCGTAATTTGTGCCTGTTTGGCAAGCCCGGATGCCCTGCGAGTACCACCCAAACCCATATTTGATGCGATGAACGCGACTGTTCCTTCCCGTGCGACTTGATTTCAGCTTCGTTTGCGATAGAATCAAGAGGCTCTCTCTGCAGCAACAAAGTTGACCGGGCACTCATACTCTTAAAGTTAGAGGGCTTCTCGCGACTGTTCGAAATTCCCAGTCTCGCGCTGGCGCAACTATTGTCCTTTTAGCCCGCACAAATGCTTGTCAGCAGGCAATCCTATACTTCGATACCCAGCGTAGCCGCCAGCCATGCCCTTTGACCAACAGGCCATGAACAATCGTTATTCAACAGTGTTCTTCGTCCTGCTTTTTCAGTCTGTTTTGCTTCTTCGCCAATATACCCCGTTGTCATGTTTCAATTCCCCCCTCCTGCGGTGACGCCGCCGCAGTCGAACCTCGATGCAAATACCATGTTTCCGAATAACGACTCCTCCTCCTTCAACGATCACCACCTCCGCAATATCGCATCGCCGTATCACCAGTCATTTGCGATCCGTACGTCTCGGTCTCACCGGCATAATAACTCTTTTAGCTCTGCTCTTTACCCGCCACGCCAAGAACATCACCTCCGACGAAAGACCCCGAACGGAACCATCGACGCTGGTTATGACGGATCACCATCGCCGTTTTCGCATGGCCCTCCACCCCCAAAACATCTATTCCAACCTCGATCGGCAACTGCGACAGCGTTCCCTCCCACTGGCCCGTCAATACACCGACCTCACTTCAACACCGGTATAGAACCTCATCATCCATCCTCAGCTGGCAACAAAGGATTCGGCGACAATCTGCAAGCACATACCAGGTCCTCCAGCTGGGCTTATGGGGGTGATACGGCATCACACCATGGCGCTTTTCCCGGTAATCATTATGGCTTGCATCAAGCCGACGGGCATTTTAATCCATATGGCCAACCTGAGATGCCCGGGGGGGTTCCCAACGCTTATCAACCAGTAATAAGAGCTCACGAGTACAATGTCAGAGCATTCTGTCCACCACCGGTTGTCATGAACGAATCGCTGCCCTTCGGTCAGCCGCCCTGGGGTTTTCACGCTCAGGCTGGCGTCGTTCCAAATCATGTTCAACAACAGGGCATTCGTCCATTTCAACACCATGCTATCCCTGGGATCGCGCAACGGTCTTCTTTTCCTCCTACTGTTGGGGCAGATCCCCAAGGCCATGCCGGCTATGACTTGGGTATGCCCAGGCAATCCTATCATGCGCCTGCTCCTATAAGCAGTCAGCAAGGTTTTAGGGAAAAGATGCTGTTACAAGCACATAAGGTTTATGTTGACCTTCTAGCGTACACGCAAGCTGTTCGAAAACCACTTTCGACAAAAAGCGCAAGTGGAAACAACACCTCGCCGAGGCTTCTTGTTTACCCCAAACCACCGAAGCCATCATCGAGGATCTCAGACGCGTCTATTGGACACGAAGATACGAATTTCAAGCTTTCTCAAGAAATTGGACAGTATCAAAGCTATGGCAATAGAAGGCATACAACCCATAACTTCCATGGGTCTTCTAACAATTACTTGCCCATGGGAAATCCGACCCCATTCGCAGCAGCCAAGTCTACGTTGGATGTCCTCAGTAACCTCTGCGAGCAGAGCAGCTGGGGGTGGATAGATGGTATGATGTTGGGGGGTTGTCTACACTATGGTCTAGAACAATATCAAGAGGCACTGGAATGGTTTTCAAGAATCATTGCCCTTGACTCGAGGTAAAACTCTTCTCCCATGTGAACTGTCAAGTGGCTGTTCATTGGTCTAACTCTTTCGCAGCGATGTCGAGGCTATCACAAACAAAGCCGCCACTCTTTATTGCCTCAGCCGTCAAGATGAGGCCGAAAAACATTGGATTCGGGCTGTCGAAGTTCGCCCTAGTTACCTAGAAGCCGTTGAGCATCTAGTTGGTTTGTTATACAAAAAGCGTAGTAGAGAAGCCGTTGAAATCATCGACCATGTTCAGCGTGCTTTGAGAATATCTTCGGTATGTAACCCGCGACTGAAAGCTAGTATCAATCAGCCAGCTTCTCGCAGGGACCCCGTGCAGACTGCTCCAGTTTGCGGTCACCAAATTGCTAATGCGAAATAGGTGCAAGACCAGCGAAATGCGCCTCAGGGGCTTCATGGTCAAGTAGCGAAGACTCCCGGTTTCGCGTCAAGTGGTTACGCCTTACCCGCAAAAGAGAATGGACGTATACTAGCTTTGATACACGCCAAGGGAACCATGCTATACAGTCTCAAAGAAGTCAACAAAGCATCAGAAGCCTTTGAAGAGGCCGTATTGATCAGCGTAGGTCGCCGGATGACTGGCATACAGGATCTTGTTCGTCAGATTCAAACAGCGTTATCGCCAAACGAAAGTCAGGGTCCAAGCAGCTATACCACACGACCGTTATTACTTCCTCCTGAGCGCGCTCGTCATACTGCACAATTGGTTTTTGGCGGTAACGGAGCCCTACCAGGACTGCAGCATGTGGCAGAAGGCTCGACTAAACGAGCAGCTGTACAGACCACGAGTAACTCACTGCTATCACTGGCGAAGATATTTCAAGATTCTTTGTCAACCGGACAAGGAGCCCCGAATATCTTACGACGCCCCTCAGGGGTTGAGGATATCTTGGCGTTATACTATCTGTCCTTGTCCCTTCAAGAGAGTCCTTCTACGGCCAACAATGTCGGCATTCTCCTCGCTGGAGTACAACAAGCTGCATCCAACCCACCAAAGCCAAATGCCGATGTTTTTTCTCATCCAAACATTCCAGGGATTGTGCCAGGAAGCGGACTGGCTTTGGCTTTGGCGTATTACCACTATGGCTTGCGTCTGGACCCCAAGCATGTGCATCTACATACTAATCTGGGTAGCTTGCTCAAGGACATCGGTCAATTAGATCTTGCTATCCAGATGTATGAACAGGCTGTGTCGTGCGACGGGACCTTCGATATCGCCCTGACAAATCTAGCCAATGCTGTCAAGGACAGAGGCCGCATTAACGACGCAATCTCGTACTACAAAAGGGCTGTCAACTCGAATCCCGAATTTGCTGAGGCTGTGTGCGGTCTGTCTACAGCCCTGAATTCTGTTTGTGACTGGAGAGGCCGAGGCGGCGTCATGCTCAAAGGCGGGAAATATGATCGATGGCATGTTGATGATCAAGGATTGCTCATTGATGCTAAGGCTCTTGGGCATGAGGATGGTCTTGTCAACCGTGTCGTTCGCATCATTAATCGTCAGCTAAACGAAGCATCGCATTGGGGGCGTGGTATTCTTGACGAAAGGCGCATTGCTGTATTTGCACAACAGATCCAGGATCTGGGCATAGGCACATCCCAGGAGGTTGAAAAGGGTCTGAGAAATTGGAGTAACAAGCCATGGGAGGGCTCACGCATCGTTCGTTTGATAGAGCGCGCGACCCGGGCCACACAATGGAAGTGGTACCATGACCGTCACGATGGTAGCCAAGCAGCTACTCGGTACACTCGCCTTCGTCTGCCCAACGGGCTTACAGTGCCTTCAGCGCCTACGGTCTTGCCCTTTCATACTTTTACCTGTCCCCTATCAGCAAAAGACATACGAACAATCTCTCAGCGTAACGGAATTCGAATCTCCTGCTCTACATTGCGATTACCTTGGTTACCCACGACGGTCTACCGCCCACCACCTCCTCCAAGGCCTCATCTCAACATTGGATATGTATCATCGGATTTCAACAACCACCCTTTGGCTCATCTGTAAGCTCCCCCATTTCTCGAGTGTGTATGAAGAGATACTAATCACATTTTGAATCTTCACAGAATGCAATCCGTATTTGGATTCCATGATCCTCAACGTGCGCGCGCCTTTTGCTACGCTACAACGGCAAGCGATCGATCTGTGCACCGACAGCAGATCGAACGTGAGGCGCCTGTTTTCCGTGATGCCAGCAGTTGGCCTGCGGACAGGCTTGTTGAACAGATTGTCAAAGATGAGATTCACATCCTTGTAAACCTAAATGGCTATACACGAGGAGCTCGCAATGAGATCTTTGCTGCGCGGCCTGCGCCAGTCCAGATGTCTTTCATGGGCTTCGCCGGTACATTGGGGGCCGAATGGTGCGATTACATCCTAGCAGACAGCACTGCTATCCCACCCGAAACCCTACGACCCTGGCGTGGTAACTCCACTGTCGCTGATGTACTCAAGGATGAGACAGAGGGTGAAGAGGAGGATTGGATGTACTCGGAGAACATCATATTCTGCCGAGATACCTTTTTCTGCTGCGATCATGCCCAATCGTGTGATGAAGGCGAACGTTTGATTACCTGGGAACAAGAACAGCAACGTCGCTGGAAGATGCGGAAAGAATTATTTCCTGCTTTGGCTGATGACATTATAATAATGGGCAACTTCAACCAGCTGTATAAAGTAAGCAAGCTCTTGGCCCGGTGTGTTTCTAGGATCTATTGCTAATTCATTCAGATTGAACCTACAACATTCAGAACATGGTTACGGATCCTGGCACAGGTTCCGAAGGCGGTGATATGGCTTCTTCGGTTTCCTGAATTGGGAGAGGCCAACCTGCGGCGGACAGCAAAGGCATGGGCTGGACCCGAAGTTGCGAGTCGCTTGGTCTTCACGGACGTCGCGCCAAAAAGTCAACATATTTCGAGGGCTCGAGTATGCGATTTGTTTCTCGACACACCCGAGTGCAATGCTCATACAACAGCGGCAGACGTTCTCTGGTCGAGCACGCCGTTGCTTACGCTTCCCCGTTATCCGTACAAGATGTGCTCCCGAATGGCGGCATCAATTCTTAAGGGTGCCCTGCCAAAATCAGATGAAGGGCGACAGGCTGCAACAGAGCTAATTGCCGACAACGAAGAGGAATACGAACGCCGAGCAGTCCAACTTGCTACCGAGCTCAGTTACACCATTTCAGCGGACGGCTATGGCCAAGGAGAAGGTCGGCTGGCTGAAATACGCAAGCTGCTGTGGGAAAGTAAGTGGCATTGTGGGCTGTTCGACACAAGAAGATGGGTCAGTGATGTCGAGACGGCATACGAGGAAGCATGGCGACGATGGGTCGCAGGTGAAACTGGGGATATTCACCTATGAATAACGACAACAAATGAGCTAACTCTACTTTGATAATGGTTGGGGAAGAGAGGTCATCGGATCTGGATACCTAGGGAGAGGTTGATTGGGCGTTCTGAAAGTGCAGGGAGCTGCATGGTAAGCTATGGCATGTCACGAGGATTCTGGTATGGGTTGGCGTCTGGAGCATGTTTTCATCTTTATTATGGTCGAAGGTACGGTTGGGCATTGCTATCTGAAAGTGCCAGTTCATCGACAGATCCCATTACCCGGTTAAGAAAGCGAGCCACCATCCAGGTCGAAGCTGATGCTAATCCACTTTATTTGGGACAACCCAGAAGTCTGGGCAGACCGAAACATCCTCTACCGTTGCAACCAATAATGTCTGCGCGTGTTGACGTTCTTGCGTCGAGCGTAAGTTTGTGTGCCCATCTGTGCTGGTAGGTAAGCCAAGTAAAGCTCAAATGAGTATGACCGACCACGTTGGTACGAAATGAGCACCAGTGGAACCTCACGAACCTGGGGGTAAGTTTCAGGACATTGATCACTTTAAAGTGCCTATCGTCCAAGCGCTGGCTGATGATAAAGATGCAACCTCCACTACTATGGAAATGTAACAGGTGAGAATGGTGATCGTTGGGTACAGTACAGGCACAGGTATGAGTATAGGGTGGGTAGCATCCAAACGTTGACACTTGCATGCAGATAGACAGTGGGTGAGTTAAAGAGGAGAAGCTGTAAGAAGAAAATGATGTGACTGCATCCGAGCTGAATCAGGGTAACTAGCGAGGAAAATGTGCAACATGACAGGGGAAAGAGAGTCGCTATTGGACAAGCGAGATGTCAACTGAGAAGCCAGCTGAGCTGAGCTGAAAGCCGTTGCTCGTTTCTCTTGGCGCGACCCAGAAAAGGCTTGGTAGTCCAAGGGAGGCCGACGCCACAACGTTTTTTTCCTGTACTTTGTCTTTAGTGGCCGAGGTTCGAACTGGAGTAGAATTAGGGGCTCCATCAACGTCTGAGCGGGGATGACACTATTGGCAATATCGTCATCTGCCCTGTCGTGTCCAGTTCCATTGTCCACCCGTCCGTCAGGCAGTCAGAGTCTGCCCCTGATTTAGAGTCAAGGTGAGGCAGTGTTTTCATGGATTCACGTCCAACGACTAGACTAAACATTCATGCCAAAAACATCAGAGACACTTTGTCACGATGGATGAAAGGGTCACCCTGTGAAAAGGATCATCACAGCAAGGATGGACATCGGGAGAATGAAGATCATCCCCAAGATACCAGGTGCATGGAAGCGCAGCATAGCACAAATGACTCTCCCCTATTTACAAGTAATAGTGCAGACTCAGACCAGGGAGCGAGTCAGATGTCGTCACCTAACGCAGTATGGAAGCATTCAGTTGGTTGAGATGTGACTTGGGTGTCCTCCCTTATGCCTGAGCGTTCTGCGCTCTGATCCCGAACGCGTGGGCTGATCCAAGCTCAACGGACGCCAATTGTCAATCTTGCCTTGCCGACTTGCTGGTCTACCTGATTTGAGTCTAGTCGTACCCGTTTTTGTTTCGTTTCGTTTCGTTTTGCCTACAGCACGCTCTCTCTAACCTACCTAACCATCATGCCATGCCTGCTAATTTGATCGTGGTCATGACCATGTTGCCATGTTGCCATTCTCCGCATCCATTCTTAAATAGACGGACGGGGCGGGCTACAACGTACGTTAGGGCGGAAAAGATAATTTCGAAGCGGTAGGGTCTCATAGCAACACCTGCGGGCAATTAGAATGTACGGGATGTGCCCTCAGATCCTCTAACGGTAGATGAGGGTACAGCAATCTTATTTTCCCACAACAGCCAGTGTATGTAACGGTGCATGGTGGACTGAACAGACGAGACGAGTCAGGCCTTGGAAGGTCACCGTCGCCAGGGATCAGTCCAAGTAGGGATACCCTTAGATATATTTGTGCTTGGAAGCAATGCAATGCAGTCCTGTATGTAGGCCCTGTTCCCGATCACAGCAAGGTATCTGAGAGTATTGAGGTGCCTACCGACAGTTGGAAAACCTTACCTCGACCTGGATCGAAAAGTACACCACCATCGTTATCATCGTGGTCTACCCTGGGCCAAAGCCGAATAGATTCGGAGATGTGCTGTCAAAAGGCCCGACGCGGGAGTGAAATATCAGAAGCAATGGAACTCTCCACAGATCAGCCGGGACGTAAGACATGAGTTAACGTATTGATTCTGCATTGCAACCCTGGGCTACTACTCTACTCTACTGCAGGTTCCAGCAGAGTAGCATTGTGCAGTGTGAAAGTTCACCCTTCCTTGAAGTCTGAAGATCCCAAGCAGGCGGCTCAGGACAGCAGCCACCCACCCGTTGACGATGATCGCCCTACCTCTGTGTCCCCGGTCGTGACCAGACCATGACCATTGACTGTCTATGCGCAGACCGAAAAAGATCCACTGCGCACACGCTGGTAGCGACGGCGACGGTGAGGTCTGGAACCGTGGTAGCGTAGCGTGGGTCATTGGCGTTGAAGCGAAACGACTCAGTTTAATCAGCTAATAATTACTTTAATTCTGGGTAGGTGAAGGGCAGCGAACGGATCCAATACTGATGACAATAGCTTGTAGGTAGTAATTTAATTACTCCATGATCGATCGTTCCATACAGCTGGATAGGTGACAGCATTGTATGTGCATTAGTGGTGGTTTGACACGGTCCGAAAACACACAGGGACAGAGCAATAACAGCTTTACGGTTTGAACTTTGGAAGTCAGGGCAGTGAGCCCTCTGTGCGATGGCTGTAGGTTAACTTAAACCCTTTGTAGGCTCCGATGGAAAAAGTTGTTATGTATCACGAGCCGTCTGTCAAAGACTCGCCTACATTGGCCCAGTCACACAAAGGTAGACATGCAATAACTCAATAAGTAAGTTCTGAATAAACTCAAGTATCTATGAAGAGGCATAGATAAAGAGAAAGAAGAAAAAAGAGCCGAGGGTCTTGCAATGGGTTGCCCCGCCATTGACAAGTAAGAAGGTTTTGCAAGCGATTATTGTTTGTTGAGTAGAGAGGCATGTTCGCTTGTGTCGGAAGGACATTGGACATAACTGACGAACTTTAGTCTACTGAAAGATGGAGTTGCCAAATGCGACAAAGTGTTCTAGGCATCGACACAGGCATAGCATCAATAACTTCTCGGTGGCTTAGTTGGACGGTAACGTCCGAGGGAGTTGGGCCGATGTGAACTGTCACTTTTCACGACGACCGTCTCCGGTATACCCGTCAACATGATTACTCCTCACAGCCAACAGTGCTACAGCAAAAGGGCTTGACTGTTACCGGTTGCGTTGGGAGAATGAGGAGAGGGAGGAGAAGAGTAGAGTAGGGCTGGGCCGATGTCATGCACCAACCAGCCATGCGTTGCGTTCAACTGGAGGCAGTTACGCATCGTTGCCTATCCGTCCAGACACTGAGTTCGGTTCGTGCGAATTATTGCTGGTTGGATTGAAAAGCCTCCTTTGACGAGGCTAAAGTCAAGCAGTTGATTATGCCGACTGACGGGGTTCGTTGCGATGCCTACGAGCGCCCGGTCATTGACCGGTGATACCAGCCTCACGTGCAAACTCAGTTATTGTGAGTACATGCTGTGTGTATTTCTAATTGCTCTGGACCCATGGAAGTGTATTGACACAGGCTGTATTGTGTTGGTGTTTGTTGGACGGGACTTGACTCTGGACCTTGCTGGCATTCCTTCTAACTCCAAAAAGATACTTGCAGGGCTTCTAAGTGTTGGTCATGACAGGGTACATTATCGAGTCGACTCGAGTCGAGCCGAACCAGTTCGGAAATGGGAGCAAGTTGAACGGTTACGGTAGGTACGAGTTATGTTATCCGTAGGCGGTTGATGGAGGCAGTTATGGGTTGTATCGCATCCGGTCAGCGCTGGGGCACGCCAACGCCCGCAACAGTAACAGTCTACTGACTGTTCCAACAGCAACAGTAACAATAACAGAAACAGAAACAGCTACCCAGCAATTCAATCAGTTATTCATCCGTAGACTGCATACTCACTCAACTTCCATATTATCGCTTTGACGGCGGGTCGAAGCGCTTAGCCAATCCCGTCGCGACTTAGCACCTTGTCGTTGACTGCTGTAGGGTTCACCCCTCCACTGAAAGTGAGGATCTCCACCTGCCGTGAGGTACGTAGCTTTTGTAAGGAACAAGGTCCGGGTCCGGGCATGGGCATCATGGAAGAACCGGACCTAAGATTCACACCCTGTGGAGATCTACCTCACCCCAGACCTTGAGAAGCTGCACCCCTCTCATCACACCCTCCCAGATGATTTGAGATAAACCCAGATTCACGCCCCCCCTGGTCAAGAGCGCCACTATGCATCGTAGCGCAAACCAGTCTCCAGTTCAGTTCAGTTCAGTTGAGTTGAGTTGAGTTGAGTTCAGTGCCTGTGCAGTCCAGTGTAATGTTGTAAACTCGACAGTAGCATATCCTGGTGGCAGATCAAGAAACTTTGTTGACCGGGGTGACAAGAAGTGGAAGCCAGACCAAAAGCTCGGTCGGTCACTCCTTTTTACTGCACGCCCCTTCCCTTCTCTTCTTTCCGTACCCGGGTGTCAGTGTCACGATTGCACTTGACTTTACTCTACTTTACTTTTCCCCATACATTGCATACGCTTCATACGTATCCGCCCCATCCCATCATTGGATCCTCCTTCCTTCCCTCACGGGTATTTTATCACCCTACCTCCCTCCTTCTGAATCAAGATCTCTTCTCCTGAGCCTCATCTCATCTTGACTCATCTCAACACAAACTTAACTCTCTTACTCTCCATCAACAATTCTTAACTCTAATCTTAATCAACACTCAAGCTTTTCTTTCATATAAATAAAGAAGCATATCACCACTCCGACGACTGCGCAAGCCTTTCTTTTCTACTCGGATTCAACCATCTTCACTCACCCCATTGGCACTATGTCGTCAGCTGTCCAGAGAAGAGGCCCTTGGTCTCAGTACGAAGACCATCAACTCATGAACCTCGTTCAACAACATGGTGCGCTGAACTGGGTCCGCATTTCACAAATTCTTGGTTCCAGAACACCAAAGCAATGCCGCGAGCGTTTCCATCAGAACTTGAAGCCATCTCTCAACCACGAACCCATCACGGCTGACGAGGGCTACCTTATTGAAGAGTTGGTACAAAGTATCGGAAAGCGCTGGGCTGAGATTGCACGCCGTCTCCCTGGCCGAAGCGACAACGCTGTCAAGAATTGGTGGAATGGAAGCCAAAACAGACGGAAGAGGTCCGACCGTCGTCGTGCCGTGCAAGGAGGTCATGATGACTACTACAACAATGTGAACCGACCTGGACTTTCTATCACAACGAACCAAGGCCTTCCCGTCCCAAGAGGACAGCCATCACCCCTTGCTGGCCCTTCAGTCCGTCACCCTGTGAGCTCATGGGTTGAGGCTCCTCTTCCTTCCCCTTGTTCCTCTGATTCTGCCGAATCCGAAACCGGATCCAACTACACCACATCGCCTGCTCACCACTCCATCAGTCTCTACAGCAGCAGGCCGGTTGAATTGGCGCCGCTACGCAATCATCCATCTGGCAGAGATCCCAGGTTCACCATCTACGAGACAGGCAGTCATGATTCCAGGCTCCCTAGCATCCAGACCTCGAACCTGATACCCTACCATGAGCGATATCCCGCGGATCGAGGCGAATACAAGCCTACAATCCCTGCGTCGTTCACTCTCCAAGGACAAAGGCAGTTGCCCACAGCACCTAACTCGCCTGTTCAGCAACACCAGCATCAACAACAACAACAACAGCCACCTCAGCCCCAGCCTCGACCTCGATCCGTGCAGGACGATCGTATGCGTCTCCACTCGCTTCTTGATTGAGTGCTCAACTCAAACGGGCTAGCATAGGGGAAGCTTCTATGTGTTTACAAGACATTTGATTTTCACGAAGGGAATGATACCAGGCGTTAAAGGAATGATTCGGAGTTTGGGGAGTGAACTCGGCCAAACACAATGCAAACCATCCGTCACAATAGGAGTCGAGATGTGAAATGCTAGAGGGCCTACTGGGAGTTGGACTTTGACTTTAGTGATAACTATCAATATAATTTACTCAAGCGTTGAAAAAAACCAGTCCCAATGAAACGTGAAAACGGACCAAAGTTGGTGTCGAACTTGTTAATGTTACCGGTTCGGTTACAACCGTCCAAGCAGCGCATTGTCTTGAAGCCTTGACAACCGTACCCAGGTACTTGTTCAACGTACAGAGCACCATGGATCCAATTGAATGCCAAACAGTCCGGCAGTCCATACCTACTGGGTAGTCTGACGGGTGGGGGGAAAGTGACACTGGAATGTGGCAACGCATGGACACACATTTACAAGGCAGACGGCTTGGTTTCCTAAGCGCCCGGGTTTTTACTGTACTGAAACATGCAAAATAGAGTTGGGCAAGTTGTCGGGTCCAACAAAAGCCTCAATAAACTTGGTGATGTTTGTCGCTATATCCGGTCAGAAACCGCCTCTACATACAACACAATTTCCTTGGCTCTCTGCTCTGGTGATAGGTATCAGAAGTATATGAATGCTAAAGGCACACGGGATCTACGGTGTACCCGTTCTGTGGATGTCGAGAGACTTGCATTGTCGTGGGCTCCTTTTTTTTTTTTTTTTTTT